GGGGAGATGGGTATGAGGGAGAGGGATGGGAGGGGGCATTCAGAAGAAAGAGGGAGAGAGAGAGGGAGAGAGAGAGAGAGAGACAGTCAGGGGAGGAAAGTCTTGGGGCCGAGCCGAGAGAGACCTTGCCTAGAGAAGGCGAAGACTCAACCGGGCGGAGGGAGAGAGACAAGAAAAGCCCAAGCCAGGACTGGGCATTGTCCGGGCCAAGACACACCGTGCGGGGCTGCGTGGCGTGGCATGGCATCCATCCATCCATCGTCTGGTCCCTTTCCACTTACCAATTATGTCTGCTCATTTTGCACGGTACAATGTACCGTAGTGCACTCTACTACTGTATGTCAACACCTTCCATCTTCCTATGTCTAGGCTGAGATCATACCTACCTACCAGGTTCATCCTTCCTCTGCTCTCGATCCTTTGTGGCCAATCTTTCTTCGCTTTCGGGGGAAGATGATCCCCCACGGAAAAAACCACCGCAGCCAGGATTAGTCTCCAACTAGTGCCGGCCGGAGTGTTAAAAACTAGTCTCGGTGGGCTTGAACGAAGCCTCGAATAACCGTTTCCCCTCGCCCCCCCCGTATTGACATATGGACTACGGAGTATGTACCTGCAAATTGCCATAACTTAATCACATTATTGTCTGACAATCTGACAGACACCTCCCTGCATACTACCATAAGAAACAAGCCAAGCTGGTCAAGTTACCCCTTCTTGGCCTTCGTCCAGCATTCTTCCCGTTCTTGTTCTTCTCCTCGGGTCCTCAGGCTCCGTTCCTTTATCTGCTTAATCATGTACTGGGTTGAAGGAGTCGATTCCTTCCGTTTCCGAGACAGACTAGTGGAGCCTATTCTCGTGAGTCTGACATTTGGAGCCATGAGGGGAGAGTAACTTATTACGATTCCAACCGACCATTCACTTACTCCCTGCATGGCAACAGAAAATTTCTCCATTCCATTAACGTCCACCAATAAGTCAGACCCCGATGTTTGGGGTAGCCACACATACCAAAATACCAAGTAATCCCTCTCCCCTGCCTCTCTTGGCACTCCTTTTCCCGCCCGGAGGAGGCGGCGAAGTTCTTGGGACTTCTTGGAGTCTTGGGTTTCTTGGAACCATGTCCTGCGCTTGGGATTTTCTTTTCCTTTTTTAATCATTTTTCTTCCCCTCGATTAGTCAGATGACCTCCCCCCTCTCTCCGGCCTTCTTCGGGAGGGAGAAGAGGGTTTTCTGATGAGTACAGCACGTACTGCACTGTATGTGCAGGGGGGGGGGAGAGTGTACGGAATCTGCGTACAGCAAGGTATTACGCACAAGCTATACGCCGGTTGGACTGATGCTACAACGAGTGGTAGTACAGGAAAAGAAAGAATTGGTGGTTCCTGCTGGGGTCGTTCCCCTCCATTTTCCCACCCGGTAATCTCTGGAATATTGAGTCGGATGTTCATTCACTCCGAGCCGCTGGGTCCTCTTTGAACAATAACTAAGTAGTGGTAGAATACGGAGTAATGCGACCGATTATCCCCGAATAGATCAACAGACCTTCATACATCGAGAACTATCGGGCCTGACTTAACCAAGCGAGACGCAAGAGAAAAAAAAAAAAGCTTTGCCCCTCTTAGAATGTAGACCAACGCCAATGACTTTTTAATCCTCCTCCCCGTCTTGGAAAGTGACACCACCAGAAAATCAAGAATTATGCGAGTCACCTGCAGCTCCTGACTACAGCCGAGAGAAAGCCCACCCGATCGCGTCAGGAAAGGGAGAGGAACCTACCTTCAGGCTTAGCCCAGTTTAGTTCGTTCCGTACCTCTGGCTGGGCTAGGCCTTTTTTCACTCCCCCGGGCCGGGGGGTGGCGGTGCTTGCTCCTTTAGGCTTTTAGTGACCATTCTCTCTTTGTCTCGGAAATCATGAGTGAGTCCAACCGAGCCATGCATTGGGGAAAACATCAGGCAGGGCTCTCCTGTGGTATAGTCAGCGGAGAATTCAAGGCATCCGCATTTTGCAGTCATGGATCACAAAGTTCAGTTCAGACTTCGAACACATCTCGAAGGGAAACCGACACCAGTTTTTTTTTTCCTACCCTCATTTTACGTTCCTCGATCGAGTGGAATGGACCATCATCAAAATTTCAAAGTCATCAGAAAAAAGCAAAATATGTATCCAAGTCTATGCTCTATCATATTCATATATACAATCCGTCTAGATATAACCAAAACAGACAAAAAACAAATAGGCTAATCAACAAATTTCGTCATCATACTGCCTTGGTGTTCTCCCAATGCTCCTGGGGCTCGTTCTTTTCGAACATGCCGTCCTTGATCTCCGCGCGGAAGCGCTCTTCCTCCTGCTGGAGCTGCTGCTGCAAGACGGCGTGGGCCCGCCAGACCGGCTTGATCTCGAACAGCTGATCAGTCGCCTCCAGAGGAATACCACTGGTCTCGGGAATGAGGAAGAAAGCGAAGAAGAATGCCAAGGCTGAAAGTGCAGCGAAAAAGAAATACACGCCGTATCCCATCTTCTCGAACATCTGCTCCGTGAAGCGGGAGACCAGGAAGTTGAAAAGCCAGTTACTGGCTGTGGTGGCGGCCTGCGACAGGGGACGGATGTTGGGGTGGAAGAACTCCTGTGGAGAGAAGTCAGTAACTTGTGCGAAGTGTGACAAGAAGAAGGCACAGAAAACATACCGAGTTGATGACCCATGGGGTACCATTCCAAGTGGGTGTGTAGACAGCCGTCCAGAGATAGAAAAAGAAGATGGCAGCAATACCGCCGCCGTCGAGGTGATCCTTGGGGTGCTTGGTAGGCTCAACCACACAAATGTATGCGCCAATGATCCACATGCAGATTGAGCCGCATATCGCACCAATCAGCAGAAGCTTGCGACGACCAAGCTGATCAACAAGGAAGAGCAACCAGACGATGGTGATGACAGCCTTGACCACACCAAAGATACCGTTTAAGATACCCTTGGTGTTGCCTTGAACACCGAGACTTTCGAAGATAGTGGGCGAGTAGTAGTTGATGGCGTTAATTCCGGATCCGTTTTGCCAGAAGAAAAGCATACAACCCAAGAACAGACGGTATTGCAGGTTCTTAGCCTGACCAAGAGCCTGGAAGGGCTTCCAAAAGCCGACACCAATGGTGGCCTTCTGCTCCTCAAGACTCTGATCCATAGCAGCGACTTCCTCGGTGATATAGATATCAGTAGGTTCCAATTGACGGACCCAGCACAGGTTCTCAATGGCCTGCTCGCGGCGACCCTTGGTAAACAACCAACGAGGGGATTCCTTCATCCACAAAGAGCCAAGGAAAAGTAGCCCTGATGGAATGAGTTGAATAGCAAAGGGGATTAGCCACTGCTTGTGGCTAGCGGGAATAGTTTGCTCAACACCATACTAAGTCAAAGGGTTAGATGCTGGAAAGCGTCAAAATCGCATGGGACCGCGACATGACTTACATTGATCCAAAAGCCAACCATACCACCAATTTGCCAGCCAAGTTCATACAAACCGACCAGACGACCTCGAATGGCGGGAGGGGCTAGCTCGGACAGATAGATCGGGACGATATTGGAGGCGACACCGGTGCCGAGACCGGCCAACACTCGACCCGCATAGAGGATGCCGAGACCGGTTGAGCTATTAGCACCTAACTGCAGACCCGCTCCGAGAACAAAAACAGCCGAAGCGACGGTCAAACTCCATTTGCGTCCCGCATAGTACGAGATACCATAGGTCAAGAGAGCCCCGAAGAAAGCACCAGCGATGAAGAGAGAGACGATGTTTTCACTGATGAGATCTCTCTCAGAGCTAGTTTTCTGGTCCAGGCCAAACTCGCTTATGAATGAGTCCAAGGTGATGGTTGTGCCGATGAAACCACTGGTGTACCCAATCATCTGAGAACCGCATGATGCAATGGCAGCCAACGCATAGATTCGCCAGTTGTAAACAGCTTTCGGCGTAGGCCGGTCCTCGACAAGGTGAAGAATGCCACCCATTGCTATGAGGGGGCGAGAGGAAGAGAGGGAGGGAGGAGAGAGAGAGGGGGGAAGGAAGAGCAGAGACGCGAGGACCTATGAACAAGTCACAAGTATCTCTGAGATAAAAAGGTCAAGAAGAAAGTGAGAGAAAAGAAAGAAGATTTCCTGCCAACAAAGACGAGGAAGGGGAGGAGATGGCAGTAGATATGGGTGTGGGAAAGTTCTGAGGGCGGAAGTTGAGAAGAATTAAAAATTGGTCGAGACGGGCCGGGCCCCTAAAGTAATCGTTTACAGCGAGCGACGCATCAACTCTGAACCGTGTGGATTCTCCTCCCCTTTGAACGCTCTCCACAATCCACGTCGTGACCGAAACCCCATCTGGGGAGAGTCAACATGGGGATTCCTGTGAATAGCACGAATTTGATACGTCAACCAGGCAGCTAATTGGTCCTTGTCATGCAGACTATGCCATGATTCCCACAGAAGGTCGCCTCGTGATGTGGGAAACTGGGTCGGGGGAGAGTTTTCCCCAGACTGACCATGTCTCGCTTAGCCGGCGCGGAGAAGTTCTTGCGATGTAAACATTCAGCCGCAGATCTAAGGTGTGGGGGCCAGAGATTAGAATTTTCCCTGCGCCAGTTGAAGGTATATAATCGTGGGTGCCTCCCTTGACTGAACACATTTACCCGACTGTTCAGGGCACCTCAGCTGCGAAAGTAAATAACCATCATGGGAAATCGGTCATCGCTGACCGGCCCTGCACGTTCCAGGGCACAGCCTGTGGCAAAAGTTGGTCATCGTGAAGACTTTGCCGGTGGAGCAAGCCATTCCAGGCGAACTCTAAAGTTCGGCCTTAAAAGAGCTTGCTTTGTTCCTACCAGACTTGAGGACTCGCGGTGTCGATCCTATTGGTTGTCTGCGGACCAGCATTGCTGTCTCCGGCTTTGCTTCACATCGGCTCATTCACGAATCAGAAGCCCAGCGTTGAGAATGGGTGCAACCCCGTGCGGTCCACAATGAGCATTAAGCGACATGTTGATGCCCCAGTCGACTTCCTGAGAGGACTTAGCCGGGGTCTGACCGCTCACCATTACTCGTAGTCACAAGTAGGCCAGTCAGGATGGCGGGAGGAGGCCTTGACCCCATTACACACGATGGGGACCTCTCCGGAAGTGAGCCGACCAAGCCCAGACGGGCAGAAGTGCGGTCCTGATCAAAGTTTTGTTAAGCCGTGGACGGTGGATCGAACGCCGGTGAACATGGTAATGCAAATGGTCGATAGCCAAATGTTAGCCGACCGGGAGATGTAGTGTACTCCGGTACATGGTCGAAGGAAGTTTGCCTGCACTGTCTGCTTTGCCCAGGATGAACAAATTGCAGCTACAGTGAGAAAGTGTGGATAGGTAGAAGCTCGAAAAGAAGAATGTCGAAAGCAAAAGAAAGCGAGCTAAGCCAAGACGGGAAATGCACACGAGGCTTAATTCAGCCACGAGCACATCGAATTACATAAAGTGCTACATTAGTCCATATCTGTTATAGTGCTAATCCACTAACTGTAAATAGTTTAGGGGTCAGCTGACCGGAAGTCCCTTTAGACGGCGGGGTGGACTCTCTCCCACACTCCACGCGGGCTCAAGAACGCTTCTCCGCGCTGACGCTGGTTCTGGAAGACTGAAAACGCGGAGTCTCCGCATGCAATCATCGTTGCTTTTTTCTCTGGGTCCTGTGTTTGGTTTTGACTGCAGTCACTGGACAGCATGACAAAAGCAGCGGTGAAGATCCCTTTGTCTCGAAATCACCCCATGACGCCATGGTGTTTGGGGACCCCAGACAGTGCGGGGACAGTCTTGGACATGGGATGAACCATTGCTTGTGACAGACCAGCATGCTGGAGTGTTTATGGGAAAACCTTCAAGACTGACATGGCCTGTATGTGCTGACTACACTGTGGGAACAGGATAAACATACTATCAATCATTCAGTTGACCGAACCAAATGACACGTCCTCGGAGATAACAATTCCTCGGCTTATATGCGCCGTCTGAACGAATTCCCGACACTGTGACTAATCACAGATGCACAACTCACCAAGTACGGAGTCACTCATGCACCTATGCATATGCACAAGTACTATGCAGCATGCATAGACTTTATCCGATCAAGGATCAAATCATCGCTTGCCGGACCTTCCGTCTAACAATAGGGAGCCGACAGAGACTCAATCAACAACGGATGCTTTGATCAATATGCCCAAATTCTCCCTCTCCACCCTCTTCTCGTATCTATTCTATCTTCTTCCCGTATACTTCTTTGTTCTCGCTCCGCTCCTCCGCCAAATCTTCCCTGCATCCTCCACAGGGAATTTTCTCGATCTCGACCTCGACCTCGATCCCGACGGGATACAGGCCGACTCGGACCTCACTCTCAACCCGGAGATCCTCAGTCTGCCGGATGGGGTCATTGCGACATGTCCTCCGGACAATTACCGGGTTCACCTCTTACAGAGAGACCCATTGGTGATATACATTGAGGATTTCCTGTCTGCGGAAGAATCAGACCACCTCGTGGATATAAGGTACTAAATTGCTTCAGAAGTCGTCCCATCACTTCAACGATTCCATATTTCATGCACAATCCCTGGCGCCTTCCACCCCCGAAAGGAAAAACCTTCATCACTCTTCCCAAATCTCATCAATTGGACCCACAAACTCAGGAACTGACATGGACGAAGTAATGCAAACTACACACGCTCAACGATCTACAATGGCGGAACCGCCACTCATGATCCTTCCACACGTCTCTCCGACCGTGCCCTCCTTCCCCGCGACACCACCGTTCGATGCCTTGAGGCCCGCGCCGCAGCCTTCCAAGGCTGGAAGCCTCACCTCTACATTGAGCGCATGTGGGCTCAGCGCTACAACACCTCCGGCCATTACGTCCATCACTACGACTGGGTCGGGTCCGCTGCCCGTGGCGGAGATCGTATCAGCACATTCATGGTATACTTAGGGGACGACTGCGAGGGCGGGGGCACAAACTTCCCGCGCTTAAAGATGCCTCGGGCTGCCGCGGCTCTTCGCGAATGGTGTCGCTTCTTGGAGTGTCCTGCTGATGCAGCCGCCGCGACTACTCAAGGAATCACCTTCAAACCAATCAAAGGCAACGCCATCTTCTGGGAGAATCTTCGACCAGATGGGTCGGGACACCCAGGAACATGGCATGCCGCGCTCCCGGTCACCTCTGGGACTAAGATTGGCTTGAACATCTGGAGCTGGTATCATCCGCCTCAATCGAGGAAGGGTTAACGGTCCCCGTTTCCAGCCTCTCGTTGGATTTACGCTTTTGGCTAATCATACTCGAGGTGGTGACGATAGAAAGGTACGGTCTCTCAGTGCATATATACATAGATACAGGTAGGTTTAGAATGTATACCATATAACGCGTGTGAGATATGTATCGATCATCAATCATATTCACAATTATCAACCTTTATGGACCTAAAACTTCATGTCAAAATTCCAAGCAAAATCCAACGCCACCCGGAGAAAACCACAAACCCCAAGCAATGCCTTCATAAATGTATGATCTTCATTGTTCAAACCAGACCAAACGGCATACATAAACATATGGGTATTCAATTAGTGCTCTTTCTTCTCATGCGAGAGGGTATAATACGAATGCAGTTCTCAGTTGCCGGCATTCATAAATTGCAACCATTCCTCATTGCTGAAGCCGCCCGGACGACAGGCATCAACGTTTCCGAAGATGTCGTCGAGCGGGAGACCCAGGTCTAAGCCGACTCCCAGCGCCGTGCTATCGGGCGCACCCAGTCCAAATTGACCCAGGCCGGTCGGCGTGGCCGTAGCCGTCATCGGCTCCGTGGGGAAGTTGTTGGGTGGCTGATAATTGTAGCCTCCTTGCCAGATGAAGTTCTGGTTCGGCAGGGAGACGAGGTCAGGGCTGTTGACGCCGTCAGCGCCGTTGACGGGGGTCGAGCTGTGGGAGACGGGCGATTGGAGCCGTGAGTGGTTGATGTGCTGCGGTGGCTGATTGGACAAGCGGCCCGAAAGACTAGTTGAGTTTATGGCCCCAGGGTTGCTGCTGGAGAAAACATTGAAGTTGCCGAAGGCGTCCAATGAGGGAGTCGGCACTCCCATCGTGCTGACGCTGCTGCCGTCGGCCGTAGAGGCCATTCCAGGGGCGAAAGAAGTGGTGGCAGTCGTAGCGCCCGCTGGGTCTCGGCCGAAGTGGTCGTTCTCCAGCGTCGACATTGGTTGTGTCGGATAGGCGAAGGGATCGTCCGACGGGAACATGATCGGCATCAGATCTGGGAACTGGCTAGGATTGGCGAAGGCATGTGCTCCGAATTGATTAGGCGTTACATCGCCCAAGGCAAGAGACATTGACACAGGAGATGCTCCAGTCGAAGCGGGCGTCCTCTCGTTATTGGATAAAATATCCGGCGGCGTCGATACGGCATCCGTCGGCATCTCGGGTGTGGACGGAATCCACGAGTGAGCTGGGTGCACATTCGAGGCAGGGCTGCGGTTTGTAGCACTATCATCAAAGCTCTTGGGGGTATTGCTCGCCTCTTGCTTGGCCGAACGGTTGAGCAACTGCGTGGGGAAAGTGTTGGCGCGCTGTGGCGGCGGCATGTCCAACGGCACGGAAGCGGCACTGGAGGCGTTGGCGGCGCTCTTGGCGGGAGGTGGGCGGTGGTGGTGGCCGGACGAAGGGGCGGGCCGCTTGAGGCTTGCCCGCTTCTTTGCACTCTGCCGATTCTTGAGCAGCTCTGGAAGGTTCTTGAAAAGACCATTGAGACTTTGCGAGCAGCGGTCTGCCGCCAGACTCTTCTTTGCTAGTCCTGCCAATGTGTTCTTGCCTTCCATGGCGTCTTTGAGAACGCCGTCCTTTGCGGTCGGCGAGTCCGGGTTCTCGAGCACGAAGAACAATAATGACAGAATAGCGAAGTAGGTAGTATACATGGTGAACCAAAAAGAGCCATTGAGAAGCCCTCTTTTATGCATGCCAGCCGTGATATGTACGATGTTGCGTGACACACTAACACAGGCCGCAGCGCAGGCGTAGGACCGTCGATCCACTCCACGGGCTTGCGAGCCGCTGGAGACATAGTGGAGAAAGGGTCGGTAAAGTATAACCTGGACGTGGGCATAACTAATGCGCAGCAGTTGGCGGATGCTGAAGAGAGAGTCAGTGAGGTCACATTTGCTCTTGAGGGGTTTGACTTACCGTTCGAGCTGTGGAGAGACCTCAGTGCCTGGTCGCAAAGCCGCAGGAAGCTCTTCCATCCAGGCCTGAAGATCCCTTTCAATCTCCCGGATCTTTGAGTGGCTGACTACATAGCGCTGATCTGATGCGACGGGATGCTGCGCCTTTTTCACAGGGTAGATGTATTGCACAACCTTGAGGGTAATGTTGGTCAATCGAGTATGCGCGATCGCTCCAGCCATCAAAGGAGTATGGTCCGATGGCATCGGTAGAATGCCAGTCTTGGTAATAAATTCCGAATCGACTGCTTCCGGGTAGACCTGATCAATGTCATCGTCATTCAGCATAAGCGGTAGTCCGAGTAGCGTGCTAACGTAGACGTCCATTCTTCGAATCGTCCAGAAGATGCGTTTGCGCATCTCCTGCTCAAGGGGCGAGAAATGAATTGTCACGGAGCGGTGCAAACCCAGCCGCAGCGCGGCCCGTTGTGCGATGCCTATGTAAGAGTAACACGTGCTAAGTTTGGCGGACGACTGCAGGAACAAGATCATGAAGCAGATGGCCTGGAGAGAGGTCAAGTCACGACAGTCAGTGATTTCTAGGAGTTGGCGCCCTGCTTTAAAGTATTGAAACCTGCGGATGCACGTTAACTAGACACTCATTTAAAAATCAAAAGCCGCGAGAGAACTTACCCTTGCCCAATGGCACCTTCGTAGCCTGAGATATCCAAAGTACTGGAACCGTCATCGGAAAACAGACATCCCACGGCCATCACGATGTACAGCAAGGGCAGGAAGGAATTCTCCTCGTTCGTGAACTGATCCAAGGGTGTATCATAAATTCGACCGAATAGAGCGTAAAATGTAGGCTCATGCACGAAACGCATCAGTGCGCAGCCATCATCCAAAGCATTGTGACAGAGTCGCCGGGCAATTTCTCGGGAGGGAAGATCGTGCGTGGGTGGTAGGGACGCATCCTGTGGTGATTCGGACACAGATTTGGGGCTGTCGAAGAGCGTCTGCGCGACCGGTCGCGACCGGAGGGTTGGCAGCGGCATGTCTGAAGCTCCGAGTTGCTTCCGCAGTCGCCGAATGAAAGTCATTCCAGAACTATGTCCATGGTAATCCCAGTGCCCCTGGTCATCCAGATCGAGGTAACCCGAATTATCAACCATTGATTCGAGCAGCGATTCGTCCCCCGCAGCCCCATCGGCGGCCGTATCGTCAGTAGAGGCAGGAGCCGAGGGCTGGGATCCATTAGTCGCTGCCGCGGATGCAGATGGGGTCGCAGCCGGTTGCTGCTGCTGCTGCTGCTGCTCCTGCTGCAGAGGAGGAAGGGGAGGTTTTTCGCGCTTGATGGCGGCCAGCATCTGCTCAGTAGCATGCACGTCGAATTGTGGATCGTCCAAATTCAAATCCGGAAGCACGACACGCAGCAGGGCCTCGGCCTTGTGCAGGCGATTTTCTAAAGCTTCGACATATTGCGGGGCGGGATTGCGACGACGATTGGAGGGTTGATCATAAGTACACTCTGCGGGCGACCGAGGCGGATGAGCGAACACGGCCGGAGAGAGCTGAGGGTGGCGAGGTCTGACGGGGAGTATGGAGAACTTACCGTAGCTGTAGACCGTGCAGTGCGTGCACGGCTGCTTGCCGTCGCACTTGATTTTCTTGCGACGACATTCATCACAAGCGCGCGTTACCCGGCGGCGCTTTTGCATGGGCAGCGGTTCCTTGACGGGCTTGAGCCCATCGTCCCTCATGGGCAGATCGTCGTCATCATGAATTCCCGAGGCTGCGGGGTCGACATCATCATGATGGGAAGTGAGAAACGGATCGGAGACAGCAGAGGGGTCGTCCTCATTCGCAGAGTCGGCAATTAACGGGCCGGAAGGGGATGCCATGAGGGGAGGCAGACAGGTGGCGTGGGGAGCAAAAGAAGATCTCACGGCGGTCGGCGCAGAGCTATGCAAGGGGATATGAGAAAGTCGGGGATCCGATCGGAAGGATTAAGGATCAAGAGACTGTTCCGATCAGCAAGGGACGGCGACCCGCGTGGCGAGCCGATGAATGATCGCACGTCCACGAGGGTGTGGAATTGGCGTCTCACAGGGTCATGGAAGGCACCACGAAGTCGGAGAGAAGGGAGGGGAGGGAGTGAGAATGAGGGACCGAGAGCTCGAGAACGTTCGCCGATTAGAGCGAAAGAAGGATCGACACGTCACTGAAGGGATAGAATGGGCCAGTTACAGATGAGTAGCCAAGGAAATAAGAAGGTAAGAAAAGGAGAGTCTTGTCTAAGTATGGTAGTAGTATGAAGGATGAGGAGGAGGAGGAGTAGGAATGAGCATGAGCAAAGAGGAAGAAGTGATCGTCTTAGGTTGTTCTGTCTGTCTTGTCTCTGTCCGTCTGTCTGTCTGGGGCACCGGCGGAGAGAGACTCGAGGCTTTATTAGTCAGAATTGTGCGTTGACTCAAGAAAGAGAAAAAATCCCGATTTCAACTTGTCCAGATCATTGGTCTATGCTTCGGACCTCCGATCCCATGAGGGTCATCGTTTCCCTTCTCTCAACTATGACCACTGCTTCATTTTTGTCTGCCTGGATCCTGGATGAAGAGTGGTTGGAGTATAGGCCGATTGACCCTCGGGAAATTGGAGACTATCTCCGAGAAAGAAAAGGTCGAACACCAAAAGAATCAAGCATTCGGATAATACGAGGTTCATGCGAGAAGAGCACTTACATTGGTCTCTCGGAGGGAAACAAGATGGTTCTTGACGGAGTCGAGCGATGCCTGTCGAGGTGTTCTACTGGTTGTCTGGCCCGAATATCACGAATGCGACGGTGAAACCCTCTGCGCACACAAAGCGAGGGAATGAGATGAGAAGGGGAGAAATGCGAGGGTTTGGAAAGCCCGAAGGAGAGAAACTGAAAGGAGGTTTAAGGAGCCAACCACATGCAACCAGGGAACGAGCGTGAGAGAGTTCTGAGGGTGGGAAAAATGGCTCATGGGGTAGGGCTGGCTTCGGCGAACTGACGGGCATTTGTCGAAATTCTCATACTAACTACGCACGGCTGCATACTACGTACTATAAAATGTGACGAGGGAGATCAGCATAAGGAAACCGGCGAGCATAACCCGTAATACGACTAACTTAACTAGTGACTATAACTTCATCTAGCCTCTGGCGTCCTGAACTCCTCTCAGTCATTCAGTTATTTACCTATGTTATTATGCCTTGGAACCAGGCCATGTTTAGTCAAAATCCTTCATCCTCGGCGTCTTGGCCGAAGATTCTTAATATTACGCAGTAGTTAAGTAACAAATGTTAACTTAACTTACGGAGTAGACCCTTCCATCAGTCAGCCTCGGCCGCGCCCCTTCAGTAAGGCCGAGAGGGCGAAAAGCGGGCGAAAAGCGGGATGAAAAGTCCGCATGAAGGAAAGTGGAGGCCTCAGGTTTCTAATAATCGCCTTGGGCTCCCGCCAAGCTTCTCTTCCCGCCATTTCCTTTCCCTGTCCAGAATTAAATAATCATTTTATGATGGTTATTATTAATTTATTATGATTATTACTGCTACAGGATAACCCTGGAAATGCACCTCAGCAACCTGCTTTTCATCTATCTGATTGACCCATCGACCAATCAACCGCTTACTGTGTAGTGAACTGGAGTTCGTCTGCATTCCATGAACGACCAGTTAAGTACTATCGTTCTACACATCCTATCCAATCCATTATTCAGTCTCAGCTCAGCGCTCACTTGCAACACTCCTTTCAAGCCCCCTCCACAAGAGCTTATATCACGTCGTAACAATGTCGTTCACCGATTTATGGATCTAGTTATCGGAAACAAATTCGGAAGTCAAGCAAACAGGATCTTCCCTTTCAACTGTGCAACCGCTTCATAACAAAAAACAGTCAACTCTATACCATGTCATCCTATCTGCTTGTCACGACATGTTGTCTGTTTGCAACCCTAGGGTCCTTTTTATTTGGCTATGATTCTGGGGTCATCTCCACTGTTATTGACCAGGAGGTGTTCAAAGACCGATTCCACCGTCCCTCCGATGCGGCCACGGGCGGGATCGTCGCCTCGTATAATGGTGTGTGCATCTGGTTCCCTGCATTTGCTGATTCGGGCCCACCCGCACTAATTGAACTGAGTGACACTGAATCCTCCTCCCCTCCCCTGTCCTCAGGCGGCGCTATCATAGGCTCTTTGCTTGTCTCATACCTCTCCGACCCGTGGGGAAGAAAACCCGTGCTGTTTGTCGGCGGTCTTCTTGCGACTCTTGGGACCGCCTTGCAGGCTGGTGCGGTCAGTGTGGCCATGCTCATCGCTGGCCGCTTAACTGCCGGCCTGTCAGTGGGACTGATGTCATCCATCATCCCCGTATACTGTGTGAGTTAACTCCTATACCTGGATTTTGTACTATCTTCCCCAATTCCAAACTCAGTCCACTAATTCATGAACGCGGAATTAAACTAGAGCGAACTGTCACCTCCACGGATCCGAAGCTTCCTAGGATCCCTCCAGCAATGGATGATAGGATTGGGGGCAGTGGTTGCAGTAAGTCGCTCTATCTTCATAAAACGCACGTGAAAGACTATCTAGATAGTGACCCATCTCCACCAGCAATGGGTAGGATACGGCTGCTCCCTCCGCACGGGGAACTTCGCCTGGAGTTTCCCTCTCGCCTTCCAAGCTCTACCCGCGATAGTTCTTAGCTGCGGAATTTGGTTCCTCCCCGAATCCCCTCGCTGGCTCATCGAACAGGGCCGCACCGACGAAGGCCGCGCCACGCTCACCCGCCTTCACACGGCCAACACCGCCCTCATCGACAGCGAATACATCCAGATCCTCGCCAGCATCGCCGAAGAGCGACGCGCCGCCCCGCGCACCTGGCGCGCCCTCCTCTTCACCTCAGCGACCTGGCGCCGTCGCATCCTCCTCGCCTGTGGCATGCAGGCATTTACGCAATGCTCCGGCACCAACATAATCTCCACCTACAACCCGAGCCTCTACCGCTCCCTGGGCCTGTCGGAGAGTACCTCCCTGATGATCCAGGGTATCTGGGGCGCGCTGGCCCAGTTCTGGAACACCGTTTTCATCATCCTCTTCATCGACCGCGTGCCGCGCCGCACCCTCCTCCTCCCCTCCCTCGTGGGAATGGGCGCCACCATGTGCATCGAAGCCGCCTTGGGCCAAGCTTACCACAATTTCTCCTCCGCCGGCCAGTCGCCGGCGACCGCGGTGCGCGCCGCCATCGCCCTGTTCTTCGTCTTCTCCATCTTCTTCACCAGCCTCGGCCTCATCTCCTGGCTCTACCAGTCGGAGATCTTTCCCACCGCCATCCGCGCCCGCGGCGCCTCCATCGCCACCGCCACCAACTGGAGCTTGAACCTCATCTTCGCCCAGTGCACCCCCATCGCGCGCTCGCGCATGGGCTTCAACTACTTCTACTGCTTCGCCGCGTTCAACTGGGCTGCCGCCGTGCTGGTCTGGTTCGCCTACCCGGAGACTGCGGGCCGGTCGCTCGAGGAGGCGGAGCATGTGTTCGATGGTCACGGAGACGGACACTCGGAAGATGAACGGGAACAGCAGGGGGTGGAGCTCCAGGATCTGAGTAAAGGGGGAGTGGCTGTGATCGCCACCGCCGCGAGTGCGGAGCCGTCCCTTCGCAGGCGATCTCAGGTTATGCTTTGAAGACGGGGACAAGTGTGATTCCTTTTTGTGTGTGCACAAGAGCTGCTGCCTTAGATTCTGCTACCTGTCTTAGATTAGCGGTGCATGATATAGAGTTGAGGATAGAGACTTACATGTCCCTTGCATGAATAATACGGAAACTTCCCCCCTCACACGTGGGGTTCATTGAACACAATGATATTGATTGATGTATGGTCACCTCATAAAGTGATACTGTGCTAGAGGATGAGTTACTATGACAGTACCAAACGACAGGCAAGAAAGCGAAAGAGATCTATGGTTGAAGAGTACATCGGCACAAGCTGGGGTATAACACGTGTTTGAAAAAAAAGGGATCCATATATAAGCATATATGTCAGGAAGAGAAGTTGATCGGAGAGTATATAATGCTGCGGACGAATAAGAGAACGGCGTCTGCTTGACAGCGCGAAGCGCAGGAAAATTTTCAAGAAACAGCGCTGGCGAAAGTGAGGTCTGAACAGGGGGCCGTGATCTGAGACAGATGTGGATACATAATCGTGATTCATGTTATGGCTCTTCCAAAGAAGGCATAACATACCTCGTGAGCGGCGCATGGAGAATCTCGTCCCGAAGACTCTCTTCCCAGAGAGCAACACTAGGCATACCAGGCTGCATGGTCAGGCAAGAGAACAGAGTGGAGTTGACGTGCATCCAAGACTCATAACTGAGACGCTTGGCGACCTTGAGCATGCGGCCAGCGAACCATGGCCGATCGTATGGGGTCCGTGCGGCCGAGGAATATTGAGAGAAATCTGGCACTTGGCTGAAGCTGTCGCTGGGCGTATTGACCAAGCCGTCATTGCACTCAAGCAAGATCTGCAATAGTGCCTCGACGGAACCACTCATGTTCACTTCGCTGTTCAAGACTGCTTGCTGTAGCGTCTGAAGGAAGATCTCGCTGTGTGGCACGGAATTGCGGTAGTCCCACAGGGCTGCGTTGAGCATGAGCAGAGCAACAAGGCGCGCGACGAATTGTTTCCGATTGCCCGATGCAGTGAAACGCGCTCCTGGAGGTGCCGCAAGGATCTGATGTAGTAGCGAGCCGTCCTGAAACGCAGTATGGCGCAATGGTCGCGAGTTGACGTCAGAGGTACTCGCTTGGTAATCTGAAAGTTGTTGACACCGTTGGAGAAAGTTTATGAAGGTGTCGCACTGATTTTGAAGCTCTTCGTGCGGGAGTAATGGCCGAGGCCAGGTAAGACTTAGCTCGACGGTAACCGGGAATGAAGTCATTCCGGGCTGCGGCATTGTAGCTGATCGCAGCTCGGAGCGACGTCTTTCGCTTGGCTGTTTCATCGGTGGATTGGCTTCGAAGAAGAAGCTCGGACCGTCGGTCTCATAACCTGATAGAATGTAATCTTGCCAGTTGATCAACATTCCCAATCGGGTGTTATGGAATGCAGCAGGCCCGCCCCGAGCCCTGACCATCTCTCTTGCAGCTCGCATGTGAAGCCAACTGATTGGCTTCCGCCCTGGACGAGGATCAAAATCTTCTAGTCCCGCAGCGCTGAGACAAGCTGTGATTACTTCATCGGAGAAATCGTGCGGGTATCTCTCACGACGTTGACGAAGCATGGAAATGGCACGATCGCGATGCATTAGACCCCGTTCATCCACCTCCTGGTTGCGAACCCAGGTCCAGGTGTTGGCTGCGTGAACAAGGACGGTGTTTTGGAATGCTACCGGCCCTTTCATTCCTTCAGCAACGAAGACCGCTGTATACCAATTGTGCGCTTTTGTGGACCGAAAGTGGTTCCCGTAGGAGCAGGCGGGCATTTCGTTGACATAGAAATCGAATAGGTGCTGCCCGTCGATGTCCAATTCCAGCGGTAAAGTGTTGAAGGGGTCAGTGCGTGCAGCGCTGAGTATTGTTTTTGGAGACAGTACTATCTCGTATGGAGATATTGAGGCAGAGGACCGTGGTGTCAAGCTCTCCAGATCTGAGCTACCACTTTGCGACGTAGAGTACCACATATGGGAACCTGACGAGTAGCTGCTGTGGCAGGTCATTTGGCTATTCCGTATCGGTAAACAGACAAATGTTTCGAAGTGTGGGTAAGCGGCGACATCAGTACTGAAGCTCTCTACGACTTCGATCATGGTAGGATCGTGGGCTGAGTAGTTTGAGACCGGTTTAGTCTCATTGTAATATACGGCTTCAGCCACAGTATCCCCACCATCTTCGTTGACCTCAATCTTTGTGCTTCGGTCGGCATGGTCATGGTGATGATTCCTATCCTTGGGTTCGCGACGTGACTTCGTTGGTTTGCGGCCGCCTTCTGCTATAGCATCATCAATGTCAATGTCAGACTGACCAGCAGCCTGGCGCTTTTGTCGCATATATTCTTGCATGACATGTCGTTTGACTCGAGTGAGGTTATTTCGGCTGTTACCCGAAGCGTTGATGAACTGCCACCGCACTTGGGAACAGCCTGTTGTGGGCGCGCTGGTGCTTGGTTTACCCGATACAGACATGATATCAAACCGCGACTTCCGGACAGATATTGGATACGTGTTGGGGGGTGGTAGGGACACCACAATGAGGTTTTCGTGAATAATGACTCGTTTCGGAGTCCGTGCCGTCGTGGCCTCCGTAGTGCCTCCTTGTTGAGCGACGAGGGAAGTCTGGACTAGCGCGACGGTTTGATCATGTCATATAAACCGTGGCAGTACGCTAGCCCAAGATGTCCACGATTCGAGCGCGAAAGATGGCCGCAATGAGGTTCTGGAAGCTTGTCGGCTGGGCCACTGCGACACCGTAAAAGAGGGTATCCACGGTATCTGGGAATCCACTTCAATCTCAACCGTTCATACCAGTACGAGGAGTCCATGCAATTAAGATCAGCGGTGTGGCAACCTAAGACAACCTAGGATACGGGCGGATAATGCATCCAGACCAGTAACTTCCGGTAGAGAAAGGCTTTGTAGTCACAGCAGCACGGGTTCAGGGTGCAAGGGACTGGGTTTCGGGGGATCGAGTCGCAACTGGGGCCAAATCGTTACCGAAAGCTAAAATCCAAAAATAAATTTGCAGGATCGCCTCCGTCAAGGAACGGAAGTGCGGCAGGGGAAGAGAGGAACTCGCGGTGGCACCACCTGAATGTATGAAGTGTGGGCTGAGGACTGAGAGAAGGAGGAACGAGACTAGGCCGTAGAATTCCTTGAGGGAGAGGCAGATGGAGAGGTGCACCGCATTATCTGATGAAATCGAGATCAACCTTGTGCTGACTGCAGATCCACTGGTCGATCTTGAACCATCTAATCTGCTCAGTGGGAAAATCCTTGGGATCGGTTCAACAGATTCGGAATAATCCCCACTGGTCCGTTCGGCTTATGTTCAGGCAGACACGAGTGAACGGCCGACCCCAGGACGTTGTTTCGGGCCAGGAAGACAGTCTAGAAGATGAGGGGTTCTTTTACATGATGAGCCATACGATCACAATGCGAACCGTAAGCATCAGCCCTCTAGATTAGATAGTGGAGGGGGATGAATGCATTTATATCAAAATTAATCCCGTATTACAACCTCGAGTGCGGAGGAGCGCAAGGGCTGCACGGCCATTGCTAGCGCAGGTAGCGTTTTTGCGGCTGAGAAGACACGAGTGTTTCATCGAAAGATGCTCAGACGTTGAGGGATGTACGGGATGGAGAGGTTGAAGAAGTTCTGCAACTGCAGGACTGCAGCCGCAACACATGCGAGGCTCGAGTTAAACTTGAGTGCCGCCTTAAGGTTAAGGTTGGAGGGGGTATCTTGCCTGAGGCCACAGTCCAACGGCTTTAATATTCACCGCCTTGGGACTAAGTCCGAGGCAATGACCCGTTAGTCAAATCTGATCCCATAATTTGTTCCGCGTCGCCGACCGCGCAGCCCGCAGAGCTCTGGACCTCCCACCGTGTGCCACTCTCCAGAACCTTCATGATTTCTTCAAAAGACATTTAATACCTTGCGGAATACTTTTTTAGGTTTTACTGCGCTCTCTATGTGTCTTTGGAGTCTCCATATCGCGTCGTGTCTCTTATCACCTTTTCGCATCTTTCCCCGAACGCCGCCGCCATTCCCGTCCTCCAACCTGACAAGGAAGTGACAGGCCACGCAGCACACTTTCCTCTCCTGAGATTTCACGTCGCATCCTCTCTCAAAACTTATCATAGCCTGTCGGAAGTTAGGGACAACAATATGGTCAAGCGGTTCACAAGAACGGTCTCCACTTTCTAATTCATCCGGTTCTCAGGAACTCTTTTCCCCCTCCCTGGGTAAATCCCTAGCCTGTTTCCAAGACACCACGTCTGAAACTTCCCCGAGCTCTGCCGAGGAAAACCTGTACGGCTTACCGGTGGTAAGGTGTTTTGGGATTAGCCCAAGCCCCTAGCAGGTGCCTTGGAATGGCTGAAGACCAGCAACCGCCTGCTGTGTCGAGCCAGGCGAATGGTTCCGTGGGCGACAATCAATCAACAAACCCGTACGAAACCAATCCTGAGCTCGTTCCTCCTGACGACTTCTTCCTCGCGCGAAGCGTGCATTACGGTCGCTATGCATCTTCGGATACTGATTTCAAGCCTCGCCATGAATACTGGTGCCAATCGGACCCGGAAGTCAAGACCTACTGGGAGGGCGTCGTCAAGGAGTTTTGCACGCCACAAAATTCATTGAATGTCCCAGGCACGCGAGAGGTTTTCGCTGCTGGCAGCGTCATCATCAGAGTCGACCGCGAACCTGAAGCCGCCGCCGCCGCAGAGATGTACTCGTGCCTCAATGCGAATGAGCTCAGCGCAGCAAGAAAAGCCGAGGATACTCTTCGAGAAGTGAACGTTGCTGTTCCGGTGATATACTTTTGTGGCACCATTGAAAACAAGAATGTTACCGTGGAGTCGAGACTTCCTGGTGTCTCCTTGGAGGTGGCCTGGAAGTATCTGACTGCTGACCAAATTGAAAGCTTCAAGCAACAGTGCCGCCGCATATCCCAGCGCCTAGGAGATATCGACGCGCCTCCTGAACGACCCTCATATGTTTGCAGCGGCCTCAATTCACAGCTTCCGCCCGACGTTCAGCAGACCGAGAAGGATATTCTTTTCCGCGATAAGAGGAAAGGCGAAAGACTTGTCCTAGTTCACAACGGATTGATTCCGGCGAATGTAATTGTGAACGATAATCAGGTCGTTGGGATAACTGGATGGCGACAAAGCGGGTATTTTGGATTTGAGCGGGCGGACGAGATACATCGAGGTTTCCGGGTACCCGAGATCGCGTCTGCAGACGAAAGCGAGGGTGCAGCAAACGTGCCCGCAGCATGGTCCGATATCTACGAAGGTCTGCCCAGCATTGCTGGGGAGTCTGCCGTTGCGACGAAGCACAATACACCTATACCACAAGTGAAGACCGAACCATCGAATTTGGAGTTGAATGGAGTTCCTTTTGATCACGAGCCAGAACACAAATCAGGGCTCCCCCAGCTCGATGGTCCCGGACTACCTGAAGAACATCCTACGCCAAAGAAAATTGCTAGCCTTAAGAACCGAGGAGCCTCGCGGGCGTCGTCTTCCGATCGATCTTCTCCGGCAGTGTCCACAAAGCGTAGTGCAGCGACTAAGAAGGCAGGCATCGGGTCGACTAAGAAGGGAACAGCCAGAAAACCCGCGGCCAAGAAGAGGAAATTAATTGATCTGGACAATGAGAGTGTCACCAGCCGACGATCGAACACCCCTTCCTCACGAACGAGCAAAGCTCCTGGCAAGATCAAACGTGGTTCCGCTTCACTGGCGGGCTCACCGGCGCCCGAAGCCAGAAAGAGAAATGCCAAAAGCACTGTCGTGGACGATGTAGAGGAGATGGAGGAGGCCGAGGAGGACGAAGAAGATGACGACTCAGAAGACAACGACGAGGTATTTTGTATATGTCGAAAACCAGACAATCACACCTGGATGATTGCGTGCGACGGCGGTTGTGAAGATTGGTTTCATGGCAAATGTGTCAATATCGACCCACGAGACGCTGACCTGATCGACAAGTATATATGTGAGTTGCATCTGACTAATCGGCCTGTGTGCCGTTCATTTTGCGTCTATTGGCTTCTGAGAAATGGACACACCATGAAACTCAGACTAACGATGTCTAGGCCCGAACTGTAAGGAGCAGGGCAAAGGATGGACGACCTGGAAACCGATGTGTCGGTTGAAGGAGTGCAGAAAGCCTGCGCGTGTCAATCAAGACAAGCCCAGCAAATACTGCTCAGACGAGCATGGTCGAGAATTTATGCTGCAAAGGACCAAACTCCTACTTGTGAGCGCCGGACCTGGCGTTCGGAAGAATGGCATTCGGACGGCCTTGGGTGGGCAGGGATCGTCAGCAAATAGCCCGTTCCCGGACAGTGTGTCCTCTCAAGAAGGGAGTGGCGCTGACACAAGCAGCGGACCTGATTTTCTCGAGACCAAGTTTCCGGAAGATCTCGGAAGCAAAGGTGGTGTTCTTACCACTGGAGATCTCAAGGCAGTAGTCATGGGCGTCAGCTCAGCGGAAGAATTCCGCAAACTGGGCGAGAGCATCATCTCGATCCCTGCACCGGAGAAGAGTTCCTCCAAAGTGAACAAAGAAGAAAACAAGAAATTGGGCCTCGACTATGATGTCGATTGGCTCACTTATGCACCCGACGAGGCCTCTATGATCGCGAAGCTGCGCAAACAGCGCGATGACCTCCTTCATCGACGAGAAATGCTGAAGGCTCGGAGCACCTTTGTGACGTTGGTGCGGCAGCGGGCCAAAAGCATATTGGAGAAACTCAAGCACAAGGAGCCAAAGGGCGGATGGAAGGATATCTGCGGCTTTGACTACCGACTGGCTTGGTCAGACGAGGAGTTCGATGAGTGGCGGCTGTCAGACCCTGGAGCAAAAGCACTTCAGGATGGCACGCCCGAGTCAATGGCGTTGAGCTACCCGGAGTCCATCGATGCGGATGGCGACACAGCCATGGGCGATGCGGAAACCTCCGGTGATGATCTCGAAACTCTGTCACGCGGCGTCTGCATCAAGAAACGCTGCGAGAGGCATAAGCAGTGGGTCAAAGTGCAACAGCAAGATGGTCTTTTTGAAGAGAGTACCCTGGCTCAGGATCTCAGCAAATGCGAAAAGGAGGCCCAAAACGTGGTGGAAAGAGCCGTGCTGAGGCTATGGGCGGAGGAAGACAACGCTCAGATCAGCAACAACTGAGGAAGTGCTCCCCTCATGATTCGCTCGCCGTCCACTTCCCCTTAATTCATTTTCTTTCTATCTTCCTCACAAAACTTGACTCTCCATGAGACTTTTGTCTTCACCTTTTATTCCCCCTCAAAGCTGCCACATTCACGGCGCTTGATTGATACCCTTATCTTTCTTCTCGGAAAAATAAAAGCAGGAAAGCGAACCGGAGTTGGTTCTACATGGCTTGCTGTTTTTGTGACTGTGGAAATTCCACAATACCACTGGGACATATTACATGCATAGCAGAGGGTTCCGGGGTTCTAGGAGTGTACCGCTGCTATATCCGCTAATAGTTTTGACACCATTTCCATGAATGATGATAGACCATTTGCATCTATGTCTGTTTTTTTTTTTTTTTTTTTCCGCCAGGCCTAGTAGTATCCATTCTCCTTGTCGTAATCATAGGGTGTCTCGTAGGCTCTCTATGGATTTGGGTAGTTCACATCGGATCTCAACTCCTCCAAACACACCACTTCCCAAGCCCCTCCCTCAACCGATCCTTGACAACCTCCACTACCACCCCTACCTTAGCCACAGTCGACACCAGAAGATGCGTGTCTACCGCCTGATCCAGCGTCCTCATTAACAAGCTCGAAAACAGACTCGTCCCGTTCTCAGCGAAGGCAGAACGAACTCCACCCTCCTCTTTCTGTCCCTGCCCGTTGACCTCGCCATGGGGTCTCGGGGCTGCTGGACCACTCGCATAACTAGCCTTGGCGCTTGCCGTCCCCAGCCCACTCGTGTTCACCAGCAGCACCGAGACCAATGCGGGGTTCGTCCGGGTCAATTGCGTTAATGTACGCAGCGCAGTCGTCAGGACGGCTGCGCCTCGCACGGCGTTGGACGTTCGCACGACACCCTCAGCGAGGGTGTCGAGGCCGGCGACGAGAATGATTAGGGGTTGAGACTGTGCGAGGGATCCGTGGTGGGTGTCTGTTATAGATGCGGTGATCTCGTGGATGGCTTGTAGTGCGGCATTGAGGTCGAAGACGGGGAAGATTTGGACGCGGTCAAGGCAGGCGAGAGCCTCGTCACGGGTTAGTGATTCCTTTCGTGGGATAGGTGTGGGGTCGGCTGTAGCGGTGCTGCTGCTGCTGCTGCTGCTGCTGCTGTTGCTATTGTTGTTGAGGAGTGAAGTGAGGAGTCTTCTGGGAGAGAAGGCGTTGAATGTCGCTGGGTGGACGATGAAGACTGTGGTTGGATTGGGGTTGTTGAGTTGCTTGGCTTGGTGGACCAGGTGGTTGGTCAGAAGGGTTCGGGGTAACTGAAATGGTCAGTCTGTCTATGAGCTTGAGAATAGAGACTGTCTGAAAGAAGCCAGAAGAGATCATTGATTGCGAGGGCCGCTAGCTGACGCTTTAGACGGTCTTGGGAAGCGATGCAGTATTACCATGCGGAAGTGGCTGTACATGCATGATCAAGAGGGAAGCACAGCGCATCGGTATCTGGTTCATCTTACCTGGCCTATATACTCATCATCAGCATCATCGTTGCTCTTGGTCCGGAGGCGCGAGAACCCGATGACAGCGCCAGCGCGGAATATACAATTCGGGGATGCATGCAGGCCAGCATTGAGATCTGCCTCAAGGCTCCAGGACTCTGCCGTGTGTGTCGAATGACTCGAATCTATATCATCCTCAGGTCCCTGGCTGCTGTTTATTACTCTATCGGATGAAAGCAAGGTATGTGCTAGGATAGGGGAAACGGGATCAGCAGCGTATGTCTTATCGAAAGAATCCATGGCTGTCTCAAGTGAACGATATCGTCTACTCGCGTCTATTGCATCTTGGACAAAAAGTGGTACTGCTGAGTAGATAATTGGTCGCGAGAATGTCAGATGCTTTACAACGTATAGTCCACGCTACTCGAGGTCAATAGTAGCACCAAGAGATAAATGGAGGATATAGATTGTGACTTGGTCGATGCCGACAAGGAACCGATGATGGAGCCCAGATTTGTTGCCGCACGTGAGGAAGCCTGGAGTTTAAGGCACCAATACTAGGACGGAAGCATTTACCATTGTGCCGAGCGATTTCAAATGGCGATGGAGACAATGCAGCGACAAGATGCTACCAGAGGCATAGATGAGTCTAGAGAAGGATAGGACAAGGACCATAGCCGGCATGGCCAAGAAAGAAACAATAGAAGGGGTAAAATGCGTGATGAGTTTAGCTGCCAAGGATAAGGCGGAAGGTATTGATATAATGGCAGGACAAGTGACCTGTGAGAGCTGTATACTTGAAGTTCTATAATTGGCAGCTGAAACTCATGTCACAATTGGATAGGCTTTAGGGTTCCATGCGCCATTACCAGTGGACTGGTTTGTTCACTTCCCCATTCGACGCCATCTTGTTCCATTCCCCACGACCATTTGGCACCCACTCTGTGTCCTGGAAGGTGATACCCATTGCTTGATAGAGCTCGACACGAAGGGCATCATTCTGGTAATCAAGGGTGCGGAAATGGACAAGAGAAGCGCTACGCCCTAGCTCAACGATCGAATGAGCGATTATATCATATGCCGTGGCCAGCTCCATCCACGGGTCATTAGGATCGATGGGACCTCGGTTTGTTAAGTCAATGGCCGTGTCATCCGAGCATGGAGCTAGTTGTACAGTGAGTGACTTCAGATTTGGCATCAGATCGAGGGCATCCAGAACCAGCTTAACATGATTATAAAAGGGAAATATGGCGGTGTAGCTGAATGAAGTCAAATGCTGCAGCTCGCGTGAAATGGCGATTTTCTCCTCCTCCGCACCCATTCTGGCTATCGTGCCCCATCTACCGAGTACGGATGGAACCTCGAAGAGAAAGTACTCGTAGTGTGCATATGCTCTGAGGGAGGAGCCTTCATTGAACCTGAGAGAGGAATAATTCGTGATGTCCAGCGAGGTGGACAATGGGCTAGTCGTGGAGATTGAGGATCCATGGGGCGTAGTTCGCTCCCATTGCCACAATTGATGAGCAATTTGAAAAGCCCAGCTATGCTCCTCTGGGATCTTGGTGCTCAGCATGGCTCCTATGCGCGAAGGTGGCGCAAGAACGGCAATCCGTAGAGGGTTGAGGTTGGACAAAGACCGGAGCAACTGATTGGTGTCTAAATCACGAAGCGAACCGTTGCCGAGCATCACGACTAGCGAAGTTATATGACGTTCTAGCTCATGCGATGCCACGAAATTGAGAAAGTCATCTAATTCATCGTCATTCAATCGACAATGCCCGTAGAGCCTGGGTCGCACGATCTCGAGCAACCGCGAGGATACCTGAGCGACATTTTTCAGATTTGGTGTACTAGAAGACGTGACATTCAAGGCTGGTTGATGATGAAAGTTGATCTCGGAGGGAGTGACTACTAGAAGGTAGCTCACGATCTCATCCAGCAGCTCATTCGGCAGTGTTTCGAGACATGCCGGCTGTGAAGCCATCGTTCAATCATCCAGGAATTCGACGATTCTTGATACTGTTTCAAAACTCCAGGGTCAAGTGTCATCTATGAGAATTCTTGACTTTCGAGACTGAGTAGCTTCAGAAGTCTGAAATTAAGATATTGACGCTTTTGACAATGACTACGCAGTACTGTTCAGGAGAAGTAGTAGTTAGCATGTATGGTCAGGTCCGCCCGCATGCAGTGCAGCTTCTTTGTAGGGCAGGCGGTGACTGCTACAATGATCGGGAATTGGAGATGTTATCAAGTGCCGGGCTCCCCACACCTTCCAATTAGTTGGATGATTGCTTGCGATAAGAAGAGTTTTGGAGGATCATCAGAAGCTAATAAGTGAAAATATTATGGGGCGACTTGACATCTTCACAATCAAACCTTTGAAAAGGCACAAGGCCTATTCAAATACCATGGCCATTCCTTTTAAATTCAACAGAGCGTTGGAGATGCTGGCTGATAGGGTCAATGCGGGCATCTGACAGTCAACATTCTGGACGCTCGGCAAAATCGGCCTTACCTGAAACAGCCCAAGTGTGGAGAAGTCGAGGACACTAGCCTCTCCCTCCCCGCACCAGCAGAAGTGAATGCGAAGAAGACAATAACACACTGGCATCCGTCGCATTCCTGCCCGTTATCTGCATGGTCCCCGAGTGATAGTGTCGACTAGCATACTCGCAATCATTTTCGTCATGCTCACAGATAATGTGTAACAGGAACTGTTCCGAGCAATGTAATAATGAAGGCAATTGCCCGAAGATGCATGCTTCGTGCTGAGTCAGGTCTTACAGTTCAATGCTGTGCCCCACACCGGTCGATCAAAGCTTCCGCCACCTTTTTTTGGCGATTATGATTCATGGATCCCCTTCCTGAGATTTCTATATGGCCCGTACCAAATTGTATTGCTGTCTAAAACCAAGATCAATGGCATCGATAATTCTATGAGCTCCTGGTTTTCCTAGGAGATTAGACTCCGAGGGTCGGCCGGTCAAGTCACGTTGTCATGCCCGAGTTCATACCAGCGTAGCCGACAGAGGGGCCCTGAGAAAATCGAAACTCGGAATGCAGAATACTGGTGGAGAGATTGGGACAAGGCCGGTGGGGCAGAAGCTGAACAAATGGCTCCCCCCATGCTCCGGACTCGGATCTGGCAGTCTTGCCTTGAAAAGTGCTGCTGCCCCTCATATTCCTCTTCATCCCCTTTCCTGCCTTCTCTGACCGCTGCACTCCTCTATTTCCCCGTATAACTGTCCTCAGTAAGTCGCATTGCAGTCAGTGACTACGAAGGCCAGCTAACATATCTCAAGCTCTCAGCTTCTCAAAAAGTTCCTCCTTGCATCACAATGGCCCCTCAATTGCACCGCAACCCCCCTTTCCGTGCTGAGCACTTGGGTTCTCTCCTCCGGACAGATGATCTTCTGAAGACCAAGATTGCTTTCGAGAAGGGTGAAGCTTCCAAGGCCGAGCTGGATGCCATTGAGAACAAGGATATCAAGGAAGTCGCCGAGACGCAGAAGAAGCTGGGCTATGCTGCCATCTCTGACGGAGAGTACCGCCGGCACAGTAAGTCATCTCACCCTCTCTTGGAGCCTATATCATCTCCTGAAGCCTGACCGATGCTTGTCATTAGTGTTCTGGGGTACTTTCTTCCCTGGCTTGGACGGATTTGACGAAGTGACTGATTTCGACGCCGACATCTTCCGTCCTTACGCCCCTGATGTTGCTGCCTTCCTCGAGGCTGGCCACAAGCCTGGCGAGACCGTTCTATGTACCGGCAAGATCAAGCACGTTGGCAGCACGTATGTCGATGAGTTCAAGTACTTGGCCAGCGTCGTCCCCGCCGACGAAGTGAAGAACCTGAAGATCACCCTTGCCGCTCCCAACTGGTACCACTTGCGGTACAAGGAGGGCAAGGCCTACCCCAAGGATATCTACAGCTCTGATGAGGAGTACTTCGGCGACATCGCCAAGGCCGTCCAGGCTGAGCTGCAGATCCTCTATGATGCCGGCTGCAGAAACGTCCAGTTTGACGACCCCAACCTTGCTTGTAAGGCTCACCCAAACCGACGATAGCGTGGACTAGCTGATCATTGTGATGCAACCAGACTTCTGCTCCGAGAAGATGCTCGCGGGCTGGAAGGAGGATTCCTTGAACGTGCGCTCCGCCGATGAGACCTTTGAGCAGTACATCAAGCTGTACAACGACTGCGTCGCTAATCGCCCCGCCGACATGCACGTTGGCGTTCACCTCTGCCGCGGTAACTTCGTCGGCAGCCGTCACTTCTCCGAGGGTGGCTATGACCGCATCGCCACCAAGCTTTTCCAAGAGCTCAACGTCGACACCTACTACCTCGAGTACGACACCCCACGTGCCGGTGGCTTCGAGCCCCTGAAGGAGCTCCCCACCCACAAGAACGTCATCCTTGGTGTCGTGACCAGCAAGTTCGCCAAGCTCGAAGACAAGGAGGAGATGAAGAAACGCGTCTACGACGCGGCAAAGTTTATCGCTGAGGGCAACAACATTTCTCTGGAGCAGGCGCTCAATCAGGTCGGCGTCAGCCCCCAGTGCGGTTTCGCCAGCCACAGAGAGGGTAACGCCATTGACCGCGACGGCATGATCGCCAAGCTGAAGCTTGTCCGGGAAATCGCCGACGACATCTGGCCCGGTCAGCAGTAAGCTGAGAGAATTTTCTCAGATACCATCTCACCCACCCCTCCCATAAGAAGGAGTTCTAGCAAGGCTCCGACTCCTAGTCGATTTCAACAATGAGCGTGGAGTGATGAACGAACGTGACGACAACTTTGTGTGTGTTTAGGATACCACTTATTTAACATATGGTTTTTCTTTCAAAAAGAATGTACAGTGTATAATTTCTGAGGTTGATTTAGAGATAGAGTGTCTTAATATGCGAGGAGGCTCTGAGTACCTTGGTGGTAGCCTTACTATGGAGTCATCCGAGGTCATCTCAATGGTGACAAGCGTGAACAGGTCGCATTAAACAAACGGATATTATCGATATTCGGCCTCGTACAACCAGAAGTCCTGAATTCTTTCTCGGATGAATCTATAACCACCTGCTAACAGTTACTCGGTCTCGGAGTATGGGCTGATCTTTCCGGGCCATCCCCTGTTAGGGGTAAGACTCCCTTCGGGCGGAATAAGTCTAGATCACTGCCTGATACGAAAGCGAGTCACATGCTCCAGCTGCGAGTGGTCTATTTCCCCTCAACACCATCAACAATACAAAGTATAGCACGTCAAACGTACGTCAGATACTCCATTTAAACCACATGTCTCTCCTTTTCCTAATATCTAGCAGCTCTGAAAAAGACAGAAAGCGACCAAAAACAAAGACATCATTAAATAGGTGATATATGTGTGGCGGGCATGAATGTATGTGCTGGTCCAAGGTTTTTCCCTTCTATTCTGAAAATGTTTCTACACATCGACGAAGACACGGGGTAGATGAGGTGAAAACGTGAAGAAAGACTAATTTCAAGACAGAGAAGAAAGATACAAGTATTATTAGGGGGAGGTATTGAAATGGCCCGCATTGGAACAGTGAGGGATATCATGAAAAGAGAAGACTGAAACGGCGGAAGAGGCATGCGCAGGAGAAAAAGAAAAACGAAACACGGGGTTTAAATGCTGCGTCTTCTGTCATCAAAGCCGAAGTGAAACGAGAGGGTGCCAACTGATTCGGTGTAGGTGGAATAAAACATGTTGTACCCGACAGGCGGCGCTGAACTGCCCTTTAGATCCACGACTGCAGGGAATTGGCGGTCGGCGTGCGGATACTTTATTTCTGAGGTTGTGTTTTGACGTTGTTGGAGAGCCAAGCCTACGAGAATGTAAGGTTAACCCTGTCAGAGCGAGAATGTGGGGATTTGGACTTACAAGACCCTCGAAGATACCGGTACCCTCTGTTGCGACACTAGGCGCAACGTACCATAGCTTATCCTTGAGTTTGGTAAGTTGCAGTGCCTGGGTGACATCTTCAGGGCTCATGTCTGCAAATCCCCGTTATCAGCGATTGACTTCGCAAACAAGTATTGATAATACGTACGGCCTGGGACGTCCTGCTTGTTGGCAAAGACAAGCAGCAGCGCATCCTTCATTTCGCGATCATTGATGATTTTATGAAGCTCGGAGCGAGCCTCTTCCATGCGATTAGTGTCGCTTGAGTCGACCACGAAGATCAGACCTTGTGTACCTGTTCAAAGCGAGCAGCATCAGCATCGGACACCTTCGTCCACAGCTGTTCTGTGCAATAAGACGTACCGGAGTAGTAGTGTCTCCATAGAGGACGAATCTTGTCCTGGCCACCAACATCCCAAACGTTGAATTTGACATTCTTATATGTGACGCTCTCAACGTTGAAGCCAACGGTGGGGATTGTGGTGACATCCTGGTTTGTGAGTTTCAATTTGTAAAGAATCGCTGTTCACACCTTGGTCAGTACTTGAATTCAGCTGACAATCAGTGGCCAGTGGGCCCCCTCACTAGTCTTTCCAGCAGCATCCAAACCCAGCATCAGGATTCGCATCTCCTTGGTGCCGAAAATCTTCCCCATTATCTTAGACACGGAACCGCCCATTGTGACACGCGATAAGCGACCTCTGAAGGCCGCAGGCTGCTGAGGAGATAAAAAGGGTGAATAATATGTTGCGGGATGTTTGCAATGAGGGATGGCCCAGTAAAATGCGATCAAAATGGAAATTCGACGTTGCAGTTGCTGGAAAAGAGAATGCGTTATTTAGGGGAGGGTGTTGCGGAGGGAGGACGAGAAAGAGGACAGCAAGCTGAGCACGGTCGGAAGGTCAATTCAAGTTCCTTCCGCATGGACAAGGTAGAGGTGGCTCATTATTGCAATGCGCCGGGGTACGCAAGGTAAACAAGACATACAGAACTTACCTGGAGGGAGGAAATTGAGGGGAGGGGAGGGGAGGAAAACAGCTAGTAGGGAGTGTATGAAAGAATGAATTGGACGAACGACCAAAGGAACGGCACACTGAGAAGACCAGCAGGGGTGAAAAGTCAATTCGACCGTGTGACTGATCGAAAAGAGAGAGAGAGAAAGAGGAAGGGAGAGAAAGAGAGTGGGAGAAGCCAGAGCAGCCAGAGCAGCAGCAGCAGCAGCAGCAGCAATAATGAGAAATTCAGGGTTCACGATCCACCTCAACGAGGAACAACGAGCGCTGGCAAAAGCTCGAGCGCCTCCGTAAAAGGGGCTATCCAATGACTAAGCGTCAACCCCCCCGCGCCAAGCACTTCGGCTGTTTCAGACTCTTATACAATTTCATTTATCGTTGGTTCTGCAACTGTTCATTTCTAGTCGTGTTTGTGTTGGACTAACTTATTCAGCTTGCAGGTGGGGGGGCGAGGGGTGAATTGGAGAAGAAAGATGAGAGAGAAGAACGACAGTTGTACAGACAACAACAACCGAGGGAGTACACGGTAAGTCCCAGTCAATTCTCCAAGCCAAACACATCCTGACTATCGTGGAAATCCGCTCCACCCAGTTTTCCATCGGGTGGAGTGTAGGACAAAACACCTATCGGATCTCTCCGCGTTTGAAATTGAGGCGATACTCACGAGGCATAGACTAAGTTGATTGTGTTCACAATATTCCGAAATTCCTGAGGGAACATTTTCATATGTCAAACGCCAGGCACGGGTTCAACCCACTCGGCAGGCGGCGGTACCTTTGTGTATACAATACGTCATGGCCAAACTGGTGAGGTCATCCCACACCCAAAGCTCCTTCGCACATGGTCAGTCTTACGATCGTTGGTTCGTACCGCAAAGCTGTTGGCTTTTTCCTCTCTGCTTTTTCTTCATTCATAAAGCCGTGCAAGACCCTTGGTCGTTGCATGCAAGTGATATTTCTACCATTTCCTTAGTGTCCTTTTCCACCCCATGAACGCTACCATTATGGCAACCCGCCCCTTCCGCCGTCGCTCATCAGTCCACGAACAACAGGTGTCTCACCATTTTAAAAGATATTCATGGGAAGCACCTCCGTCAAAGGTACGACTATGCGACGGGAAACATAGGGTTCTGCTCGTCTCACTGACGATGTTTTCTAGACTATCTACGCTGGTCTCTCAGTTTTGTTCGATGATGATGGCGCAACAGTAGCTATTGCGATTCGTGATGCGACCTATCTCCTTGACTTTGTTCAGGACGACCTCACCGCAGACGGGGAGCAATCCCTTTGCACGCAGATCGTTGATTATGTCCTGCATAATTTGCGTCAATACAGCGAAGAGCGCCTCGAGAAGTTCATCGGATTGGCCATGCCGACCACCGTGGCGAAGAAATGCTCGACTCTCTGTTCCAAACTCTGGGGGGAACTTGATATCATCCCATTGGTCTTGCCCGAAGAAAGTAGCGTCGGCAGTGACAACGTCTCTAACCATCCTATTCGCAAGTCCACAGGCTGGGAGATCAAGAGTGTCGATGAACAAGCGGAGTCCATGGGACGGAAATGTGTTAGGTACGCTTTGCATTCATTGTCGGCCTGGCCTATCTGCATGCTGACATCCTTCAAGGCTCTTCGGACCGGAAAACATCCCCTTGTTGCAAGTCGGGTTCCTAGGCTTGGTTGAGGTTGACACTGCTTTTCACGTGCGGTTGACGAACCTAGAGGATTTTCAAAAGACTGTCACTCCAAAGACCTGGGATGCGGTTCAATATTATGCTTCCGATCTCAAGAAGAGAAAGACCAGGGTCGCGTTCTTCAGCGCCACACCCCAAGGTGGTGGTGTTGCTCTTATGAGACATGCTCTTGCTAGATTTTCCTATTCCTTGGGAACCGATATTAGATGGTAAGGTCCTTGAAATGACTCCGCGTGTCTGAGGTGTCTGAAGGGTGACTGACTATGAGAACCACCAGGTACGTGCCCAAGCCCAGACCCGGGGTTTTCCGCATCACAAAGACCAATCATAATATCCTGCAAGGAGTCGCAGCTCCAGATGAGCGCTTGAGCCAGGAGGACTGGGACAAGGTCATTGATTGGATTGATGAAAATGCAAAGCGCTACTGGCTCAGTCCGGGTGGCCCTCTGCGTCATCCTTCCGAGGGAGGTGCCGATGTGATTATCATCGATGACCCACAGATGCCTGCCTTGATTCCCATTGCCAAGAAGATGGCACCCGACAGGCCGATTATCTTCCGAAGCCATATCCAGATTCGGAGTGATCTTATTGCCCAGAAAGGCTCGCCACAAGCGGAAACCTGGGGCTGGATGTGGAAGCAGATCCAGCAGGCGGACCTCTTCATTAGCCATCCTGTGAGCGTCTTCGTTCCGGAGGATGTTCCTGCTGAGAAAGTGGGATACATGCCTGCTTCGACCGACTGGTAGGTTGCAATACTACGTGCGATAGGCCCGTCGCTAATCGATACTCCAGGCTGGATGGGTTGAACAAGAACATGCAAGACTGGGATATTGCCTTCTATGGCCGGATTTTCAACTCGATGTGCAGGAATTCGGGCATGCTCACGATCAACTTCCCTGAGGGCAAGTCAACACATCTTGATTTCACACGAGCTTGACTGACAAATGCCTATAGATGAGTACATTGTCCAGATTGCCCGATTCGATCCTTCCAAGGGTATCATTGACGTGGTGGAATCATACAAGAAGTTCTATCAACGCTTCACAGCCTCTATACCCGACAGCCAGCCACCGAAGCTATTGATCTGCGGACATGGCTCCGTTGATGACCCGGACGGATCGCTGATCTACGACTCTACTTTGTCGCACATTGAGAACAACTGCTCCGAGATTTCCGATCATATCTGCGTCGTGCGTCTCGGCCCTTCGGACCAGGTGCTCAACGCGCTATTATCGAAAGCCAAGGTCGCTTTGCAGCTGTCGACGCGGGAAGGATTCGAGGTCAAGGTGTCTGAAGCCATCCACAAGGGTAAGCCAGTGATCGCCACCAAGGCTGGAGGGATCCCGCTGCAAGTGGCCGACAAGAAGAACGGATTCCTGGTTGAAGTGGGCGACACTGATGCCGTGGCGGAGCACTTGTATCAACTGTGCACGGATGATGAACTGTACGAGCGCATGCACAAGTACGCCTTGGAGCACGTATGCGACGAGGTGAGTACGGTCGGCAACGCGTTGAACTGGCTCTATCTCGCTTCGAAGCTCTCCAAAGGGGAGGAAGTCAAGCCAAACAAGCGGTGGATTAATGATATGGCTCGCACCGAGGCGGGACAGGAGTACACGGGCCAAGAAGACCGACTGAACCGGTTTGACCTGTAGTCGAGCAGTGCCATGCATGACGAATGTTTTTCATTTCTTTTTTGTTTGTTTTTTTTTTTTTTTTTTTTTTTTTTTTTTTTGCTGTCTGGGGGATTGTTAGAACCATTCCACTCCATGCGCCTGGTTATTTCAGACCACTCCTCTAAACCACTTATACATTGCTGCTAGTTTTGTCTTTATTTTCAGACTAATGTGAAAGACATGAAATACAATAAACATACATAATGGGGTATAAATGAATCGCTAGAAGTCTAAGAAAGAAAAGACAATATTGTCATAATCCCCGCGCCCAAAGTCCACCAACCCACGTACTATCCCTCAACACCCTCCTCACCACCCACTTCCCAGATTCAAAAGAAAGATATATTCATCGCCCGACGACCCGATACCTCTCCCTCGCCATTCCCCCCTCCGCGCCCTCAACCCCATACCCCTCCCCAACCTCCCCAACAATCCGCGCCGGCGCCCCGCCCACCACGCACCAACTCGGCACCACCATCCCCGGCGCCACAACCGCCCCGTCCAGCACACACGCAAAATCCTTGATAATTGCCATGCTTCCCACGACCGCATCGCGCCCGATCTGCACGTGATTCCCCACGCTGGCCGCCTCCACGACCGCGCGCTCCCCGACAAACACATGGTCGCCGATCTTGAGAGGATAGAAACTGTACACCCCCCTGTGCAGCCGCGAGGGGGGCCGCAGGATCGCTTGCCGGGAGATGTAGCTGTACCGGCCGATGGTTATCGCGACGGAGGGGTTGGGGGATGCGCTGGTGGTCGAGGTTGTGCTGGTGGAGGTGGAGGTGGAAGCGGTGGGTTTGTGTTGTTGTTGTTGTTGTTGTTGGGAGGAGGAGATGCGGTAGAGGTCGCCGCGGATGACGGCGTCGGATTGGATGACGGTTTTTCCGCCGAGGATGATGTGTTGTGTGCCGTGGATGAGGCTGCGGCGGGAGATTTTGTTGCCTGTATCCTTTTTTCATGTGTTAGCTATGGTTGTGTGGGGATGTGTATCTCTCTCTCTCTCTCTCTCTCTCTCTCTCTTTGTTTGAGTTTGTTTCTGCTTGAGAAGAGGGAAGATTGGGCTTGAGATTGAGTGTAGGTCCAGAATTGAAGCTGGTGGAATTATGGGTATGATGGTTCTTAGGATGGAGCGGGTTGGGACTAACGTACTGTCTCGATGTATTCGCCTTTAGACGCTTTGGGAGGCATATTTGCTTGGACTTTTATTCGAGGGCGTTGAGTGTATCGCTAGGGATAGGCTAGAATGGTGTTTGTATAGCGGGTGGTGCTGTGCTCACATTAGAAGCGAAAGTAGGAGTGTGGATGCGACTGCGATGCGGTGCGGCAGTTGCGCGCAGGCGGTGGCCGATGCTCTAGACGCGCCAGAAGCGGTGAACACCACTGCTTCCCTTGTGCTACGGAAGACTTCTTACAGATTGGAGGGGTTCCTGAGGATGATGGAATTCTGTTTCTTCCCCTGTTACTTGGTCTTACGATGGCATTCACAAACAGACTTCCCCACAGTGCTAGTAACTATGCCGCTTATCATGGCTTATCGATGGGGACTGTTTTCTGAGGAGCATGCAGCACGTTGAATTCACCCAATAACAATAAATTGATGTAATTGAACTGAGTGTGGATTGACATTGACTTATTAGTACTACTTTTAAAACAAACAATTTGCGAAGAAACCAAAGGATATCTCAAGCACGAAATGTCCAAACCTGAATCAAAGGTATCAACCCGTTTCACTAAACCGAGGTGACCTGCCGCTTAGGAGCAGGGACCTCGCCGTCAAAGTGGACTTTGTAGGCTGTTGGAAGCGAAAGCATTAGTCACCACGCATTCAAAGCCTGAAATGGAAGCACTTACTGGTCGGGAATGGCGAGTAGGCGCCATGGTCCTCCCGAAGGTACATCGAGTAGCCGCCCTTCTGTGGGATCTTCTTCAACACTCCCTGGCCACCAGGCGCAGGCCGGAGGTTGTCCAACCGGGCAACCATGCGCACCATGGCGGTCACCGCAATCAGATTGGCTTCCTTGCCCAATCCGCTTTGGGGACCTGTGCCGAAGTCAAGGTAGGAGTCGATGGGGCGGTCGAGGCGGACCTCGTCAGGAGAGGGGAAGGCAATCGGGTCTCGGTTGGCACCCCGCTGTATGTTGTCAGTGTCTACCCATAGACCCTTGCATTGAATTGACTTACAGAGCCCACAAATACCTTGTCGCCCTGCTTGAGGCTGATCGGACCATTGTCATCGGTTAGGGTGATGTTGGTCTGGGCCTCGCGGTAGGTGCCCAAATTGCCGTTCAAGCGCATCGCCTCCAGGCAGTAACGTGTCAGCTCGTTGTTAGCATCCAGAGAGTCCTGCTTGGCTAGCTGGTTGATCGCAGCAAGGTGGCCCTTGCCCTCCGTCAGATAGAAGTGGATAATTTGAGTGAACTAGACAAATTAGTATGCGTGCCATGATCAACTGGCTAGAAGCAACTCACCATCTGAGCTTGGGAGTGCACGATCTCTACAGCTGCCGGTAAGATCTGTCCACAAGTGACCTCAGAAACTCCGTGGCCACTCTCGAGAAGCCGCTTGATGAGTTGGTCGCCATACTCCTTCAGTGCATTGTGATCATCACGGAAGCTGTCAATGATACCCGAAAGGAAACCGGGGGAGTTGATCGACTTGACATGTCCTTCGACGAGTCGGCCCAGCTCCTGGGAGACAGCCTGGGCAGCCCGGTGAAGAGGGAATGATTTCATCAGATCCACATCGAAGAAGATGGAGCTATAGAGCACCGCCATAATCATGAAAAGCTCGTGTTCAGAGTAGACGCCACGGGGGTGACTGTTCGTCTTCAGAGGCAGAGAGAACAGCTTCGACACGAAATGCACAGGAGCGAGGTTTCCAACACTGTAAATCAATTAGGCAATGATCTTTCACGGATGCCAGAGCACTTACTCTCGAGCAATGTCCACCTGCCTCCTGCCGGCGAGGTTGCATGATTTCTCTCCAATCAACTTCAGTGTGGCATCTTCATAGAAGTATTTGATATTTGTGCGCCACTGATCATTGTTGAGAGACTTGCTCCAGAAGTTGGTGCCTCCCTTGCCGGCGTGAATGGAGGTCAAACCACCCCAGATCAGCCGGAAGTCCTTTCCGGAGTCCAAGGCCAACTTGACATTGTCATAGGTCAGCAGAGCAGGTGTGGGCTCGGTGTAACGGGGTGGGTCGTAAGAGTAATCAGCCTCACGACCCAAATTCTTCATGATGTTCCGATTCTCGGACGGAATCGTCATGGGGTAATGTGCGTAGATAGAATCACCCTTGAACCAATTGGGGAAGACTCGCGTCGCAAGCTTGTAGAAGACACATCCCTGATTGATGTTGAGGTCGTAGCGGACCTCGTTGTAACCCCAGTTGGTGAGGTTACGAGGGTTGTAGTCAATCTGCGTAGGCCGTGAGTAACGTGATAACCAACAAGAACCAGCATAGATGGGACTTACAGTGTAATATCTATCACCACGGACCAGAGCCACGGCATCAGACAACACCGCACGAGAAATAGTGTAAGTAGGAGCGATGCCGACTCCAGGGATCATCGGCTCCTTGGCCTCTTCGGAAACGATACCGGGGTAGAGCTCGACGTAGTCAGGGTGCTCGTACAGGTGACGCAGAGCATCAGCAACCTCAGGGTCGGAGTTGATCTCCTCGAATGTCTCATAAGGCTTCAAGTTGAAGAATTTGCGGAACTCATTCAGGGATCCGACGTTCCACTTACGACCCTGCTCGATACCCAAGATCTCGACGGACTTCAGGACCTTGGGAACATTCCGGGCACCGAAGGAGCCTGCAGTGGCTTAGTTATACTCTTTTTGCATTCTCTCTTACGGGCGAAACTTACTCGCAACGTCCTCGATGGCTGTTTTGAGGATATGAACAAGCTCTTCGTCCTTGAAAGTTCCATCCTCCTGACGCTTCAATCCGGCAAAGGTACGCTGGCTGGGGTCTTTCGGGATAGTCTGTTCGTACTTGTGAAGGCCTTGGAGAAGCTCAGGAAGGGTGACCTCTGCAGCGGGCTTGCCCATAAGCTCTTCGTAGACCTGTTCCGTCCACTTCTCATCACCGGCGCTGATCGCAGAGTGCCAGCGATAGGCCAAGTTGAACTCAATGGAGCACTGGTTTCCTAAACCAGAAGGAGTGGTTTTGCTGCCCTCCATCTGGGCTCTGGGATCCTGGGAGGTGTTAGCGACTGGATATGGGACAGTAATATGGTGAACCCATGCGACTCACCAGGCACCACGTGCTGTTACTGCGGTTCAAGTTGACTATCGTACGGAGGTAATCGTACAGGGTTATGTTGATGAACAGACCGCAAGTGACGCTAGAGAGATCAGCTTGAGGATGTCGCGCGAGCTTTTACATTTTCACGTACAGTCGACCAGTCTGGAAAAGATCCTCATCGTACTTGGCCCACGCCTTTTGGGCCTGTTCTGCTGGGAGGCTGTCACGGGGCTTCGTGAAGCGACCATTCTCATTAATAGCTGCCAACTCTTCAACAACGTAGTTGTGGAATCTAACACATAGCACCCATTAGCATTGGCCTTGGAGAGCCGGAGATAAATTTACTCACCTGCTCAGCATGACCATCAGGACGCTGCAGGCTGCGGGGAATGCTTGCAGACGTTGCTCCGAGAAGGTATCCGGCTTCAACTTTCCATCTTTGAAGGTACGGACCAGGTTCTGGTCATCCTGAGTGTCGCCGTAGAGAATCGAGAGATCGAGGTAGGCGGAGGTTTTGTTGAGGTGGGGCTGCCTATAGTCCGTTTGGAAGATATCTGACCGGGGAATCAGCAAGATGATGCAGTGAAGAGGTATCGAGCGACCGCGCCCAGACGGTGGACGAACCGTGGATAATCAACGAGGCCCAATCGAAGAAAAGACTCGATACTTTGTTCGGATGGGGAGTGAACTTCTCGCGCGCAAACAAACAGTCAAACACGAGACCAGCATCGGGAAGTCCACCGGGTTGGATTGTCAGGGGAGCAATGGAGCGGGCATAAGGGGTGTTGGCAGCGCCCAACCACGGAAGGGTCGGGTTGTTGTTGGAGCCGTCGGCGGAGCGGTACGCATACTCACTCCCCATGTATCTACACCACAGCAGATCGATTAGACAGGCTGCTTGCTTGGATTGAACTCGCTGGGCCAGCAATCGACTTACGAGAGAGGAGGGTGAGGCAAGGAACCCCAGAGCTCGTCCAAAAAGGCATTTGTGAGATCAACCCGATTCTTGGAGTCGCCAGGAAGAGCGCTGACCAGCTGGAGCAGGAAAGCAAAGCGCATAGCATGTCAGCGATCGACCTCATCAGTTGAATTTCCATGCTGCTTACCTGGATAATGCGCTCCATAAGCATGGTCTTATCGTCGACGTATTCGCCCTTGGCCTTGTTCTTGATGAGGTCCTTCAACGTTCCGGCATCCTTAATCCCAAGAGACCTCAAATCCGAGAGCAGGCCGCCTGAGTGCTCGTGTTCGACGTAGGTTCCATCGCCGTTCTGGTTCGGCAGAGGGCGCCGCGATGCGTGCAAAACCTGGGCATATCGTTCGAAGGCAGACAAGCCGTCGTCGTGCTTCACTTGCTTCTCGTAACGGGGCTCACTGTGACTTTCATCCGACGAGGATTGCGGCGAAGGTGATACCTTGGATTGACGCTTCGTTCCGCTGGACTGAGTCCCGTTTGGCTTCGATTCGCGCTCCCCCTTCCCCTTCTTAAAGGTGCTGGAGAATCGGCGCAACATTATGATTAAATGATATATGAATAGATTACAACAGAGTGTGGAAACAGAGTAATGACTGGTGAAGACAAATGGCGAGCGGCGACCAAGGGATGCAAGAAGGAGAGGAAACGTTTACTGACACACAGCAAGTGCCCAGGCTTTTGAGCTGTCCGATTTACAAATGGACTTTAAACCCAGGCGCTGCATGGGAGTCGCCTGCCATCCACCGTGCCAGCCAATTTGTGGACCCAGTGCACCGAATCCCAGTACAACAATACTAATGACCCAATTGCGAAGGGCGTCGCTCCGCTGGCTTGCCACCTGCAGATGACGATGTGCCGTATCCCCTAAATGTCATCAATAATGCGATCTCTCTCCCGGGCCCCGCGCGTAGCACAAATTGGTCGACTGTCTTTGGCTCAAGTTACCTATACGTAGTAGATGCACAGCAGAGTGGAGACCCTCAGATTGGCCATGTAAAAGGGGTATAATGTGGAGTCAAACGTGGTTCAGCTGTCCTACGCTACCTGAATGGTACCTCAGTGTGATGCAGCTAGCGTGTAGCAGTAATACGAGGTGATTTGTGTTGTGGTTGGTGCTTGACAAAGCTCGAGCTTGGCTTGATCTATACGGAGTCCATACAGGCAAGTACCGGTACATCATTGCCTAGGCGTACAAAGTCACCTGTGATACAGCTGAAGGGAGGGGGAGTAGCTTTAACCAGGGAGTGAGACAGAAGAGCCAGCGGGGGATTTTTAAAGTGAATTTTCTGGTCGGGCAAGTCCGGCAGCGAAGGGGGAGGTGAGTGCACCAATCAGCTAAGAAGCTGTGGTTGATCGCAGTCTGGAGTCCATGATCATCGTCTAAAAGGAATCTGCACTCTGCAGTATGGATTGTCGATGCCAAGATCCTTGCGACGAAACCATGGAGCTGGAACCTGGAAGGGGTTCAGAGCCCCCACTTTAGCTTCGAAATGCCAATCGTAAGACGGCATGACATTGGACTCCCGGTCCAAGCTCTGTGCTATACTTCTGAATCTCTATTGGCGACCCACCGACGATCGGAAAGGCATTGTGGAGGACAATCCTGTACCACGAACCGAAGCAATGGGGTTCGTGCTGTCGCACCTAGATGACTGACGACTGATGAGGAATAGTAGCTTGTGAGGGCTCAAGATCTGACTGACAAGCTAGCTGAAAGGCTCACGCCTCTAGGCCTGCTGCTGCCGAAGATCTCACACCGATTTATGCATTCTGACCCATTGTGGCTGCAAGACACCCACCCCCCTGCGGTGTAAGGTCAACTGGGGCCTGCGCAAACAAATTGAGCACCATACCTACTGGGTATATGAGTAGCAACTCTATTCCGTAAAATCTCGCGCAAGCGAATTTTTGCATCGGAGTACCCATAATATTATTATTATTTTTTTTTTTGGAGATCGAAGAATTCTGTCTCTTAGTGAGGACCCAGATTTGGTGGGTAGGGATCCACGAAGGACGGACCATAGGGTACCCACGCGTTCACACTCTGGGCCTATCTTCATTTCATCTCTGCAACAACAGGCACCAAAAAGACTTGTTACCATTCTGGGATGGGGGGAGCGTGAAAGATTCTTCCGACAATTTCCTTTCTGCATCATCCTTGCATTTGTGTGCTTGGCCATGCATTACACACATTGGAGAACATAACCGCAAGCTTTCCCCTCGAGACACATAGACTAGCTCGTGCATCATGGGATGATCTAGTCTGCTTTGTGTGTCGCTGAGATGACTCGTGACGGTGATCATCCTGGGAGTAGTATCGAGATGTGAGGATCGCTACTTGTTGGTAGATCATCAGTCCGTCATCAGAATGTCCAGTCGATCAGTCCAGATCTGTGTGACACGCACAGAATTCAGCCAGCCGCACAGATTCCACACACACCGAGGGATTTGACATAATCCGTTAAGGAGGGGAGACAGGCCGCCCGTCAGCCCTTCAGCACGCTTGGTCTCGCTGGAATGAAGCCCAGCCATCCCTTATTGAGACAGAGAATGTATCGAGTTTTTGGTAAAGATCGACGAAGCCGACTGCATCGACGCGGGAAAGTGTCTGTCTGCCTAAGCGCTACTCGGTGGATGTTCTGCAGAGGGAAAAGGGAATCGGGGGAGGTTGGGTTGCTGTGGGATTGTATTGTGGAGTGGAGCAGGAAGTTCGGGGCGAGTTGGGGCCAACCAGTCTTGCGATCGGGTGTTGCCGAGTGGTTCATGGCGGCCCCAGGCCGTCAAGCCCCGCAGCTGGAAAAGGCCACTAACGAAACTAGCATCGCACTAGTCCCTCGCCTAGTACTCCGTGGGCTGATCGATTCCCACCCGATTTCGAGGAAGGTGTTGAGTTGATGGTTTGAGCGTGAGAGAGTTTGCTTTTCATGTCCATGGCAGCGGAGGGACACCTTGGCAGTTGTTGCACTTGAAGCATGCTGCGGAGAAGCATCCCGTGCAGCGAGCAAATACTGTACATTGTACGGAATACTGGGTAGGATTACTCGCAAGGGGCATAATCGACTGTCCCCACCACGAGTGGCCACGAGAGGTACTACTGTTCTTTGGCCCTCGCGTAGACCTTCTATTGGATCTGGTATATGGACCTACTGTGATGCTTCTTATCACGACTCTCGTCTGGATGCTGTGGGTCTGAGCACAGATTGGACGGCTAATGTGCACCCGCACGTCAGACAGGCCCAGATCTTGAGCAATCTGCTCTGGAAAAAAGCTCTTGCGAGTCATTGAATCACCACCCAAGCGTTCGGAGACCAACCCATCGGGAATCGAAGGTGTAGCCAAGGAACAGGTGTGTGATACTCGAAAAAACCTTTCCCGGACTACCCAATGCCCATACTTGCACCTGAAAGCATTAAAAATCTTGTGATACAGGTGATCTCCACTCTCTTCCGAGACCGGTGGTGAATTGTGCTCGCCGCCGAGCGCAAACATGGGAAAGATCGTCCTCCCGTTGTAAGTCATTGTGTACAAATAAACATTCCCGGGGGTTCATTGGTCTTCAAATGTATGGTGGACACTCAGACAACAAGAAGATTATCTTCCGCCATGATGCCGGCAGAGCAAGAGATGGGCAGACCATTATGTCAATTCTCCGAGAGGCAAGAGACGGGTGGAAATTCCGCCTATGATATTTTTATACTCTTGTCAGTATAGACAATTTACTGACCCTCCTAGCAGCACGGGGTCTGGCAATCTGACATCGGAACGCACAGAGTTCCCATCCACATCGTGCTGGGCTTAGCGTCCATGCAGATAGAGTCGAACTGGATAAACATGGACTCCTTGTAAGCAAACCCGTAGTTCGTCACCTGCCTTGATTAGTGTAGACATGCCATATCGTACTGGCCGCTGCAGCCGCAGCTAGCAGGTCGGCCTGTTCTCCGTAAAGAAGCTAGTATACCGCCGTGGCAGGAAAGATAAACAAAAAGAGAATTGGTAAGGCGGATGGTTGGGGGAAAGGGGGGCAAATCAGTCGCTGCACATCGTCACAAAAGGGGTCGACTTAATGTAAAAGCAAATTTTGAGGAATGCGCTCCAGCTCTTGTCTCAGCCAACCACCATCCTGGGGTCCACTCCAGAAACTGGTTGAATTTGACGTATCTTTCGCAGGTTTCCGGGCCTGAGGCTGCAGGAACCCCATAAATCCAAGTTCCCAACGGTGGCACACCAGGGTCACACATGTACTCTCTCCCTGAGTCTTTGACTGCCGGTCTGTTCAAGCTCCTCGTGGGTATATACAGCAGCAAACTGCCCCGATTCAAGCCTTTCGACTTTTCGCTCATCCTGCCGGTGGACAGCATTCAGTCAATTGCACGCAAACTAAGTCCCCGAATTCAAAACCATGGATGGGGTTTCGATGGGGATCGGCCCGGCCCCTATGCCGAAACACTTTGTTCTGTGCTTTGATGGAACCGGCAACAAGTTCTGTGGGGATGAATCAGATAGTAATGTACTCAAGATCTTTCGTGTAAGTCAATCCTTAGATATCCTCCCCTGAGAGAGACCACTCCATATAAATTATTCGATCGACTCACGCCTGTCGTCTTCGGTAAATAGATGCTCGATCGCAGCAAAAGCCATCAGTTCCATTATTACCAGCCTGGAATTGGGACCTACGTTACTACTCACTCTCTCAGTAGCCATAGTCGTTACCAGAGAATCCGGTCGGCATACTTGAAGGCCAAAGATTCTGCCATCGGCTCCTCTTTCGATCAACACGTGATGGGAGGGTATAAATTCTTGATGCGATATTACTCTCCTGGCGATGATATCTACTTCATCGGATTCAGTAGAGGTGCATACATTGCGCGCTTCCTGGCGGAAATGCTTGACTATATAGGATTGCTCGAAGCGGGTAACGAGGAATTGATCCGCTTTGCGTGGAAGACTTTCGCCAAATGGCAGCAGCGACGAGATGATACGGACGAAGAACGTGAAGAGAAAAAAAAGCTCTTCAAGTATATGAAAGCGTTCCGCGAGACCTTCAGCCGGCCGATCAGTAGGATCAGGTTCATGGGTCTATTCGACACCGTCAACAGTGTTCCGCGTTTCGAGTCAGCATGGATGCAAAGAAGCAAGTTTCCCTACACCGCCCGTAGCTCAGCCAGGGTCATTCGACATGCGGTCGGCATCGACGAACGTCGAGCCAAATTCCGGCAAGATCTGATTTCAGAGGTCAAGCCCTGGGCTGAGAAAAAAAAACGAGAAGCCCATCTTTGGGGACGCCAGAAACTTCATCATCTTCGTCATCCCAACGAAACACATGACCACAATAACGTCCCTGCAATTACCGTGAACGACGACAACGGCGAGAAGCAAAGCGACCAGGGAGTGCAGCCACGCTCGAGACCAAGCCACGAAGAGACTGAGTCTGTATACCGCAGCACGAACTGCTCTCGTGAGGACCTACATCACGAATCGCACCGGTACCGTGCTCATGCCTCGCCCAGTCCTAATCGAAAGCTCAGCCTTGCGGTGCCTGACATGGCGGGATCTGCGGAGGATCTCCATTCCATCCGTAGCGGCAACTCCGGCCTGTCGCTACAAGTACCCGAAGTAGTTGCACAGGCTGCTATGAATGACGATAACGATGGTCAAGATATCCAGGAAGTTTGGTTCCCGGGAGGCCATGCGGATATTGGAGGAGGCTGGAAGCTTGGTGAGGATGAAGAATGGCCACTGAGCCATGCCCCATTGGTGTGGATGGTCCAGGAAGCACAACGTGCAGGGCTGCAGTTCGACCCCCGGAAGCTGAAGCAATTCGAATGCTGCGAGGAATTCGACGGCGAATACACTCCAATTCACGAAAAAACAATCAATTGGAACGAGAATAATGACTTCTGTCGAGATCAGGTGCATAATAGCACAGATAATGATCAGCCTTCCCAATTCCGGCCGGCTGCGATTGAAGGGAACTCGGAATCGAGTCGCAACTTCCGCAGAGCTCTCCTTTGCTCCAGCACCGAAGGCTTGCTACACGATTGTTTGGAGTTTAACATGGGTTTACCGGCCATGTCAGTCCTCACATGGAAGTTGATGGAGTACCTGCCTTTCCGCCGGATGGATCTTCAGAAGGATGGCTCGTGGAAGCCAATTCGATGGCCCTTGCCCTGCGGAGAGGTTCGTGATATCCCGAATGAAGCTCAAATTCATGTCTCAGCAATTCACCGAATGGAAAGCGATCCCAACTATCGCCCGGGCAACTTGATCATTGGAGGTGGCGGCCGTGGCGTGAAAAGAGCACCTCGGGAATATGGAATTGGCGAGTGGGATCTCAAGGCGCACGCAGGTGACCCAGTGCGTGAGATTTATGTCCGCAAGACTGTTTCGAAGTTGTGCGAGGAGAATCATCACCGAAGATAGTGGCATATACCTGATCCCGCGGAGCAGTGACCGGGCGGGCGGTCGTTTTGAGCGTTCATACCCCTTGATAGCCCCCTGACTTTTGATTGATCAAATGATTTATTCTGAGTTCACGCTTATAGTCTTTCGATCATAATTTTTAATTATTTGCCGTCCAGAGTTGACTACATTTCCCTGAGATTATCTTGGACATAAAACCATACGAGGGGACACGATGCTCTTCTCTTCGCCTATCGTCAAGTGAATCGGTTGTTGCTTCGAGATATTATTCCGTTGTGTACTTGAATCTTTCAGGCCTTATGCACCGTCGATGAGTTGCCTTCTTGAGCCTCGTCGGCCAGTTTACAGACCCGCAATGATGGTAGGCAATGAAGCGCCGCTCGCCGACTCGGCAGACGCGCCTCAATCCTAATAACTTGGTCGCATCAGGGGGTTTGCTGTCAATCAAGCCATTATGCAGGGTTGGTCCGTCAGCATGCGGTGCAGTAGTCTGTGTTGTACATTCCAGACTATATTCCCGGCACATCCGCGATTGCTGGAGGAGCCCAATAGGCACAAGTCAAAGCCATGTTCACGGGTTGGTAAGGTGCACTGCGTTAGTGCGCCCGACCCTGGAGGCATTGATCATGTCTGGGCTGGTCTAGACTCGAGACCACGTTGAGCAGAAATCAAAACTCCTGTTTGCTGGGAGGTTCCCCTCTCCTGCCTTGGTATGCGTGATCTGGATCCACTGTGATAAGGCGCGGGGTTGCAACCATCAAGCCTTGAAGTGTTGAAAATAAGAAGTGAGGATGAAAATAGTTTGTGTTGCAAAGGTGCTGGGTCCAGAGTTTGAGCCAATGGAAAGAAATGGAGAAATCAGGAAGAGTGGTACAGCCGGAGGGAAGACTGGATGCTGCAGCATTTGCCTCAAGCCACGCTTATCGGACGTAAACAGGGATCGTCCTGTAGCGGATGAGGGGAAACGAGCACCCGTCAGGGTCCAGATAACACTTAGCACTGAGCACTGCAGATAATGCCTTCGGTCATCTCCCACGCATCATGGTGAAAGTGATGGAAGCACGAGGATGAAGAATGTCACCGTAGTAGTGGTAGTGATTTCGTCACTCACTTTCAAGTAGTAGTTATTAGAAGAGTAGTTGTAACTGTCGACTGAGTAAGAGAATGTAGTAGTAATCGATGAATAGTCAGAAATCGAAAGGGAAGGCGGTGGGCGGAGTGGACCCGAGGTTGAATTCGTGGGTTGAGGATGGGATGAGCTGACCTCACCACTTTGAAGTCTTAACTAGTTAACTAGTCAACTAAATTACTACATACTGTCTGTCCCTTGCCTCCCTTCTTCAAGAAAGTTCAACAGGTGTAGGGACCAAGAAAGATCATCATGTTGTTAATGGGAAAAGAAAAATAACAAAACCATACAAAAAACAAAGGAGCAAAAATCTCTTGCGTGCAGAAAGTCCCAGCTTCCAAAGATATAAGCAAAACGAAGCAAAACGAAGAAAAAAAAGGGGGGTGAAGTTTCCTTAAATCTCCTCTCCTCTCCGCTTTGCTCGGGCAAAAATTCAACCCCCCTCCCCCCTCCCCCCGCCCCTATAGCCTGTGTGTCTCCGTACGTCCATTAAAGTTACAACTTCGCAACTACTCCGCTCCACTCAACACGCCTTCCCGTCAACCCCCGGTCCTGCGCCCGGCTACCACTCTTCAAATTTTTTCTCTTCTCACACCAGCATGAGGTCCAGTTAGCCCAACTTTTGGCTCGCAGACGGATATGGAAGCGTCTCACCCAACCCCAGAGGGTATTATGCTACCCCCAAGCCCTGTGGACTCGGCAGGTTCGGTTGACTCGACCTCGTCCGGCTCTACTGTCGAGCATACCACGGAGCCAGAACGCAGTGATCACGTCACGATCACTTTGTCTCTGACTCCCGATTCGCCTGTCCAAACTCCTAGTCGTGCCTCATACACCCGCTCCCACTTCCGGTCCCGATCGATGATCGAAGTCCCAGGCGTTCCCCCCATGACGCGCGCCCACTCGTCTCCCGGGCTGGACTCGCGAGGCAGATATATCTTCGTCAACGGCCGCGGGGGTGCTGCCAATGTCAGCGACAACTCAGCAAGGCGTTATCTGCCGCTGCAGGTGAACACGGAGGAATCGCCCGACTCGAGAATGATGCCCCTGAATGTCTCCCAGACCATTTCCGAGAACGGGGAACTGGACACCAGGACGGCTTCGTCTCCGTCCAAAGCCGACTATCACCCTACATCGCCTGTACTCGCGTATACACTGCCTCGTGTCAATCGCCGCCGTCCCTTGTCCCCCCTCCATTTCCACCCGCCCACGTCGCCTGGTTCGTCAGTTATGGGCAGCCCGTCCCCAGCGCACTCTTCGCCCGTCATGCTCAGTTCGCGCTTCAACGAGACATTCCCCGGCTATTCAGCCTCCTCTACATCCTCTATTCCGTCGACTCCTACGAGCCTTCGATCCCGCAGCCCTAGTATCTCCTCGCTAGAAACCATTCCCGATATCCCTGATGCGGAAGCCGCAGCGATCGAGGCGGACAGGATCGCAGCATTGAAAGCTGCTGCCGATAAAGCTGACGAAGCGGAGGAAGCGACTAACACAAGCCGGCGGCGTGGAACCTCCGATGCTTCGGGTCCTTCGAGCCCTTTCATGAACATGCGTGGTACTTCTGGTGGATACGGGGTGCGGACCGATAAACGGAAACGCTGGAGTGTCTGTGGGGCGGAACGCCGTCAGGATCTGGATCTGGAGACAATCTGGGAAGATTGAGGTGTGAAACTGAATCTATCGCGACAACACCACGAATCACAACCTCTTTCGGATAGAGGAAGGGCCTCTCCCTCTCGGGTTCAAGAACAACAAACATACTGCCAGTACAGAGCCGTTGGAGCCAACCCTATTGATCACTCATTTTTTTCGTTCTTTCTTCCGATTCGGCGCTTAATTGAGGGATACCCGATCTCTTCTGTCTACTTTTCAATACGCGGTGTTTATTTGTGCTTTCAAGTCCCATTCAGGAAGATTGTGGAGTCATGGGGGATCACGCAGGTTCGTTGATCCTCTGGGTCGTGGGGGTGGCAGCATTATGGCGTATGGTAGCTTTGCAACGATGCAGATCAGTTTTTCCCTCGGGGCTTATATGTTCCTGTTTCTTTTCTCCGCGGATCCTTATTCCCATCTCCCTCCTGTCTCCTGTCATTCGGCCCTCTTTCGTACCCGCTTTGCCCTTCATTTTCGAGCGAGATTGAAACGATCCTACTTGTGATTCCCCTCTTGTTTTCCGTCTCGTTCTTGCTTCATTGTTCCATCGATCTTATGGGTTCGGCTCTTTGTCTTTGATTCCATTCGCTGTACCATGGTTCCTAAAGGGTTATTTTCTTCACCGGTGGAATGGCTAGGTGTACATAAACTCTGTGACCTTTGCGGATACTGCACAGAATAACATACCTCGCACAGCGGCTGTCGTGCACTAGGACGACTGTATACAAACGGGCCAAAGTTATATCCGTATCTGCTCCTTCTCTCTTTCTATATCGAGTATATGGCTATACATGACCTTCCCATCGAGGGAAACCAAAAAGTAAATCCAAGCGGCAGTAAACAAAATAACACTGTCTCCCCTTTTCCCGAAAAGCAAAGTGCAAACCTTACAAGCGAGGTTCACGCACAACCCCCTCACACTAACTAGTTCCACCACCAGCAGAAGCTACAGCAGCTACAGCAGCACCAGCAGCAGCAACCCTCGCCGAAGGCAACGAATCATCCCTCCCAACGCCAACCCCAATCTTGCCCAAGCCATAAATCTCACAGATCCCCGCTGCCGCGCGCTCCCCGCTCCAATATGCCCCCGTCGTCGTGCCCAACGCCACAAACGGCGCCGTATGCTCCCCAGCGAACCACACCCCGCGCTCCGCGCCCATGCCCGCCCGCAACACCTCGATATCGCGGTCCCCTTGCTCCAGTCCGACCTGGAAGTTGCAGTACGAGCCGTGGCCCGCGTAGGGGTCATTCTGCCACTGCGTTGCCAGGTAGGCTAGGGGCTGGCACTCCGCGGCCGTGGGGGAGTAGTTGTGCAGGCGTGCGATGAAAGGTTCAAAGACTTGATGGAGGGTTTCGTAGTATTCGGTGGAGGATGGGTCGAGGTGGGCGATTTGGGAGACGATGTGCGTGGCGCAGGGGCCGAAGGTGTAGAAGAGGAGGGTTGGGTGGGCAGTTTGGGGAGGAAGCGCGGCGAGCGAGATACATTCTTGGTTCCATTGGATGTGTGGTGGGTGGGTTGTGGAGTAAGTGGGGTTGAGGAATTGGGCGAAGGTTGGGATTTGGTAGGATTTGTATGTCGGGGTGTTGGGGCCTGGTGGTGGTGGTGGTGCTGCTCCTGCTGCTGCAGGGTCATCGACGTGCCAGAAGGCGCGCGAGAAAGTGATGTAAACTTTCTCGAGGCGGCCGTAGGAGATGCTGTCGATGGCTTGGCTGAGGCGTGGTGGGAGGGATGGGTTAAAGGCGGCTTTGTTGCGCTTGAGCCAGCCTAGGGGACATGTGACGATTACTTCGTCGTACTGAGAGATGTCTCCTGAGGCTGTGGTAAGGGTCACTTGGGTGGTGGATGGCGGAGCGGCATCGTCGCGAGTGCACGACTCGATTTTGATAACCGGTTGGTTGAGGCGAATGTCGGCGTGTTCGCGTGCAGTCCTGGAGACATGTTCTAGAATCCGTTCATATGTCGATGCAACAAAGTAATTGTCTATGAACACAGAAGTTTATAAATACTGCCATAAAATCACCCGCAAGAGGAGCTTGGAAGAGTACTTACTTCCGTCTATGCATTCTTCGAGGCAAAAAAACTTCAAGCTCTGTCTTTCGATGGAATCGCCAACATAGGCTCCCCACATCTTGCTCGATTCGATGCAAAGAGCCTTTTCTTGCTCGCTGAGGTCGGTCTGTCCTACTTGTTCCTTGATGTAATCAAACAAGCTCCGGTCGACCGGGATCGTCTCTTTGTAGGTGTTGCTATACTTGAAAGCCTTTGCAATGATTGTCCACAAGACGTCCGACACCTTCTCAGCCACTTCATCACTGACTGGCTTCCCATCCGGGGCTATAAGAGCCTGGTTGCCTTCAAAATCTTGAACGACGGTGTCAGTCGATTCTGCAATGCTGACAATCGGGTTCTTTCCGGTGCCATGAATCCAATTAGGGCCCCTGCTTGGTATTAGCACGACTGCAGTACCGTAGGGTGATAACGCTCACATGTCAACCATATGGTTCTGAATCATATTTTGATGTACCTGTTTCGACATTTTAGCAGTCAATTCTTGGCAGATAGAAGCGTTGTCCATGGTAAATGCACCCTCCCACCGAGTCTGTCTCTGGCCTCAAAAAGAGTGACCTGGGCACCATTCTGAATGAGGATGTCTGCGCATCGTAGGCCCGCAAAGCCCGCTCCAAGAATAGCCACTCTTGGCCTATGGCCTTCGGCAATCGATCTTGTCAGATAGGGCATGCCTCGACACGACTGAAGCAATGATTGCACGTCTCTGGTATTGATTGTGTGCAGGAGTCGCAGGCCGGACTAGACTATGTTAGCTTTAATTCTGGAGATGACGTGTTGCGCAATGTGGACGATAGATGTCATTCAGCATTCTTGATGCTTAGTTTGACACCCGCACAGGACTGGAATGCCCTTAGCGGTCGTTGACGATGACTCAATTTGAAGCCAGACCGTCGATGTATAAGCTCGCAAGCATGTACACATGACATGCTTGCATGATGCAGCGCGCTGCATAAACATTCCGAACAACCAATGACGAGAGATAAAATGACAGAAAAACGCAGAGATACAACTGGTCTGACCTACCGATCTGTGAATAACTTCGCTGTTCCAAGTACGCGACACCCCGCGCAAGCCGATAAACATAAGATGAATGGTATGGAGTGGCGAAGAGGGAGCGGAATAAGTACCCTTTGGAGTACCTTTTTACTACAAGTCTTATTAAACTAAAAGCTGGTGAGACACGGCGGTTATAAGTCAGCACCGAGTCACCCATCAGGCTGCCACGTGCATCGGAGCCCTTCCTCTACCACTGGTATTGCCGCCCGCGGCGCCCGCCCCTTCTTCCTCTTTCTCTCTCTCTTCCGCGGGCTCCCCCGCCCTTCGTCTTCTTCCATGCATCCATTCCTCAAACTGATACCGAATCATGGGTTGTATTCATGCACGGAGCAGAGCTAGTTATCAGCTAGTCTTATAATTCCCCCGCACGCTATGCCGAAAATCTATCACTTATCTCTTAGTCAGGAAATCTTCTCGATCAGTTGATGTTGTTCAGAACTTATGTGTATGGTATTAGGCTGATAATAGCACTTGATATCATTGTCATCCAAGACGAGGTGGGTTATCAACAGAACAAAAGGTGTCCACAAGTACCATTGCCTTCGGACAATATACAACACGGCAAGTGGCGGGGGAATTCACAATCCAATCATCACAGGGCGACCATCACTCCAAATCATACAGGCAAACACCGCTTGCTGGTTTGTGACCTCCAATAGAGTCTACTCAAAGGCAAAAGGATATGGAACAAACGAAACAGACAGACATAAGAAAGGCCGGGTCATTACAGTGATGAGAAGATCATAGTCCCTATCTCCACGCGCCTTGGCTTAGGGACAATAGTCCCTGGATGCAATCAAGATCTTCCTCCTGACTGGCGCCACCACCGCCACTCATGAAAGCCGACACTTCCGCATCCAATTCAGGCACGTCCTTGGCCATGGACATGTTTGCTCTGTGTTGCGATTGTTGAGAACCCCGTGGATATTTGCCGCCGGGATTGTAGTTCTTATGGACTTTGCCGTCTCTTCCGCTAGTGTCCTTCAGCATGGAGCGCCGAGGATTGTGGTAAGATGTGACCCGCCGGCGATTGTGGGAGACCCTCGTCCCTGGGATCCAGTTTTCTTTATCTGAATCGCCACATTGCAAGTCAACGTCTCCATCTTTGGCCGCTTCCGTATAGCTCTTCAGATTGGAGCCTAGACCAGATATTCTATTATCAGTCTCTAGCCGGCCCAATGACGAGACTGTGCGAGCTATCTTCCGTCTCTTCTCACTGTTCGGCTTTGGAACTGGCGTATTGAGGTAGTCTGTAGATTTCATTGGGAAGGGCGTCGTGTGTTTTGCTGACAAGCTTCGGGTTAACGAACGCTGGCCTCTGGAGTGGAAAAGCCCAGGAGAGCCAGCACCTGGCGCGCTTTGTGAGCTCATCGGAGTCGAGAGGGCACTTCGGGCATCGGTATCAAAGAAGGCTTCCCAGTTTCTGGGGTCTCGTGATCTACCAAACATCCTTTCCGCTTCTGTGCTGCCAGCTCGTGGGGTACTAAAAGCCATCGCACTGCTACTTCTGCGGAGTCCTGCCAATTGAGGCTTCCTGGTCGAGAACATGGAGATACGATTTCGGGATGGGGAAGGCTCGCCGTCGGCTCTAATAACAGCTTTCCCGTCGGACGACATGGAAATTCGAAGGGCGCTACGTCCTTTGGGAGGCGATGGTGTCAATTCGCCCTCTTTTCGGACCATCGCCTCTCCATCGACCGACAGCGAAATCCGCAGCGAGGGCGGTGACTTGATATCCTGGAACGTTCCAGGTGTCGAGGCACCCTGCACGAATGGCTTCTCACCCTGGATTTCAGTGACCGATCGTTTCCTTTTCACCAGGTTCTGCTGCGACTCGTCTAGCGTCGAATCTTCTTGTATCTGACTTGACTCTGGTTCCGTGTTCACCTCATTCGGTATCGGTTGCGGACCTTCTGGCGCCACAGACGTAGCCAGACTTGTCTCGGAGCTGAATGCCGGCTGTTCTAAGCTATCCTTGTCCTCATGAGCTTCATCTGACTCGCAGGAGTTGACCGACGACTGTGTTGACGGGACCTTTTCCTGTCCAATCTCTTCCGACTGTTCGGGGCTGCTAGAAGGTATCATGTCCGATAATAGGCTGTCGTCACTTGCGGCATGTTTTGACGCGTCGGACGCGGTCGATCGAGGCGCGAGAAGCTCGTGAGGTTGGAGAGGCTTGGATTTTCGCCGGTCATTCTGCCGGCGGTTTTGAAACCAGATCTGGAAAGCGCGTTGAGCACTTGGATTAGAAGATCGGAATACAGTATACAAGGATAGGAATTGGTTCTCCGCGACATACCTGCACTTCTTTCTCGCCCAATGAGACGCGGCTGACTATACTAGCCCGGGCCGTCTTATCTGGCTTGGGATTCCGTTGATACTCTGCCTCGAGGATGGCGTGATCTTCTGGGCTTTACATTCACAGTAATTAGTAATTGTATCGACGTCAATTGACAAGGGCTTTGAAGGCATTGGGTAGTTGTGGTTGAGTGTTTGACAAAAGTTCCATGCATACCTCGTGCGGCGCCGCTTCTGCCGTGCCAGCAATTTGTTATCGACCCGCGGCGGAAGGTTTTGGGTCAATGTTTTCTGAGAGTGAACCAGGAAGGCGTAGTTGATGGGGGTAGCATCCCAAGTTTGAGCAGCGGAGGAGGGTGACGATGAGCATGCTGTCTCAGCTGCGTGTTCCAGATCAGACATTTTAGACAGCGGGCGATGCAGATGACGGCATAGGAGGAGGGGGTTTATTCGAGAGATAAGAGGTAGAAAGAAAAGATAGATCTTTATTTCAGAATTGCCCGATGTCAAGAAAATTATTTCAAGGAGAAGAAGAATTAGAAAAAGAAGAGGGAGAAGGTTTTAGCAAGTGGTCTGTCTGTCTGGATTGAGGTTAAGTCGAGCAAACCGACCGAACGGAAAAGACGCTTTGCTCGATCTAATCGCGCGTCGCGATGTGTGACGCGGGCGGAGGGCGTGCGTGGTAAGTAAAGTTGGTTTTTTGGTTACTGTATGGCCGCCTGGCCAGGCCAGCCCCCGTTTTCCGCTCCCTCTTCTTCTTCTTCTTCCTCCTCCTCCCGCCCCTCGGTCGACCCACTTCCGCTTACCACGAGGTGAGTTTCCACCTATTGACCATGGTCATAATCGTGATCTCTGCTTTACATAGTGAGAGAGCGTGCTGAAAGCTCAAGATTATAAATTGACTTCAAACATTCCCACTGCTGCTGTTCTGTAGTTGAGCCCTCATCAACGTGTTGCAGTCACCGCGCGCGTGATGCAGTAAGGTTGGGGTGACGACGGAGCGGAGTAAACACCGCGCGACGGAGAACAATCGACACTCCTTAATAGGCATGGTCGGGATGCCACGAATTCGCACGTCTGTTGCGCTGCTGGCAAATCAATCCACCACTTCACTACTGACATATTGAAACCTTTGGAATATTCATTCCTCATATTTTGTCTTGTCTTTGGATGACTCGCTGGGGTAGTGCACGGACGCCAGCTCTCCAGATATCCTTATCTGATGGGCGGAATCTGACCTGTCATCTGCAGCAAACAGCATGTTACACAATCCCACTTTGCATCTCCCATAACCACATACATACACTCACTCCGACCCATATTTCTCAAGAGAATAGAACTATTGTTTACATGCTGCCCGAAAAAGGTATTTATGCTTCCTGCTGGTTCATATGGCTGGGGATGTTCCATGGGTCATAATCCAGATGAACGAAAGCTCGATCCACGGTCGGCACACTTTCAATCATATACTGCAAGCTTTCTCCCACGTCGTGGCTATCTTGCAACCTTGTTTTCGGCTCGAGCACGATGTCTATCTCCACGTTAAGCTTGTCACCAGCGTAGTACGCCTTCAAGTCCTGAATCTTCAGAATGGCCTTGGAAAAGCGCATGGTCATGTATAGAAGAATGCTGTGATCCTTCGGGGAGGCAGCGGCCCCCGTGAGATGACCAATATGTTCACTGGCTGTTCCGCTCCAGTTCCAAATGACATACAAAGACAGAAGCACACCGCCGAGGGGATCAATGAACCAGGTATTCGTGAATGAGCCAACTTGAAAGAAGAGTTAATAGGGTTGATGAATGTCATGGAGTAGAACAGTTAAACTTACTCAGAGGGAATAGAATACTTGCTAGGTTGAATACTACATCAGTCATAGCGTCTTGCGCCAGGGCTTGAACGCTGGAGTTTTTGATCAGCCTGCACCAAAACCAGCAGATAAGCTTGATAACCACAGTACTAGCCATGACTGCGATCGATGGCACTGTAAGCTCTATTACCGAGTGGTCCGTCGATAGCAACCGGCTGAAAGATGTTAGCGCCACCTGAACGAACGATGTCACCATCACGACTGCAAAGACAAGAACGCTCAGCGGCTCCAACCGTCGTCGACTGATGGGATACCGATAACGGTCCTGCCGGCTTATCAAAGTCGTCGTTACCCATACAATGGCAGTACTAAGGAAGTCCAGCGCTGCATCAACCAAGCTGGCAAGCACTGAGAGAGAGCTTGTCATTGACATGACAACAATTTTAGCTGCCAGCAGTATCATGTTGGCGATAAAGTTGACGTAGATGGCGATGATGACTATCCGGTCCCCACTTTCCACAAAGTCGTCGTGCTTGAGCGTAAGATTGGGCGGTGATGACACATCTTCCTCCAACGGTGGTGACAGAAGAGGGGTCCCTTCGTCAGGAATGCGGTAGAGATTGCGTGGGGTCCGTTTGACTTTGGCTGTATCATTGCTAGAGTCAATGCCATTATCAGCCGTAGTAGACGATCCAATCTCGTGCGTGTCGCCATTATTTGGATATGCAGATGTTGCTTCCCGCAAGCCACGCGGTTTGTGATAATCAACGATTAAGCGATGAGGCAAGGACGAGCCAAGCAGTCGGTCAATGTAAGCATATTGTGAAATGAGGTCATTGTTGCGTTCGTAGTATTGTCGTCTTGACGCATGTTCAGCAAACTCCATACTCGAAACGTTAGCCGCACAAGGGTTCACTTACAGCGGCTTCGGCAAGCCTTGCAAAGTAGCTGGGTGCCGGTAGAACGATTGCCTGAAGAGTGTCTGTTAGCGCTGGATCTGCTTAATTGTGAGAAAATTCGCACCAACGATAAAGTGGGCTTCTGTCTCCGATTAACCGCTTTGCGCGTTCAAAGGCAGGCCGATCTATACGGTCTCGCGGAGTGTTGGATTCATCCCATAGGTCACTCTCTTCGAAGCCATCCGAGTCGTAGAGTGACAATGAGCGCCGCCGTATCAAGCCCGCTAGGCGCTGACCACGTGTAGAAAGAATGTCGCGTTCCAGGTCAAGGCTCGGCTGCCTGAGTCGTATGAAAGAGTCCGAATGAGACGGAGATGACTTCGTCGGTATAGAGACGGTGTTTGATCGGTTTATAGACGCCATATCCTGCTTTTATAGCAGTACAGACAGTATTCAATCTTTGAGGAGCAAGTGGTTCTTGCAATTCGGGTAAGTACCCGCCAAAAGTTTGGTTGTTATGATCGATGATGTCGTCGGGGCGCTTGGCGGGGAAAGAAGTGACCTTGGTGGAACCGGGCTGGTCCGGATCCGGGTTGGCGCTAGGAACCAAGTCAATTGATACTCCGCTTCTGATGAACCTAACACGATTCACTCCTACCAGAAGACTGAGACTCATTTTATCAATCTCGGTAGCATAAGGCTCCGCAGACAAGGAGAATTCCCCGTTGGCCTCAATCCGGAACTAGTTATGTATCTACCCCTATACGTAGATGTCTTGATCGCTTATCTGATTAGATCGGACCAAATATGCCAGATCTGTTCGGTTGAACGGGTAATGCGCAACTAAATGATCTGGCTGAGATCACTTTGACCGGCTTAGCACTCTACCACGGCTCTGACTGGGATCAGTCCCGAATGTCATTGGGTGCCATTTACAGCGTCAAGACAATGTGACACAGTGAGCTTTATTCCCTGCACTTCTACAATGGCCTGACGAGCAATGTTGCCGGCCGGCAGGATTCCACTGGCTAGTCCATCTATATAATGCAGACATCTAGGGAAAGTTGTTATAGGTAAAGTACAGAGATTCTACGAAGCCCACTCATTCAAGATCAGGTGAAGCCATCACCTCTATTGCTGTGAGATTTGGCGGAGAAACGTAGTTGTAGATGAGTCCTGATTGTTGAGGACTTGGTACATTACTGACTCAAATGCGAATGAAACTGTGATCTCTATCATAGCTCCCTTAGATTGCTGGGAGCAAGTTCGATCCCCACCATCAAAATTGCCAGATCGCCGGTGGTACCAAATACGTAACATCTCAGAAATTATTTCGAGGTATGTCACTGTACAGCGAAACATTATCTCAAAATGGTTAGACTCTCATCTGGCAGACCTTGGTCCGTGGGTAATATGGCCTTACCCTCTTTAGGGAAAGCCGGCCGCTCTTCTTACTCCGAGATTGGTGCAAATAGTCCTCATACTGTAAGCTGCATGGCTGCAAGCTTGGCTTGGGAGTTTCCATCAATCGAGATCCGCAGTCATTGTCTCTCCCCTGCGAGTATCACCCAAATCTGATCAGCAGATTTCCAAGTTCATTTGCGATCGTGTGGAAAACTCAATCTCGGCTAATGTATTCATGGTGCACAGCACACGCCGCTGGGTCTGATAACTCATTTCTCATGCATTTAGGCTCATCTTGATCCAATTCAAGCGTTCTGTCAGCCCCGCCGGTCTTTCGAACCAGTATTGAACAGACACCACGTGGACCACGAGAACTTCAACTGAGGGCAAGCACTTGATAGACTATTACGGTTGTGTGTTGAAGCTAAACCACGAGGGAGAACTCCCCTCCGTGGTCAGCACGTGGATACGGCGTTTTTCATCCTGCACCGTCCCTCATTCCCCGGCTTATTTGACCCTCGAGTTCGCCTCACGACGGCATAGACATTGAGCGAGATACCTCGTCCGAGCTCAGGAAGGTATGCAGGGCTAGAACACAATCGACTTATCTGGTGGACAGGTGCATGTCTGTGTGTCGCCGTGCCTCGGTGGACTGGGCCGCTACCCCGGGGGGAACAAGGCCAACAGTGGCGTGAGAGACCGCATTTAGCCAAAGAGAAGCGAATGCTAATTACCCTATTGGCTTATGCGGGGTTTAATCTAGAGCTACGGCCTCTCAGAAATGTCAATGAGGCAACACTTGTCACTGTCCTGGATGAGACCTTCACTTCAGCCGAGGACAGTCAGTGCACAGAGTGACTATCCTCCTGTTTGCAAGCGCTATACTCGCCTAGTGGAGCTCTCGCCAATTGAATCAGACACTAATTTCATATAGGGAAGACGGCATGAAGCCTAGTGACAGTCTGGTCAACCGTCCCCGGATTTTCAAGGTCAACTGCAAGCTTTTGTCTCGCGCCACCGTAATTTCGTCCAATCTGTCAGCCCATGGCTACCCGGCTAACCAAGGGCAATGTCCTCTCCAGATCGCGGTTAGGCTCAGGTGGTCTCTATATAGACGATGTCGCCTACCCTTCCTCGTTCTGTTGCTTTTTTTTGCCCTGCGTCCGTCGCATGGAATAAGCCTCCCCCGGTCACCTCCCCTTCGTTTCTGCCAATATGGGACGATTTTTCACCATTGCCCTGGCTGCCTTTGCGGCAACAGGCTCTTTCTTGTTTGGTTATGACAGTGGTGTCATGACTGATGTAATTGAATCGAAGAACTTTCTAAGTTTCTTCAATACTACCCAGACATCAGCTATCATCGGAGCGATCAACAGTACATTTTCGGGCGGAGGTATGTTTTCAGCTTTCTATCACTGCTCAAGTACTGCGGCTCATGTTGGGGCCTCGTTCTCCCATTTCTTGGTTTGGGCTAATTTGAGACTCGACAGCCGCCGTTGGCGCCCTTCAAGGTGGTCTTACGATGGACCGCTTCGGACGCAAATTTACTATCCAGATGGGAGCCTTTATTTGCCTGATCGGCGCCATTCTACAGTCTGCTGCTCAAAATTTAGCTATGATTTTGGTTGGCCGTATCTTTGCTGGATGGGCGGTTGGCCTGATGTCCATGTCCGTTCCAGTTTATCAGGCTGAGTGTGCGCATCCTCGCTCCCGTGGTTTGATTGTCGGTCTAGCACAACAAATGATTGGAGTTGGCTATATTGTTAGCACGTAAGTGAAACCTTGTGCCCAGATCATTTTCCCCTCGAGAAGCATAGTTGACCTAGCTCTCAGATGGGTCGGTTACGGATCTCTGCATGCGCCCGATACGAGCGAGTTTCAATGGCGATTCCCCCTCGCATTTCAAGCGGTCCCAGCGCTCCTGCTGGCTATAGGCATGTTCTTCATGCCCGAGTCTCCTCGTTATCTCATTGAGAGTGAGAAGTATGACGAAGGGTTGAGAATCCTGAAGAAGCTCCACTTTGATGGTACAAATGAGGACTGGATCCAGAGAGAATACTCAGAGATCAGAGCCACAATTGACGCCGAAAAGGCTGTCACTGCTCCAGGATGGTTGATCATGTTCAAAGTCCCTCAGTGGCGAACTCGCCTGCTGTGCGTCGCCTGTGCCCTTATCTCAATCTTCAGAGAATAACCCATGCTAATGCGCTTCACTTAGGCACGGTACTCTTGTCCAAGTCTTCACCCAAATGACAGGCGTAAACGTCATTAATTACTATCAAACGGTCATGTACAATACGCTTGGTATTACAGGTAATCGTAACACATTGGTCGCAGGTATCTACAACTGTGTAGGACCGCTCACCAACTTGATCTTTATTGTCTTCCTGCTCGATCGGGTCGGAAGACGGAAGCCAATGCTTTTTGGCACAGTGACCATTACCATCGCTCTAATCTGCGAAGCAGCTCTAAACTCGCAGATTAAGACTGGCGAGGTCAACCGAGGATATAGCATTGGGGGTGTCTTCTTCATCTTCTGCGTCACCGTTCTCTTCTCTCTATCATTTGGCCCCACCAGCTGGTAAGCTCCCTCTTTCTGTTTACTTTCAAACACCAACAGTGCGCGAGAAGTATCTTCAATAGCTAACTCACATCCGTCTACAGGACATACATGGCGGAAGTCATGCCGATGCAGATTCGTGGGCGAGGCACGGCCTTTGCGACAGCCGTCGGAAACTGGACCGTTAGTACACTCTGGGCACAAGTCTCGCCCATCGCTTTAGCGAGTATCGGCTGGAAGTTCTACTTTATCTTCGTGGCCTTCAGTAAGTCCTCCGACTAATGGCTCCATCTTGTCCCTGTTTCACATTCGGTCCTTTGTACTTTGATCCTGGGCTGATGAGTCTCCAACACAGACATTTTTGTCACCTTCCCCACCGTCTTCTTTGTTTTCAAGGAGACTAAACAGAAGTCTCTTGAAGAAATCGATCTTTTGTTCGGTGGCCGTGCTCTAGGCCACCTGCCCGCAGACGTAGAATCGAAGATCACCTCCGAGACCGAGAAGGCCGACGAGACGGGAGTTTCGGTTATAAACATCGAGCACAATGCCTGAGGTATACTCAGGCTATATCACGGAGGTCGAATGCAGGTGGGAGGGGTTTACCTTGGGACATGTACTTGGTTGACTGCTCTCGTGTAATGAATTGACGGACGCTTTGATACACTCCATAACTCTACGAAGCCTTGCCACACCCGACTTCAGATTCCAATATTTGAGTCGAACTTCTTCTCTGAAGGGTCTTGGTCCTCTGCCCTCCGGAGCTTTGTACAATCGCTACATGAATCGTTGCCGACAAACGAGTGTTCACTCATTTAGCCGCCGTAATACTTCGCGGGCGCAGTAGGCATTGCGGTCGATCGAAACAACCCGTTGGCAACTAGGATAGTAGAAAGATCACAAAGAAAGGGAAAAGAAAAAGCAAAGTCTGCAATTTTGTGATCCATCAGACAAAGCTTGATGCCGCGGAAATCAGCTATTCCTGGGTGGAGATAATTGTGGCTTGCTAGTGGTCACGCACGGATGTCTAGTGGAGGCCGGGATGTTTATTTCCCCGCAAAAGGTTGATCACTGAGCGACAAGGGACGGGCATGAAGGGGGGAAACCAGAGGAGGGGAAAAAAAAAGGAGGAATGTCACTGTCAGACCCGAGACCCGTACCCCTCAAAGCACCATTAATTGGAATCTTCCCTTGACTGTGGCGGGTTTCGCCTGGAAGTCGAATAACATACCTGTTACTAGAGTATTACTACTGCCTGTAAATCTAAGAGTATCATATTCTAGTATTTGTAAGTCACTGAATATATCAACTCTAGTCAATGAGCTATACAGAGACTTGGATTAGAGTACTGTATCTGGATAAAATTAATTAGCAAGATATTCTTTGAAGTAACAAGACAAACGCATAGAGGGGTGCACATCATGCGAGTCGGCCACTAAGAAACTCTGAACGAGCCATGTCCGGGGTTAGTGTATGTGTGTTGGGGGGTGGAGTGAATGAATACACAGTATGCGAGGAGAGGTTGTTGAGAGACTATTATTCGCATTTCTCACTGTGCTTCAAATGTGAACAACTAACTTGGGTGGATTGCGTCATGATCGCTTGATGAGGAGGGTTATGTCGTGGCATGACCTGACACGCCATCCATGGCATGACCAGTTGGGAGCTCCAAGTCACGGGGAAGAGACAAACTAGTCGACGGCCGGCAGCTGCAGTGATCGGCTATAGCTGCAGTCAAAAAAGGTCACCAGCATACTTTAGATTGCCTTGGTGGCTGCCTCGGGTTCTCTTTGTGCTGAGCTGCATACGAAGAATTCGGGTGTGATGTACGTGAGGCAATCAGAGGCGGCTGTCCGCTTCAGGTCTTCCGCGGCCTCAGAATAAGTGAGCGATGGAGTGAGCCTGGAGACAGGTATGTAGGAAAGTAGCATAGCATGCTTGTAGTCTGGGGATAGCATCAAACTGGAAGTGACATTGCGGCTGGAAAAGAATTGTAGCAGTAGTGGCAAGATCTTACTTGGGCTTTTCAATCTTTCATCTCTCCTTCAATGGTTCCTTTCTCCCCTCATTCTCGTGTTTCACATCCAGACTGACCACTTTTCTTTCACTCCCGACCGAGATAAAGTGAGTGCTCCGTTCAGTTCCACCGGGCATCTGCTGATTGAGACTCGGGATGATGGGCTGATAGTGTCTGGTTGGTGCGCGCAAGCCCCGCCAAGTGACGACGATCAGACGGAGGGAAACACAATCGCGATCGAAGAAGGGAGTAGAGTATATATTCATGCAAAGAGTAGACTTTGCTTCATGAACACTATTTCTCACCTTGTTATTTCTCCTTCTCTCTTCGCTCTCACTACCTTCACCCAACTTCTCCTTCCCGACGGCCACCCACACCGTCACTACGCAGTGAGTGAGTTAGTGAGGACGATGGGTTTGTTATCGGATGATCCAGCAGAACTCCAGTTATACACCCATCTGGCCATTGTTCTCGGCCTCGGCCTCGGACTCGTGACTTTCATCATCATGTGTTTGCTGTAAGTCGCCAATTCCCCGTTTCCTTTAAATTAGTCTTTCTTCCCACTCCATGGTCGCAACAGTGACCAGTGACCTTTTACCTCTCTCCTCTCTCTCCTCACCTGCCAACGTCCCAAGATCTCTTTCTCTTCCTCACCCCACACTTCACTATCACCTGTCCCTACTGACTGGCAACAATGAGGCTCAGTTTGAGCCTTTTCGTCAATCGCCGCGAGCGCCGACCCGTCGTCAAAGCCAAAACCAGAAAAGGCGACTCGCACGACAAATTGCGCAAGCTGGACGCTGTCTCACCAGCTCGGACCCTGGAAGACTGGTGGTCGCGAGCCAAGCTACCCTCCGAAGGCGCCGATGAACAGTTCATGTGGTATGTCTAGGTCTAGTCCAGCAGCCGCCACCGCCGTCATCTAACCCATTTTCAGTGTCGTCTGCCTTGAATCCGTTCAGCGCTCCCAAGAGATACGAGAATTAAAGTGCCTACACGTTTTCCATCGCGAATGTCTGGAGAAGTGGTACCTGCAGGATCATTTTAACTGCCCACTTTGCCTCCGAGCTTATTACGTGCAAGAGACCTATTCCAGCAACGATTTTGTCTGGATGGTATGATCCAGCGAAGGCTCGTCATAGCGAAGCTTCACACGACTTGCTTGCAGCGGTACTTTTGAAAGCGCCCGTCGAACGTTTCGCTCCGGCCTTCTATTACCTGCCTATCGTCACCACAAAATCAGCTAAGCCTGACGCCTATTTTTTTCTGAGATGAATGGTTCGCGTCACTTGAGCCACAGAGTGGATTGTCGCTGGGATCACGATAATTATGTTATACTCATGAGTCATGATTGATATGATACCCTTATTCTATGCAATTGAACCAGTTACATCGGAGACAAGTACTGTGTTACATGCTGTATTCTTGGATCAAATTTCGGATAAATCACTTCGATGCTCTGCACATTGGCTTGCCCGCGTCTCATACTTCTCGTGTGGCCGCTGACTCAATACACATCCTTCCATCCACTTTCTTCCTTCGATATTGCAGCATGTTCAGCACGTTGAACAAAATAGCTCGACGTTCCACCTACTCTTGGCGAAGGCACTGCAGCTCGACTCGCTAATGAAGCGTTTTCATCTGGAGTTCAATGAGCCTCGCTTGCAATGGTTTCCAGCGTGTCTCGAATTCGATTGCAGTATACTACGGAGCCGAAGAATTAAGGGCGGTATGTTCCTGGTTGTGGAAGAATCATGCTTTCGTCGATTGCTGCCGACATGGACAAATCCCGGTTATCGTTTTTCGGAAGACAGATTGGAGCAGAATCAAGAATACTTAGCGAATTTTGGTCTTTGTACGAAGGCTTTACCAGTCCACAGCCAACCATGGCCTAAAACGCGTGTCGCGCCTACCGTGCTGCGAGCAGTTATTTCCTCGAGAGATAGCCTTCGCAGAAGTGACTGACAGTCAAATATATGCGTAAGGTGCCCACGGGCAGATCCCGGGTGGGACATCGCCTTATCGTCACCGTCGAAGCTGGTTCGGCTTCGTGTGGCTCTCGACCGATGGGTATATCAGCGGAAAAGGATTCCGCTGAGTCTGAAATACCTCGACATCATAACATCACTCACCAGCAGCCATTAGCAGCATCCAATGTGATGTCAAACTTACCTCTTCGGACGGCTACGGTAGCTGACCACATCACAAACTTAGAAGCTCAAAGTGACCTCAGCGACCAGAGCATTCATCGTCCATAGTTCATTCTTACCACATCTTTCTTTACGATATTATAACTATCCTTCATCGCTATATGAGAGTGACTCACCTGTGACTTTGCTCACATCCACAACGAACGAGATCTTTCTCTTAACCCAATGCTCATCACAACCAGTGGCAAAGATCAATCTTAGAACCTATCCCACGCACAACGATACGTGACAGAGCATTTGACGCCCCAAAGACATATCAGCTTTCCTCAGCAGAAACATCAGGGCACAAGCTGTACTATGATCCTTGGCTGAACTTCAAACCTTGATTCAGCTACCTGAATCTGCTGGCCTTGTTCTCTGGTGCCTGATTCCTTCGTAAAAGAAGTTCTGACCTGGGCAAATGCCTTGTTGCAGTCTTGTGTGGTCTCGGGATGAACGATGTCTTGGCTGAACACAATAACCAGTCTTGCGATAGCAGGCGCTCATGCCAAGTTCTCACACACTCAGTTGACGAGCTCACCTCAAACGCCCGATCCGGTGCTATTGACTGTTGACTATCAGAATCCCCCAGCAGAAATGCGCACTCGGGCCAGCATCAAGAGTCTCGAGATGCATTCAGCCTTGATGCAGAGCACTAAATGTTAGAATCTAGCTTCGCCTGACATTTGACTGTATGGACCGAGCCTTTGATAATTTTGAAGGAGGAACATGTGCTTAGCCAGCACTTTTCTTTTGAGCTACATGGCTTAATAAGTTACTCGCCAGTCTCTACTGCCTCCGCAGCGTCCCCATCAGAGATCGTAAGATTTACTGATCGATCATCTCCTTGAGCTCTTTGTGGGTTGAACATCATGTGATCGTATCGCTGCAAGTACATGTCAATCCTTAAAGACATCCCCCGCCTCAATAGTTTCAAAGACCTTCATCGTATGCTCCCAGATCTTCGCCTTCATCTCCGCCGGATCAAACTTCCCATACGCCTTTAAGTTGATATTCGATTCGCCCTTCCAATTAAGCGAGTAAACGCCACTTCCAGGCTTCCCATCCGTGCCCACCGCCACATCCTCCTTCCGACTTCCCTGTTGCTGCACCCCTGAGCCGGCCGTGATGGCATCTCTTCGCGGCGGATAGCGATTCGGCGACAGCAACCCTAGCATGCGATCCCCACACTCCCCAGTGGGCACAGACACCAACCGCCCGAAGAGCGGCACAAACACCCAGCGCCAGAACACGCGGAACCAAACCGGCAGCTCCGGGCTCTGAAAGGCCGGCCCCAGCACCAGGCCGGGGAAGATATGGACGAGCCGCAGCTGGCCGCGGTGCTGCTCAGCCAGCCGGTCCATGAACCACGTGTGCATGTAGATCATATGCGAGCGCGCCTGATTGTAGCTGTAGAGCTTGGGATTGCGCAGCGATAGGTCCTCCGGGTACAGCTTGCCCTCGTAGCCCGCGGCGTAGACGGAGACTGCTGTCGCTGGGAGGGGCGATTGGAGGAGGAGCGGGAGGAGGTTGGTGAGGGCTCGCATGCGCGAGTAATAGAGGAGTGACATGGTGGCGTCAATGCCTTCTTGTGTGTCTGCATGCCGATATGTAAGCGAGGTTCTTTTCTTATGTGAGCAGCTTGAGTATGAAAACAGGGTCGGGAACCTTTTCTGGGTTGAAATGGTGCTCCTCCCTGGGACAGCATCAGGTAGTCGATCCTCGGGTTCGCGCTCTTCCCTCGCTCCAAGCTCATAATCTCGATGCAGACCCGATCGACATCTCGGAGAAGCGAGAGGTCGTTGGCCTGGACGAAGATGTATTCGCCGGCTGGGTAGAGCTTGCGACACTCGGCGACGATGGCCTCGGCGGCTTCGGCCTTGCGCCCGATCAGATACGCGCGCAGACCTTTGCCGCCGTGGGATTCGGCGGTGGCGAGTGCGCGTAGTGTGTAATGGCCAATTCCTGATGTGCCTCCGAAGAAAACAGCCACCAGGGGCTGGCTGCGTACTATGGTGGTGTTGGAGGAGCGTATCACGTCTAGGTCGACCATGGTGGGAAAAGGGACAATGAGGAGGGGATTAGGCGTGTGTGACTGGGCGAGTTTGGGTCTCGTGCCCCCTTTTAAATACTTCTTGACGCATTATTTACCGGGGTCTGGTTCGTATAGAAATCAGAGTGGTCTGTGAACCTTCCGAACACTTTGTCGACCAGGAGCCATCCTGGGGATAGAGGGCGGACTTTAGGTTTTATTGCCGCCTGCCAAACCCAGCCTACTCCTCCCTCCTCCGGCGTTAATCATTCTTTCATTCCTTTTGACATATACTGACTGTTACTCTTTCGACCATTTCCATGATTCGTGGGGCCTTCAATTGACACCTTGTCACTCCTGTGCACTAAAACTGACAGCGGTATGCTTGTCCTTCCCCACAGCTTTCCCCTTGGTCATCGACAATCATGACATCACTAACGCTGGTTTGGAGATTGGCCGCACAGGCGATACCCATGAAACTATTCGGAGTACTGATACCTCCCCCCAATGCCTCTACAACAACGTTCCATAACAAGAGCCGTCACGGCTATTCACAATGCTAGACAAACCGGACAAGGTGTGCTCGGTTACGTACAGCCGAGTCGGGACGCTTATCATGGATTATTGTGATGAAAAGAGGCCGACCCGCGGGCTTTGCAATAGAATAGGCTCCGCTTGCTCGCTGGCCGATCAAGCCTCTAGTCTTACTTTTGTCTTCTCGCAGCCGATGGGCAGTCAAATCGGCAGCCAAGCCACGGAAACTCACCTGCCCTTGTTCAGTAGAACCGGCGAGCCTAGCAATAATCATTTGTCACCGCCGACTCCCACCTCCTCTCAATGCCTCCTCCACCTCTAGATCCACCAGGTCCACAACGGTAGCGAATCCGTCGCCAGCTGCAGAGGTGGAGCCGCTGTCTCGCTTGAATCGAGATTGGCTGAGGCTTATGAACTACTATTCCCTACATACCTCGAAGACCATCCTCAAGTTGACCCAACCCGCGGAGACCGTGCGCTTTCCGCAGATATCGAGGCGGCGCTGCAAATTTTTCGGTAGTGCCTCTCCGTAACAGGATTCAGGGCGACCCAAATGACCATGTATACCTCGGTCATTGAAGACTTGAGAATAGCTTTCCTCATCGCGATCAAATATCACAAAACTCATATGACACATGCCTATTACGCGGTAATGGTAACCCCGGGGTATTGGCCCGAAGTCCATGCAGGCTCCCCATTGGCGCTCTGCATCTGAGCGAATGATATGATAATCATTCATTGGCGACGCACGTGCGTCTGGTTTGGCACCCTTTCGAAGGAGGTCGCCCATGCTATTCGCCAGGCTCTGCCACCAGAATGGCACCCCTGCATTGCCTGGGCTGTTTCGGAGGTAGAACAAGTGGACAGTCACGAAGGACCGGCTGGTTCATTACCATAATGTGGCGTTCTGAAACAAGGCCCATGAATGAAGAAGAAGTCTGGTCGGACAGTGGTACAAGCTCCGAGTATTGTGCAACAAGGACGCAGATGTATCGAGAGACCAAGCCACCTCATCTTTGCAAGACAAGGGAGGAGTTTCAAACCAGTCCGGCAAATCTTTCCTTGGGTACCGGATTTCATTAGCTTACACTGTAGTACTAGCCCAGACTCGCCCTGCGTGCCACTTCTCTCAGCCTGATGGCGAAAGGCTTCTAATCATACTTCATGATACCTGTTCCTGTTCTTGCCCCGGGCTAGCTAGACTTTGCGTCATTTCACTTCTTGCTCCGGCGACATATCTGGGGTCCAAATACTGTGGATCATGAGTCAGGTATACACAACCCCAAGCCCAGCACCATGACTGGTGTGTGCTACAACGAGCCATACGTCGGGGTCGTGGGGGGAATGGGTGGAAGAACGTGACATCTCAGACACAATTCGATCGCTGTCAGTTACCTCCCCTAGATCACATTGAGCAAACTCCCCACTAAGAAGAAGGAAACGAATATATCAAAGATCATACTCAGGCACGGAATGCTCTAGGAAGGAACGCAGCTCCTGCGCTCCACAGAGACATCATGTCTATTATAACACAAGGTTGAATAAAGAAGAAGTTCGAGCCCCGAGGGATGCTGAGCACAGGAAAAGCAAAGGCATCCGAATGAGACGAAGAATGGGATTCCTTTCTGGCTATTGTTGTGCTTTGCTTCGTGAGAGAAGAAGAGGTTTAGTTCATAGGCCTGTGCTACTGAGCCACATGTGAATTCAAGGATACAGACCTACTTAGGTACATTGGAGTCGTCTATCACCTGACTTGATACCCCGCACTCGTGAAAGTGGGATGTCTGGGGCAGCTAGAAAGAATATCCCTGGTTAGTTTGGCCTTTTGGTTTAGGGGAGAGGGTTTCGGAGGAAGTTGAATGAACATACCAGGGTGGGTAGGACAGTAAGCTAAGAAAAGGCACAGGTCGAAAATGGAAGGTACGGACCCTGAGCAATAAGATGTTTCTATACCATGGCATATACATACAGTACAGGGCCGAGACATTCCATGGGCCGAGTCAAAACCCAAGCTACGTGAGATATCTCGGGCCAACCACAAGCTGTCAGTCAGAAGGTCACTGATAGATACTTCATACACCTACGTCATCCACTAGACTGGTCCTTAACCAACTTGTCATTCCGATGACAATCGTATACGTACAAGTGTCAATATTCATGATCATAACATGCTAATCACTAGACCTATTGTATTCAGGTCAAATTCTAGATCATCCCACAAACCACAACACTCTGAACGCCGTAAGCCCCCCACCCAGACCCATAAACCTGCACCGGATAAAGACACCCGAGAACACCATCGAAACGACCTCAGAGACAATGCAAATATGCAAGTCGAAGGGGCTATACACAAGCTATGCCCCGCAAGAAGAAGAGTAACACGTATGGTACGAAGTGGATATCGGAAACGACAGGAAGAAAAACAAAGATGGTGAAACAGGCAGCGATTGATCGATTGATCGCTACCCTCATTTCACCCTAGTAGGGCTTCCTGCGCTACCAACACGTCCACTGGCCTTGCGGACACCCTTCTCGGTACGACTATCTGTCACACGCCTCGGGCTCGTGCGAACCTTGGTAACGGATATCATTCCACTACCGCTCTTGCTGCTCACTGGCGTCTTAGGTGCATATGCAGCTGCATCACCCCAGTTCTCCCGGTCATCATCATTGAGGGTGTAACTGGCGGTCACGGTTGCAGAGTAACTAACAGACCGCTGGCTAGGAGATGCCACGGGAGACCTTGAAGAGCGCTTGGCCAGCATGCGCAGTTGAATCTCTTCGTCACTCTCGCTACTGTCGGTGCTGAGACGACTGGATGTCTTGTTCGCCTCCTTCTCAATTATCAGGCTCCCCGAGGTCGTGCGAGAGTATGGGTGGTGACGAGAGTCCTTGCGCTGGGACTTGCGGGGCTGACCAGGTGTGGGTGCGGGCAAATTCTCTTCAGCGACTGTGCCAGCACCTTCATTGTGATCAATCTCTCCGAGAGCAGCTCGCTTGGAATGACCATTGTTCGGTGGGGTTGCAACAGGCCCGTTGGCGCGCTGGCGTGTGGTGGGTCGGCCAGGGGTGATGGGCACCGATTGCAATTGAGCAAGCTTCTCCTTCATGCTGTCCTCAAACCACCATTCGCGGAACGAGCCTTGATTGAGGTGCAGCCAGTGTTGCTGGGGACCAACAACCATTCCAGGCCGCATGAATCTCATGAATGCAATAATCTCATTGGCAGTGAAGCCATATCTGTAGATGAGATAGGCACCAATGAGACATCCAGTACGGCCAAGACCCGCCTTGCAGTGGACAGCGATCCCCTTCTTCTTCTGTGTAATCATCTCATGGGCCATCTTGATGAATCGGCGAACCAGAGGCAGAGGGGGGCAAGTTCCATCCTCAAAGATCATGTCGACATGACTAATTCCCAGAGCGGTGAAGTATGAAGGCGAGTACAATTCGGAGTTCAGCCGCACAACAAGACCCACGTTCCGAGAGGAGAAGTGGGTCAAAACATTCTTGAAGGGAGTGGGTAGTTTGGAAGCCTGAACTTCCGAGACAGTAGAAGGCAGCAGGGCATATTCGGGGGAGTCACGAGGAATGACATCAATGGGTTTGTGTTGTGGGGAGGCAAAGGCCAGGAATTGGGGAGTAATCCAGTTGAAGTCGCCCATGTCAACGCGTTCGTATTTCTCATATCTTGCCATTCAGTCAGCATCTTGCTCAGGGAAATTTGGATGGCTGCGCTCACTCTTCGAGGCTGAAGTCCCTCAAGCCACACAAGGACTGCTCCTTGGCCTTCCACACTCCATATACAACATCCTGAATGTTGATGATGTAATCCGCTTGACTGTATCCGGCGTCACGGAAAGGCATGTATGGGGGATCAGCTTGTGCAATTGGGGCCAGAGCCAAGTGCGGAGGCCAAGATTGAATCAGGACCATGTAACAAGCGACTAGACAGGCCGCATTGGCACGACTGCGCGAGTCGGTCTTAGAGTAGAAGACCACGGCGCGATCACTGTTCGCAGGGTCTCCCAGAATCTCATGGAAGTGCACGGCAAAGCGATAAAGGTGTCCAATGTGTAGAGGTCCGAAGTCAGCATGGAAGGAGTTGTATAGGAGAACATCGTCGACCGTAAAGTATACGGGGCTGCGTTTCTTGCTGCTTGGAGTAGTGGGCTGGGCTTTGGCGGATCGTTTGCTAGGAGACTTGGGCTGTTCGGGATAGGGGAAAGGCGTTCTCGCATCAGGAGGATAATCGTAAGAGGCCAAGTAGAGACGGTCTGGTTTGAAGACGTTTCTTAGCACCTTGCCCACGGAATGCCATTGAACAACAGCAACAGCGAAGGCCCTTCGCATTTCTCGCCAATGCTCGACCCAAGAGATAGAATTACCAACCTTGAATATACTCGATCACCTGTCCATAATCGCTGCTGCGTGTAGACATCTTGACTGTGGTGACGCGGCAAGCGAAACAATAGGCGCCAAGAATGAAATCGGATAATAAACAATCGCAACACCTCCCTGGGAGAAGGATTTATACGGCGTGTCGGTTAATAGATATGATGCCGCTGGCAATAGGAAAACTCCGCTAGTGAAGAGGAGAGAGAGATGTAAAGAGGACGTCGAAGCTAGATAGTCATGATCTGGTCTGACTGACCCTTCGAAGCACAAGATGAAGCTATAAGGACGCGGATGGGTGGCGGTTAAGGGTAAGGATAAAGGCAGCAAATGCCAAATAGGAGAGGGATGTACAAGTGATCAGCGGAAGTGGGCGACGGTCGAGCTTATAATAGGAAGAGGAAGCGGAGAGGAAGAGAGAAGAAAGTGAGGAAAAAGTTGGCTTGCACGAGAAGAGGATAGGCTCGAGGCCGATGGGAGACTCGTTTGGGGCAACTGCGATGCACGCTAAGTGGCTGCTGTTATGTTGTGATGAGCCCAATGAGGACTAGTGCGGCCGGTTGACAGGGAAACGTTGAGTGCCTCAGGCTTTTCAGGAGCTTCAACGAGCTTATTAGATAAGCTGTCAGGGGATCCTAACCAGTGTTTCCCAGCAAAACAAACACCCGGTAAATACAATAATAACAATGGACGGCCCGGCCACGTGAGCACCTCCATACCTGTGTTTGTTATGGCCTTCTGCCAGTGTTTGGATCCTTGCCGTTGTCAGTCCAACTTAATCGGAAGCTATTCGCATTCAATAGTTCATGTTGACTCCGCCATCTGCAGCTGCCTTGGTGCAGTCAGAACCCCAATCTGAGGTCATTGCCCCTCACTTAACTCGTACAACGACCAATTGAACACATGCAGGTCATTGTTTCCACAGAGATCATGATCTCATTATCAATATATGTCCCGCCAGATACAGTTCCATAAATATTGAATGCCCGACTCGGCCAAGGAACAACCCCATGATTCCGAAGAGAGCCCAGCCTCTGTCCACCGACATTACTAGTTACTACAAGAACATATTACATCATATCCCAGTCGGATAGTTACCCAAATGATGCTTAGTACATATCGGGCCTTATAGAACAAGCTCACTCTCCGACAAGCCAACTCATCTACCGAGTACACAGTACGGAGTCATCTCCAACTAAAGGATGGGAAACTGAGATGACAACTAGCAGGGATCATGCCCCCCACTGATGTAGAGAAGTATGCTCCAACCAATGAAGATCACCTCGGTAGCCAACGCAACGGTCGCCTTGCATCTTTGACCAAAGAGCCTTTGCAGGTCGCGAGTCGAACAATGCTGCCATAGCGCCTAGTCATTGTACTCAGCGCCCAAATGAATACAATATAATGCGTCGGTAAACATAAACGAGACACCAAACAATCGTTGAAGGCTGAAGCACAGCGACACCAACCTTGAGTGGGACTTGACGCGATGTTTTGGACCTGGCACCAGTGGGTTGTCAACCCGAGGCATAAACGCTGACTCATCTCTTATCTCACATCCCACTTCTCCCCGCCTGCGCTTCCGTGAGTTCGATTCTGAACCCCGACCAGATACGCGGTAGCCATAACCGCCCACAAAAGTTTACCCAAGTTCGCGCATTAGTCTCCAACTCTACAATGGCTGCTACCGTCTCCGCCACCGATTTTCCCTACAACCTGTGAGTCCCAAGGACCCCGCCAAGATCAATCTGCTTGACAAGACACTAAATCTCGAAACAGAACCATCTCCCTTCCCCTCCCGACCAATCGCCTTGCTTCGTCCGCCCTACGTACCCTCGAGGTAGATACTGAGCTGTCGCCGTTTGTGAAGCGCACTCTTACCCTGACCAGCCCGGACAAGAACCAGGCTGCCGACGAGGCCGCGAAGACCGTCCTGGAGACGACCTACTATGCCACCACGAACCGGATGCTTCGTGTCGCTGTCAACGGATTTATGGAGAGTCTGGGAGTGGTGCTTGGGGTTATGGAGGAGTTGGATGTGGATGTCTTAGAAATGGGAGAGACAAAATGAGCGGTTGCGGAGGCTGAACGGTATTACAATGAGGGAATCACTCAACATGGATAATGGGCTGAGAGGGGCAACAAGCGAGGGACAGAGGGCTTGCGTGGACAACCATTTTCTCAAAGCATGACGGTCCGTCTGCATCAAGCAAAGACAGGAGCAATGGTACAAAACTCGTGATCAGGCCACCCTGGACTGGACTCGATGGGCCATGAGTTAAAGGCTGTGGCAGTGCTTGCAGATAGTCCTGGAATCATTATGTCGGGTTGCCAAAAGAGTCTACAGCCCAAGCGCACGCCCAAGGGGTGGGGGGCTATATATAAAATCAGGGGTTTGGTTGGTGCGCAAGGACTTGATCCCAGTTGCGGATGACACGAGATTCGTTGAACCTCGCCTCGGAGACATATTTCCGATCGGGTAGTCTTAGATACGAATAAAGAGCATCTATGCGCATGTCACGTTTCGTGTACATCTATCCGTCTCATAGGACCCCTATAGTCCAGATCAATTCTTCCATCAGATTGTCGAATCCTGGGTCACGAACATGCTGATGACAAGTGGTGCCGAGACCCGAGCACGGAGAGAATCATCGTTGGCAGAGCAGAAGAGATTCGGAAAAAGGTCGTCAGCCTGGAACTAGTACACTGAGTAAGCCACAAAATCCCCCGACTAGTCCTATCAGGCCATTGTTAGTCGAGAAGTTTAATGGTTAGTCAATCAGAGAGAAAGTATTTGGAATTCTACGACCCGTCATCTAATGATCCACTGCCAATGTTCGCCCCGCGGCGGGATAAGGGCAGGCAACGGTCATATGCCAAATGCATAGTTAAGCTGAACTTGCTGACGAAACTCCCAAAGCAGCAAAAGGACCGGGAGGTTCTGGACAGCCCCAGATGACAAACCCATCCATCCATCGCCCATCGATCGACCCGGCCGTTGAACGATGATGACATCGTCTCTGTCTTTCTCTTTTTTTCTTCTACTCACAGTGCAGTGTGCACACTATTATCTGGTTCAGTCTAACTACTGTAGTCAACTCAAGTAACGGTTTATTCCATAGTTTACTAAGATAGTCTCCGTCCGGAATTCGGAAACGTCGACCCCCGAATCCAAATTTGAGGTCCAGACAATTGATCTGAACATCCGAGAAGTAAATTATCGATCTGGTGGTTTGAGGTACGGAATACAAAACGACCCGATGCGCCCATCCTCGATTCCGTCCATTGCATATGAATCATCGGCCAAACTGCGGTTAATCTCGCCTGCTTCCTCCTCACACTCACGATTATTCTTACTCGCGCCATCCTCGTGCATTCCAGTCCCTTCCCCGCTCCACCACCACTACTACTTCTTTGCGACTCCTCGCTCTTTGCGACAATCACAACTATACCACCACACTCCCAGTTCCTATCTGCAACAACTTAATCCATCATCATCATCATCTACCTCCGCAAAAATGTCATCTGCTACCACTTTCTACGACTTCGAGCCTGTCGACAGTACGTGCTTCCACTCCCCGCTCATTTTACCCCTCTCCCTCCCCCTCCCCTCTACTCAGAAGGAAAAAGAAAAGGAAGAAGAATCCCACAAATTCCCCCACCCACTTTAAACCCTCCTCTCCACAAACTAACCATCCCTTCGTGTTCAAACAGAAAAGGGCAAGCCCTTCCCCCTTACCGACCTAAAAGGCAAAGTCGTGCTCGTCGTCAACACCGCCTCGAAGTGCGGTTTTACCCCGCAATTCAAGGGTTTGGAGACCCTCTACCAGGAGCTTAAGGCGCAGTATCCGGAGGACTTCACCATCCTGGGCTTCCCCTGCAACCAGTTCGGCAGCCAGGACCCGGGCTCCAACGACGAAATCCAGAGTTTCTGCCAGCTCAACTACGGCGTCACCTTTCCCGTGCTGGGCAAGCTGGACGTCAACGGCGACAAGGCCCACCCCGTGTGGACGTGGATGAAGCAGGAGCAGCCGGGCCTGCTGGGCCTGAAGCGCATCAAGTGGAACTTTGAGAAGTTCTTGATCTCGGCGGATGGCAAGGTTGTCGGCCGCTGGGCGAGTCTGACCAAGCCCGAGTCGCTGAAGGAGCCGATCGTGCAGGAGATTGAGAAGGCGAGGAAGGATGGGAAGCTGGCCTCGCAGACCAAGGGTGCTGCTGCTACTGAGGAGGCCCCTACTGCTACTGCGGCCGCGGCGGCTCCCACCCCTGCTGAGGCTTAGAGGATTTCGTTGTACGTGAGCGACGGTGAGGAAGGGGACGGTTCGGGTTCTCCGTGGCATGTCCCGTGGGTGGGTTGTTTAAAGTTTGATACCAATTGTTGATTTGTTTTTTTAATATAAATGGGATGGAGGTTCTCTCTTTTGAATCCGCGGATCGTTACATTGCTATAATCTTACTTGCAGCATTTATTCATACATACCAGATTGTATTGAGCTCTTCTGAATGTTTTGTCGACGCGAATACGTCCATGTCGACAGTGTAATCAAGCAGTAGGACCATTCTTGGGGATCAAATTACGCAACGACAAATCGTAGACAACGTCTTCCACCTTTTTGACCTGTATACCGAGCTGATTAGCCTGCGCTCCGATAACCTCCCGGTAGAGACTTACACTGTATTTGATGCCATCACTCTTCTTCCGCAGGATGTCGTTCTTGAGATTCAATAACTGAAAGCCGGCGAACAGCTCCTTGATGAAGTTGCTGATTTGCATGGGCCGGGTGTAATCACCCAGCGTGACAGAGTTGACGGCAAGGCGAGACTATAGCACTCTTCAGCAAAAGCGGAGACCGACTACAAGAAGGAACAGAAACCCACCAGCTCTTCCACCATGGCGATCAACGCAAGCAGATACTCCTCGATGGTCAAATGGAACGCATCTTCCTCCTTCAGGTTGACGGGCACTAGAATGTAGCCCGAGTCAGCACCACACAACAGGATCTGGAATACACAAAGATTGAATACATATAGACAGCAGAAAGCAGAAGGTAAACTCACCGCCCAGAAACCTGCCCACCTCTTCAATGGTCAGAAACGAGGCCGAAGGGGCTGACTTGTACTCCTGCAGACCGCCCAACCAGGCGCATAGCTCAATCGACGAGACCTAGTACGTAGCAGGGTTCCATATCAGTTCCTCCATTCGTTCCTCGGGGCTCACTCAACGCAAAGGTTTGGGCTCAAAGGTAGCAGAGAGTTAAGAACACACCAGATTCTGAAGCTCCCGCGTCCACACCCCATTATACTTGTAAAAAGGATGCTTATCCGCCACAGACTTCAGCCGCGAAACCTCATCTCTCTGGGCCAAGATTGTCCTGGTCACGTCGTCGAGAACGGGTTTCACTATTTTCCCCTCCTTGTCAGCTTCTCCCCACTCAAGCTTGAAGCTGGGAGTCAAAGATGAAACAACAATGTTACATACACTGATCAGCAGGCGTCGAGTGCGCACGCGAGAGAATAGCTTGCGTGGATCGTCCTATACCCAAGGATTTAGATGAACTGTGATTCCGCGCACCATTGACCTTAATAGAGAGCCGATCCGGCATGTTCTATGGTAGGCAACAATAGAAGAGTGATTGATGTACCTTTTTGTGCAAGCGTCTGCACGATATCATGAAGTTCCTATTTTCGAAGCTACTCAGTTCACTTCTGTTTTCTTGTCCGCATGGGAGTGCAGGGGGCTTGGCATGGAGCTACTCTTGCTCTTTTTTTCTTACATCGCGGACGGCGGTTTCTTCATCGATCTTCGATTGAAGGTCCTCGAAGATTCGATGGTCAATCATTCTGGATCTTTTTTAGCTGTGATGATTGCTCTGAGAATTTGATAGATTTCGAATTTGACTGATTATTTCGCTTGAGATGTGGAAGACGGATGTTGGATTGTTACGTTACGTCAGGCGATGAAGTGAAGAAAGGTGTGGGGCAGATGGAGGAGGAAGAAAAGAGTTTCTGCCGCTGCACTCCAGCTTTGTGAGGGCTCCAGGACTGAAGTAGATACAGTGAGAGAAAAATTCAACCAAGTGACTTGGATTCATGATGGAAGTATATCAGCTGGCATTATTTAACTTCATGATCAACTTTTCTTCTGCGGTGATGTCTCAAGATGTCCTGCGATGCGCTGGAGGAAAAACTGCTCACTGGATTAAGTCTGGCACTGGCAGGACTAAGTATTTATATCATGAACAACGAGGACTGGAAGACCTCTGGCACTCAGACATCAGAATCACTACTGCGCTTCCTGAACCCATCCTTTTAAAAAGCCATTCCTCATACTTGCGACACACTTGTTTAAAGCCACCACGAAGATCATAATCTCATTAAACTACAAACAAACGAAAGCACAACCTGCCCTCCCCTCGACCTCCTCCCACCCTCTAAGCCACCAAATCACCAAACCCAAACTGCCAGCTCAGTACCGATATCTCGTCGAGTAATCTAGAAACCCGAAATCAGCTACAGTCCTCCACAAGCACAACCGACAAGAGAAATACATACCCTTCGGACTAACCACTAAACCGCGACCCTTCTTGGCGCCCTTGTAGATCGTTTCGATGATATCAATCATCTCCTGTTTGTCCTCTAGCACCCAGTTCAACTTGTTGTTGTTACCGGTACCGAAATCGCACATCATATGCTTATTCCGATAGAAGAACATGATGGTCATCGGGTCGAAGAGTTCGTACATGGTGTTGAACTCAGGGACCTCGTCGATATCGCAGAGGTAAATCACGGCGAAGTCTACCGTTCGTTAGCTTTGGTGGGAGCGATCGAGAGCGCTATGCATGCATAACGTACTCTTCACGCGCTCGGCAATCTTGAAAAGGACTTCATCTTGGCGCATGCCTAGAACGAGGGTCAGTCGCGGGAGATGCAGTAGGCACTTATAGTCAAGAGTGAAGCTTACAGTCGACGTCGTGGTCGCGGCCGAATCGGATGACCTGGTATTCCCCTTGGAAATCAGTCGGGTCTAATGAAGAGGTTGGGTGATGTGATGCATGGAGGAGGCTGTACGCACCACAAGACGGTCTTCCTCAGACAGGATGGCCTGGTCGACGTGCCAGGCGGTGCGCAGGTGCGGCAATACGACGGAACCCATGATGAGTTACTGATGCGGGTCTGCTCGTAACTGTGGTAATATTCAAGAGAGACTGGTGTGGTGAAAATCAAGAGACGTAGTAGTTCACTATCACGTAGAATATACGGACGGATGGAAGGGCTTGATGTGAGATACTCCGGCTGGTTTTTACGTCTGGGTGGAAGATTCGATGCGATTCAGTTTGCATCTACTGGTGCGATACTGCTACGACATGAAGGACAACAACCCATGCTCAAGATCCCTCCTCCGAAAGCAATGGTTTTCTTCTCCAACTAGTCGGCATGCCGACAAAATTGATGAAAAAAAGGTGGTTCGCGTCGATTGGGGGTAGTGTAAGCCCAATGACACTGTGTGGTCCGACATGCGCAAGCACAGAGGTCAGACCACGGGGTACAAAAATAAGATTAATCAATGTTGTGTTCCTTAGAACACTTTCAGAGATTAAACTGAAAAGAACAGATACTACACTTGATCTAAGCCAAAAGGCAAAGAGAGCTGGAGAGAAAAAGAAAAAAGACTAAAGGGAGGCGGGGGGCGCAGGGTATATATGCTACAAGCTAGATGGTCCGTGCGCCGCTAGCGCACTAGCGTCGGCTCCTCGACCACAAGCGAGCCTCTATACTGCCTGAGGCAGACGGTTAGCCCCATGAATGCCTGAGACACAAGGCTATGGTGAAGATTTCAAGTCAGATGACACGGACCAACCCTAATCAGTGAAATCGAGCCCTATCCACAAAGCCCAAAATGGATTAGTGGGGCGCACTCGACCCTCAGCAGCGAGATCTGACCATCCTTACCCTAGTGGACGTTTTCTTTCCCCCCAACTCTCATCAGGCGCAGGATACTCACCTCTTTGCGACCAGCTTCACTTTCTCTCTATCCCCCGAGAAAACTCCCCCCCCCCCTACAGTCACAATGGCTCCCGTTGCTGTATGTTTCCTTTCCACAAATCGCTTTGCTGTTCCCCCATGAGAGTTCTTCTATCCATGATCGTTTGGCGTTCTTTTAGCGCTGGCGCTGAAGAACTAGAGCGAGAGTGTCAAGACACGATCTTACTCCAAGTCATGGATACACGGACTTCTCTAGGGATCTCGACATTATGGAGCAGTAGGCTAATGGCATTTTTTTCGGACAAATAGGCTCGTGGTCGCAAGGCCCAGAAGGTCACCCAGAAGGTATGTTGAAGGCCCAATCGCAGATAGCGATTATCGAGTCACCGAGAGGCTCGAAACTAACTTCCATGCTTCATATAGTATGTCATCAACGCTTCCCAGCCCGTGAACGACAAGATCTTCGACCTCTCTGCTTTCGAGAAGTTCCTCCACGACCGCATCAAGGTTGAGGGCCGTGTCGGCAACCTCGGCGACAAGGTCGTCATCTCCCAGGCTGGTGAGGGCAAGGTCGAGGTTGTTGCTCACATCCCCTTCTCTGGCCGCTACCTCAAGTACCTGTAAGTTTTCTCTCTATTTGTAGCGGACCGACGTGGACAGAAGGCTGATCTAGTACTTTACCTCCGATAGCACCAAGAAGTACCTCAAGAAGCAGCAGCTCCGTGACTGGCTCCGCGTTGTCTCCACCTCCAAGGGTGTCTACGAGCTCCGCTTCTACAACGTCGTCAACGACGAGGGCGAGGAGGATGAGGAGTAAATTCTCTCCTCTTAGTAGCACAAAATAGACAACAAAAATGCGGAGAAAGTGATCGGACTCGGAAGTCTACTCCATCTTTGGGGGGTCTGCGAACGCCAATTTCTCAATGCACTGGGCTAGGATGGACGAGTCTGGTTAGAGATCATAGGTGTGCGCATTGGGAGGGACTCCTGCCTAAACCTCTTCTGGACTGGACGTTCTTCACCTGAAAAGGTGGCGCCCGCGCTTGTCCGTTGGGTTTGTCGAGGCTCAATCTACTCATGACGTTATGAATGGTAGATGTGAATCAATGTAGTAACCTATTTCTCAACCACCTCTTGCTCGACACGTAGACGTAGAATGGGTATCATAACTATCATATAAGAATAGGTTCTAACATAGCAGCTTGGATCGATGGATGATATCAACTTCCTATACTTGCATTTGCTCTTTTCTGACCGGCTCCGAGCCCGAGTTTCCCTGCTGAGGTTCCAGGCGCTGTGCCGGGTGGAGGCACAAGTCTGTCGCCTTGGATCTGCCATCCTTTCGACTTCAGCACCTTCCAGTGCTCAGCCACCTTGACTCTGACCAAGTCACCCGTAGCAATTGCGTCCTCCTTCGAATCATGCCCCAGATTACCACCGGTTTGGATATCGCGGTCAAGATGCCTTCGGCATAAGGTCTTCAAGCTCATTCGATTCGGTAATCCTCGTGGATGCGGATATAGCATGACGGTATCAATGATGGTAGGGTGGATTATCCGACAAGCATTGAGATCATTGTCAATGGCATGTCCAATCAAAGGTGTATCGGGCTGGAGATAATTGAACAGTAGAGCGCGGGCTGCAGCCGGGGAATCGACCACCCTTAAGGGTGGCTCCTCTACCGCTCCACCTTCCTGTGCTGTCTCTGGCGCTTCCTCCTGAAACCCGTCATAGGGTATCGCTTTGGTGTAGTGTTCAGGAAATACCCCGGAGAACCGCGAATTAAGGTCCAGTACTTCACCCATTGGTCTGACGAGAATGTCCAGAAGTGCTTTACCTTGAGGCCAGCTAACCGCGGTCAGGCGAATCAGTTCCAGCCCTAGAGTGGTGTATCCCATTTCACAGTCGAAGCAAATTGGTTGAAGCGGGCCCTTAAATGGTTGTGCCGGCGTCTCCGTGAATTGAAGAACGGAAGCAAGCCGTTTAGTTTCCGATACCTTGTAGACATGTGTCTTGCCTCTTGTACAGCCGGAGGAAGTGCCCAACGTCTCATTGCAACAAGAATAGTAAGCTTCCTTATGCCCTGTTATATGATCCGTTTGCTTCCTTGGAGGATAGAAAGGTTTGCCAGGGTGGTGAACGCATTCTCCCCCCGACGTCAATGAGCCATCCTCGCGACGGCCTGGGAAAACCTGAAACCTCCCACCGCACCGATCGCACTTCTCCCAACCTTTGGACTCAGCGACACCTCTCTTGGCACTCTCAACTTCCGCATCTGACGGTGCCTTTGTAACATAGCCATATTGTTCGCGACCTTCAACTGGAGTAATGAGCTGGCTTACCAACGCGATTTCCTCTTCTGCACTCAACCCAGTACTGAGGGCCCGCGGCTTCGACTGCTCTGTGTTGGGATCGATCTTGTAGTACCGCTCGTTGAGATGATTCCTCACCTCAGTTGTCCATTCCTCTTTCGTTATCTTCATGAGTCTGACAATTCGCAGCTTGATGACATTTGCATATATGCTGGGATTGCCCCTGGCGGTCTTCTCCTCCTCGTCCAATGCCATCGTGATGACCTCGTTCGGTGTAAGAACAAGCCATTTGTCCTTGCTGTCTTTGTCCTTGGCCATCTTCTCGTTCTGCGAGGACATAGCCGCATGCAGTTTCGTCAAAATCGCCAATCTGGTCCCATGCGGCGCGGGCGCCTTCGTCAACATGCGAGGATTCAAACTTTCCCGCGGAGCCTGTCTCGATGAACGCGACTTCGCCGCCGCTTGCGTCTTAGCAATCGCAGTCGGCACATTCGTTTGCTTCGCTGTCGATGCTGGCTTCGGCGGTGGAGAGACCCTGCGAGACAGTGACTGCAATTTGATAGCATTTGAAGGCACCGACGATCGAGGCTCAGTGGCAGGCTTGGCCGGAACGCTTGGCCTGATATCTTCGACCTTTGACAATGCCGACAGAGGCTCTCTCTCACTCCTTCCTGGCGGGGCTGACATTGTCGGGGCGGATTTTCCGAATGACGCGGCGTTACCAGGTTTCGCATCTGAGGGTTCAGTGACGGCAGAGGTGACCTCCTCGCTAGCATCGATTGAAGCAAGACCTTTGTGAGAAAATATACAGGTCAACAGAGGGCAGCTCTGACCCTCGGGACAAGGTATGTCCCTGAATAAGCCCAGGGGGGTGAACATCGTGTGAGGTGGGTAAAGATGCAAAGCTCAAAGAGAATATAAGATAAGATAATAGTTCATAGTACAGAACAAGAACAAGCAAGGACTTCAATCCATCGCTACATGACAAGTATCAAAGCAAAGACCAATCAGGCATTGCAATCTCGTGTAGAACCAAATGATTCGGTGTTTAACGGGCTGCGGGGGCGCTGGGGGGCGAAGCAGTGCGGCTACTGCTAGAAGTAATACTCGAGCAGAGAACAGAGAACAAAACAGCCTAAGGGATGAGCAAGGAGTGAATGTTGAACATCTGACCAAGCTAGTGAGGTCGATTCGCTTCTAAGCATAAAGCTGGGCAACAAAGAGAAATGTCGAAAGGGAAAGTGTTGAAAGGCCAGAGTGACTGCACGTTGTCGGAGAAGAGCGCGGTGCAAATGATGCAAACTTCACATGCGAAGGACCAAAAGAGCAGCAGCCATTCGCACTTCCTCAACCACCCCGGAAGAGCTGAAGGCTGAGTTTACTGGGCTGACTCAACCCTGCATGGCCACGCAGCAGTGAGTCTCATCAGGGTTATGTAAGATCAGCCAGGCTGATTGTCGATGCTGTCTACTACGGACGCTTCTGGGCTAATTCGTAGCATCAGGCACCGGCGATGACGTCTCGTTATCTGGCTTAGTCAGCGCTATTCTGGGCTTCCCTTCTGCTAGTCTACTACTATTTCTTGACGGTCGGACAAGAAGGAAGCAGCCACATGGCCCCTTGAATTGCGATATATCCGTGTCTAGTTCCGGTGCTGAGAAGTGGATCATGTCGATGAGGCTATATTTTCACCGCTCACTCACCCCAATTGCAAGAGGAGACTCTTGATTTCCACCTTTTGACCATGGAGATGGAACTTGATAACGGCCGGGCGCCGACCGAGACGTCGCGCAAGGCAGATCATCTCTGCGTGTTGGTCCATGGGTAAGATAACGAAATTACTCGAGCTGGCAAAAGCTACTCTGCTGATCCTCGAGTCTCATCAGGCTATGGGGCAATCCCTCGCATTTGGACTTCATCGCCACCTCGCTGCGGGATCGATACAACGAGGATCGCCTCCATATCCTCGTCGCCAAGCGCAATTCCGGGAATTACACCTACGACGGCATTGAACTCGGTGGCGAACGTCTCGCACATGAGGTCGAAGAGACTCTGGCAAACCTAGCTGAAGAGGGTCACAACATTCGGAAACTGAGTTTTGTCGGCTATTCGCTCGGAGGCCTGGTCGCTCGATACGCCTTAGGGCTCCTCTACGCTCGGGGTTGGCTAGACAAATTGGAGCCCGTCAACTTCACCACATTCGTTTCGCCGCACGTCGGGGTACGTCTCCCACTGAAGGGGACCTGGGGCTTCTTGTGGAACAATGTGGGGCCTCGGACGATCTCCATGTCGGGGAAGCAACTGTTCATGATCGACACCTTTCGAGACTCCGGGCGACCGCTGCTCAGTGTCTTGGCTGATCCGGACAGCATCTTCATCAAGGCACTGAAGACCTTCAAACATCGATGTGTCTATGCGAACATTGTCAACGACCGGTCGACCATCTTCTACACCACCGCCATCTCGGCTATCAACCCCTTCGAGGACCTGGAGAACGTACAGTTCGACTATGTGGCGGGCTACGAGCCCGTCATTATCGATGCCACCAAGCCCGTCGCGGTCGTCAAGCCGGAGCGTCCGTCGTTTCTAGAACAACTGCAGCGCCAGGTCATCAGCTTCTTCACCAATCTCCCCTTCCAAGCCCTCTTCACAGCCTTCGTCATCATCGGTGTGCCCTTGTTTCTCTTGAATGCGGTTGTCCAGAATTTCCGCAGTCAACGCCGCATCCGCCGCCACGAGGCTGCACACTCGCGTAAGATCTTCGACCGCTATCGCGTCCCCGTCATAGTCGAGGAAGTCCAGCAAGTGGTCGAAGAGGTCTTCGAGAGCGCCGGCGCTCGACAGAAGCCCGACCATTTGTCCTCTGCTACCACTACCACCACGAGAGCAGCATCTGACACACCCAAAAGACATCGGGGAGGAGCAACAACAAGCTCATCCGCGACCGACCTGGAAAGCAAGCTCGAGGAAGACGACATCGAGCCCCTCCTCCGCCGCAGCAGTACAGCGTCCAGTTTTGGCAGCGAGAAATTCCCCACTCTGGCCCTGACCCCGGCGCAATTTTCCATCATCGATTCTCTGAACTCGGTGGGCTTCCACAAGTTTCCGGTCTGGATCCATAACCACCGGCATAGTCATGCCGCTATCATCATCCGAGTACAGAAAAGGGGATTCGATGAAGGCAAGGTGGTCGTGAAGCATTGGTTGGATCAGGAATTCGAGATTTAGACCTTGCTGCTACTAGAGTATCTGGTGAGGTACGGCAATAAGAGAAGCGCGCCCTTAGTAGCCCTTGCTACTTTATTCTTATCTTGTTGTATCAACGTACAAACGCAACACCTGCAGCTGTTCTTTCATTCTAGCGTTGGTTATTGGGTGCATGTAGGGGAAGTTAGACAGAGTAGAAGACAGACTATACAGTTCATGCTATTTCTTCTGCCTCTGCTCAACATCGTGACTCGACCACTTTCTAGATGGCGCAAATGATTCTACATCTCAGACCCAGCCACACGGTATACCAACCATGAAAACCAAATCCATGCAAACCTTCCCTTAGATGGTTAAATTGCATTATAATACTTAGATAGTGTAAATATCACATCTACAGGTTGTGTAGTGTAGTGGTTATCACTTTGGATTTTGAAGTCGTCTTGATAGAAAGTTCCAATAACCCCGGTTCGAACCCGGGCACGACCTTTTTCTCTTCTTTTGCTCTCAACTTTTTGCCACTACATGTTTATTGCTTACTGACACGCTCAGGTGACCGCTTTAGGTTTACAACTTCCATCTATGCTGCCCAACAATGACGCTTTATAGTGGTTTATCAGGCTAATATGAAAGAACAGGTTTTCAAAGCGTTCGCGTATTTATAAGTATCTAATCTCAACTGATTTCCTGGTACCATTATACTGTAATATCCCTTAATCGTGCTCTCGGCTACTATTTTGAAGCATTACGCGCACAGCAAATTAATTGTTGATATTAAGAATTGAGTTTCCATGTGCTGGTCAGGACTTTAGCATTAACCAGGTATTATAGTAAGAGTTCTTACAGTCTAAAACAGTTCCCCAAGAAGGTATATGTTAGTTATACCTCTTCCAGCAGAAATAATGCTTTAGGGGAAGACGTCTAGAAGCTTACTAACATGATGGCAAAGCAAATAAGTTAGAAACCTGGCTCTCAGTGCAGGAGGTGGTTATCTCACATTCGTAATCAAAAACCAATTCCTCCGGTGTTGCGCACAGTGATTCTTTGTTTATACACTTGTGATTAACTTCAATTGCTAACCTACAAGAATTATTATCAAGCATTCAATCGTGTTCGAGATTGGAAATAAATACTAGCTAACAATAAAAGGATAGTTGAGATGATAACAGATAAGTATATATACTACTAAGTACTAATACTATTTCCTGTACCATCACCTGTACCACCATCTCCTAAAGAAAACAAGAACCGTTGCGTATATAAGAGCTTTGTAGATAGCCAAATCTGGGATGGTCTCATTTTATTGCCTGTAGTTGGCCTCAATTTATTGCATCATAGTGAATCAACTACTAGTAGAGACACTACACCTGCCGGAGGCTGCGCAGACGGCTCGGAAGGTTCAGTATAAGGTAGGTTCGTCAGTCTATGGTATTCAGGCACTGGCATAAAACAAAGCAGATGATATTACTAATTCAGTCTTACAGTATGCTGCATTTAAAGATGAATAACTGTGCAGAATCCATTTAGCTTATATGGTGAGCAGTCAACACCCACTGTCACCTGAGTCCCAAACATTAGCAGGAACAAGAAGCGGGCAGTATGTACTATGTAGCAAGGTGGTCAGACGGAAAAAAGAGACTGTTTGTTGCTGTGTACCTTAGCTTCTGGACTAGCCACAGCCTCGAGTGCTATAATAGCAAAATAATGGTTTTGGTAATAAAGATGATGAAATAGTCTGAACCATTTTGAGAAAAGTGGGAAATAAAGGTAGAACCCAAAAAAGGCAAAATTATACAACATTTGATCCAAAGAATCCAAAATTAAGATTAGAATTAGGTATACCACAACTTGATAGCAGCTTCATCGGGCGATTTGAGTACTTGAGCGGATGGACTTCTCTCTGTCCAGTATAGTTATATAGAGAGCTACCAGTGGTCTTGAACTCTAGACGTCACTAGTGCAGGGAACTGTAAATAGACTAGGTTTGACCTGTTTTCAATACTAGATCCTAAGAACTTTGCCTTAGTCTTATCGCCCTACTTGTACTTCTTTTACAGTATCTCATAAGAATACAGGGACTATTGATTCTCCGGGACGCGTCGAGAACTTAACGCGTCGAGAACTCACTAGCTTCAATAATTCGGGTGGATAAAGCAGTTCTGTACAGAGATACAATATTCGCGGTGTGTTGATATTTCAGCCCAACCCACAGACTTGCAGAGAGCGCCAAAGATCTTTCCCTAATATGATTTTCGCCCGAGATTTAAGCAACAAATAAATATAGCAGACAAGAGTCTAAAAGCGAGCCGATCACGAACTTCAATTTCACAAGTTACGAAGAAAACAATGGACGGGTTATAAATTAGATCGGCTAACAGATTTTCACTAGTTTTAATGAGATACTTAAGTACTAGACAGAGATAATTAAATAAGCAAGCGCAGAAGTAAAGGTACTAAAAGCAGAACAACAGCTTCTTTATACTTAAAATTAAGGAGCTGCGGGAAGAAATTCAAATCCTCCGGGCTAGAATAGAGGCGCAACCGGCAAATACCCTCCTGAACAGGTCGTCAGCGGAGGTAGCCGCTGGCAATCTGCTGTCAGACCCTAAGCAGACAGTCCCGCGCCCTAAAAAGGGTCCCAACTGCGTCCGAATCAGCACCGCACGGATGCTGGGTTGGAATGTCGATAACGACTGATTCTCGAGAGCCCTGCTAATAGAAGCAGCAAACGCCCATATTCGCACGGTCCTCCTGAAAGCAGATCATGGCAACAGCTGATTGTAACGTACCGCTTGAGATTTTTCGGGACCTGGAAATCATTAACCTCCTATATGCTAGGGTATGAAACAGCTGATAGCACAACCCTGAATCTGACCTGCTTGTGTATCTGTCTTATCCAAGGCCAATTTGTTAATAAACCTGTCTAGGTATTCCCTAATTTCAGTTAAAGATTGCTGTAAGAGCACCACCAGGTAAGGGTTGACCCTGGTGACTAGCTTATCATTATTCGGCTTCGCGACGGCTTTGCTAAATGTGCAATTCGAATGCGGCGGAGGCTCATGAAACAAAGCAGTATTGAACAAAAGTACAAATTTTAAAGACTGACGTATAGATACAATACAAGATCTAAAGTCAGATATTGAGACAATTCGATCGGCTAGTCTTGAAAGACCTCGATAGCACAAACCGTACAAACTGTTTCTTGATACCACCTATGTCCCATCTCTTAAAACGGGAGAAGTAATAGGATAGAGTGGCCATACAGACATTGGAAAGCGACGAACGCCCAGATAATACCAAAGTCGCGCCACCTCTGGGGAGATACTACTACCCGCGAGGAACTGATCCGCAATTGTGAGAGGACAGTGCTCGCAGATTGAGATAGCATTCCTGTCGAGCACGTGTCCTCCAGCCACTGTAGCGTAATTGCCGAGTATTCTCAGCATGTTTTACCGGAGGGAGGGTCGAAGAGAGAGAGTTTCGGCGGCAGAACACACGATTTCACGGCTGTGAACTAGAGTAGCTGTCATAGCTGCAGTTCAGTATATGAACGGAGAGACACGATAAATGAAAATCCAAATGTCGGGTAGGGCCGAAGGGGGCTGCATCACAACACAAAAGGCAAGCGACATGGAGAAAAGGAGGACGACGACGGCACTCGCCGTTAGGGCATCAGGTTAAGGCCGCGCTGACCATTTGAGCGAATGTGCTGGTGTAGATAGAGAATTGGATGCAGAGCAGGAGAACGGTGACTTGGCTCACCGAGCTTGGAATACCGACAACGGCGTAGTAATAGCAAGCATAAATCAAAACTCCGGTCAAGACCATATACGGAATCTCCACGATGATCTTGGTAATACGGAAGACTTTCCAGGAGTATGCCTTGCTAGGTTTCTCACGGACTTCAAAGAGAGATTGCTGGGTCACAAAGAGAGGCATCAACTGCTGGAACAAAAGGGTGAAAATGGTGCAAACCATGAAAACTGAATAAACCACAGTCTGCATCCCCTGAAGCGATGCTTTGGCCTGGTAGAATGAGAATCCAATCAAGAGACCGGCAGCGACACCAAGGCCCCATTTTGAAAGGATGTAAGAGGGCATGCGCCAATATTGCTGGAATACACGGTAGGTGACCTGACATAGTTGGAACCGGGTTGGCATAGCAAATTCAGATTGACTGGCGCTGCAGTCATCATCCATAGACGCTTCCTGTCGCTCTTGGTGAATGCGGTCGATCTCAATTTGAACTGCTGCGCTCTTCTGGCTTTGCTTCCAAAGATCAAATCAGTCGATTCCTTCGGAGTTGTTTCTCTTGTTAACAACATCAATCATGTATTCAGCTGGGTTTTCGTTGTCGTCACATTTTCGCGCACCATTATACTCAGAGTATTCCAAAAGAGTCCGTGATTGCTCGCCGATTGGACCAAAATAGACAGTCTTACCACCACGTGCCAATAAAAGCGATTGATTGAACTCTTGGAACAGAATAGCAGAGGGCTAGTGAATAGTGCACAAGGTAGCCTGCCCGTTAGAGGTCAGGCGACGGAGAAAGGAGCAGATTGCCCAAGAACCCTGGGAATTCAGGCCACTTTATGTAGGTCAGTATAGGCAAGAGAAGTTCAGTTCAAAACGAATTACCTTGTTGGCTCATCCAAGAACAGCAGAAGCTTGGGCTTAGCAGCCAATTCAACGCCAATAATTGAAAGCTTGCTCTGCTCAACATTAAAGCCCTTACAGGAACACCAACAATTGCTTCGGCAAAGTCCTCCATGCGAAGCATACGAATTGACATTTTCCACGTAGTCGTACTTTGACTTCATAGAAACTGTGGCTGGCTGGCCGAGAAGAGCGCTGAAACGCAAAGTCTCGCGGACAGTAGCAGTTTCCAAGTGGAGATCCTGCTGCTGGACGTAGCCTGTCTTGCCCGAAAACTAGCATCAAATTCATTGCCATTAACGAACATATCACCAGTGACAATACCGATGGAGGTTTGATGAGCCAAGATGTCCAAAAGTGTAGTCTTACCGGCTCCGCTGACACCCATTAACGCAGTGAATGTTCGGGCTTCATCCAGCTAGAGACATGATCCAGAAGCGTGCAGGGATCCCCCTTGATTTCAATATCACAAGAAACATCGCGCCAAGTGAAAATATTTGTCTGTGGCTGAATTGCATTCATGCCATCGTTGCCATCTTCGTCCGACATGTATTGCTTCATAAAAGCGTCTGCATTTTCGACATCAGAGCCAGACTTCATATGACTACGCTGTACGTGAGCTGGCTCATGGCCACGGCGGAAAACCAATGCTTTGGCGGTACTCGTGGTTGAAGCGTTCAGTTTACTGGCCAGGAAGTAAATAGCCATGAAACCGACCAAGAAGGCGATGGAGATACCAAAGTTTCTCCAGACGTGGCTTTAGTCATAACCATATTCCTCCTATATATCTATCCCCATTGACTGTCAAGTCACCCCGCCAAAGAGTCCTAGTGGAGCAAGAGAAAACTTTGGCAAACTTATCCGTGTATGAGGGGATAAGCTGAGCGTAAGGAAAATCTTGTCCGTGGAACTCGTTGGCAATCAGAATCTCGAAGGCATAGTAGATAGGATTAACATAGAGAAACCATTAAAACCAGGGGTGCATGGAGGACCGAGGTATAACGAATCCCATATAGACAACCAGGGCAAGAATCATGACACCGGCGACGCCCATTGCTTGAGGTATAGTCTGCGTCACAGCAGCCAATATTCTGAAGATGGCGGACATAACGAGGGTGACAACGAATGTGACCAGGAAGTACAGGAAGAAGCTAGCTTGTAGTAGAGGAAGATGCCGGACGGCACGTAATCTATTCTACATTATTGGTTTTCTAGAGTGGACGGACGAAGATGAAGTTAAACCATTGGCTGAGATATCTTTAGACGCGACTTGATTAGTCATGAAACTCCCTTCTCCATATTTCCGACCCCTCCAGCTACAACATTCACTCCCCTACTCCTATACATGCCGTCGATTCTTGATTCCAACCCAGCATTTCAATGGTTTCTTTGAGAATCCCTCATGAGACTCAAGCCTTGGCTGATACAGTTTGAAGTCGTATCGATGGAACGCCGTGCCAACAATTAAAGCCAATTCCATATGAGCAACATTTTGGCCCACGCACGCTCTAGGTCCATATGAGAACGGATTGAAACAGACTTTTTGGCGCGGGGTTAAATTGAGCCAACGATCCGGCTTGAATTCTTCAACATCTGGTCCCCAGACGTCTGCGTCATGATGAATAGAGTAGCTAGGGACAGAAAGAACAGTACCTTCGGGGAAGTGATGCTCTCCATAGGATACACCATGCTGAGCCGTCACAATCCGGGGAAGTCCAATTGCCGAAGTAGAGTGCAGCCGCATTCCCTCATCAATGCATTGCCTAAGAAACTTCAAATTCTTGACTTGATGATGGGCCGCAATCTGTGAGTCTGCGGGAATAGCTGCGTCGAGCTCTGCCTGGAGCCTGGATACTACGCTTCCGGGCTTAGAACGCTCACCGCTGAGGATCCAGTATATCACAGCACATGCTGTATTGGATACCGTATCGCTGCCTGCAATAAGCTGTGTCAGAGCCTCGGAGACTAACTCGGCACGAGGCATTGGGTTCCCAGAGGAGTCTTTGGCATTGCAGAGCATTTCCAGAATGTCGTTTCTCTTCTTTCCCTCAAAATATCCTTTTTCGCTTGCTTCGAGACGCTTCGCGACGGAATTTTCAGCTATTCCGTGGAGGTTTTCAACAGAGCTCAAGCCTTTAGTGAAGAAGGGATCTGGAAGGTATTTTGCAAAAGGCCGTATTTCAGGGAGCAAGCCAAGAGTTGAGCTGACTTCGCCTCTTCGGTTGAGAGTCTCGGCCCCCGGAACATAGGTTATAGGCTTTCCCGGAAGTGATGCTTCACATTCATCCCGGCCACGGGACACCATTCCGAATGGGGCACCAAATGCGAGGTCGCCAATTATGTCGAAAGCCAGAAATGTACACCACGGCATCATATTCATACGCGCGTAGCCTTCCGGATCCGGATGAGTTGCAATATTGTCTAGTTGGCGGACCCATCGTTCCAGATTTGCGCTCATGTGCGTCTCAAAATCTTGCACAGCACCTGGAGAGAATGCATGGGCGATGATCTTGCGTTTTCTCGTGTGTTCCCCGCGGTGACGGACATTGAAAACTCCAGGGACCCCAGAAACGAAGGCTTCATAAAATGTACTAAAAGGGAGTCAGTCGATAGATAAATATATTTGCAATAAGGCACTTCACACGTACTCTTTTAAGAAGCCGTTTCCGTGTGCATAGACAGTATGCAGCCCTTCAGGCGTAGCAATTGAGACATGGTTGAATCTCACCCGAACTATCTTGCCGTATTTTCGATGAGCTTGGTCAACCCATGCATATTTCTGGCCCTGGCGTGCACCGAGAGCAAGCCAGATGTTGCTAAACTTGCAAATCAATGGCCCGGGGATCTGCTTTAAGTGCTTGTAGGTCGTGAAATATGGCACGGCCCAATACGACACGGCCCATACAGGTAATGATATACCCACTAAGATGAGATAGTAGAACGGTTCCATTGCGACTGGGTATCGTTCGAACAACGATATGATGGTATTAAGAAGTTGGAGCTGAGCAGATGAGGACGTGATCCTGTCGACGAAATCAATTCCTTACCTTACCTTCAAAATATATATACCAGAAGATCACACGTACAGATAAATCACATGCGGTACGTGAGCCACAGTTCCGAGTATCCTTAGTGGTGTACAGGTTCTCTTTCGGTCTCCAGCGTCCAAACCAATTAAGGTTCAAGGATCTATCTAAACCGTTGCAGAGTCTCATTCCATCATGGCAATGCGTATATTCCGACTTCCAGTGTAAAGGCACTCTATAGGCTGAAGCCCCGAGCCGCGGTAAGAGTCCTTATCTCACGAAGCTTATAGGCGGCGGATTTTCCAGCCGCCTCCCGACCGGGCTCTCTCTACTCTATGTATTCTTGCTATCCCGTCAGCCCGTTCAAAAGTGGGGAGTTAGTTCGCAGGAATGGGGGATTCGAGGGGAGTACGGTACGGAGGTGCGCGCCAAAAGTCTTCGCACCCTTGGTGTTGCCGTCAGTGTTCTGCCACTAGTTCCCGCCTTCTGGCATTCTTTCAATAGGGTCGACTTCTGTCTTCCGTCTTAGAACAACATCATCAGAATCATCAAGCCATAATGAACCTTCATTGACCTCCACAACACTTGGACCGACTATACCCGTTCCTTTCTGCAATTGCCATGGTAGGACTCTATGTCTTTTCATACAGATTTCTATTTAATATATATACTAGTAGTATTTATTAATAAATTTATCAAAATAGTCATCAAAACACTAGAAATAAAGTTACTTATTAAATTTAAGTATTGTAGTAAATATGATTCATATCAACGCGTGCTGCTGGATTGCGCAAGTGACACCATCACATTCACAATGAAAACATGGACCATAAACCATGATATGATTAGTATAATCATTGTAACACCTATATCACATACAGTATAGTTAGAGAGTGAATACTTATAAGTAAGGTTGGATTAGCGAGGCACCGCGGAAGCGTTAGATACAAACCTGGAAGCCCAGGGTTGTAGCCTCAGGCCCGAATATGTCCAGCCTCAGGAGGGTATTGCTGTGAGTGGAACATCCAAACTTTGCAGAGTGAACTCATCCGGTTTCTCTGGTTCTCCCACAGCTCAGAAATCAGCGGAAACGAAATACACTTAAAAGTTTGAGTGGTGAGATGATATGATGGCCTGGGCTCTGAGGCACCGATGTCATAAGTTCTTTCTATTTCTCAGTAGATGGGCTTGTGTGCCTAGGGTGGGGGGTCTGGAGGTCCGCGGTGTCACCAGGCAAACTAGCCCCAATCAGCTGAGCTGAGCTGGTTGCGTTTGTCTATTTCGTCACCGAGGTACAGAATTACGTCCAGAATTAGAAGGTGCGCGGATATTTCTGAAGTTATGTATATAACTTCCAGAAGGAAGTAGATTCTTTTACATAATGTTTATCATGCTGTCTCTTTATCTTCCGCATAATCATTGACTCAGTGAAGTATTAGCTCTTCTCCGCGCTAGGATCCTTGTTCAATACCCATTATCAGAATCATGCAGGTTAATTCCATTAGTTAACCCTTAAGTTAGTCATACGGAGGGAAGAACCGCAGGTTTTAGGTATTATATGGGGAAAAGCTCCTGCTAAGGACACACCACGAGGTGATTGACTGTTGCGTTGGACAATCTACAAACGGCTTCGGAGCCATTTAAAGCACGGTCTTCCCTTCTGCGTTCATGGGCAGCTGTCGAAATACTCTTCTCCAGCAATGGTACTACTGCGTAGCACTGATCTCTCCAGCAAGCACACACACACACACACACACACACACACACACACACACACACACACATTTCGCATCTGACCATACACCTTACCGGTTTCTTTTAGGCATCGAATTAGATTTTTCAAAGTTCTCGTGAATAAGAAAAACAAAAAAAAAAAAAAAAAAAAAAAGGCAAAAGCCACCATGACTGACACTGAGAACAATGCCACTGCTGGCACTACCACACTATCCCACCCTAGGACTCTGAACGATGGGGATTATTGCTTCCGAACCGCAATTTGGTTGAGTTCGGAGGAATTCTTTGAAAATGGTGCAGCGTGGCGGCCGGACTATCCCCTCTTGCGAAGGCCACCTTTTAGACCCAATCGGCCTGATGGCACTAACGAGGACGACGAGGACAACGGGGACGAGGACGACGACAGTCACTATTCCAGCGACGAGGAATCCGAGGACACCGAGCCGAGATCGGACCTAGACCCTAAACCATTGATCATCATGGTCTATATCCCCGACGAAAATGAGGAAGACTGGCAGGAGTACATACCGCCCGGCTTAACTGACACAGTCGATATCGAATGGACTTGCAGCATCGCTGCATTCGAGCGACTCTTGTGGCTTAGGCCGCCCGAATTAGGAGCAGATGTGGATCCAGAGTCGCGAATGCCCAATCCACGCCTGCGCGCAGTTATCATAACCGATCTAGAGGTGCTCAGTAACCAATTCGAGCCTTTTACGGATCACATTATGGAGCGACACGAGAGAATGGAAGCGCAGTGGACACTTCTTCTGGCGCCTCGAGTGGCCGGCGAAGCTGATGAGGATACTGTCCAGAACTTTCTCTACAACGTATGGGATCTGGACTGGCAGATCTCAGGCCGGACGATTGGCGCCTGCAACTTTGAGCTTACTCCTGAAGCCCAAGAGAATTGGCAGATCCCGGACATTGCGCTGGGGGGCAACAGATGTGAGTTCCCTAGTGGTGTTTTCCGGATTTTACATGTTGAACCCCCTGACTGTTTCCTGCAGTTGTGCCTGGGCCAGCGCTTGCATCGTTCCACAATAGGACGAAACACCTACTTTGTTGCCAATGACGAATATCTCAGTGCGGATAACCAGGAAATCGTGACCCAGTGGTGTCCTGCTGCCCTGGACATACTCTCGTACCGCGGCTTCATTGGTTATGCGTCCATGAACAGCTCGGTGGTTGATACTATTATGCTGATGTGTGGCATTCAGCGCGACAGTGATTCGACCTGGCGAGTCCTTGATTCTGAAGAATTAGAGCCGGTGGAATGGGAATAGTAGGCGTCAGAGCTCGGTTCTCTGCGTGACCTTCTCGATAGATTTAAATTACAATATTCGCTTGATAGCGTATCATATTACCAAGTACCGCACTGTAAGCCCAAGGTGAGATAGAGTTCGAGGGGTACTTTTTGGCTGAAACTCCATATACCTGATTGACATGAGCGCACTGGATATGCAAATTTAGTTGGGGTTCACTTCTTCAGGGTGTCAGAATTGCAGACTCATCAATTGCAACCAGGACATTGCCCATTGAGTATAGAGTAAATCAACCGCAGCCAGGAAGCGTCATCGCCGAAAGGCTTGATGATGAACAGACCATTATCGCAAAGACTTTCCAGAATCTTTGGCGACTAGACGGCTCTAAGTTGATGACATCCTGTGATCGGCGGTGCTAGTCGGTTGAATGGAAAGCATGGCGTCTTACAGTACATGCCCAGTCTGACTAGTGCACGAGTCAGTGTCATTGATTCTCGTTCAGCGCTAGGACAAGTGGTGAGATTTAAGTGTGGCGGGGTTGACCAGGGGGCATGGCAGCACATCGCTTGGACCGTTCCGGTATGACCGGTAGATAAATGGTAAACTGTAATATCGGGGCTGGAAGGTTATGCGATTGGGCTTGAAATCGACGCGCCAGCCGTCTATACCCCATGTCCCCTCTGTACATGCCTGCATGCTAACGAAAGCACAGTGCGGCCTCAGGATAAGCCGAGTGGATTAGTTCTTACCTAGTAGCAGGGATACCTTCAAGGTCTCTGGTTCAATGAGAAGTAGAAGTGTTGCGAGTGCGAATGTGGTCAAGCGCGTCGACAAGACACCAGGATGATGCTGCGCATAGACCCCTGCGAGTGAGTGAGACTGGTCTGTTGACGTCATTAAGGAAAAGGAACGGAGGGAGGTTGAGACGCTGAGAAAATCCTGTAGTGTACAATACTGTGTACATCGGTGCCATGGATGGTTTTAGGCCGAGGACTTTTAGTAGTACAGTACATAATTGCTTGCCCCCCGCAGTTTCCCGTGCAATTGCTCGAATGTAGACAACAAATATTCCCAGCACTTATCGCGATCATTTGTGAAGAACCGACTCAAAATATGATCATGCTCTTCCCAAATTGATCCACCTGCATATGTACGTACTGTACCCCACGAATAACCCCCATACCAGTAGTCCAAATGGTCTATAGGTAAACCCCGCATGCGCTCGTTTTGCATACGCTAGACTCAGGCTAAGCCCTGTCCGCCATCTCAGTCTCCACCTCGATCCGACCAGTGCTGCTCGCGGATACGGTCTCCTGGTGGAGCAGACCCTGGAAACCATGTTCTAAGGAGTTGGACTCAGTCGACTGGTAGTAGTGCTTAGTACAGCGATTGAGGATTCCCCGCAACAGCAAGCGACCCCTCCTTCACGTTTACCACAAGGCTGTGGAAATGGCTGATCCGAGGCAATCCTGACCCGGAAAGTTCCTGGATAGAAGTTGGAACTTGTCTTGGAGTCGGTCTAGTAGAGTAACAGCTGACAAGTCAAATAGGAAAGAATTGCGAGTGCAAGTTGGTGGTCATTATTCGAAAAATATCTCAAGACTATCTATCGTGGTAGGCATCTCAAGCCATAATAAGAAAGAAAAGCCGAATGAGGAAAGGAAGAAAACTGAAGAAGAATGAACACCGAAACCCGAGAAACCAGCCAAGGTATCAATGCGCCAATATTCATAAATCCGTAAGAATGTATCATGAGTCCATTTCGTGGCCTGTGAACTCATTGAAGAAGCAAAAATGTAGCATGCCTCATAAACTCCATCTGAGATCACGCACAGACGATTGGAATGGAAATGCACTCGTCGCTGTTCACTGCAGCGTTGAAAGCCTCAATAGCACATGTTCAATCACAATGTGAGTGCTCGGTTCAATGACGAGGAGCTGCTGACTCGGAGTCGACGCCGGAATCTACATCATCTCCGGATGTCAGTGAGTCTTGGCCGTCCTTGGCCATCTCTCGGTCGATGGCAAATTTGACTGCATCAAACACGTTGGCACAAGTATGCTTCGGTGCAAAGCGGGGCACGGTCCCATCTTGGTAGACGCCGGTCTTGACAAGGATCGAGAACCAATTGGTGTCAGTAGTCTTGTCAAACTCATTTGTACCCCGAACGTCAGACTCAGGGGTGTCACCAATGAAGTACACTGTGTTCGGAGGCTTGTTGATGCCATGGCTCTCTTTACGCCATTGCCGTAAGAGTCGGGTAGCGAACTGGTATGTGCCCATCTGTGGCTTGCCAAATGAGATCGTCGTGAGCTCCTTGCCAGTGACGACTTTGTACAGAGCTTCCAGAGAAGCTCGCAGTGCTCCCATGCCGAGGCGAGTGTGCTCGTGAGAGGTCGACCATACCACGTCATTGTGGGAAAAGAAGACAGGCGGGCCCTCGTCGAATGTCTCTGATCGAGTTCCAAGGCGTCCATCTTGAGACAGAAGAAGATCCAAGATAATCTGCTGGTCGCCGGCCCAGTCTCGGCTGTCGGCGAACACGAAAATTGCCTCGATTCTGGTCTTCTCGAAGTCAATGATTCGAGAATTCTTGTATTCTTCTTCTGTGAGCTTGCGGAACGGCGTGGTATCGTGTCGTGTCTTGATAATATCGCCAGGGGTGACCACATTCTTGAAGCCATAACCTTTGGCTACGTGACGGCACTTCTCACCTTCACCACCAACTACCAGCACCGTGTTGTATCTTTCAGCCATCTCCCGCATAGGCGTGTGGCCACAGATGAATTGGCCCGGGGATACATCCAATTCTAGCTGACGACTGAGGTCGAGGCATCTTTCCTCTTCTGTTTTGCCGCCGCCGTTTGTCACAAATATGTAGGGACTAGAAAAAGGATAGTCAGCCCGGTTACTCCTTCTGAGAAGTGTAGACGAGGAAGAACATACACTTTGACTCCGTATGGATTGTCGCCGTTGATGTATTTGAGAGCAGCCGCGGCTTCAGGAATCGCCTCTCCGCCTCTAATAAGTACGCCATCGATATCGAAGCCGAAAGCGAAGTGGTCGGCGGTAGTGAAGCGATGCTCAGAGACCGGGGAAGCAGCACGCACAGAACCATCGTCCGACGATGTTTCGACATCTAATTCGTGCTTATCCATGTTGATTGTGGTAGATGTATCATGCCCATCGCTGGAAGCCATCAAATGCCTGGGAGGGATGACTACATTAGGGCCGCCGTAAAGGTCGGCCCGAGATGCATCCAGGCTGGACAGCCGGCATACTCTCTGCGTACCGAAACCGTCGGTGGTAGTCATTGTGGATAATCGAACGCAGTAGTTCGGGGTGGCGACGATACGTGTGTGGGTGGAGCACGTTGTGGGCCCGCGGATGAAAACAAGAAACGGTTGACGATTAGCTGCCCTGCACTGGCTTGACGAATCGATCAACCACTGAGAGGATTGTCCCTGGGGAAGGCCGGTTGTAGCTTTGCGAAGCTTTCGGAATTATTTTGAGCGTAGGTTTGTAGAGGACGATCACTGGATCCTGAGAAGGAGCCAGAAAACTTCTCACAAGAGAAATTCTTTGTATACTGTTTGTTATGATCAGAAGACTCGTCACAGTTGCCCGCACAATTTATTGGCGTGGGCACGAAGATCACAGTGGGAAGGACTGCAGCGATTTCAACAGAGGAATGCAATGAGTATAAGAAGAACGGTGGAGATGAAAGGAATAGATTTGAGAATCCAGAGAGAAATGCATTGGATCCCGGGCCTATTAATATAGCGGAGTACGGTACATGCAAGCGGGTAGAGGACATCTGAATATGCGCTCTACGTAGTTAGTTTGAGGCACCTAGCGAGAAGTCAGAACAGACATCACAGCCCATGGTACCGTCATAGACCAAGAATGGCTCAATCTTAGTGGTGAGCGAAAATTCCTTGTATGCAATGGTCGCTTCTGCTGGATGCAAACTCCACCACAATCAAAGTATGTCATTTTCGATGGTGAAGGCCTAAACATGAGGGTCTATGGTGCGGGTTGTTCAAACTTCCACTCCGCCCCATATCATGCCTGATGATGATGATGATATGGATCCAGCTTTGATTCTGATTCGCTCCAGAGCACAATGGTGAGGGCGCCAAAACATGTAAGAAAAGTCAATGATAACGTACAAGGGACATGCATCAGTCCCGCGGGGAGGGGGGGTAATGATGCAAAGTCGCTTCCTACGGCGTAACTCGGTACGTTCATCTGGACATCCACCCCGGCGCAGACCGGTTTGGAGAGAGGAAAGATTGGGGGGTCTGTCATCACTGGAAATGGACGATCAAACAACAGTCACACTTGATATCATTCAAAAAAGATGTGCGCGGTCGAGAACGAGGGGCAGAGTCAAGGGGAGGCAGAGAAGGGAAGTGAAAAAGTGGGGAGGGAGAGGTTGAGTCGTTGACATCAAAGGATACCAAACAGAGATCACTACAGTAGCCACCACCAAACAATGCAGAAAGCGGTGAAGCAAATGTGGTAAAGCCCAATGCACAGAGAGAGCATACGCAGTACCTAGGCATAGACTACCTTACTAAGTTACTGTGATACGCTGATTCACAATACTCTGAGTCTAGACAGCGCTCAAAGTACGTATATGGCGTTCCGATCCTCAACAATAAGTGGAGTGAGTGGTACAAACATGCCAACAGAACAATAAGTTAATCCTCCGTAATCCGCTTATATTAGCAGTGACGTTAACTACACTTGCCATTCTATTGTCCTATCTGTTTCTCTTCCTTTGTTGTTTTCTTTCCTCTTTTTCTTTATGATTATCTTTTCCAAGTTCCCCCTGAACCAGTACCTCATTGAGTTACTAAATACGGAGTACTAGTACCATGAAACTTTCTGCCTAAGATGTCTCCCGCTGCCGATTGGATGATTGGTGCCTCACTGCCTCAGGACCGATCGCCGGCTTGACGTCATGGGATCCGAGAGGCTCGATCCTCAGCTTCCGTTCCTCTGCCATCGTCCTCGCTTTCTTCCTCCATGCTTTTCCGTGAATTCCGATCAGCCGATTTCGTCAAACCGACTATTACTTTAGCCTTTCACATGGCTGGTTCCCTCGGCTGAGACGGCTCCACAACTCCCTTCTGATATCACTACCATCGTCCCGGTTTCTGAGCCCAGCGTGTCTATTGTGTACATAATTAATGTTACTCCGCGGGGATGTTGTGGGTCAGGTCATATCTCGGAGACCCGGATACTGCACCTCTCATCGGCCTTCCCCTGCCTACCAGAGATCGAAAGGAAGGGCTTGCATTGGAAGCTCTTCTCCAAGCTGCTAACTACACCGTAGTCTCTACTACTGTGTATGTCTCCGTACTGTGTAGGGAATCAAATCCAACCTCAACTTCCACGGTTTAGTTGTGCTTTAGAAATGCTTACACCACTCGAATAGAGCCAAATTTAACCCCAGACTCTCCGACAACTTAAACCAGGCTGAGCAGGGTAGTTTTGTCTATGAGGTGAGCAGATTGGACACCTGATCGGTGCGCAGTATCATCCACAACCTTTTCAGAATATTATTTTCCCTCTGTTGTCAATTTAGTAGGATAGCGCTATAGGCTGACCACTTCACGCCAATCCAGGGCAAGAACCACCGTCATCACCAGTAGTATCAAACACACTCTGTCTCTGTTTTACTCCAGATAAGAATCGTTGACTGGCTGCACACCACGGCCCCGTCGGGGCTTGGCGACAGTCACCCCTTCCTGTTCACTTAAGCTTGCGCCGTGAAGAAGTATCAATCCCAGGCGTGCGTGATTTACGCTGGCCGTGGAAGGGGCTGTTCCGCGACTCGAGAAACCGCTGCAGAAATATCCAGCGGGACGTCTGCAATACTAGGACAAAAGCTCATATGAGTCTCCAGGCTGCTCCGCAAACCACGTTGCCAGTTTGCAAAGGTGCAGCTCCCAGGAACTTCTTCCTTGGGTGTCAACCCGGGCTAAATACCGGAGCATATGCCAGAATATTCGCCGCGTGAGAAAAACTTCATCGTGGCTGTCGATGTCGACAGGAATAGGAGTGCTGTGCAGTACATCTTCCATAAGCAGGGACTGCGGCCATATGTGTACTGTACAACGATGCTCTCCACAGCATGCTGGTTGGAGTAGTCTTGATACGTAGCTCTGGAAACAATTCAGTAGGTCTGACTTAAAACTGTGATGATATTGTCTCATCCCCCTGGGACTGTTCGAGGACTCTTGCTCAACTTTAGACTGTACAGAGTGGAGAAAGAGGGCGTAACATTAGTTCACTAACCAGAATTAAAGAGTTACAAACGGGTTCATACAAGTTTCCAACAATTTCTAGAAGTTTTGATCCAGTTCTTGACTTGTCGAAAATTAAGTACTACCATCGACAAATCTACATGAACCTCCTTGCAGCTGTAATGAGACCTCACCACTGATTCTCAATTTCAATATGCAAGAGCTGTACTTTTCGCCATGTCGTACTATCAAGGGGAGACACCGTAGTATACCTGACAGTATCCTGATTTATATGCGTATGTATATATAGCTCGAAATATTTATATAATACACAAAATAGAGAAAAAGAGACGGACATCTATCCGGTGGGGAATTCACAAGGGGCAATGCCAAAGACAAAGGAAGAAAAAGAAAAAGGATAAAAAAATGATCGAGGCTAGCTTTCTACTAGCACGAATGAATTAATCCACCCGGAGGATAAGATCTGAGCCTTGCCTCGAGGGGGTCAGACTGCGCTCTATCGGGAGCGGCTTCCTCGGGACAGGCGGCCCTTTCATACGGCCGGATGAAGATACAGAGTCAAAGGACGTCCTGCGTGCCTGAGCTCCGTATTGTATACTAGAGTAAGCATCGCCGCTGGACCAGGATTCCCCCACACCACCATGTGCATAGTAGCTCCCTATCTGCTCCTCGTCAGGTTCGGGTGTGACGCGGCGGATCTGCACCTTTCGGATATCGTCCTGTCGCACAATCCGGGGCCGGGAGACGATTTCTTGCGCAGGGCTAATTGACCTGGAAAGTGGTGTGCGGGGGAGACCGACAGGGATCCTGCTGCCGGTGGGGGTCTCGTATTGCCAGTTGGGGATTTCGAGGTTTGGCGTTCTGATCTCTCGTACGGGAGTCAGGGGTCGCAGACTTCCTGAATGCCGTGATTCGCGTCGAGGATTGTGAGGCGCGTCGCTGAACGTGGGGTGAGATGCTGAGCCTTCTGCATCGTATATTAGATGCCTGCCTCCATCTGGATTGTCATCGAGGTATGGTGAGCTTCGAGTGGGTCTTGGGTATCCGGATTCACTATCTAGCCAGTGTCCATCGTCATCATCTTCGTCATTCCACTCCGGCGAAATGTGGTGAGACGGTCCGGGAACATCGTTTGAGCAAGAGGTTGAATCCATAGGGTTCTCATAATCCCGCCTTCGATATCGATTCGGCCCTCTGAGAGCGAGCTTCCCGTCTTGGCCGTCTCGGAAACCATGCAGCATGGCGCGTGGATGGGCTGGCAGCCCGGCGACTGGCGGCTGATTATGAGGCCGGGTGGGTTGTGGCTTACGCGACCAGGAAGAAGGGTTCTGAAGCAAACGAGGACTGCCAATGAAGCTGCGCGGTTTAGTGACGTCCTCCTCGAACAGTGTTCCTACACTGCCTGGTCGTTTCTGGCGACTCAATCGCAGTGGCTCCGGATATAGCCCATAGGTTGGTTTGTCCGGCAGCAAGCTCGAGAGAGTCCGAGGGGTCGAATGCGCTAGGGATGCTTCTACGTCGGAATTGGATGATACGGCGAATCCAATGTTGTGAGCATCGTGTAATCCCATGGGATCATCGTTGCACCGACGTCGTGGTGCGTCTGCTAGAGAAGTCGGAATATGGGCCCTTGATCCGAAAGGAGTTATCAGACGTGACGTTTCCGAGTCCCTGTCTGTGCCACCGGGCATGGGTCTGGGTCCCGTTGGCCGTCTAGGCGGGAAAGCAAAATCTGGAGGTTCCGTCATCACCCCCCCAATTTCAAAGAAGTTCCGATCCTGAGCCTCTGCCTCCCGACGCTTGTTCTTTCTATAATAGAACAATATCAAAACTCCAACGAGAAAGAACCCTGCCATGCCTGAGGCAACGGAGATGCCGATGACCGCACCAGCGCCGAGCTTGCTATGCGAATCTGCGGTAGCGGCGGCAGCGGCAGCGGTCGAGTTGTTGCCGCTACCGGTCGTACTGCTGGACGTAGCCCAGGGGGCGCTCGTGTGTTGAGTTGTGTCAGAGATGGTGGTGGGACTATCGAACGAGGTAATGATAACAGAAGTTGTATGTGCTGTTTTAGTGTTTTCCGTCGGTAAAGGTCGTGACATAGAAATTATCGTGGTTGCAACACTATGGGAGTCGGAGGTTGTGGTGACTACCGCCGTTGTACTCTGAGTCGACGTGATTGTTGCTGTTATCGTGGCATGGGTACGCGGCAAAGCCCCCGGTACTGAATCACAAATATCATAGAGGTCAGAGGAGAAAATCGTGTTGACAGAACACAGCGACAGACTGCATCGGAACGCTGCCTCGCCCAGTGTATAGCCGCTGGTCGTGTTGGTCCGACACAGACAGTCAAGATTCCATGCTTCTCCACATGCATCATCTGGGTAATCTGATATTATGAATTCATCAACGCACTCGCGAGCACACTTGGGTATTCGACTAGAAAGGGTCGACGCCGTCGTGGCAGGAGCAGAATTTTGTGAGCTAGAAGCGAGACATGAAATAGCTGAAATCGATGCGATGAATAAACATTGAGAAAGAGATAAAGTCATTTTGTGTCAACCTAATGAGATTGGATTAGCATATCCATTCCATGGACCTCTGATGCGTATGAAAATACCTCCTTACATCGATCTGGACACTGCAGAGGACAGTCTACCTCCACAGTAGTAAGGACATATATGCTACCATTCTAAGAGAATCAAGACAAAGCCGCTGGCGATGGGTGCATTCTAAATTCGAACAAACGGATACCAAAAAAAAAAAGAACATGGCAAAGTGATGTATTGAGAACTCGGCAGTGTCCAAAGGGGGGGTAGGCGTCTCATTTGAGAAACAGACGCCAGTGCCAATTCCATTCTACCCTCGCCTCATCAACGTGGGCGTCAAAAGAGACACGGAGTTCCGTCATTGTACTGAGTGGCTATAAAGCAAGAAGGCCGCGATGTGAGACGAGAACAATGAGACTGCGGCCCCTGCAGGCGCTTGGGTGAAACACGAAGTTAGTGTCATAGATGCACTACACGTAGTTGACAGATGAGGGTCCTTCAGCATGATTAGCGCTTTGTGATGATAGCGATGATTGCGGGGCTGGCAGAGAGCGATGTTGATGCGATACGCGCCGGCTTAGCGCCGATGCTGCAGATGGGCTGAAGGATGATGTCAGGTCAGCTGACTTTGGAGCTTCCAGGCTCTTTGCAGTCTCACGCTGAAAGCATTCATTTTGTTCCTTTGCATAAAAGCGCCAACATTTGTGCCTGAATCTTGTTTCTCCCAAGATTGGATCTCAAGCCGCCAACCCCCATTCTTCGTCTCCTCCGCGTACCTGGAGAGCGAAAACCCCCATCTGCCATATATTATGCACCCAGCTACACTATTCGTGGTATAATGGTTTTAATCAAGTAGTTGTAAAATTATTGCCATTAATCATTAGAAGCTGATCATTGCCAACAGTACAAGCAAAGCCCAGGGTCACAATGAGCTGGTATCATCGAGAAAAGAAAAGAAACGATAAGAGGAACACGGACACATCAAAGACATAGGGAAAACTAGATGGTGAGATGTTTGACACGGGCATCTACACCCACGTAGTCGTTCGGGGATCCGTCCTTGGCGGGGTCAAATTAGGCTAGACCCGGTCGGAAGCCCACGGAACAATTAAAGGCTGACATGATCATCGCGGACGGCCACCCCTTTAATTTGGAATGCTGGCTACCAAATGATGGACGGGGGAATACAATCGTGGGACGAGGAATGTTGGTCGACTGAACCGGGCGGTCGGGCGGTGGACAAGCAGCGGTCTAGTACTTGAAAATGATGTAACTGCAGGCGCTAGTTAGCACTGGGGTGCGTAATCGGGATCGTGGTAGCGTGGGCGACGTACAGCGCGTGGATAACACCAGGAAGCCAACCCAGGATTGTCAAACAGATGTTGATCAGCAGATCAGCACCGCATCCGCGCTCGAGGAAAACCCCCAGAGGTGGCAGGATGATCGCAAAGATGATCTTGCAGACGTCACTGTCCCCAGACCGTGTTAGCCATGCCACTTTGTTCGACAAGATCGAGGATCACAGGAGCAGCTTGGGCAGAACCCATGTTGGAAAAGAAATCCAGCCCGCTGGCAAGCTTCTCAGGTTGCTAGCGTGGGAAGGTCATTTGCAGGCAGAGGAACTTACGAAGCAGTGAAAGGCATGGTGAACAGGAAGGTCGAGTAATTGTCTTTAGGAAAAGTTGATGTTGGTAGTGATTGATTCAATTGGTATGCGAGGCTTGAAGCCGATGTGAATTGTACGAAGTATCAGGCAAACCGAGACTGAAGAGAGAGAAGAAGAACAAGAGGGAAGGAAGGGGAAAAGGAAGGAGCGGGACCACAGGAGTCTTTTAAATTCTGGGTGGGCAAAAGCAACTGCCCGCTCGCTGGCTAACTCTGCACCGACCACCAAAGGGCGTCACAACAGAATTGGGCCTACCGACTAAAGTCTAGTAGTAAGTTACTAGTTTCTGTGTAAGTAACTAGGTATACTCCGCCAAGAGTCGAAAAGAGATGAGATGATCGTTCTGAGTATGACGGCTTCGTGGGACGTATGCTACGTCATACTTGCTCAGCCTACTGTGGCTGATGCAAAAGCCTCCGTAGATGATTGGTCTTTTAACCCTTCAGGTGAGCATCGTAGCGTCAGTCCATCCAGTCTCTCGCCTCGTATCAATGTCGAGTGCTTCATGGATTCTTAGATTGGTTCCTTCCAAGTTGTTGTCACCCAGTACCTAGTAGTTCTTGAAAAAGTGGCTAGGTAAGGGGCTTGACTGCCTACCGATGAAATGAACCTCGTGATACTATTCACTTTGGAACCTTTATTTTCTGTGGGTTCATATCCCTAAATAAGCAAACCCAACTTCTTGGATCTCTAATTTTGTTGCCTGAACGACGCTTGGCATATCCGCCATCTTTTTCGCCTTCCGCGGTCGGCCGAGGAACTCATTACATGCTCGGCACAGCTAAGCAAAAAAGCACACAGTACATTTGTCTTTCCTGATACCTGCTTCTCCTCGTATAACTAAGCTAAGTAGGTACTTTCTGTACCCGACTCTCCCTTGTTCTAGCACCGGAGATTCGATCATGGGAAGTACCACAATACCTCAAACTTTCGATTGAAACCAGGGTCAGCAAACTAAGGTAGTGGGCCCGACAGCCCTATGGCCATTTCAAGCACGAATCATGACCGGCGAACATAGATGGGAGAACATTTACGGAGTACACTCGCATGAACTGCCGGCTCAAGAGTCCACCCCTTCAGCGTCGTTCTGGCTGCGTGGCTCAGCGCTGTGGCTCAGCTTCCGCTTTCTTCCCTTACCAGAAAAGGGTCCATTCGAAGAGGAACAGGGGTGATATCATTTCATATTCATCTTCTGACACGCGTCATCCAGCCCACATTCTGCGAATGCTTTTAAACGTCATTACCACGTCCCCATGCATCTGATGCCAATGAGAATACACACAGTGTCTACGATCAGTACTTTTGTGACAGCGGAAATACGCCTCGATTGAGAGAGCATTGGCCGTGTCCTGATCACATTCTGATGTATTCTGTGGATGCTGAAGCCATAACCACTATGCAACAACAGGCCCCTGTCACGTCGATCGTCCCGCATATCCAGGGACACAATGTGCGTGAAATTGCTGGCCCGAGTGTTGCATGGACGAACGACACAAAGTCCGCTCCTGCTCCTCGGTATCTTCTTTTCGAGGGGAAAATTATTCCAGAAGCGTCAATGGGAAATGATGTCATAGATACCCCAGATTATGCAAAACCGAACGAAATAAGCTTTCTGCATTTCCAAATCCCTTGTTAAACATGCCCCATGATTGATCCACACAGCCGGCTACCTCAATGTCTAGGATTCATGCACAGGATGGAGTCCCGATTGATTGGCTCACGGGAAAGAGTTTGGTACTGGTGTTGCGATCCGCCGGTCATACTGATGCTGCGGTCTCGGATGTCTCTGGTCAAAAACACCTTAATTGCCTACTCTTGCACAGTTTGCAGACGTTGTCAACTCATGCTGCTGCCAATATATGTGTAGTATGTGGCAGCGGTTATCAATACAAGCGATTCTGGCTGCAAGTATGCCTAAATTCGTAGCCCAGACTGATCAACGTAATTGATACATGTTGTCTTCTCCCTGCGAGTATAGAGTGTGCAGTTTTCGCAGTTATAAGCTGGCGTGAATATTCGGGGACATTCCTCATGTCCAGCCATCTCATGAAATACATATCCCATGTATTTGACGAACTTCAAAGTTATCCGTGCGGAAAGTGTACAGATTCGTTACTAGATGTTGTTCGTGTACTGGCAGTACAGTACCCTCAAGAAGAGAATCGAGATTTCTCTTGTCGCTGACATATCAAGTGATGGAGAAAGACACTCTAATCAGAACCATTGCGCTGAGTTTAGTGTACTGTAAGATATCAGCTTCCTCCCATGAAGATGCAGGCAAAGCGATCCAGATCGCGTCTGGGCGGTGTGCTCTTGAAGTACTCCATAGCTGCCGTCCTCTCCGCTTTAACTTGATTCTATGTTGGATTATCTCAGCAGGCTCAGCCCCTCTGGACATGGAATGGTCGTTCTGGGACTAGCTTCGAGTTATGCATTTATCTGATCCACATAGCCATACACTATTCTCGATTAGAATTATGTGGATATACGTTCATATATGTAGACCAATCAGAGCGTACAGCGCCCAATGCCTCGTAGAGGGTCTGAGAACTACAATCTTCTTAGACGCGTCTCTCTTGTTCTAAGCATACAAATTCACCTTTTCAACCTTATACTCCCTACCTCAAAAAGATATATTTTATCATGTTTAAGACATAATTTTAAATCTGCAAAGCCCGTACTTTTAAGTGCGCCTATTATGAACACGCCACGCCCCCAAAGTCCTTCGTAACAATACCCTGAAATAAGCCCTGCTACGCCTATCCAGTGGCATGTGTTGTTCTCCACCGGCTCTCCTCTTTCCTCTCCTCTATCGGCAGTACTCAAATACCTTACATATAACAGCTTTGAGAAGGTATCATACTACTCTATCAATATCAAAGATGAGGATACAGATCTAAATGAGGATACAGATCTTGAAGATCCAGATTATTCAAATACTAGACCGCAACAGAAACCCTTGACACCCTCGTCGGTATAGATTTAACACTCATAACCGTTGCTGATACAGTAGTCGCAACGGTCGTCGCCCTGGAGCTGCCGACCTATTTCAGTCTCCATAATTTGGCCAATATGGCTCCATTTACGTTGATACGGAAGGTCCTTGGCAGTCAACTCAGCCGTGTCATGCGACCACCATTTCCCCTTCACAGAAGGACGCTATAAAGTCGCCGACTTGCCCCGAAGAGGCCAGTTCCACTGCAGGCGTGGCTGGTCTGCTCGTTGAGCAGCCAGATAGGTGGCTCTCGAAGGAGTCACCGGTTTAGCCCCGCTAGGAATGGTTGCAGCCAAGTTTGTCTCTTCCCCCGCAGAAGTCTCAAGGGTCAACCTGCGGATCCGAGCGCTTGTAGCTGGCCTACTAGCAGTAACAGCAGGAGTTGCCGGAATAGGCTCCTCTGACAGAGCACGAGACACCATAGAAGGAGTTGCAAGCTCCTCAGATGGTGCACGAGATACTGCCACAGGAGTTTCTGGCACTCAGCTTGGGCTACCAGACGAAGGTATTTCCGGGACCTCCTCCGGAGTACTAGACTCCATCCTAGAAGTTCCCGGAACCTCCACCTCAGCACTTCAAAACTGAGTGTGTGTCACCGGAGTCCCGAGGGGGAGATCAAACCCAATGCCTTCACCATCACTGCTTGGACTTCCAGGCCCGATTTGCTCTTCAGAGGCATCAAACAGCGTCAGCTTATCAAACTCCAACACAAAATCGGACAACAAATTACTGTCCTGGGACAGTAATTCATTATCCTCTTCTTCGGAGGAGACTGAATCTTCGCCATCGCTGCTTGAAATATCCAAAAAGCTCGGCGGAATCACAGAAGTCGTTACAGGAGGAGGTGGCAGCGGCGGGATTGTAGACGGAACTGGGGGTCTAAAAAAGATAAAGGTTAGTATCTCTTGATTGTCTGCATAGTCAATCTTCAACGATTCTTACGGCGGGGCCCTGAAACTCGCTCCTGAACGAGTTGTTCCCCATGGAATGATGCGAGCATCTTCCAAGTGTTGCGACTCGTTGCGTGAAATGACTGCTGGGTGCCCAAGCATCCAAATCGTTGTAGGCGTCATGGTGTAACAGAGTTATTCAATGATGTCTGGAAAAGAAAAGAAAGAAAGAAAGAAAGAGGAAGAGAAGCAGAAGACTAGGTAGTATAAATGTTGATATGGCACCTCCTCCTAGCAAATGTCCTATTTGGGAATAGTTATCGTTTCAGCTGCCAGTGAATACAGAACCGCTATATTCTACTGATATTTACCATGCTTTTGTCGCAGCAATGCTACGCAATAAATCTGCTATTTTTCCGAATTTCTGATTGGTCCACATATACCCAGATATAAACCCTGGTGTGATTTGATATGGGGTATATTCAGAGTGCATACACCATGCAAATCTTCGAAGAAAGAAAACAAACTGATAAGGTCTCTGCACCTTGCGATCTACACCCATCACTTTATTGAAATACTGATATCTGATTGGTCCAGATATGTTCAGATATAAGGACCAATATATATCCAGATATAATTGGTCTGCTATCTCTTTCTATCAAAGCTGAAGTTCTCGAGTCCTCTCTATAATGGTTTTCGAGCACGTCCACTCTTGCTCTGAGGTGAAAAACGATCCGGTGATTAGGATTATAATCTTGCAGAGGTAGACGAGCTGGGCTAGTAAATTGTTTACGTTCTGCTGCTGTTCGAATTATTGGAGTCGATGGAGTAAGTAGATTAACTGATATTTATCTATCTGGAATCAACATTAATGCTGATAACTGTTGAGAAGCTGATAATATTGTAGATGTTAGATATACTACAACTTGGTTTAAAGTAACTGCAGTCTGGCCTGATGTACAGATATACTCTAGGTCTACCTGATTAGTACTATAAGCTACGCCTATATTAGACGGGATAGGCGTAATTGGGTATGGTCAAGATTAGTTTAAAGCTTGGCTTTGAGCTGTCTGCAATCTTACTGTATGCTGCTTTGCAATAATCTGAGCTAGACTATTATTATATCGAATCCAAGAAGACTGGGTCTCTCCATGGTATTCTCTATTAGTTTGTTACAAGCTCCGACAGCGCTGATTCTCTCGAGGTTGTTGATTAAGCAAACTCTGTATAAGATGCTTCAATCCGAGGAACAAGTGACTGTAGGAATACGACTAGTTCATGCTTATATTTATCACAGTGCTCCTAGTCTTTGAACGAAATCTGTTCTGGAGCCGACTTTCGATGCATATTCTGATAATCGGTTTAGTGCTTTTGTATGGTTCTAATAGGTAAATAGAATTAATTTAGTATATTTAATTGGTAAGTTTGAAGGTATATACTCAAGTAAGGACGGCATGTAAAGTTTAGATTAGAGGGGGTACAATCTTAAGACCTGTACTTCTATAGTCAATTCTTAGTATATCTTTGATTTTTTTAGGCCTGAAAAATCCTTATAGTTGAATCTAGCGATTGTGCCTGTACAGAAAATGTAGTTCACTGTGGTAGTTGAGTGGTTAAGTAGAGTTGTATACTGGTTGATGTCTTTTTGGTATTTTAGTGCAAAATTCGCTAAGAACATGTTCAATCTGGAATTCTTAGGCGCTTCGCGAAAAAGGCCGTACGGGTGGGTCCAAGCACCTGGGCGCAATCTGATTGATCCACATAAATCTACATAAATTGCTTACTAAGAACGGCGGGTGCATTGAGCGAAGCGCCTGAGCTTGCTGAGGTAAATGTTGGATCTGAATGTCTCGCCGTTGACCGGCAATACTCCTGGCAAAGAAAAAGCTATCAGCTAGTCAAACAGAACGCACTTAGTTGAAGCACCAATGCTGCTTCGATGTCGCTAATGCTCGGATCTACTCCGCGTTCATTACCAGCACGGTTGGTTCATCATCGCCTCAAAGAAAATCGTGTTCCTTCCATCATTCGAAGGTCGGTCGCAAAGACAGCTTCTAGTGCCCGCCCTATAGCCTACACCTGGCTCACACAGACCCCGGGTGCGATTGTGCGTTTTCTTTGCTACTTCCTGAGGTCTTATGAAACTAATCTTCTGACAGACTTCAGACGACGTTCTCGCGAATACACCCTCCACCCTAGAACCTCTCACACAACGCGATTATGTTCCTATTTTCCTCGTTACCTCGGCCTTCGCATCATGGATCGACTTGTCATCTCATACATTCCCTGAACGTTGGGTGAATCAATACTTCTCAGGGTTCACTCAGCCAGTACATTCCATATTCGCGATTGTCGATAAGCTACCTGATAGTCGACCACAAGTGCCGCAGGACAGTCAGATTCCTCGCGCCCAGGAAGCGGACGGAATATCAGTGCTCTTGGTAGACCGGGACAATGTACAGGGTCAACTCGCCGCGCCTCGCCGCCCACGAAGCATGGAGGCCACAGAAGCCGGACTCGTATTCTCGATACCAAGGAGTCATACCCAGGCGACGAATGCAAGATCTCGGAAGCCGCTCCATGAGGTAGGCCTGCGACTTGCAAATACGATCTTCATCAATGGGAAGGAGAACACTCTATTTGGCGCCCGCTGGGTATACGATACTGCAGCGAAGAAATATACTTTAGACAACGCGCTGGATCTATCGAACTGTATCGTCACCTCACCAACAGCAAATGTCAGCGACTCCTTCAAGTTTCCATTACACCCCGTTGGGCAAAGGAGGAGGGTTATATCGAGCATGGGAAACATCCTCCGTCAACTGTCAAAACATACAGATAACCATTCAATGGACCCAATGCCAGCTTCTCTGGAGCTGGAGAAGGATCTCCCTCGCTATATTGCGGAACACAACATTGCCGACCAGAGGGTCTCCGTCTGGGCTTTGATTGAGACTTCCGAGGAGGGCTACACAGCAGGCAAGGGCGCTTCTCAAGAAAGCCTCATTGAGGCGATCCGGAAGGGCGGTAAACTCCACCGAGTGATGAGCGGCGGAGGGGGATGGGGCAAGAAGCAGGGCCTCCTTTCATTAGACCCTGAAACCACTTTCATGGAAACAGGCCAGAAGCACAGGCTGCTGGGGCTAGAAGGGCTATTCAACGCAGACAACGCGAATATCTCGTTTGATTCATCGCCGCCGCCACCGTCGTTCGAAATGCGCGGGTTCGGGGAAGACCTGTCTACGCTCTCGCAGGCTGCGGGATCTGGTGACTATATCCAATTCTTCGTCTCCGTCGAACCCGGTCAGTCGGACTGGGCTGCGCCAGAGACTCAGAGTAATTCCTTTCATTTCGGGGTTGTATCAGACGCGGAGGCTGTCCCTATGCAAAGCGAGACTGCCAAGCAGAAAGACCTTGTGGTGGTGCCTGGCTACTTTGGTGGACTGTCAGAGAAAGCTATAACCTATATGCAGCCTATCGCTGGACAAGGGTCGAATGGTGAGGTGCACGAATCAAGCTCCAAATTCGACATCCCTGGGTGTCGGGTGGCATTGATGCTAGATTAATAGTCTACTCATAGATAGGATCAAGAGTTAGTCATGTACAATTAATGATTAAAGAAGCAGGCACAGATTGAAATAGTGTAAATTGATAAGATTTGTCTTTGTCAATAATGCAGCGCAGCTCCGAGAATAAACCGAGTGGTGCTGATGTTAGTGATCGGGGCAGACGCGGGAAGGCGCCAAGCTGCAGGTCACGTGGCAGCGCAGGTGGTCGGTGAGCCTCTCCGAAGCTACCAGCGTGTTCGCCTCACAAGCCTCCATCTCCGTCTCAGCTCTCCCCCCACGCCTTTGCCCCATCTCATCGCCGTCGACGCAGCCTTCCTCACCCCTGTCATCACTCTACTTGGCTTTCTTTCATAGCTTCATACCACCTATTCAAGTCTAAACGGCCATCTATACCACCAAAATGGCTACTGAACTTTGGTACGTAATCACCCTGGTTGACTCCTTTTCCCCAACACCTCCATGCATAGCTTGTGCGAAAGCGACCAGTCCTGCCTGTCAGTGCTTTTGAACGACTATGCTAATCTGTAATACTTAGTCCCGTCTATGCTGTGAGTTACTCGAAGTCTTCATCGATGATGTACTGAAGCTTGATGGAACGGAGCATTGGGTTCCTCCCAACTGAAGCAACGTCACCTGCACGGATCGACTTAATAGCTGACTTTTCGCCGCGTAGCCCTTCTTCGGTGCGCTGGGTTGCACCTCAGCCATCGTATTCACCTGCTTCGGAGCTGCCTATGGAACTGCCAAGGCTGGTGTCGGTGTTTGCGGCATGGCCGTCCTCAGACCTGACCTGATCGTCAAGAGTATGTTGGAACCTATTTTCCGTACTAGCTGCAGTCGTGGAGAGAACCGATACACCGGCTCTAGCTATATGGGATCGAAATACTGACGGAACATGTGACAGACATTGTCCCCATCGTCATGGCGGGTATCATTGGTATTTACGGATTGGTCGTGTCCGTCCTTATCGCCAACGATCTGAACCAGAAGGTACCTCTCTACACCGGATTCATTCAGCTGGGAGCTGGTCTCGCTGTCGGGCTGGCCGGTCTGGCTGCTGGGTATGTTCATCCTGATTTGCGATACTTGATTAAGAAACTAACTCGTTCCTCCCAAGTTTCGCCATCGGTATTGTGGGTGATGCTGGTGTCCGTGGAACTGCTCAACAGCCCCGTCTTTACGTTGGAATGATTTTGATTCTCATTTTTGCTGAAGTCTTGGGTACGTCCATTGATCCATCCTGCAGCATAATTGTTCCGTCACCGCTAACCACCAATCCTCTTATCAGGTCTGTACGGTCTTATCGTCGCCCTTCTTATGAACTCCCGCTCGAGAATCGACGCCGTCTGCTAAGCGAACGAACCCTATGCTCGCCCGTCGCACGTTCTCTGCGAGACGCGTGCCCAGCGGCGAATGCAACGACGAGATGTGTACAAGAACCCCGCGCAAGCGGTGCCCCGTCGTTCAGGCCTATCGTACCCGTGTTACGAATGATTTATACCGTGAAGCGTGGATTTGATCAAGAAATCGATTCTCAAGAAAATACGATCTCGTTACGTGATGTGTGTGTCTTTGCTGTCGGAAACATTTCTTTGCCGACAAGTGGTGGAGGGAGAAGAAGTCGCTCTGCTTGAGGGGAGTAGTCAGTTGAGACAAGGAACGGATGTTGGATAGTATATCGAATATCCTCTTTTCTCTTCTTCCGATCCCTTCAAGCAGAAAAGAGGGCTCGATATGCTATTGTAGACTATGCGGTGAGGCAGGTGGCGGTTGGGGGCGACTCTGTACTGGTTGGTAGATATTTGAATTCAGTATTGCATGGCTAAAGGTTCTCCTATTTTCCTGTTTCTTGCGCTGCTTATGCTATCAGTTTCCTGTATTCTACGGTTGTCGTGTCTTTGGTACTTGATGAATCAATTGACCTTGACCTTGACCTATTCGAGCTGCCGTCACTCGGGAGAGGCAAAGGAGTAAGTGCGGGCCTGGGAGAGGTCTTTTGTCTGGTAGATTACGCATACCCGGCCTCTAACTCGTTCCTGGTACATGTTGTGTTGCTGGCCGATGTTCTCAGATGTGCGCGTTGCCTCTGCAGGGGGTGCTGTCTTGTGCTAAACCGTAGCAGAAAAGTCGGGATAGGCCTGGTTCTATACCTACGACTATACAATCTTAGCGGCTAAAGCGAAAAAAACAGAAGGTAATATGTCACGTAGTATTGTCTATAAGTGTGTGTTAAGTGGTTGATTGGTTGGTTGAGAGGACGGAGAGGGAGATAAGATGCATGCATAATTTAGAGGGTGAGAGAAAAGGCAAACGGAAAGATATTCACAGAACCAAATAAGTTGCTTCGGGAAAGCTTGGCGGAACACCGGAAATGAAGAAACCGGGCGACAGGTAGGAGGGAAAAAAAGAAAGAAAAAAAAAATGAAATAGGTGCAAAAATGACCACCGCGAACATCCTTCGAGGGTTGTAAAGAGGAGCACAACCCCTTAGGACCTCTCCAACTTGCGCCTCAAAGTTCTCGTCTTCCGCAACAACTTCTTGAACTTGTGCTTCTTCATCTTCAACCGACGACGTCTCTTTGTGCTGAGAGCCTGCATGGGGCCGTTGATGTGGTGACCCTGCTGGTCGATGTAACGGAGCTCCGGGTGCGAGTTGGGGTCCACAACATCGATGTAGGCCTCAACGATCTCCGGCGCCGCACCCTGAGTAATGCCCATGTCCTTGGTAGGCATAAAGGGGCCGGCGTGGGCCTGGTAGGTCTTGCGGCCGTCGGGAAGGGTGGACTCGTGAATGGTCAGCACGGCGGAGTAGCTGCCCGTGGCATTGGATCCCGTCGTCGTGGGCGGGAGGAGCTGCTGCTCGGAGGCGTTCTCGGAGGTGTGGACGGCGACCTCGTCCATGGGGACGGGAGGGGGAGGCGGGTGGAAGGGCCGCAGGCGCTTGGTGAGTTCCTCGATGGAGAGAGTCAGATTCATGGTCTGGGAGGGGTGCTGCAGCTGGCCCTGTTGCTGCTGTTGCTGCATCCTCTCGGTCAATTCCTGCAGGACAGCGTGGTAGTGCTGGTGGTCGTCTTCCGCTTCCATGGAGTTAACGGCGGACGAGAGCGTGGAGATGACATCGTCGACAGCGGGCTTGCGCGCAGTGAAGATGGCGTCGAAGGCTTCAGAGGTGGAAGTTGGGGGCACGCTGGTGGAGACGGAGATGGGACGGTGGATGGAAAAGAAGGAAGCGACCTGGACGTCTGCAGAGCGATAGGAGAAAATGAGTTAGCTTGAGGGCTTGAGCAAAAAGAGTCTTCGCGGGGGTTTGCTTGTTGAAATTCTGGGTTTCCGGAGGCCGGAAGGGGTTCGAAAGCTGGGCTGGCTGGCTTACCATGCGGGAGGAGGTGCTGGGTTGAGGGAACGCTGGGAAGTCGGGAAAATGCCGTCTGCTGCTGTTGCTGTTGCTGCTTGGAGCTGGCGCGGACACTGTCCTTGCCTCTCCGACGGGTCGACTTCCCAGAGTTCACCTCGCACTCAAGTTTCCTCGCGCCATCGCTGGGGTTTGACGACGATGACGAGGAGTAGCGCCGTTGACGCACAGGCTGCGTCGAGCCGGTGAGGTTGTTAGCGGAGGTGGTGAGAGTCTGGCTCGAGGCGCGTGCGACGCCTGAGATGGGAGTAATAGGGGCCCAGGCCGCCCGGCGCAGTGAGGAGGATAGCATTTTGTGTTTGCAAAACGTCGCAGGTCCCAGAAGCTGGGTAAACGAACTTGGCGGATGCGAAAGAGGCGAAACCGAAGTTGAAGTTGATGAGCCGATCATGCGGATCTCGGCTTAGCTCAGCAGACTTTTGCCGGAGTTCCTCAGGCATTCCATGTGACAGGTCATGTGATAACAATGCCTCATTACCGCCGAGGCAGAGAACAAATGATGATTGGTCTGTCGAAAAGCGTTCTATTGATACTTTAGGTTCTAGGAGCTTGATTACTTATGTGGCAGTATCTGTCTATCTCAGAAATTCAATGATGACGATTTCACTTGAAGTTTCTCACGTTAATCATTGCGCCATTCACACCATTGGCCGAGAGAACGTCACTCTTGTAGACAAGGGGTGTAGGAGTAGACTTGTATTATTTGCAGTCTCGATTCAATTGACTCTGAGAGTGTCTTAGTTTTGTTGTGATTGATAATGGAGTTAAAATCAGTTCAATGTACGACCTAATAACCTGAAGACTGCAAGAGGGTATAGAAGTCTTGAAGATGTGCGTAATGCTGTCAATACAATGAAGAAAGCCTGTCCTTGATATGACACTCAAGAAAAGAAAGAAATAGGTACAACGAAGAAAGAGATGGGATCCATAGACCTGTTGAGAATGGTCAACATTTGGAAAAACGGCCAGAAGGAAATCATAAAGTGTTGCTAAGGACGCAGACGCAGACACAGACACAACTATGTGGTATATGGTATCAACCTGCATTAGAAAAAAGATTCAACTAGCCGCTGAATCGAAGACAAGATGCGTGCTTTTTCTCAATAGAGAAGGGCTTGGAAGGAAGGGATCCATGCCAAGCCAGCCAGAGTGAGGTTTAGGCATGGCAAGGAAGTGATTGGCGCTGAGGAATTGCGAACGACACCAAAAAAATTGCTGCCAGGCAATTTGAATAGTGATTGGCGAGATATGGACCCGCGAGTGAAGTTCATTAGAAATTAGTCATGTCCAGGGGAAACCTTAGAGTATTAGGGTGTGCAGGTTCTTCTGGATTATCATGTCCTGTACGGAATCCATGGTAGCTTTTAGTAAAGTGGTATCGGTGGCATTGGTGTAATGGATATAGATCTCGCGGTCCGGTATCCGGTTGATGCCTCGGAAGCGGTCGGCAAAGTATCTTGCGGCTGCATCGAAGTCTGTGTTCGAGCCATTGTAGTCGGGGAAATGATTGGAAACAGGTGAGAGTTGAAGCTTTCCCTTGAACAAATCGATCTTGTTCAGGAAAAGAATGATGGGCTTGCGCTTGAACCACTCTCCGTTCACAAGCGATTCAAATAGCATCATTGCCTCATGCATTTGGTTCTGTGTGCGGAGAATGATTAGAGGTGACCTGTATACTTCACAGCAGGACGACGACTTACGGCATTCTGATCCTCAACAAGGCACTGATCGTAGCCGGATAAAGCAACCATGAACAGCAGGCATTGCACGCCCTCGAAACAGTGGATCCACTTCTTGCGCTCGGACCGTTGTCCACCAACGTCCATCATCCGGAAGTTCATCTGACCAAGCTCGAAAAGTGTTTCCGTTATACCAGTTGTTCGCAACCGAGCTTGTAGCATGTCCTGGTTGTCCGGTAGCCAACCCGGAGTAAAGATCCGGTCGAGGGATTCGAAGAAGCTGGAAAGGGATTAGCTGAGGCGTCCCAACCAAGCCGTGGTCGCTACATACTAATGCAGGTTATCATGGAGCGCGAATTCATGTCCTCGAGCCACTGCCTTCTGGACGCCTGAATCTTCCCACATATCCCTCAAAGCATCCCGGACTTTCATGTCCGAAAAGGCTTCGTCGGAGCCCACATCCGGCTCCAAATTGTCAATGAATTCGCCAAGCGACTGGAAACATGACCCCAAGCGTTAATACTCAGAGTAACCAGACCGGAGCGCCAACGATTACGGGTCATCTTACCTGAGTTGTTTCGAGTTGGAAATCGATGTTCTCCGTTCGCATAATCTCCAATAAAACCTTGAAGGCGATAATCAGATTTGAATAGATTACCGCCCGAGTCTGGATACGTTCATCTTCTGGAAACCCTCCCGAGTGAATGATGCGCATCTGTTTAATGATTGTTGATTTGCCCGACTCTCCCGCACCTAGGCAAGTTTGGTCAGTACCAAGAGCAAATCAACTATGGTGTATATTCCGAGGCATATTTACCGAGAAGAAGAATCTTGATCGTCCTGTCCATCACTTTTTTATCATTTTTCAGCGCCTTCTCTATCCTAACATTTCGTTGAAGGGCTTCTTTATCACCCGCGTCTACGGGCTTCGAGCTCATACAACCCATTTTGAGATCGTAAAATGTGATTTGAGAACACGAGCGAGATATGTCTGCGGACGTCGCGTTAGATGACTGACTCCTGAAGGTGTGACCAAGGTGCGCGCTCAGATTATGGGATCCAAGATTGAATCAGGGATGCGCACAGACAGCAAAAAAGTGGCCAGTAGAATGTGTTTTACTTGAACATGTATCAGGTGCAACCTCGAGCCCAAAGGGGGGTGACGAGCACTGAAATCAAAACCCAAATGCGATGAATTGACTTACACTCAGGAGCAATAAAAGAGCCTGACAGGTAGAGGGGTAGAATCACTGTATGCGCAGCGTGAGCTTAGAGCATGCATCCACTAGCAATCATTGCTGCTTCTGCTGCAAGAGGCGACGGAAAGGTTATACGTACACTGCAGTATCCAGTTTCCGGCCAAATGAATTCTTCTGGTTCGGCACTTCGGGAAAAAGTTCCAGGTGCGCGGGTTTTCAAGTGTCAATTTCGTGCGGCAGTCTCAAGGTGACGGTACTCTCCACCGGGAAAAGTTCGTTGTAACGGCGGCCCGAAAGTACTGAAGCGGATTTGAGGGCAAAAAAGCTGTAAATAAGGCAGCGCGAGTCTGGTTGGCAGAAGCGGGAAATTCGACGGCCACGGCTTCGTACGACTTTAGGTCGAGGTTGTGATAAGCGCAGCAATGAGTGCGGCGCGAAGAGGGACTGAGGAACTCGAGTACGTGCAAGATAAAACGAACCTTTTGTCGATGAGTTCGTTTTGGGTTCGGGGGGTTAAAGGAGAAGGAGAGTTCCAGCTGAACGAAAAGAAGTCGAAGATGATCAGAATCGGAGTCAGCGGAGGAGGGACAGATGCATTACTCCCAAGTCACAGCAGGGAGGAAGGCAAGGTGCGCAGAGTAGATGAGCAAGGTGCCTCCCGGTCGAATCCTCAGAGAATCAGTTTATAGGAGGAATAATTGATGAGAGAAAGAGGGTGAAAAGGTGTTGCGCATTCGGTTTGAATTAAGATATTCAAGCAACACCGAGCGGAGTGGGTCGCAGTGGTTTTGCTAGCAAGGTCGGTCTTGTCGGTGGATATGGGTTCTCGTGGATGCTAAATGGTCCTGACGCCCCGTTTGCAAGATTCGTTACCTAGAGGTGAGAATTGAGATGCTCTGCTCCGTTTGTCCCTGGGGAGAGTGAGCAAGTGAAGCGAGAAAGAAGAAGAGAAAAGAGAGAGAGAGAGAGGGGTGAGGGACTGAGGGAGTGAGGGAGTGTGAGGGTGGTAGTGGTGGTAGCGGTGCTAAAGGGACTTAGCCATAAGTAAGCCCTTATGCATAAGTGTCAGTCATCTAGTAGGTCGTAGTCAAGGAGATCACATGGCGGGCGGAGAGCTAGACTCTTGAGACTAAGTTAGCTTAGGTAGTTGATTCGGTCATGTTAAAGAGTTGAGAGGGGCACCGGCACAGCAATAATACGAGTGGCTCCGGGTGGATGAGGCCTGGATCCACCAGTTGTTTCTTCGCCCGCTCTTAGTCTGGTTTAAGCCGATTGGAGGTAATTGTATGCTTGTAGTATGGAGTCTGCAGTAAGGTATTTTTACCCGGAGGAAACATATATTACGCTGATGGATACAAACCCCGTTTACCATCTATGACCGGTACAGTTTGAGCGAGTGAAATAGTGACCGCTGACTCGAGTCTCTTGGCTTGGAGACCCAGTGCAAGTTTCGCAATTGCAGAATCACCACCTTTGTGTCTCGGCTTGCTACGCCATGGGTCTGCAGAGAACCGCAAAATTACTGTATACGGCAACTGAGATGAACCTCCCTGGTCATGCATCCTTCCCTCTCTTCATACGATCAGAAACAAAGACACTCGCATACCATTCAACTTCGAGCAATTCTATCGATTCTTCGAGCTTGAGTTTCAGACTATCCAGACATAGCTCCTTTCTAAAACTCCACCTACTCGCGCACACGACGCCACGAGGCACGGAAGCACCGCGGTGCCATGCACGGATCGACGTATATTTGCCAGAAAGACCATAGGAGGAAAGTGAACCTTATTTGGCGCATGGTGCAAACCGTGGATGGTGCTGGACACCGCGGGGCAACAAAGAAATCTTTCAACCTAGCTGCCACTAGCGGTTCCATTGATGAATAGTTTCCTTCTCAGCTAAATTGCAGTGCATTCAACCCTGAGGGAGGTTCGGTGTTTGGAGGTTGCTGGGGCTCTTAGCTCTGTCAGCGCATGAGCCCCGTAGATCGGGATGGACCGTGAGATCTCACAGTAGATCGCCTTCCAGCCAGCTCTCGAGAGTCGAGGGACGTTCTACCAGAATTCTGATTTGGCTCAGCGAGACACCAACGACAAGCAAGCTTAGGAGGAGCAGATCATTGTTCGATTTATTCGACAGTGTCTGCAGACTCTAGTCTCTCTATCCAACATTGCAAATATAAGCATTCCTTTGATTAGCTATTCGGTGATGAGAACCTCGATCGAGCAAGAACAATTGAAAAGAGGCTTTGGATTAGCGGGCTAACGAACGGACTTAGGCGCAGTTTCATCTCTCCATCCTTCCAATAACCAGTCATTGAAGCAATTCCCGAACCTATCCGGCGTCATACTATGACCAAGTAGGCAACAGTATCGAGGATAAAGCACGAACCTAGGTTCCAAGTTGATCCAACAACAATCTTCTGAGTTTCAAACTCTATTGCACCAGAGCATGACCTGTCATGGCGAGTCAAGCGAGCTATCCATTAACTTATCCATAGTTAGAAGGTGTATTGTGGCTGACCTGTATAGTGTACGGAGTATAGTGTATATTATGTATACCAAGTAGGGTAACTTATCTTTCAAGGTATTTACATGTGCGAGTCGGTCCCGCCGGCCTTGCAGGCTTCCGGTTTCATCTAGTTCTGCCAAGCAGGGAATAATACGCCGGTGGAGGACGCTAAGGCAGGGGAAGTGATGAGTCAGCAACCGTCGGCATGGACCATGTCAATTCCGTCCCAATCAATTTGCTGAAGACGGCCGGTTGCGGACTCGACAGGTAGCATGGCTTCGAACTGGTAAACATTGCCCATTCCATGCGACCCTTGGGCGGAAGGGTGTGCCATTTCCGGACATATCAAATGCAGAGTGCTCGTAACGAAGAAGGTTCAACGAAGAGAAGATCTACAGGAGTAAATCTCGGGCCTTCACCCCGAATTTGGCATGGGGGAGGTCTATCCAAATACTACTATCCAAATACTACTAACTACCTGGCGAGCGGCAGCATTCGCTCAGCTGCATGGCCCCTAACGGTTCCAAATTTAAAGGCTATGGCCTTACGAGAATGGTTCGAGGTGAGCCTCTCTCTCTCTCAGATGGCTAACCGTGCTTGTGCAAGTGCCACGCTATATCAGACCTTCTATTTATACACAATCACCGCGCGGTCTTCCTGATAGAGCCTTGCTCGATGCATTCAGCAGAGGTTGATGTTCTCTAATTGACTCCGTATTGTGATTGCCAAGGCTTGATGAATTCCCAACTGACCTGCCCTAAGCTCGACATACGTGTACAACTTGTCGACCTTATACCGGCCACTAGTTCAGATCTTATCTAAAACACGTGGGATGGCGATGCCAGTCCGTATAGCGGGCTGCCGCATTCTTAGAGAGATAGTGCAAGGGAGCAGCCGTGAGGAATGAACGAGGTCTCAGAGACATTCCGCAAGTGACATGTTTGCCCATGCTCATGGATGTTTGAGATGACGATCGTATTGTTGGGGTAAGACATCAATTCCACAATCAGGGGCTCATAACAGGGCTGGATGAGGCTTCGTCAAGTTACTATCTTTCGGTTATCGTTGAAACGAAAAGTGCGGACTCCATAGCTTTGACCTCAGGCATAAGTTAACAAACATGAATGCAAACACCAGAACAGATTGATTCTTTCTCTTCTTGGGTGCGATCAATACATCCAGGAGGGTTATAGCAGCGGTAAGTCTAAGGACAGTTCATAGCAGTCAGGACTCGTCAATTGAGACCATGACTGCGGAGTACAAATAACAACTACTTAGTTATCAGGACTTGAAGATGTATGAGAGCAATACATACAGAACATACAAAACATACAGAACATACGGAACCACAATAGAGCGAGACTAAGATGTAACAGTAATTACCGTGTATAGCCCACAGCTTGCCCCCCCCCCCCCCCCGGAACCACGTGCTTCGCGTCGTCTGGTATTGTTGGAGCCTTAATCGGTAGTGGTTTCACCATGGAATGAATGGCTGCTAGTTAGTGAGAGCTTTGCGCTCGTCCCGGGCAGTGACCCCACATCCGGAGCAACCAAAAGGCCTGACAGGACGCACTGAGCTTCACGGCCCATTTTTCTCGTCAATGTTTAGTTAGTTACTTTTCGCTGTTCGATCTCCTGGTAGATACTCCATATACTACCCTCCTTGCATGTTCACAGACCCCGAGTGCTACTAAGCATACTCTATGCTTGAAGAATTTTCTAGTCATCAAAAGGTTGATTAATTCACTTATTGACTGTATCGCCTGACGCTCTCAAGTTGCACACTACATGGTTTCTGTGTTGAGTATTGAGCGTCGCACCATGCCGGACAAGCCTTGCACAACCACAAATCCTTCAAGCCACCCCTTTTTTTTTCCCTGAATTATGCTTAGCCAGCTTTAAACTGTCCTGAACTCCACCAACGGAGAGCCCTCATTTGGGATAACGGGCAGCGTGGCACACCTCAGCCGAATTTCCATGCATGGAAGCATACCCGCCAGAAACCCGGTTCGACCTCGATCATTGGGCGAACGGTTCAGCCCTTCGCGTGGTGAGAAGAAAAGAACTGTCAGTTCAAAAATGCGGTCTGCATCCGGGTTCCACCAATAATGCAAAGCTCTATACTCTGCCAACGGCTGTTGGCCACCGGAAAAGGGAGGGATGTGCGCTTATGATCCTCATCCCTCCGAACGCAAGCAGAAAGGGCACACATCCTTGGTAAACAAACCCCGGACTGCACGGTCAGCTTACACAGTACATTGCATCCTTGGCTCAGGAGATCTTAATCATTTCTGTCGCTAATTATATCCATACTTCAACCAACCAACATGAAGGTGGCATGGTCGTTACGTCGAACGATGAGCTGCCTTTGCTGCGGTGTGTCGGGTGTCGGTGAGGTCCGGTGCGGATGCAGAACATTCTCCAAGCACCCTATCATCGGTAATCCTAATCGACGAACCAAAGTGAAAATAAATTAAATCGAACAAGCGATATGCCGCGGCTTCCCCGTATTCAAAACTTTAATTATATAACTACCAGAGCCGAGAAGACAGGCTCTGTCATTTCTAAGCAGCGTAAGGGATGGTTGTAAAGTGGATATGTGATGACTTTCCTAAGAGGCTATCTTTCCCCAACAGGACTTGAGGGACAACGCAAGCTTCAACATCCCTGGTGTTGATCATAGTTAACGGTGTCGTCTGCCCAGGGGCTGCCGGAACCGCCCAGGCTCAAGGCGGGGGCCGAAGTCTCAGCGAGTAAATCCCGTTGCTGTCGGAATTCAGGTGGAATGGCCATCCGCCAGAGATATGCCTCCGGGCCGTAAGGGCCTGTCAATCCATGCTTCTCTGGGATGTCGCCGAGTGACTCTGAAAGGCAGCTGTCATATCGTTATTCTTAATGGTCAAACACACTCTCTCAGTGAACAAGCTCCGAGTCGGTCAACATTTCAGCTCGTTTCTTTACGTGATGAATCCGGACTGGTGGGATGTTGTGTCCTGACATCGCTTAATCTTCCTACTTGTGGTGCTTTTGGATTGGCACTACTCCGTAGCAAGCGGTCCATTGCCTCCGGTGCCCAGTCCCCACAACATGGGGCACGCCGTCTCTTCATGGCGCGTGAAGTTTCGTCGAGCTATGGCGTGGGCGAACCATGGCTCGGTAGCAAGGATCGATCCGAGATGGCTGCTCTCGAAGGTCTGCAGGACCCGGTTGTGCCTCTGGGGTGTATCTCAAACGAGTCATACGAGGTTGAGAATCTGTCCTTCTCTGAGCCGTAGAATAGACAACGCGCGACGACACTCGGAAAGTTCGTGGGTGATATCGCCCGAATTTAAGCCCATTGTGGTACACTTGCGTGGGCCACGGAGGAAAGATAGTTTGCTTCACTCACTAGGTATTTATCTACTATGTCCGGTACTTTCCAGACTACGGACAACTACCGAAGTGCCGATGCTCCAGCGAGCGAAATTCGACTTATTGGCCCTGCCCAAGTCGAAATTACGAGTGATCAAAGGGGCTCATGCAGGGATAGCTGAGTCATCAGTACAAATCCACTCATGCCAAGGGACACCGTCAACCAACTAAATCAGTGTCTTATTATTATGGGGTTCTGGGGACCTTTCGTCGTCATGTCTCACTGATAAACGATGAAGAAAGTGACAGGCTGACGATTCCCGGCTGGAAAGGGTTTCCTCGCGCTAAACTCTATCTCGAGCTGACTGCATACCTTATTCTTGTTCCTTCGTCATTCAACGTTGGTCGCGCGGCGGGCGGCCAGTGAGATGAGGGGCATGCAGAGCAACTTACTACCCCTGAAGAGGTCAGTCAATCCAGCTTTCATGGAGTTCGACAAGCAAGTGAGGACTAACACCATGTAGCAATAGCAATGAAGGTGCACCACATCTCGAACGATACCTATCAGGCCGTTGGACCCCTGACATCGAAAAGAATCAACTCTACTACGAATCGCCGGACGATCGCAATGATGTCTTGAACCTCCTGAGTGCTCTGTATGGGTACAGAAGCAACTCCTTGCTGGGTGTCATCAGCTTCATTCTCTTCTCCATTCTTTCCTTCTTTGCGGCTGCCTACTACTTTTGGTCCCTGATGCCCTGTATGTTACCGCCTGTTGATTTCGCCACTCTTCATCCGACGGTTTTTCGCTGAAATCCACTGCCAGACGAACCTTCACAACACAGTCCCGTTTCGACTGTCTTGATCACCTAGATCGACATTGATGGTGTCTTCTCTTGCGGCGGATCGTTCTCGCTATACGGTGTGATAATGCCTATTGTTCGATCGGTCATATCTGAAGAATTGTCTTCTAAACACGGCCCGAAGCAGGGACTCACAGGCGTGGCGCGGCCAGGCAAAGAAAGGAACCTCGAGAGCCATGATGCCACCAGGGGTGTCTGATCTTAAAGCTTCGGTTTTGCCAACCGCACCAATCAGCATTCGGACTCGGGCTTTGAGGGATGGTGATGTTCATTCGAAATGTGACTAGTCTCACGAGGCTGTTGCGCACCGCCGGGCGTCCAGTACCTGAACAGATGAACCTCCATGAAGGCCACTCTACGAAGCACCCTCGCTCCTACTTCTCATGTACATACACAAACAAGCTCGAATCGAAAGTCTCTCCATGCAGCATAGTCTCCCCACCGGCCATCAAGTCTGGAACTCAGGTGTTCCTTGACCCAGATAATCGTTCAAAACCAGGGACGATGCAGCATGTTTTCTAGTCTCTTCGATGTCGCGGGGATGACAATGTCCACATCATGGTTCAATCTCGAAAGATAACTTTGATGATTGATCTTTGGACAGCACTTTCTTTCATGGCCAGGACAGTCTGAAACCCAGCACGAATGCTGTTGAGTGGTGGGCAACTAGACTGATTTGTCTACAAATTCTCAACAGACACGTTCACAGGTCGTGTTAACCATGATCCTCAATCATACCTCGGGTTATGTGCTGAACGCGATTGCAATCACGATAAGTCTCTTTTGCATGTGGCTTGACAGATCCGTCACCACTTCAACAAAGCTACTGCGTCCCTTTCGATACAGTACCGGCCGACAGGCCAAATTATGTACATCTCTCATCACTCTTGCATCTGGAGATTACCTGTCGGTATATATGCTACGCAGCTTGTAGATCATGCGGTCTCGGCTTTTGTAGAAAATATCATATTACGGGGTCACCAATGACCATTACCCACTGTTCCTCACAGGAGTCATACCACTTGATGGCCATTCTTCGTCACAACTAGGCTGTCAAAGTCCAGAGGTAATATGAGTATTTCCACCGTCTACCTGCTAGCTGAAGCACTGTCAACGAAAGGCTACTCGGGTGAGCCTCTTCTACTTTGCCTCAGACCTGTTTCGTCAACCGTACCCCCCAGATTATCTGCATAGCATTGAATCATTCGTTGACGCGAAGACCAACCAGATGAACCGTAGCTGATTCATAATTGTGCAACACCGATGGAGTAGAACGGTAAACCAAGCAGGGCGCCCATATTTGCGCCCCTATGCCCGAGAACGTATTTCGACCCCAGCAGGCGAACATCTTCGCTCTCAAGACGCAAACATTCAGATCCACACAAACATGAGCAAACGCACTCAATGACTTGGGCACAGCCTTCTTAGTTGCCCGGGGCGTTCCTCTACCATGAGTGTTTAACTTAGCTCCGAGAAGCGAGCAATATCCGCCGACCAAACCACCGTGGTACTTCATTTGGGTACTCCCCTCCCCGTGAAGGGCCTTGATGCCAGCATCTTAGCCCTCGCTCTGGCCATTGAATCGGAAAACCACCCCTTCCCCCGCCGAAGGGCTTAAATTATTAGCCTTCGGGCTATCGAACCACCGCCTCTCTCCCCGAGGAAGAGGGTTATATCATTAGCCCCCGGGCTATCGAATTCACCACTCCCCTGATGGGGACTTGACTAACCCATGTAATCGGCCATATGTCGGGCTCATTACAGTTGATGGAACCATTTGGCCTAATTCCACAAGCTTCAAAGCATGCACTTGTCTTAGTTATGTATATATAATATAGATAGCTTGTCAGACACGCCCCTATACCCCATGGGAGATGTGGGCACCCTGACATTGACCAGGGCACTGCTTGGGTGCCCCGTGGGCGTTAAGCAATACAACAACAACAACAACCAACTCATTCAGAATACTCTACACCGACCTGTCAACAGTCCACATTCCGTCAGCCCGTCACGAATGACTGAAAAACTCGCTCGGAGCTCACAGCCCTGCAAAATGGCGGGTCCTCCGACTGAAGCAGGGCCACTAGGACGGTGCTCTCCTTTGCGGAGGCCCAGCCAAAGCAGAAAAGAGAAGCATATCAGGTTCTGCAACTCTAGCCCCTCTGTCTTTTGAATGGTGAGATACGGCTCGATACTAAGTCAGAAAAGATGATGTGGTACTAAGGTACTAGGTAGCTGCGCCTCAACAGCGTTTCTGTTCCAGGGCCTGAAACCACACATCCCAGCGGAAATGAAGTTCTGCGCTAGTAGTGTAACAGAAGTATCATTGCATCTTTTAGCTAAAACTCCCTTGCTTGTCGTTTAGAGCATTTCTTTTTTTTTCTTTTTTTTCTTTCCAGAAAAGCTATGGGTTAGAGTGATGTTGCACGAGTATCCAGCTGACCGGACAGGAACGTTTCTATGTAACTATGGTGTATGAACAATGCACGAGGGGCCCTGTGAAGCTTACCCTGCCTTGTCCCCGGGTCTCTCTCCCTTCCTACAAGAATGAGAGTTCGACCCGGTCGGGAGCAACCCGGAGAGCATAATGAGTGAGAGCAAAACAAGTGCGCTTCGCTTCGCGGCGTAAGAAAGCCGGGAAGAGAGGTAGAAAATGCAGTTGATGACTTTGCGCCGCCCACGAGACGCCAGGTTTCGAGGACTGGCGTGGGAAGCAGTATAGAAAGGCCATGTTGGTCGCAGTCATGCTGCTGCTCGCTTTGGAACTACCTACTTAGTTGTTGTCCTCAAACAAACAGCCTATCTGATCGATTCTTGGTTCTTGCTCGTGTTACCCTTCAAGTTTGGTGATAGGTGATAATACCTACCGAGTCTCCCTTCTATAATAAGTCTTTCTCCGCTGTTTGCACAGGAGAAGCACTGCATCTTAAGATTTGGGCCGATGATTGGGCAGGTTTCGTTGTAGGGAATGGGGCTCATTCGGAGATGGTTTGTACGGGTGATGAAGGAAAGAGTCGAGTGTACCTTTGGTCTGTCGTCTCTGAAAGGATAGATTATATAACGGTCATACATATCGAATGTAGCGGATATCGAAGTAAATTCGTGGGAGTCAAGAGGCAATCGGACAGGCGCATGGAGCATGGAGCATGGAGCATGAAGCATGAAGCATGAAGCGTGAAAGGGCGCGCTGGTGGGTAGAATGTGGTCCGCGCAGAACAAATCTAATGATTTGATACGCAAGACCAGTGGAATGGGGAATCGGAGGATGAATCAACTTGAGGCACACTTGGGATCTCTCTTGGGTGATAAGGGTTCTATAGCTAGTGTCAGGAGTATTCCAATCTCAACACAGCAGGCATCAGGTTTTGCGAGTGATTGGTGTAATATGAAAGCAGTCCAAGCTGGAACCCATGGAGGCCCTGTATCACCTCGATGGAGTTATGGAGCACATGGCGGTTGTGACACAGCCCTGTCAATAACCTACGCGTGTTTTTTATGTCGCTCAGGAAGTTGGCTCGAGTTTATCCACAGACGCAGGAATAGGCTGCCGTGCCGAGTTCCTCGGGACCATTATAAGTTGGTATTGGCGATTCCGGCATCATGGAGTCATTCTCGTTGATGCGTGCAAAGTACCACTACAGTAAGATATATTACGAGGATAATAGTACGGAGTAGATGGTGACGGTTGACGTTTGCCCGATGATAACTACCGAAGCATTGCAATCAGCATGAGGTGGACTAGGGAATTAAGAGAGCCTGGACCGTCCGGGACAAAGAGAATTTAAAGTCCTGAAGTTGACTGATAAGATTCTACTCCGTATATATCATATGTGAGAATTGGAAAGGGGACTCAAGTGCTGAGCATTCTCCCGGTCACGAAGTAGTGACCAGGGAGAGAGCTGAGAGATTCATAATGTCAAACAATATGAGAGAGCGCGCATGTATAGGTATAGGATGTGGTCGATAGATCATTCGTCCTCCCTCATGCGCTAGCTAGTATGATCGAGGCGACCTGCTGTCCTGTAACCTTCCAGGATTTGCTGCCAGAACCGCCTGTAGGTGATGTATAGATTTTCCGGGATCGGGCAAATCGGGGATTGACGCTGAGTGGAAGTGGAGCACATGTCAGGCATTGGTACTTTTGGGCAAGGCTACAAATACAGTACGTATCGACTGAACCTTTGCTTGGACTGCATTGCAGATGTCCCTAGTCGCTGGGGCTCTAACGCCTGGCTGACCGGCTGACCGGCTGGGCCTTGAACTACGGAGTACCTGCTTATGAAGCCCTCATTGCAGAAAAGAATCGAAGCGCAAAGACCAAATTTGCGATAATGCTGCAGTAACTGGCTGAGATGGATCCGATCGCCTGGAGATCAGCAGCCATTTTTATGCTCAACAGTACTGTGTAAAGTGTGTAGTTGTATAGATAAGCCGTGCAATAACGGTCAGCCGAAAACCTCCCCAAAGCTTCGAGCTGAGGGAAATCCATGGTTCCCAGCTTCTTCCGAATGGGACAAAAAACGTCTTTTTTCTTCCCTTTGGTTTTGCTCCACAACAGCCTTGAGGTAGCCATTCATGGCACTTAACGGCTTTAAACCTTGATCATGGATCATTTTGTTGCAATGAAGAATTTAGTACTTATTGGAAAATCCCTGGCGTGCAGTAGCAGCAGCAGTAAAGTGGAACACCATGCCCCCCCTTTTCAGCTGCTTTTCTCAGTCGTAAGACAGTCCGATCATTTTCAACATTTGCTTCTTCGGGGCAATGAACACCCATCAAATCACCCTCCCGAATGAGTGCAGGGAACCTGCGACCAACTGACTGCCCTAGTTACTACTCTTAAGTCAACTAACTAACTATGATGGAAGGATTACCCAAGTCATACCTGATCCACTCGGCTTGCTTGGCCCACTCGCTCTTTTCGCTCTGTTCTTTGTTTCTTTATTTACCTTTTGACTCGTGCCGTGTGTATCCCTGCCCCTTTGGCTAATGAGATCTTTCTTCGCTCGGATGAGAGAGGAGGCAGACTACTGTGTACGCGGGCAACTGTAGCTGGAGCTAGTGATGGATCGACTTGCCTGTCTCGTATCGGTGGCTTTGATGCCGCTCATGCACGATGGTCGATCAAGCGTCATATCTTATGTCTCTGCAACAAGATTACAGCTGGAGACTGAGCAGATTAGATAGGTAGAGTTGGGACGCAGTAGAGATTGCTGCAAGTGGGTTCCTGGTGGTATTCTTGCTGGATGAAGATGGATCCCAGTAATTTCCGCCCATCGGAGAATGGGGACCAGGATTTCCTCTTCAGGAACGGAATAGCGGATTTGAAATGAGCCGATATTCCATGTCAAGGAGGACTCGTCAACTTATCCCCTTATATCATCCATCACTTAATAGAGGTGGTTTTAATTAGTAACTTAGTGCGCAAAAGGAGTCTCAACGAGGGAATCATGGTGGATGCATTGCAGGTCGTCCCACGATCTGTTAGGTCGATCGACCCATTCCGATACAGATTTGTGTGGTCATGATTAGCGATAGAAGAAGGGGAGATGAGATGATGGATGAGGATACGGAGTACCATTTAGCAAAGGACAGAAAACACGATGAGAGAACAAGATTGGGGAGATTCATTCATTCATTCATTCATTCATTGATTGATTTATTTATTCATTATTTGACTCCGCAGGAAAATCACCACGTTTGCCCGTGTGTAAGGGGAATCCATGGTTCTCCTCTTGTCGTGCCTTGCCCAAAAATCTGGTGTGGACAGGTTGACCTCCTCCGATCTCCAGGTGGTTCTGCGTTCCGCCCTGTTGGAACCTGACTGGGGCCTGCCTAAGGCCAGTGACGGCTTTTCCTCCCCTACTTTCCATCGTTAGTTTACTTCCTACTTACTCTCCACCCGTCGCCGCACTCCACCATCCACCATTCATCCATCCATCCATTCATCCCATCCCATCCGCCCCCCATCTTTCTTTTATTTACCCATCTCTATCCATAAGCAGCCGTGTGCCGCTAGATATCTCTCGCCCCTTCCCCCTCCCCTCCTCTTTCATCATCCCTACTTGTGTTGTGGTTGTAATTATCTTTGGTGTGTTTTAACTTTTCCTCTCCATTGTTGGTGCCATCAAATCTATCCCCCAAGTAATTCGCGGATTTCTCTGCTCTGGTTCCTCAGGCACCGTCCTACTGCTGTTCTATTATTATCTATCAACTACCCCCCGGTCACGTATAATACGTGCCCCAGACGTGCTAGGTAGTTTCCCTTCCCACCATCGCGCCTCATCTCGTGCTACTGCAGACATCGCCAATGTTCAGCCTCCTTCACTTCGTCCGATAAACGACCGCCCTCGTGAACGTTCTCTGGTCATGTCGTTTCGCAGGCATCTATTGCGATCCCAGCGTGGACTCTACCTGTATCCTCATTCCTGCTAGTTCGCGACCCTGGCCTATCGCGATTTTTGTGGTCATTCAGTGGACGTGCGGCTGCTTTCGTGTAATTCAGGGTTTGCTATGGCGTCTAGTTCGAGTGCTGTCGCGGGAACCCCGGGTCAGCTGCAGACAAGCATCTGTCCGACGTGGGTCGACCTGGGGTCTCAAGGAACTGCATCTGGAGATGCAGATATCCGGTATACGACATCCGATCTTCGACGCGCCCACACAGTAACACACGGCACGAACACCCGGGATAAGCCTACTGCGAACGCCAAAACAACCCGTGAGCGGATAGCGACCTCATTTCTGCGTGTCAAGGACAGTCATGAACTCTTGCGCAAGCGCTCCTTTAAGCGGGCCAATGCCCCTCAGACTGCCGGCGAACCCCTATCGACAACCAGAGAACCCAATCATTTCACGGTGGGTAATGTTGGCCAGAACGGGGCAATTTTTCTAAGGTATTGTTTATCGATGGCTGCACAGATTCGGTGACGTTATGCTCAAGTGCACGAAACTAACCCCTGCAATTCATTATCATCATCCAGGCCGATTCGCAATCCATCAACCACAGAACCCTTCCAGGCGCCTTCCGCCCCTACCTTGAACAAAACCCGACAAGAGCATCTACAACCGCACGCACATACTGGACGCGACAGGGCACAGCCCTCCAGGTGGTCGAACTCGCAGCTCTCCGAACTCCGCCCAGATCTTATTCCGGAAGAAGGCCCCGAGGATGACAGCTCGGTCGACACAGAATCGGCGCATTCTCAACATCACCATCTTCACCCTCGTCCCCGGAAAGCGCACTCATTTTCCACCGTCTCCGAACAATGGTCGGAAGTCCGTCGCCCTGAAGAGCTTCAGATATTCATTGAACAAGCGGCTGGCAGACCCAAAACTGCTGATGAACCGTTACGCCGCCCTTCGGATAGTGCCATTACTCCATACCACCTGGGTTGGCCACTACCAACCCTCGACAATGAAACCGCGCTGCTTAGCTCAGTATACGTGAGGACATCTCTGTCAACGGACCTGCGCGCCTCGGATATACCTCGAGATTATTGGATTAACACTGCGGCGCCCAATGCTTATATCAGGGATCCAGTTCGACCCTCTTTCGCCGGCTCTTTCTTCTCCGGAACTGGTGCTATTGAGATGCCCCTGGGTCCAGCAATCAACGAGCAGTCGACCTATGAGCTCAAGGAGCCTATTGAACCATCCATATTCGAGGTCCTGGCTTCGCAAATGGATAAAGAATCGGTTGTGCGCTACGTCGCTGGCACGAAAGACATCAGCGCTGCCACCCCTGCACGAATCGTGGCACAGATATCATCGGCCTCTTTTATGGACTACGAGCTTGTTTCGGACTTCTTTCTGACTTTCCGGTCCTACCTGGCCCCTAGCACACTTTTAGCACTGCTACTGGCTCGGCTTCGATGGGCGATCAATCGGCCACAGGATGACGGCAGAATTATCCGCATCCGTACCTTTGCCGCACTCCGACATTGGATCCTAAATTACTTCGTGGATGATTTTGTTCCTGATTACAGCTTGCGAGCATCCTTCTGCGAGACGATCAACGGCATGTATATCGATGTGAAAGCCCGGCAAGGGGGAGGATTGAGTGATTTGAAGATTCTCATTGATCTCAAAAGATGCTGGTATGGCAAGTGCTCTCTTTACTGGGACACCGCGGAGCAGCATGTCGCGTTCCACAGCCCTGAAGTTGCTATTCGTCCGGGTGGTGGTGAAGATGATATGACTGTGGACGCAACTGGCGATAAAGTCCTAGCTGTCGGGGGCCCGGACTTCAATTTGGGAGTCGGCCTTGAGCGTAGTGTCTCGCACACTGCTAGTCATCACCAGCGGAACAATTCAGCTACTACATCAGGAAGTCTGCCAATAACCACAACCAGTGATCGCAGCATCCATGCAACCTCGTGTTCTCTGCCGCCCAAGTCCCCTAAACGACTTTCCTTGGTCGTCAACCCTAACAAAGCACCGCACCCTGTGCCACTTGCACCATTGAAATTGGTATCGTCTCGGGATGCAGTACCACCTTCGCCTCTCACCACCCGTCGTCTTCCATATTCGAGCCACAAGCACAAACGTAGCGGAAGCTTTTCCGACTCTGTCAGAGATGACCGTGCACCTTTCTCGTTCCTCTCCTCGGGACAACACCCTGCTTCTACATATGCAGTGCTCAATCTAGGGAGCTTGATACGCGGAGAACTTTACCCTCCGGCGGAGTCGTACACGATAATGATGGCGCCGCCATCGCCTCCTCTGCCATCATCTGCTAGAGACGTTTCCCCCAATCGACGGAACACTTTAAACACGACAAGCAAACCTAGTTCGTCTGGGTCGGGGGTCAAAACCATTATTGGGTCTATTCGCCGTGCACTGAACAGTCGACATGGCGGACCAAGCGGTTCCCGCGGCATGCAAGGACAAACAACCCCATCTTATCAAGGGAGGATATCGGCGCTCCCGAATAATGTCGCATTTGGATCCGATCTCTACCGTGATAAGAAGGCGACTACGGCGACTAAACGGCGGTTCAGGATCGACACGCTGTGTGATGAGGCCTTACGACAATACCGTTCAGCCGTGACCGAACAAGCGAAATCAAAGCCGGTCGTCTTGCCCCCTGGAACTTTCCAGCATTCCACTGCGGCAGAAAATGAGACGGAGACTCACCTCGCCACAGCTGGTTTGACTAGACTGGACAGCCAGCTGACTGCAGGTAGTGAGTCAATCGTCATTGTGGATGGCACTGGCATTGCCGTGCCAATGATGCCGGGAGCATTTGGTGCAGACGCTAGTTTGGAAGAGCCTCCCCGATTCTTGGAAGCAGAGCCCTTTTCACAAACACTAAACGCTCCATCCTTGCAAGTACACTCTCAAAGGTCAACGCTTGCCACTGGCGAGTATTCACTCCCCGTTTACCTCGATGAGAGCGAGTCGGGTACATTGAGCAGAGCGTCTAAGTTCCTCCGTCCTTCGGGTTCGAGTTCGTCGCGCAGATCATACTCAGTCGAACGCGGGTCGGCATTCTGTAAACGAACCTCGCCCTCGCTGCGCCTACGTAAGTATGCGTCATTCCAAAGTGGGATCTCCAAGCTGCGCCTCACATTGGGTAGCGAGCCCACTGTCGCCGTTTCTGCTCAATATTCGCGGCAAGAATTGGATAGACCGGCAGGCCCGACGCTCCGCAGGCGCCCCGGTGGAGACCTTCGCCAAATGCGAAATGAAAGTTGTCCTCAATCTCGAGTGCACTCGCAATCGATGCTGTCTGATGTGACCCATCGCACTTCTGGTGCGGACAGTTTCGATACCCGGCTTGAAAACCCTGGCTCTCGACCTCAAACAAGTCTTATCCCACCAAATCCGCGATATTCTTTGATAACAACGCACTCGTCTCAAAACATGCGGCGCTCATTTGAAGCAGCCATTGCTCAATTTGCACAAATCCCGGATGATGGTGACGGAGGTGTGGAATCAGCGCTGCTAAAGCTGGAGGGCAAGTGGCAAGGTCAACCAGCCTCGGATCAAGAAACTGCCTCCAATGAAGCAGAACATTGGTCTCAAGGTCATAGCTTGAATAGTTTCTGTGAAGAGGATCAATGTTATCGACATCAAGCCGCGCACCATCAACCCGGACCGGCGACTACTGTCCGACGGCACGAGACATTCCTTGGTGATAGCTTGACCTATTCACAGATACAGGGACGTCTTCTTCACCATCGGTCCTATTCCCATTCGGTAACAGAAACAGAGAACTCTAACAACTTAATCCCATTGCTTGAGCGAGGGCTGAGTGACGATTCAATGAAGAAGCCTGCATCCGATCCTCTCCCGTCGCATGTCACCGGCTCTTCTCAAATTCAAGCTAATGAGAATTCTAATCGTAGCACAACGGATGTGGACTCAGAGCATTCATCCCTTGACATTGTGAGGAAGACTGAGAGCTTGAATCGTATACCACGAGGGTCTACGCTTCCGGTCGTTCTCCCTGGATCACGCAAGCAGGCGGGTCGTCTGTCAGGGCTGTCCTCAGAAATCTCCTTGGATCCGATTGATGCACAAGCGGTCGAGCAGCAGGTGTCCCTCGATACTCACCGGCTAAGCGATGTGTCCCTGGGAATTCCCCCTCATCCTCTGGCCCACCCGCCGTCTCCTCCGATGACCATCCCAAATACTCGATCGATCTCTTGCGCTACGCCCCTTAATCCAATCCTGTTTCCAACGCAACCTCTCACGCCCGATCCCTCCCCCAGGAACGTTGCCGGTCAAGCAGACGGACGAGCTATGGATGTTGAGCATGTATCTGGTGATGTACTCTCCCGCTCTGAGAAGAACCGCAAAACTCCTCAGCCATTGAACGATCCCAAACCCGACCATGTACCCTTCGTTCTTTCTTGCGAATCTCATATCCTGGCTCAGCAGCTGACCTTGGTGGAGATGGCGGCATTGAGCGAGGTGGACTGGCGGGATTTGATTGAAATGCGTTGGAGCAGCGGCTCACCGTCGGCCCTCAGCTGGGTCCAGTTTCTCAGAGAAGGGGAAAGTCGGGGTATTGACCTGGTAGTAGGCCGCTTCAATTTGATGGTCAAGTGGGTGCTATCTGAAATTGTTCTGACCCTCGATTTACACGAGCGGGCTCGGACGATAGCCAAATTCATCCATACGGCAGTTCACGCCCGGAGGATGTGTAACTACGCCACAATGCTCCAGATAGCGATTGCTCTATCATCCACCGACTGCTCGAGACTCCAGAGCACATGGGCCCTGGTTCCTCCTGCCGACAGGCACATGCTGAAAGACATGGAATCTCTAATTCAACCTATTCGTAACTTTCATGACCTCCGTGTGGAGATGGAAACGGCGAATGCTCAAGATGGGTGCATTCCGTTTGTTGGTGAGTTGTCTTTCTGGGGTCTGCGATTTATTCATCATCAAGGTCTGTGGCTGACTGATCACCTAAACTGCAGGTCTCTACGTTCATGACCTTACCTACAACGCACAAAAGCCAGCGCGAGTGACCACACACGAGGGTGAACCTCTGATCAACTTTGAACGTTATCGAACCACAGCCAAGATAGTGAAGAGTCTTCTTCGCTTGATAGATGCAAGCACCAAGTACAAATTTCATCCGATCCCTGGCATCATCGAACGTTGCCTGTGGATCGCATCGCTCTCCGAAGAGCAAGTCCAGCTGCGTAGCAAGCAGCTAGTTTGAACAACATTTACGGCTCGACATATGACGAACCATGTCGCTACACGATCAACCTTTTAACGAGATGATACAATTACTAATTTGGGAGGACGGATTGTTTTATTGCATGGAGCGCTCGTGATCATGTTGCGTCAGATACCAAATACCCCGAATATACCCTGGATCGCGTTGGCGACGGACACAATGGGTGCTAAAATCTACTTGTCATGTTTGTACACTAATCTTGCATCGGGCTGCGTTGGGTTTTGACCGTTGTCTTGCATATCTGGATTTGATTTTGAAATAGTCTTGATTTTTTGGGCATGAAAGGAGAAACAGGTACATGTTGTTTTGTTTTATGACGCGATGAAGCCTGTACGGTGATCGATTCTGTTTGTCCTATCTTGATTCTTTTCCTCTTGTTAATGGCAAGGGAAAAGGAGTCACCTAGTCTTATTCGCGAAGGTATCCCGACCTGGTATTACTTCCTGGGACCGGGCTATCTCGTGTTTCATAATCACTGAATCCCTTCATTTCGCATCATATCTTGCTTCTACATAAATCACATTAGGATTCGGAACCGACCCTGGATTTAGACCCGGGCGCAAAGAGTGGGAGTGGGAGTTTCGCGGTGGATCTATGTATAGTGACTGTAAGGACATCCCCACCGCGCGCCCGTCCGCCTGGACACTCGTCATCTCCCTCATTCTCTCTCTCTTTCTAGGCCCCCCACTGGCTTTCTTGTCCTCCCTACTCCTGCTGTCTCTTCTCCATTCTTTTCTAATTCCCAATACTCTGTCCATGAATTCCCAACATTATTTGCAGAATATCTCTCCGAATTTTTCTTTCTTTGAGATATACCCCCACGTCATCCGGTTAATCTCAACGAGATCTCCTCATTCGAATTAGACGGGAAGGCCGACCCACTGGGGAAAGGAGGCTGTCCTCCATACCATTAACTTGTCTTCAGGCTGTCTGCTCCATGGAGCGAGAATTGATAGACTCCTACTGTTCGAATTTTCTTTCCTGCTCCTCTGTCTCTGTCCTCCGACGTCATCTCTCCTTCTCCCGTCATGAGCGACTCCGACTCCCCCCGCGGGGCGTCAGACGAATTCGACCATAGCGATCCGTCTTCGACAGATCTTCACGTCCGCACGCTTCCCGATGATCTGCCCAAATCCTTAGATGACCGCCGTTCTATGCCCGTCTTGCAACCCGAGACAGAGATGTACGATGCCTGGCAAGGTGCGCGGCTACTCATTCCTCTTCTACCCCTCCATTGCGCCCCCTCCCGACCGGTCGCGCAACCCCCCGCAAATGTCACGCCCCCTAGATGCGTGGTTAGCATCAAAAAAAGCGAATCGCTGTTGCCCCTAAGCTAGTGTGGGAGGGGCCGCGGACCAAATACACAATACCAAAGAGATGGTCTCATGGGTAGCATTGGTAGGGAGTGGCTAACATCTCTCCAACACACTGCAGGTCAGTCGCAATTTCTCACAACTCCCGTGGCTGCGAAACCTTTGAGCTTCAGCCTCACACTCGACGATCATACACACGACGAGGAACATGCCTTACAAGCCCAGTATGGACGCGGTCTTGCAGCGGCTGCCATCGATGACGACAACGAATCCACGATAACCGCTCGTCTTGAGGACAGCGATGCCCGATTGATGGAGATGCTTGCTGCGCAAGCGGCCCATCGAGAAGTGGATTCGCTCGGTGCGGATGAGGATGCTATTGCCTCCGATGACAAGCTGACCGAAGCGGAGAAACGGAATATCTTACAGCGCAGCCTGAACATGGCAGCGAGCAATGGCGATGTGGAACGTGTTCGCAGGCTAGTCCAAGGGGAGGCGAAGGACTACGTGGACGTTAACATGCCGGATGAAGAGGGCACAGTGCCCCTGATATACGCAAGCTGCTTTGTATGTTCTGTGATACCTTTGCATCTCTGACTCTATCAACCTGTGAGACTAACTATTTTCTCGGTCTAGGGGCATCAGGATGTCGTATCGGCCCTTCTGGACGCGGGGGCTCTGGTCGACCAGCAAGATCGCAACCAGTGGAGTGCCTTGATGTGGGCGATGACCAACCGACATAAGACGATCGCGAAAATCCTCCTCGACCACGGCGCGTCTCCGGACATCAAATCCTCGTCAGGCGGGACGGCTTTCGACTTTGCCCAACCAGGCAGTGAGATCTCAGAGTACCTGCATGAAAATGGATATCATTTCGGACCGAGCGCCATCGAAGATGATTTCTATGACTCTGGATTTGGGCATGGCCGCTTTGAGGAGGAAATCGCAGAAAATGAGATGAAGCGGCGGATGATGATGGAAGAGAGTGCGATCAATCTCGAGGTCGACTTATCGAGCCTGGGGCTTGACGAGAAATTTGACGTAAGTTGCATGGGAATCCTCCAACGAAAATATCATGGCTAAAGTCGTCTTTATCGGCAGTCGCAGGATGATGAAGATTTGGAAGAGGAGCAGCAGGAATTCGTCTGGGATCGGTGTTTGAACGACCAGATGTTCGTCTTCCAAGACCACGAGCTCGAAAAGATACTGAATATTATCATCACCAATATGACCCCACAGCGATCTCCCTCGCAGAAGCCAGTTCCTGCCAATCTTCTGTTCCTCAGTGCTCGTTACGCCCATTACCACGCCAGTCCCGAGCTGCTGGCTACGCTCCTGGTCTCCGCGACCGACAAGATCAACGACGTCGTTGAGCGTCATCAGTGGGACATGACTATTCTTGCCTTCTGGATGTCGAATGCAACTCTCTTGCTCCATTATTTGAAGAAAGACGCTGGTTTGGTTGAAGCAACTGTCGAATTCCAGCTTCATTTGGCCGAATTGATCAATGAGATCTTTATCTTGATTATCCGCGATGCTGAGCGTCGAATGAACAAGGTTCTAGATTCAGCCATGCTTGATCACGAGACGATCCCTGGCCTGGAGGATGTGCACTTCCAGAACGAATGGAAGCTGTTTCGGCCCAAGTCTAAGGCTAAAGCTCCCGAGCCGGTGGAGAAGCGCTTCCGGCCACCATCTCCGCGACGGCGTGCGCAGGTTTCGCCGCGCAATATCACCTCCCTCCTATCCTCGACTTTATTTGTTCTTGAGTTGTACGATGTTCATTCGGTTATTACCACGCAAATCATCTCTCAGCTTTTTTACTGGGTGGGGGCTGAGCTCTTCAATCGAATCATGACAACCAAACGGTACCTTGCCCGAACGAAAGCGATGCAGATTCGCATGAATGTTTCGACGTTAGAAGATTGGGCTCGCATCAATAATCGCCAACCGGAACATTACGAGAACGGCTCGACGAGCAGCACTGGCGAATGCACCATGGACGCCGCGCGCAAACATCTCGCACCGGTAATTCAGCTTTTGCAATGGCTGCAATGCTTCTCTTCGCTGGGGGATGACTTTGAGTCGCTGGTGACGACCCTTCTTCAACTGCAGCAGTTGACTCCAGCCCAGCTTCTGCATGCGGTCAAATCGTATCGACCAGAGGTTGGAGAGAAAGGGTTGACCAAACAGGCGATGAAGTTCCTAATTGAACTGCAGCGTGAGCCGGAATTGCTATACCGGGAACATGCCAAACTAGAAGCGGCCCAGCAGCAACGAGGCGCGGCGCAGGCGTCAGCCTCTAACGATGGAGGACGACCTCAGACGCCTCCAGCGACGACAACGACAGGCGATGCGGCCACCTCCCCTGACGCCTCGACGCGCGCCTCGGTAGCTTCCCCGGGCTCCAGTTTCGCATCTCCGCGACCGGCCCTGATGGAAGAGCGGGCTGGCGGTCATGGGGTGTTTTTAGATCCCTCTTTGACGCTTCCATTCTCTCTGCCCACCAGCACGGATATGTTGATTAGTTATGGAGCTGGATGGGGAGGTACAAATCGCGAGCGGGCGCGCAAATACATCCCGACCGTGCCCCCAGAAGTGCTCAGTCGATTTGACCGCGATGGGTGAGTGAGAGGGGCGGTTTTTAGCTGTGTATCGGAATGATGCCCTTGGGGTGGGCGGGGATTATCTTCTATCGAGTATATAGGTTGATTTACCTTGGTTTAGTAGTGTGTTCTAGATAGGAGTGACTGGACACGATGACACGCCAAGCAGTCCCTTGGAGGGCGGGTTGCGTAAGGCCGTCAGATTGAGTGTCCCAAGGGAGATAGTGATGGACAGTGGAGTTGCTGGAACGGGCCAGGCCGGGTTTTTCTCAGGGAGAGTTAGCCAATTCAGACGCGGCACGCCGAGATACTAAGAGCACCCAATGTCTTTAATGGGCGGGAATGGGATCAAGATCCATCTTGGACAGGATGACGAGTCGCACCGGGCGGTTCGTCGTCAGCAAAGCTGGCCGCTATACGCAATGAAGCCCCGACTAGTCCATTAGTAGTTGGCAACTAACTCCACCAACTCGACCGTTGTGTTTATATAATCTGTCGTAACTTAAACAATAATCAATTAGCTTCACCCGTGTTTTCCATCTTGGTCTTCTCATTCCTCCTGTCCTTCCTTTTGCTCTCTTGTTCTCCTCTTCTCACTCAATTTCGCTCCCTTTCTCTCCGGCGAGTCTCAGGCATCAATCCGCTGCAAGCCCGCATCTTCAGGCATCTATATCCGGGGACTCTCTCTTCCCGATCTGGTTAGTCTGCGCGGGGACCAGCCCTCTTTGGGTAAGTGTGTCTTTCCCGTTTGGGGTTATCCTGTTTGGGCGATTGAGGTACTATTTCCAGGCGATTTGTCGTATTATTGTCTCTGCTTCTTCTTCTCTTCTTTCTTCTCTTCTTCTCTTCTTCTTCTTCGATCTCGTCGCTCTTTATTTGTTGTTCTGCTTGTTTTGCTCGCATCTGACAAGCTTGCTTTCTTGCAATCAAGTGCTTTGGTACTTTCCCTGCCACATCACTCTTTGTCCTTGTCTTCTATACCTCTCCAACGCTTTTTCTTCTGCCAATCTCCACCTACTTCTTGCACCCAGCCAGGCGGACGATGCAGTCGTGCTTCACCCTCGCTGCTCCCCGACTTCCTCTGCCCTCGTGAGTCCATTGGATGCTGTGCATTGGGCGCCACTTCCATTGGAAGCTTGTCCTGGACCGAGTGGTCTTGGAAGACGATCTTTTCCGGCTCGTGCTTATCGGTGCTGCCTATCGATCTCCAGTTGAAGCTCGGTTCATGCTCGTCGTCGCGCCCTGAGCTTGCTTGCTTCTCGAATCACTCTCTTTTTTTATCCATTCGGCGAAGCTGTCACATAAGGAGAAGGATGCTGCTCACACTCAAGCCCTCGTCGCAGAACGCTGTCAAAGGGCCCCATGATTACGCTATTGTTCGCCAGTCCGTTCCAACCCCACGGTCTTCCCCAACCCCGGTGCCAGAATTATCAACAATCGCGGCGCCTTCGAGATCAACTGCAGACAATTCGATGGACAACTCTCGCAGTGGATTGCCGCCCCCGGCCTCCCTGACTCTACCGCCGCCAAATTTAGGCTTCGCAGGTGGCACCGGTCCTGCTACTGCCATGAATCAAACCCTGCCCCCACCTCCGGGCCAATGGCAGAGCTCCGACGACTCCATGCGCCATTGGCTCCAAGCCAAGGCGGAAGAGGATCGGAGGAAACAGGAAGAAGAGAAGACACATCAAGAGTCTCTGCGATTGGAGCAGCGAAGGCTCGAACAGAGCATGCTGCGCGATGCGTTGCAGGCCGGAATTCCGCCGCACCTCATTCCGCTGATCTTCGCGGGAATTAGTCCCGGAGGACTACCTCCCTCCATTCTTGAGATGGTCCAACAGCACATGGCCCAATCGACTCCCGCGCGGGGTACGGCTCCTACGATGCCTGTCCCGTCAAATCCCCCACCACAGATTCAACGGCGGCCATCGCACGTCCGACGGGACTCTCGCACACTTCCCCTCCACCCGTATGCTTCCGCATCAGTCCCTGCGCAGGCTGTGCCCCCTCCGAGCATACTGTTGTCTCAACCACTACACCCTGTGGGCGCGGGGCCGCATATACCACCAGCGCCGCCAGTCACGAATGCTGTTGTTGATACTCGACTGCCTTCGGCTGTTCCGAGGATGCCTCCTAGCGAGCCGCAGCTTCAACCTCCCCCACCCATTAATCTCAGTCATGTTCAATACGCTCCAGGATCCTCTATACCGGTCACCCAGTCAGTGGTAGGCAAGTCAGACTCCGTCTCTCGTCCTTCCCCGCCGTCGCTGTATTTTCATCACTGGGTGCCTCCCAGCCAGTCGCAGGCCAACCCAATAGGCGGGCGGACTCGCCAGGAGTCGCCTGGAGCAACGCAGGGGCCACGCCGTGTGGAATCTCATAATTCTCCAGGGCGGAAGAGGAAGGCTACTGGTCCTCATATTCCCGCTCCAATGCCCTCGTTGCGTGGGCCGGAGACTGTCCTTGGCGGCAGCAATGTGTATGCCTCTCAGCCAGGATCGCCAACGGCTAGAGGTCCGATAACGTTGAACGAGTCAGCATCGGGTTACGACCCTCATATAGCGGATTCAAGACCCGATCAGCGAAGCCGTGGTCCCAGCCCCAATCCAGTTACCGAGGTTGTGAACTCGGATCAGCGCCGCGAAGAGTTTGTACCTGCTCGAAGCGATCCGTCCGCGGCGGAAATCTCTTCGGTTCGACAGCCGGGCGTACAGCAAAGCGCACTCGCTGACATGGCCCCGTCAACTGCAGGGTCTACCAAAAGTCCGGGCCCGCCTGCCGTCACGAAATCAAGTGAAGCAAATAGCCAGACTGATCCGCCGCGGGAGACTTAGCCACCCGCCATCATGGGTTCCTCGTCGTCGATCCAATGACGTTCCGTATTGTGCTCTGGTCCATCTGATTTATGTAATGATATCTCTGTCGGAAAGCGATCGTTGATTCTCTGCATTTGAAGCCTTTCGTGTCTATCGGGCTGGATTGAGTTTTATGATACCCAAGTCTAGAAACGGCCTTTTCTGTACTCTCTTATCTCGTTCCGCTGTCCCAACTCTACTCTCTGAATCTCGCTATGCTCGGCGACTTTTTGCTTCTTCTGTACTGTCTTACCAATGAGTCCGACGAGCGGTTAACCTAAACCATGGCCGTGCCCATCCCCCGAATTGGGTTCTCTACATCGATGTTGACCTCTACCATCTACAATGTGCAGCCGTGCTGCGGATCAGTCAAAGCAGAGGCCAGTTGGTTAGGTCATAACAACGAGCTTGCGAGAGTAATTCACATTTATGATTACTGTACGCACTGTACCTTGATTGTACAAGGCGAGACTAGTCTTAAAAGCCTCGTAATGTGGTGTATCGTACTGTGTTGCCAGCAGCGTTCTCCTCCGATTGTTTGTTTATTTCAACTCCGTCTTGCTTTCCCCCCTCTTTTTCTCATGTCTGCACCATGTTTCTATGAAAATAATGTGTGTGATGTCTCACACACCACAACATCTTCAGTAGTGACCGAGAGCAAGAATCAAAGTCACTATTATTCATGCTGGCTTGGTGTGGCTTTACCCGTCAACTCAGACAGATTAGGTTTCCACGTTGATAGAACTAGGGATCCGCAATTCGTAGGTGTCGCGCACACCGTCACCACCGGTGATGTACCCTTTCGGGTGGTAGGAGAAATCGCCATGTCAATTTTAGCGACACGAAATGAGAAATGAGAATAGAACGGTGAAAGAGTATGATGATCTGGATATTGCTGCTGGATCTGGGTTCTAGGTTCCCAATCGAGGCAAGAAGACGAGTTATAAGCACAAAGTTGACGGTATGGTATTGAGAGATAGTATGACAGTGTGGGATTATGTATATATGTATATAGGCAAGGTGGATAGGAAACATAAGGAAAAGAAATGAGCGAGGCGCAGATAGTACAATGTAGCGATGATAGTAGTAGTAGTTGTTGTTGTGGCGGTGAAACATGAGAACAAAAGGGTGCATGTGTGCATGTGTGCATGTAGAATCAAGACACCTGTAGGAAATGTTGACAGGGAGAGAGAGAGAGAGAAGGGGGGGGCGCATGTGTGACCGATGCGGTACAAGCCGAACACAGAAGTAAAAATGAAATACTCGGTGTAGAAGGGCTGTCTCTTCGCATCCAAGACGTATCCAGCGGAGGACGGGAAATATCTGGCCTTCGACAAAGTCAGGTAAGGGAAACAGGCAGAGCATGAATTTGCTTGGTGGGCAGGATGAAGAGCCGACGGAAGTGGGTTTGTGTGGACACCCAAGGAACATCTGTAGAAGGATGGATAAGAAGAAAAACACAGGTATAGATGTATTAATTGCACAACGACTGTTCTTTAGTCATCAAGAATCGTCCGCTTGAGTCATAAGAGAATTATAAGGAACTTCCTTTCGACGGCTGGAGGCAGCGGTCCACATTCCAGGAAGCAACCTAAAACATTAGATTAGGTATAAGAAGTGATTGTAGAGGGTAATTTTGGTGGCGACATAAGCCACCGAGGTCATCACAGAACCGTCCGCATCGCGCTAATTGCACGGGCGAGGCTTGAACATCAGTTGAGAGAGTCGACTATGAGGACTTCTTTCGACGATGGACTTTCCACTCGGTTTTGGCAACGCGCATGAATAATTCTACATCCTTTATGGGAACCCAGCTGGTGAGGACCTTCATGGCGTTCTCAAAATCCGATTCGAGGACAATGTCGCGCATGCCATCAATTAGGGCTGCCGAAGTTGCATGAAGAACATCCAATCCGTTCCCGAACGCACTGACGTGAGCCTTCTTACCGCTTTTGATAGAAGACCCAGGAGCAGTAAGATCCTCGGCATCACCGAGCAGCATGAACACATCCCACACCCGGAGCTGTGCCGGAAATGGGATGGAGTAGTTGAATAGAGTGAGATACCAGCGCGTACCATACGCTGTAGGTGGGATTCCGAGCTCATTCTAAATGCGATAGATTAGTACGGCGCGCAAAAAAAGACATCCACGTTACTTACTAATTTCGCCGCTACTTCTCCTTTCTCCAGCCATTCTCGTTCGAAGTCTCCTAAGGCCTCCATGAGTCCTGCAAAACCGGACTGATACAGACGCTCTAGGCCCCGCAATTGCCAAAGACGAACAAGCATAATAAATGCATGTTCTTCGTCATAGTATGCGAGGAGCGTCGCCGCGAGGGCAGCCATGCCCTGGACGTAACCTGTGTCAGGAAAGTACAGAGACATCGCATGCAGCACGCGGAAGAGCAGCCGCTGACCACCGCGATAGCGACGACGAAACATGATGTGGCTGGTGATCGTTCTGGGAACGTCGATGTCAATTTGGACATCATCCGGAGAAGACATTAATTGATATTCGTTGAACGCCTCAATGAGTTCCTCTTTGGAAGGGCTGTTGCTGTGTAGTTTGGCGCTCGTTTCCAAGAAGGCGTACCAAGCAGTAGCACGCCATCGGTCAGGTATGCCTTTCCATGTCCGTTCTATCAGCTTAGAACTGGTGGTGTCGAACTCGAATGTCATGCCGCCCCCGTCACTACTCCGTATCGGTTTAGCCATCTTCGTCCATTTGTCTTCCCTCTCCCACTCCTTCTTCCGCGCTGCGCGGGCAGCGGCTGCATCTTGTCGATCCCCGGGCTTCACAGCGTTTGTAGGCAGCGTGAGCATGTCCCCCGCCTCGTCCTTGACACGACGCGTTCGATTGTGAGGAAGATGGTTTGCCGCCCGACGAAAACGTGTAGTTGACCGCCGCAGTGGTGAACTGTAGGTGCTTTGAGAGGACGATGGACGAATTGATGGCTCGGATAACTTTCGAGTCGGAGATCGGCCTGTGAAAGAGCGATTAGGACCTATTGCTGAAGGCGGGCGCATGGAATATTTGCGCCTCGGAGTTTCGGAGGCCACCAGCAGGCTGGTGGAGACGCGTTGGATGGGACTAGGATCAATGCCTTCATTGGAATTTGACGTTGGGGACCGAATGAAGCCGTATCGGTCCACATCGCCAGCTTTGATATTCTGCCAATACTCAATTCCTCCCGCAAGCTCGTGTGCTTCTCGCTTGAAACCGGGCACCCCATCCGTCCCGAGAGACGACACTATACTTCGAGTATCCGTTCCGGATACACTTGGCCCAGACAGACGGGAGCCTTCCATGCTCGGGGGAGCCGCATCTTCCCACAAAACGCCGTGCTCCGCAGCCAAGGACCTTGCCACTTCCGAGTCGGTCACATTCTCATCGCCCTTCTCATACATTAGGCGCACGCGACGCGACAGCATGTCTTCGTCTGCGGAGATGGCTCTGCTGGCGATAGCGCTGTGTCTCACACGTAGAGTCGATTGCGGTTTAGAGCGTCTTGTAGGCGATTCCACCGGCTCTTCATCGGCGGTATTCATTTCTGGGGATGCCATGGCTGGCAGAGCCGTGTCACTCTCGTCTTCCGGCATGTGTTCATGCAGAGGTTGATCCGCCCGGCCCGTTTGCGCAATTCTTTGTTGTTGTGCTTCTGCCTGCTGGATTTGGTGTTGAAGCTGACGCCTTTCCTCCTCCTTTATGAGACTGCCGCGCTTTGAAAACCTCATTGATTGCGGACCAAGGCCGTCTAGCGCAGCGTTCGGAATGTCCAGTGGGATCCCGTTGAACGGGGCTTGAATAGGAGGGACAGGCGGTGTGTCATCATCGTCCCGATCGAATTCCCCTGATTTTCTACCCCTTAAGCCCCCCCATCTACGTTCTGACCATCGCGACCCGGGACGAGATCCTGGACGTGAACTGGGACGCGATGCGGTATCGTCAACGATAATGCTGGGAATACTGCGCAATGATCGCAAGCTCACAGTAGAAGCACCGGCATCCGGCAAGGTTGTCAACCTGTTTCTGCCGCGTTTAATGGGTCGTTGTGATGGGGTGGGTGGGGCTTGATCATGGGGGGCGCCGGACGAGGTACTGGACGGATTTGATCGGTCCTCTGAGCAGAATGATTGATTACTCGGTGGAGGGAACGATGCAGATCGGAGTGAAACTGGGACTGTCGCAGCAGCGGTCTTATCGTAGGGAAGGCTGTAAATTGCCGAGGTCGAATCGGACATCACGGCGGAGGGAACAGAAACAGGCCGATTATTCACCATTATCCCGGCATGACTTGCGCCGTATTATCTGGATTAAATTGTAATGTTTTTTTTTTGTGAAAGAACCCTGCAACTAATGCTGGGTTGATAGTGTGTATGGGTGTGCACGTTAGCTAGGAGAGGCAGCGGCCGGCGGGGCGATTGATTGTATGTAGTATTCGAATTTGAATCGCAGATGAAGGAGCGGATAAGGTCTGAATTAGGGCCGGGGGCGCAGTAGATGTCCAATGAATTGTGATGGTTATGGTAGTTCGTGTGATGAAAAAAAGTAGGGATTAATATTATGGGATCTGTGAACAGGGAATGAGCGACAAATTGGGGGAAATTAAGTCTCTTGCGCGGTAAATCATGGCCGTCGCGCAATCAAGCGACGGAGAAGAGAAGGAGGAGGAGGAGGAGGAGGAGGAGGAGGAAGAGGGAGGAAATTTGGGGCGGGCGTTGCTTCCCACTTCCGAACGGCTGGATTGCAGTTCCTGGAAAGTTGCTTGCTTGGCGACAGGACAAGCTTCAGCAATCCAGGGAGGAGATCGAAAGGTCGGGGAGGGGGATGGGGTGGGAAGAGGTGTTCACGGAATGTGTGTGGCTAAGGGGAGACAACCTCGCCGTATCTGGTCTGTGTTGAGGCACGATGAAACGGAGTTACTGAGCCAAGGGGGAGGGGGAGAGAAGGAGAAGGAGGAGATCAAGGCTCCACCAGTATGTAGAAAGAAGTGTAAAAAAGGACTCCAGCAATGCGCGCGCGCGCTCACCTCTTATTAGCTACTAGCAACACCACCTCACTTTGCGATTCTCTCTCTCCTCATTGACAAAATCCAGAGAAGAAAAAAAAAATCAAAACCTTGTAGGAGTAATCCCAGCAGGGTTGGTGAAGGAGGAGGGGGGGAAAGCAGAAGAAATAGTGGAAGAGAGGAGGCGGCGACGACTCAATGGCGAGGAGCGATCCACTATACAAATTTTAGTCTGCTTTAACTCCACGGGAGGGCCACGCAACTGTGGAGCTTCACGGTTAATTTTGCGTGGTCCCGACCACCAAAACACTATTTATAATTGACTGTTATCTAACATGTGGTGGTAGTGATGAGAATGAGAGAGGTGTGAATTGAAGACAAAGGAAAGAGGAGCAGGACAGGCATTCTGTGGCTGATTGAATGTGAGAATACCTCCCATTCCTTGTGTCAATTCAATCTTACATATACTGTGTACAGTACAATAATCAACATATTCATCGGAGTGGTCCTCCCGTCGAGCGCGCACGCACCACCCCCCCCCCCCCCCCTCCCCCCAGAAGTTAGTTGAATAAGCTTGGATCTCTTTATGTCTTAAGAGCTGGTCATCACAAACTTCCTCTCCTTGCTCGACCACCGAGGAAGGGAGAAGAGAGGGATGCTTTTATACCTAATCCCACCCACCCCCTTGTGAGTGGATTCCCCAAGAAACTGTTGCCGTGATTGCGCTGCCAATGAGCGGGTGCGGTGCTCGCGAGTCTTCTTCTATCAAAGGCTCAGATCCACCTCAGTGACTATATTATTTACTAGAGCCCGGCTTTTTGCTGCACATCCTGTCCTGTCCTAACGCAAGGAATGACTGCAGCTTTTATACATTATCCTCTTCATTCACACAGCCTGTTCGGTTCATTGCCTCCTTTCGTTTGTCCGCCTTGCTCGTCTGATCGACTCAGCCGTCCCATAAATGACACATCCATTGTAACTCCAACAAGGTCAGATGCCTGCTGACCTTCCATGCAAATCCGACCCAGGCATTACATACATTCAATGCATGTAGTCCTGCGCATCAAGTTCAAATAATTCACAAGAGAAGGGAGTGGAATACGGAAATCATACCCAGCAAGGGCCAAAACAAATATCCACAGCACAAGATGAAGTGTTAGATGACACACTCCTGATCTAGCTTTTCAAGCTACAGCGGCGGCGTTGACGCCGGATCTAGAAGGCTCACGGGTGGAGCGTGCTGGCTCGACCGGCTCATTGGGAAGAAGTTCAATCTGACGGACCAGAAAGCTCTTCTCATCCGTGAACTGGTCGTCTTCAGTTCGATCCTCCAGGAAGCGAGGCAGAAATCTCAACAAGCGATCGCGATTATTGATAAGAATCCGCTGCACGGCCACCGACTTGTTTGGGTTGGCAACAAATACCTGCATCGTATTCTTAGTCAGCCGTCCTTCGCAGGGAGCCCCGGGGTGCTATCTGCCATACTTTGAACACGTGGAATCCTTCGTACTGAACCATCTTCCGATCATCTCGCAGCAATTTCATACACAGCTTCAAATTGTCACCACTCTCTACATAGGCCATCATTACATTGTAATTGGCCCGGTCGAGCAAAATCTCGCCTAAGAGCTTGATGCTCTGTCGCTTGGTCACATATGAATTGGAGTTCACAAGCACCTCGTTGAATTTCGCAAAGAATCGATCAAAATTGGTCGAGAGGTAACCAGTCACTAGGTTTTTGTGACGGGTTAAAATCTCCTAGAGCAAACATGTGAGCATCTTTCGACTGGACCAGCACGCTTTAAGGGATAATTCTTACCCGGAAGGTTGTGAAAGAATCGGCACTCAGCTCAAAACTGCCTCGGTCAATCCAGTAGAAGAAACGCCAAAAGATTCCGGTACCATCCTGGGGCACAGCGGGCTGAACCTCCGTAAGTTTGATCGCGGGCTCTCCATCTCCTGACTGGTCATATAGGATGATGGCCGCAATGACGTCGAACTTCAGAGCCTCTCGCAGAATTACGCCACACGGCATTGCACTTTCGCTGTGCTCGTAGCCCTTGCACAATTCAATGATTACCTCGGGTCGGTTATGAACTATATAAGAGATGACGGGCGGGTCATTCTGGTTTGAGCTAGCATTGGCGGGCCTGAAACGTAGGATATGCGAAAAGATGGCTTGGGTGTCTTTCCGAGCTTCAAAAGGAAGTAGATGAAGGCTGCGGGCTAGATCATAAAGCAAGTCCTCCTGTAAGGCCGCCTGGATCAAAGACTGAACCTGATCAGGGGAGACCTCGACATCTGCGAAGAAGTACGTCAGCTGGGGGGTTTATTGGATTGAGCGGGAAGCGTCGGCGGAGTGTGATAAATAAGAGCACACGAACCTTGCGTTCCTTGAACAATCACTTTCATTTGAGCCAGCGGTTTTTCCGCTTCCTACATGTCCCTGCGGTCAGCATGTGCTCGAGTTTGTGAAAGGAACAGTCCGGCCGCCGAACTCATATGGAAGCTTCAAGTAAAATATACACATTAGGAACGAACCTGGTTATTCGAGGGATTCTCCCGAATCCGCACCAACGTGTCTTTGATTGTCCGGACAAGATCAGAAGGCTGGCGGGATCGACCGCGATTGAAGAAGAAAGCCATGCTTGATTGTTTTGTATTGCCGGCGCAACCAAAACAGCCTGTAGAAGGGAAATAGAGCAGTCGCTGCGCAGGGTCGCTCGGATTCAGCTCATGTATGGGGCATCAAAACGTGGCGATAAATGCTCACTGAGGTTCTATTCCAACAGCAGACAGAGGATTGAACTGAGAGAGGTTGTTGGTTTTCCACTGAGAGGAGGGTGAGGCTGTGAAAGATGAGGGGGGGGAGCTGCAGCTCGTCTGGAGGGGAGGCGGTGACGCTTCTGTTGGCGGGGAAGCCGACAACAACCTCAGGCTCCTCACTCAGGCTTATTGATTCTCTTATCGTGGTTCTGGGCCATGATAATAATACTGCCCGAGTAATAAACACGCAGGCGGGGCAACCAATTGCCCGCCCGGCCCACTCAATTTCCATTTTCCATTTTTCAATTTTCGGGTGGGGGGGTTTTTTTTCCTACGGTTTGTCTTTTCCGGCCGCCGCAGACTGGATTCCTCCGTCTCACTTTACTCTCCTCTACCTCATATTTCATATTCTGAAGCTCTGTATCAGTGCTACGGATTAGTGATTATACGCAGCGCACAATCGGCGCATTTCTCCACATCATACTGTGGGCAATTTGATCACATTCCCGTCTCGACATCGGTCCTTGCGCTACCCCGCAACTGTCGCCATGTCTGCTTCTGCTCTTCCATTGCAGCGTGCTCCCGTTGAGGATGACACTCGCTCGCTCTCCTCTGAGGAATCCGACATCAGCAATGAAGAAGGATGGGAAGATGTTGAGCCTGATGACGAAACCCAGCCCGTCGTCGGTCTTTTCTCCGACAAAGTGTATCCCGATGTGGTTTCCATGTTGAAGGAAACTAAAGACAAGCACAACTTTGACTTGCGAGGAATTCGAAAGCAGTTTGGTGTGTAATTATCCCAGTGGATATGCGTCGCGACGTCCACACAATTCCCGTGAAGTCGCTTCGTGCCCTGTGACATGGCTAACTTTTCATGCATTGAAATGGCAGACTTGGACTTCTTGGGCACTATCAAGCTCGTCAACTACATTCGCTCCCAGGTCAAGCAGGGTAATATGTCGCCTGATGTCTCCTCGAAGGATAAGTTCGACGACGAACTCTACTTGATGCCCGTCCTCGAAGACGATGCTCTACTGTACAGCTTGGATGATATCGACGAGGAAGAGCCTGAGGCTGCAGGAAGTACGGACGCCGAAAGGCGCGTGATCGAATTGCAGGAGGATCTTGAGCGCCTCCAGACTCAATTCTCTGAATATAGAGATGCGGTTCAGAAGTCCATGGAAGAGCAATTATCCAAGGAGGATGAGAAGCTCAAGGCCGATCCGAGTGCTCCTGCTGCGCGGCGAGCTACGAGCAAAATTGAGGAAGCTGATGCCGATTATTTCGTTTCCTATTCATACAATGGTACAGTTAATGAGTGCCGGGTATCTCCATATGGGATTTGCTATCTAACAGGATATCCAGGCATTCACGAGTCCATGCTGAAGGACACAGTCCGCACTGAAGCTTACCGGGACTTCATCTACGAAAACAAACATGTTTTCAAGGACAAGGTCGTCTTGGATGTTGGTTGTGGAACCGGAATCCTTTCGATGTTCTGTGCCAAGGCTGGTGCTCGTAAAGTCATCTCCGTCGATAACTCGAACATCATCGACAGAGCCAAGGAGATCATTTATGAGAACGGTTTTGGGGATGTCATAACGTAAGTTTTCCCTTCCCTCATTCCGACGTTGATTTGGCCCAAGCTAATATTTGAATTTCCAGGTGTATCCGTGGCAAGATTGAGGAAGTTACATTGCCCGTTCCGCAGGTGGATATCATCGTGTCTGAATGGATGGGCTACGGCCTTCTGTTCGAGGCTATGTTCGATTCGGTAATCTATGCTCGGGACCGCTATCTTGCACCTGGAGGCCTCATGGCTCCGTCGCATGCTACGCTCCGGATCGCCCCATTCGCTGACTCCGAATTCATTTCATCGCACATTACTTTCTGGAAGAGTGTCTACGGTTTCAACATGAAGAGCATGCTTACCGGTATTTACGACGAGGCACTTGTCCGTCATGTACCGCCATCATCAATTCCCGGAGATTCTGATGTTTTCCTGCCTCTTCCCTTGCATACTATCACTGTCGAGGAACTATCCTTCCTGAAGGACTTCAAGGTCACTCTGAACGAAGACATTGACGCACTTGATGGCTTCGCTATCTGGTTCGACATCTTCTTTATGCCTTCCAGAGACGCTCCTCTTGCGGACAATGCCATCCCCTCTGAGATGCAGAAGAAGGGCATTGTTTCTTTTACCACTGGCCCTCACGGCACTGAAACGCACTGGCAGCAAACCATCTGCCTCATCGACCAGGAGAAGAAGAAGTCTGCTCCTCTTAAGAAGGGCCAAACGATCACTGGTAAGGTCGGTTATCAAAAGAAGGAGGCAGGCTCACGGTCATTGGACATCAGCATTGAGTGGGACACCGAGAACGAGAAGGGTTCTCAGCTGTGGAGTTTGCAGTGAGTCCAAGATGAGTAGTGGCCAACCGTTATGATATACGATACTTTCCAGTAAGCTTTTCGCTGCGGTTAGGTATCATACTAGTGTTCGCATCGATCACGAACTTTCCTGGCGTAAGACACTAGCTTTCCGTACTCCGCTGTATTGGTAATAGATAATGAGTCGCTCGCGCTGAATAATTTGCTCGCAAACCCTCTGGGTATTAGTCATATGCTCAATGCTCTCTGGTTAATCACGTTCAATTTGTGGCATTGCCGGTCTACGACGGTCATGGCGACGATGGTGGGATTCCGTTTTAGAATGTGAATCTCGACGATGAGATCGCTCTCGGCTTCTGTCCTTGCGATGATGGTGATGGTGATGATGACGATGACGTCGAGGTGAGCTTCTATCATGGTGTTTCTGGCGACCGTCTGGGGAAGCATCGAGTCTGAAGTCCTCAAGGCTATTTAGCGATGGTGATCGTCTTCTGCGGCGACGCGACCGGGAATCTTTCGTGGACTTCAATTCCTCGAGCTCGCGCTTCCGCTCCTCGTTCCATCTGTTCCTTTCTCGCTCAACCGACCGTAGCTGTTGGACCCCTTTCTTCATCGCTGCCAGAGGGTCATTGGCATCCATCCGTGCCTTTTCTCGCTCTCTTCTTAGAGGGTCCTCATTACCCCAAACATCCTTGCTTGGCATGGATTCTGATGCCTCTGCATCCACCCGGGATGACGAATACCAAAGCGTTTGAGTGACTGACTGCCGAAACCCCGCTGCATTCGAGAAGCGCATCGTATATTGGTCTTCAAATTCTCGTTGCCTTTTAGAGGACTCCTTTTCAGCCTCCGTGTTCTTCTCAACTGGTTTGCGGGCTTTTTCTGCCGGGAATAGGTCGATATGCCCGCTGCTATCATGAAGTGGCGCATCGCTCGAACGAAGACGAGCCCGCTGGTCCTGGGTGGCTATCGCTCTCTTCGCATCCTCATGAGCAATTCTGATATCCCTATCCGTGTCGTTCTCCCCAGCCAGACGTCTTCTCTTTCGTCGACTCGCCGCATCCTCCGGGTAGTGCTTGTGTTTGTCTGTGAGAGCAACAGAGGGCTCCGGCGGCGGTGGAATTGGTGTTGACGGTCGTTCTCCGCGCAGAATTTTGATTCTTCGCTCAGCGTCAACCTCCTGCATGCGACGCTCCTCTTCCTCCTCTCGAGCTTTAGCCTGCGCCTCGTCGCGCCGGACGCGAGCGATATTCTCTTGATTGTAAACGTTCCATGATTTCTTGCCGAGGAGGTGTCTGGACGATGAGAATTCCTGTCAGTACTATAAGCTAGGGAAAGAGATGAAAGTCCTGACTCACAGCGGCATTTTGAGACGATGACCAAATATGAAAAGAAAGAATGGAGATGATGCAGTGCTTGACGACCGCAAGAGTCGTCATAAAGTTAGTGGTCGGCGAAAACGGAGGTCCGCGGGCCGATGGACTAAGACTAAGCAAATGGTAGTTCCCTTATGTCCATGTGTTGCGAAAGGAGCTCCCCCGGTTCATACCTAGCCGCCACTTACTTCTCTTGCTCTCACTCCCCTCACCTTCTATATTCCTGCTACCTTACAGACACTATCTAGCTATACTTTGCGTCAACTGCTCAAGTCTTCTCTTCACTTCTCTCATACCTTTCTTTTATTTCTCATTTCAGTTGAAATTGTGCCACAGCTGCCGGCAGCATCATCTAATCGCCCCTCCCCCACCGCTCAACCGCACCGTCAGCTATTGTTCGCTACCACACCTCGGCTGCCCTCAGCATTATCATTCATTGCTACATCTCTGAACAAAAATGTTTAATCGCAACAATTACCCCTCGGTGCCTAATCCTTTCGGCTCTCGCCCCTCCCGTGGGGATGGTCATCCGGTCCCTAATCAACCCGGCGGGTATCAGGCTGCAGGGTGCGCATATGAACCACGCAAGGCTTTCACACGATGGCATGCTAACTCATAATCTCTACTAGTCCCGGAGGATATGGACCCCCGCTACAGGCCATGGGCAGACCTAGCCCATCATATATGCCAGCACGGAGCGAGAAGCACGCCAACTCTGGTCAAACGTGGACGCTGCGGCCTGCAAAGAGCCCGGACAATGTGTATACTTTTGGAAATTTGTACGTTGCTGTCGAATGCAAGCTATGGTTCATTGTTCTGACACTCTCTTAGAGTCGCTGTCTCCACTCAGGACTTCCCCCCCTCCCGCGATGGGCACGACCTTCTTCTTCTCATCAACGATCTTTATGTTCTCTCCGCGCGTCCGCTTGATGGGTTCCCTCCCGGTCATATTAGCATGTCAGACCCGCAGCGGACCTGGGCTGGTATCGCCTTCACAGATTCAGTGCAAGTGCAGATTTACGATCCTTTCAGCCAGGGTGGCCAGGCGTACGTCGGCTCCACCGATATCGAAGTAGGATTCGCTGGCAAGAAAAGGGTCGAGACTCCATATGACCAAGACGAGCTAGCTAGCGTTGTGATCAAGGTATGCTTCATACTTCTATTTCAGCCGCGATGATGTCATGGTTTCTCACAGGATTAGAACTTCGAAAATCAAATATTCGCCCCGGGTCAGAAGATCCTTATGGATCACCGAAGTATTCCGCTTTTGTTGACAATCAAGACCGTCCAGCGCGTCGATTTGTCCTCCGGCACCCCCGACCCTAGCGGTGGACAAGTAGAGACCAGCCCTACTGCTAGAGGTATACTCACGCGACACTCTCAGATAACTTTCTTCAAGGATGCTCGTACAGGTATTAACCTAAAGGCTTCGAACCGTCGACCGGCTGCCAACTCCATCATCCAGCCTGACTTCAAATTTGAAAATATGGGTATTGGTGGTCTTGACTCAGAGTTCAGCACTATCTTCCGTCGTGCCTTCGCGTCTCGAATTTTCCCACCGGGGCTTGTTGAGAAGTTGGGTCTCCAGCATGTGAAGGGTATTCTGCTCTACGGCCCTCCAGGAACAGGTAAAACGCTGATTGCTCGCCAAATTGGAAAAATGTTGAACGCCAGAGAACCCAAGGTCATCAACGGACCAGAGGTTTTGAATAAGTACGTCGGTCAGTCGGAAGAGAATATCCGCAAACTATTCGCAGACGCAGAGAAGGAGTACAAGGAAAAGGGCGAAGAGAGTGGTCTTCACATCATCATCTTCGATGAGTTAGACGCTGTTTGTAAGCAGCGCGGTAGCGGAGCAGGTGGCGGCACTGGTGTCGGAGACAGCGTGGTCAACCAGCTGCTTTCGAAGCTAGACGGTGTCGATCAGCTTAACAACATTCTACTCATTGGTATGACCAATAGAAAAGACATGATTGATGAGGCACTATTGCGTCCTGGTCGTCTTGAAGTCCACATGGAGATTTCTCTTCCCGATGAGAGTGGACGAGCTCAGATCCTCAAGATCCATACTCAAAAGATGCGCGACAATAATGTTATGGATAATGACGTCGATTTGCCCGAGCTGGCTCAGCTGACGAAGAATTTCTCTGGAGCCGAAATCGCTGGTCTTGTTAAGTCTGCGTCATCTTTCGCATTCTCTCGGCACATCAAAGTCGGGACAATGGCTAACGTCAGTGATGATGTTGTAAACATGAAAGTCAATCGAGCTGACTTCCACCACGCACTTGACGAAGTCAAGCCGGCTTTTGGTGTCTCCGAGGAGGAGCTGTCCAGTCGCATTCAATATGGCATCATTCATTTCTCTCCAGGCATCAACGAGATTCTTAAAGAAGGGGAGCTTTTCGTGAAACAAGTCAGCAATGCTGAATCTTCACCTCTTTTCTCTGTTCTACTGCATGGTCCGACCGCAAGTGGAAAGACAGCCCTTGCTGCTCGAATTGCCATCGACTCCGGTTTTCCCTTCATCAAACTGATCAGTCCCGAGGACATGGTTGGATACAGTGAAATGGCGAAGATTCAGCACATTACTAAAATCTTCGATGACGCATATAAGAGTCGTACGAGTGTTGTTGTTGTCGACAATATCGAGCGCTTAATTGAGTGGGTGCCTATTGGCCCGCGATTCAGCAATGCCATTTTGCAAACGCTGATGGTATGCTTGAGAAAGCAGCCCAGCAAGGGCCGACGCCTCTTGGTTCTGGCAACCACTACAGAGAGAGCTGTGTTGAAGCAGCTAGATGTGTATAACTCCTTCAATGCCGACATTATGGTTCCGAACGTGATGACGTACGAGGAGTTGAGGTATATACTGGAGAAGTCCGAAGCCTTCGATGCGTCAGAAATTGAGCAAGCACTAGAGGGCCTCGACGACATCTCTGAAAGCAAGACTATTGGGGTTGGTGTCAAGAAGGTGCTTTTGGGAATTGAGACGGCCAAGCAGGATGTTGACAAGGTAGGCCGCTTTGTGCGTGTCATCAACCGTGCCATTCAGGAGGAACACAATTTTGCGTAGAGTCAGCTGGAGCTATGCTTGACAGGACTGGTATGTCAAAGTGTACATTGATGCTAGAATAGTTGAACGTGACAGTCTGTAATGTCCACGCGTGATTATTGGAAAGAGACTTACAGGCTGATTTAATAAGGCCCCTGCCGTTTTCAATTTATTCACCTCGCTATAGCTCGGTGGGGAGGAACTGTCCACTTTCCTTTCGCCGCACCTTGGACACTCGGTCTGTCTTTAGAAATCCAGACTCCCCATCGTTTCGATTTCACCTTACTTCTCATCGGCATTAGCGGTCACTCCCGTCTTTTCCTTCTTTTGCATGCCTACCTGATCATCACCATATATTAAACACCACGCGTATGCTGCAAAACTCTACCATGCCTTCCGGCTCTATTCAACCCAAGCAGATCCTGAAGCGAGCACTGTCGCAGAAGGAATATGAGTTTTTGCAAGAATGGGCTCCCGAGACACTGAAGAATTACGAAGTTCCTTCTCAACTGAAGGCTCTTGAACCCCCTCAAGCTGCTTCCTTTGATGTACAAGATGTACCTAGCCACAGACCTTTGAGACTGCGCACGTCGTCACTGTACGAAGATTGCAAAGCTCGTGCCACCTTACAAGGAGAGAACGCAAACGAACAGTGCAGTCTACCTATCCATGCTTCAGCACAAAACAATGTCCGCTTGCCTCACCCTATGAATGCAAAGGCTGCTACAGTCTTTGTTGAGGAAAGAAATGAAGGTCAACAGCTGCAGACGAAGGTCAAGGGCTCTCAGCAAACTTGTTCGAAGAATAAAACTCCTCATGCTTATGAGTTTCAGCGTAGACCCTCTTCATGCAATTCTATCTAATCTTTTGCTAATTCTGGAACTTCTTAGGTCACTACGCTCAGCCTACTGTGAGCGCCAACAATCGATTTAACACTATTCACGCGAGCAACCAAAAGTCATCCAAGCCAGCTACTGGTGACACTCAACAGAACTCGCGCCCCTTAGTCTCGAGTGCCGCCATACCAGAGGTCTCTGGGTCCTGCCAAAACCCCAGTACTAGACCTGCCGAGATAAAAGACAAGCGCTGCTGTGACATGTCGCATTCATCTACAACAAAGACATTCAAGGCAGCAGAAAGCTCCACAGCAAATGGAGGAGATCAACAGAAACAGTGCTCTGACAGCCCAACAACCACTGCAGGACAGACATCCAAACCTATAGACATTGCTAAGAAGGCTGCCGAAGGCAGGCAGAAACTACGACTCGGGTCTGCTTGTTATACCGCGCCGAACGGCACCCGCTTCATTCGTCACAACGATCTACTCAAATGGGCAGTCGGGGTCAAGGATAAACACGATGATCTGGTGGTTTTCATGCCTGTGTTTGTCGAAAATCCGTGGAAGGGACTCAAACCTGTTCTGACCACATGTGCTGCGCGGTACTGGTGAGCTACTCTTTTCACCTGCTAACCATTTTGTTGATTTGTGCTCAGTCGAATGGCATGATGCTAATGTATAATGTTCAGATGACACCTGATTCTTTGCAGCTTTTCACGGTGTATGAGAATATCGCACCCTCGTGGCGGCATATTGCTTATGGGTTTTACAGTCTAAGGAAGCCTGCCATCCAGTAATTACTATCGCGTGACTTTCAGATCCAGGTCGTATAAAAATTACAAGCACAGGTTAGCACGGACAAGCACGCTATCTCAATGGTAGTCCAATCGGCTAAGCATACACTACTTAATCTTGTCGCATCATGCTTCATGTCATTGAGCTTTGTGTTTTGTGTTTTGTAGATTAATTGATTTTACTTCAATCCCACCCATGACTGTGCAACATTTCGCTCGCAGTGTAAAATCATGAATACAAACAGTTCTCAGCTAAGTAATGATTAAATTTCTCAGTAGATTGAAAGGTACACGGTGGGTAGTGAAGAGGTAAATGCGAACTGGTGGTCGAATAGGCTGAATCCCAAAATAGTAATGCTTCCTTCTCTCCAGCTGGGCGTTCCTTCCTTAGCCCCTGAACATAGTAAGAAGTTAGGCTACTGTACCTCGAAAATCACAGCATGCCACTGCCTCGTTAACAGCACCAACTTACCGATAGTACATTCCAAATGTATCTGAAATGCCTTTGTGATCTCACAAATTCATGTGCACGCTATCGAAACAGAAATTGAATAGGATCCGAAATCCCATCTCCCTTTACGGAAGGGGTTTGCCATTTCCCCAAGTCCCACCTCGCCCGACGATATTGGGTCGCCTTAGTAACGACCTGAAGCCACCTCAATGATACGAATTGGTCGAGAAAAATAATCTTACATGGGATGAAAATTTCCTCGCCTTTGAACCTACATGACCAAAATTCTGGGAAATTACCAGTGCGCAAACTGGCACAGCAGATCCACTAGACCTGCCAGATGGGCTTCTGCCACTGCCGCTTGTTTCACAACTTACGCGTGATGAAACACGCGGCTGGACCGATTAACTTGAGTTCATGCAAGTCTTACCTATGCTTGTCTAGCTTCCTATGTGGCGAAATGTGCCAATGGGATTCTCAAGAGACAGGGCGCGGACAATGCCCCGCGATGACGAACCCCAGATTACTGCATCCCTGGATCTTGGCTCCAGGTTCAGCTCAGCGTTACAAGTAGGCTATTGTTCCTGCATTAGTGCGACTGACTGCTAACCGTAATCTGGTGCATCAGGACACAGTGCTGGCAGATCTTTACATATTAGTGCACACTACGGCGCTCCACTCCCCGGTCGATCCTTCAGAGAACTGAATGTACGCAGTGTGGCTGGAGGCGCTGTGCCACACTTGACACCAGATGACAACGCAATCCCTGAGCTTAAGGAGCTCCGGTTCTCCTAAAAGCGGCTAGAGGAACAGGGGGTGGAGCGGAGGAGGCCGAGCGTGTTCTGTCCGCCGGCGGAGTCGGCACAGCGGGATCGACTTCGGACAGACTGCTCTTTAGGTCTCGAGAGAGAACGCGAGGTGGCTTGTGGCAGGCTCATACCAGTCTCAGAGTCTCGCTCTAGATTCTTATATCCCTCTGTTCGTATTCTTGTGTTGATGTCCCAACATCCTTGGTATGCGCCCAAGGCATATCTCCGAGGGCCGTGCCCATATCGTGACCCCAGGTGACCCGGACCTAGCACATGACTTGGCACTTGTCGTCACAGGATGTGGCGGCGGGAGATCTGGCTGTTACCTCCAAGTCAATTTGAAACGTCGCGGGCGTCGTTTTTGCATCTCCGGGTTTTATGCTTCGATTGGTCACCTTGCTTCCACCGCGGATCCTGTCAGAAATGCAACAATTCTCGGTTTCGCAAGAAAATCGAAATATATTGACAGAAGTCACGCGTATCCACCGGTGAGAATTGAATACAGCAGTACATTGCGCACCCCCCGAAGGATTGAGGGAAGGCCATTCCAGAAAATCCTCCCAACCATACAATATCGCAAACCAGAACTAACCAACCCAAACCCAAGCACGCCGAATACCGAACCCAAATAACTCAAATTACCATAAAGCAGCTTTCACTATTCCTGACGGTGATGTTGCCACCCAGAAGCGATCCTCGGTCCGATCCAGAACATGATGTTTTCCCAATCGCTCAGTTGTCATCGAAAGTGTATTTCTTGGTCGCACGACGATATTCATCGGGATGGGCTTTTTCAGCTTTCGCCTTCAATGCACTTGGATGTTCAGTCAGCACTTCATGTACCAGAAGAGAGCAGGAACCGCCCGCAGATCACGCGCGCGGAAGATCTGCTGTGGTACCAATAAAAGGCCGAACGCTGCCAAGAATTATTCTGACAGCGGAGCGCGGCGGACGTCCGCGCAGCTGCTCAGCGGAGCGGAATCCGTTTACGACGGCCGTATATGATGCAACAGGGAACCCTGCCCATGGAGGAGTTTGCAGCTTACTTGACGCGTTTCTGTGTCCATTCCAAATCTCGCTTGGTCTCGCGGGCGACTTTCATACCATCGGCAAAATTGGCGCGCACGCCCTTCAGGCGCCTTTGCGCAAGGGCTTGCAGCTCAAGCAGCTCCCGCTGCTTCGCATTCAGTTGTCCGGAACTGGTTTCGCAAAATCTCAGTCTCGCTCTACCTCTGAATCATGTCTCCCACGGAATGCTATGAGGGGGTTTAAAGACAACCGCCGCAACGAGGGATAGTCACTCACGCTTGTGCCTGCATTGCAAGTCCCTTGTCCAACGGTGTTGGGTCAAACATGTTCTGCATCCGGTCGTTCAAAACATCGACAACATCAACTCCGGAGTAAGAGGCAGAGCTGGACTCGTAGTCACCGCCAATGCTTCCAGATGCGTAACTGTATCCGGCAGATGTACGGCTTCCTGCAGTGGTGCTGGCGTCGGAGATATCAGGAGGGGATCCCAATACTCTACCCACGGGATACAGGCTTGCTGGTACTGGGGCCTTGGAAGGGATACTGATTGGAAGAGCGGGAGACTGATAGTGATGAGTCGCCATTGTGAAGAGAGGTCTCAGACTGATGAGAAGTATGGCAGCAGTGATTCACAGTGCAAGAAGCGTTCAATGACTGACACGGATCAAGGGGCTGGTATGTCAGAAGACAAAGACCGGAGTTATAAAAGGAGTCTGACGAGTGATGATGAAAGGGACAAGATTCTTGGAGAGATGGGAAAGGAAGAGGGAGCAAGACTGGACGATCGAGGATGAGGAGAGGGCTTATATAGCCCTCCGCGGAGAGTCTTCCATCCGGCGGAACGAACTTTGATCAACAGAAATGAGACTTAGCAAAGACCTGAGGGGAAATCGGGGGCCTCGGGGATGGGCGAGATGGAGCCATTGGGCATTGGAATTGTCCGGGGAGGCATTTTCTTCCACCCCCCCTTCTGTCTCTCACCCTCCATCATCCCTCCACTTGTCGCCAATCCCAACCCCCCAATTCCGCCCGTCTTGCAGTTTCTGAACTCCAATTCGCTCCTTCTTCCGAAAGGACCCCGCTCTGGCTGAAAGGATGCAAAATCAGAAAGATTGCTGAATGGCCGGAGAGTGGTCCAGCCCTCTGCGTTGTTCCTCCACAAGGATATCCTGCCCCGATGTCCCGTGACGACACTATCGGGTTACCTGGAGGTCCTCGGGCGTTTTACTCTTTCTCTACTTGGGCTGCAATGGCTTGGATGTTAGGAAAAGGCTATAAGAGGGCTATCGAGAAGGGCTGGCAAGCTGGTCCTGCGTTCTCTCGAGTTTGGCCTTAGCGAAATCATTATCCTTCATCTGACCCCCACCATGGGGAAGTGACTCTATGAGTTAAAAACCACGAGACTTCTAATCAGTCCAGATTGACTCTTTTAACTGTTAACCACTGCAGTCCTTGTCTTCCGGATGTGAAGGCAGTAAAAGCCTTTCCCTCTATCAGACTACTCGTTTGCGAACGAGCCATCAAGATCAGGAGGCTGGGTGGCTGGATTGTGCCGCTGCAGCAGAAATGCAGAAGACCGACTCGACAAACAGAAACCTCACTGTGGTGTGAAATTCCTGTCTACGGAGCAGTAAATGTCTGCGACATACAGTCGAGCTGTACCAACCATTGGGCCCTTGAACCATATTACCCAGATCGTGGCTCAGTTGTCGGAGTTCGAATTCTTGCAGTCTCGCCCGTCTTGAGATGGTAGAACCTTCCGTTCGGCTGGCTTGAGGACATATTACGGTAAGAAAGCTTGTCTCTTTTGTATTCCGCCTTCGACACATGACTTGATCCGTGAGTCGCTAAATGAATGACGATACTCTGAGTTAGAGACTGCAAGGCTCGAATAACTGCAAACGCAGTGAATGCAGCGGGAGGTGACGAAACTTACGGCTTTGCGTAAAAAGCAATGATCCGGATATTGGAATTCGTGAATCAGCAATTGGACATCTCTGCATATGCTCGGGAACGAACGAACAAAACCAGTTTGTCATCTAAGACAAAATAATGACAAGCACGGAGAAACGGCAACTCAGGAGCACAAAAGGGCCGGACTTGAATTCTCAGACCAAGGGCCCACGGGTTATGACTCCTGCTAACTCGGCGCGGCGATCCAAGGTCACTCGAGTGGCACAGCAGGGCAGGAATTGGCCCCTGAGATCAAATGAGAGACTGTGTAACAGACAGGGGTATTTCCCATCAATTTCATGCGCCGGGCATATGACATGCAAAGAACAAAAACCCGTCCGGGATGTGGGTTTCAATGAGTGTGTCGTCCGCTTATCGGCGGCTTAGCATCCATCCCGCGCCTGTATGTCTTCCGTTGAGCGATGGAATGAACCATCATCCACCACTCCCAACGCTGACAAGCGCTATAGACGCCAACATTATGTTAATCTCGATGATAGATGGGGCAGAATGGGTCCAGACGAGAACCGGATCGACTGGCTTGCAGATACATACAGAACTTACTATTGTGTCGAAACAGGCTCGGAGCCCTCCGGTCCTCCCAAGACTTTGGTTCAGGGCATCCCTGCCTAGTAAGCCGAGATTTCGAACTCAGGGCCTCATGATAATACCGAAGGCAGTACAAATGACATGGCGCCAGGGAAGTAAGAGACACGGTCTGGATGCGCGCGCAATACAGGTTCTTGTCTGACAGGCAGATCGGAGTTGCTAAACACGCAAGGAAAGCCTGTTCTTTCTGGTCGCCGGCTTGGATCAGAAGACAAACCAGTCACGATCGACGCCGGCTTCACGGTGATATCCACCGACAACCATCATGGCCAGTGGCATTCCATCATTTTTATACCCTATGCGGGCACCGTCATTATGTCTACAGCCTTGCTGCCTCATGAACTCTCGGCTTGTTGCCTGACAATGGCGGCCGTATTCTTATCCTCATGTCACTCAGAAGTGTGCCTGAGCGGCCCTAACCATCAGGTCTCTAGTATTGGCACCTTAGAGAAGGGTCTCTTTTGCCTGCTTGTCCAGCAGCCCGACCGGAAAAATTGGTCACACAAAGATCCAATGAAGTGATGTCTATGCCTCCGCGAGATGAGGAATATTTTGATCAAATACGTTCATCTGGCTTGACTTGATTTGGATTCTGGGCTTCCTTTTTCACTTTATTTTTCGCTTTTCATTTCATTCTTTTTCCATTCCCTCTTACATTACAGCACAAATTTTCCCAAGTCGCCAAGCGCTGCTATGCAGCATGTCATATCGCCTGAGTAGAAATTGAGAGAATGGCCAACAAGGCAGGATCGAATTATCTCACTTTTAGAATACGGAGAGCAGCGGCTTGAAGAGCCTATCTTGTCTACACTGGTACCGCTACGCTAATGCAACCGACTGCTGCTCGACATGCGCCGATGCTGCACCAAGGCTTCTGGGCTAGCCTGCTAATAACTTCCCAGATGCATGCTAGGTCATGGCTTCCTATGGTTGTGAGACGACAGTCCCCGCAGTGCCCAACAATCGGCTGCAGGCGAGGGTGCGTGCTGAGTTTCTCCATGGGCGAAAATACGACTCCGGAGTGGAGGGGCAGACAGGCTTTCCTTTCCTGTCAGCTAACGGCGCCGGACGCACGCTGCGGATGGCTAGTCCTTCTTTTTAGAGGGATGATGCAGCGCAGGTGGGGTTGAAATGGGGGGAAGAGGGACTACACTCATTCGCCTTGCGCTCGTTTGCTTCCCTCACCGCCACATGAGGAATCGATTAACTGCGATCATCTTGCTCACACCATATCGAAAAGACCACCACCATACCTATTAATTCCGACAGCTAGATATCTAGCCCTATCACCCACCGGATTCTCCTCACTGTCTTGCTTTGTGGACAGTTTTTCCTCAGATCGCAGGGAGTGGATTTAAGATCACGGGTCGGGGCTGGGCCCGTCCTACGATAAGCGCTCGTTCTAAACCAACTTCAACTCGGCATGCAGCTCCATCATCCTGCGATCATCCATGCTCGTGCCTGACATACAGACTTGTACCTAAGCATCAGATCTAGCAGTTGCGGCACAGGATTCAAATCAGGCCGATAGCAATAACGTCATCCCAGTACTTATTCCAACGATGACTCGATTGGGGTATTCAGTTGTGGTTTGATGCCATTCGGCTGCTGAACTAGTTGATTGCCTTGTGGTTTTTTTTCATCCTATCGAGATGGGTCCCGACAAAACATTTCTTGCTCCATGACATCTACTCGCGATTTCCTTTCGAGCAGCCAAGACACCAACTAGGCTCCATTCAGCCCTCACAAATCAGTGTTGTGCCAACATTTATTAAATTGGAAATCCCGATGAAGATGGAATCATTGACAGACGAAAGCACAAACGAACGACGAAGTCAAATCCAGCTCTGACAAAGCGTTGATCCTGCAACTCGTTCACTTATCGTCTACGGTCCCGCACCCTCCACATGCCGATGAGCGGACCATGACCTAAGAGGTTAGTTGGAGTAAAATGGTCCCACGGTAAGTCTTCAGGTACGGTACAGTTTCTCAGAGATGCAGGCAGATCGTCGAGGCATAGCTTCACTACTTGTTCTATCGCGTATACGACATTTCCCTCGATATATTATCACTGTAAAAAGAGCTTCAGGAGTCTTGCATCCATGATAAAGGTCATCTTTCCAGCCTGCATGCAAGTTAGAGAGAGGGGGAGAGGGAGAGGAAGGTACATGTAGTGCCTCAAAATGGGAGGCGCAATGTGATGTGAGCCAAGCTACAGGCTGAATGTACTCTGGAGAACTATATCATTTCAAGAATCTCGGTGGATGAAAAGTACTTAGTCATAAATCATGTCCTTCATTTATTCATCAATAGTGTGCATGTGTGTGTGTGTGTGGGGTCGTATGTGTGAGATGGACCGGTTATGGCTGAAAGGTGAGCCCAGAGCTACCACACCTGTTTGGAACTTCAGGACATTTATGCCAACAAAGCCCCACCATCATAGAGTATTGCAGGAAGGTGTTTCCAAAGAAAGAAGAAGAGGAAAGGGGTTTGAACCAAAGCACACGCTTAAGAGGGGGACAGAAACCAAAAAGGGTGTTTGGGGAGCAAGTAGGGACCGTCCAGGCTATTTATATACTCCATTGGCTTGTAGTATGTGGGGAAAGGAAAAAAAAAAAAAGCATGAGGCTGAAAGACACTTGGAATGAAATCAGAAAGCAGCTTCCATAAGAAAGAACAAACAAACAGATTCGCTGAGAGAGAAAAGAAACTTAAGCGATAATGGTTCATAGCTGCACTGGATAAACTAGGAGTATCTCTGACCATTGAAAAGAGGATCAATGACACCCCCCCCCCCACACCCCCCCCAAAAAAAAAACAATGAGACAAAAAAGAAAACTCCAATTTATACAGATGTGGTATCTCAAACACACAAAAAAAGCGGGGAGCGACAAAGGGGGAGGAGAGACAGTTTTTTTTCCGAGAATTTCCTATTCTCTTCCTAGAACATCTCTGCCCCTCGATGATATTTATTTTTTCCCTATTCATTTCAACTGCTGGCGGTGCTGCTGTTGCGGCTGCTGTTGGGGTTGCTGTTGCTACTGCTGCTGCTGCTGCTGCTGCTGCCGCTGGCAGTAAGTGGCTTTTCCTCCTCGGGCGTGAGTGCGATGACCGGACTTTCAGACTGGGGTGTTTGGGAGTTGCTGTGGAGTGGCGGCGTGCCGGCGTCGGTACTCACACTCCCTCTATCGCGGTTCGTCATTCGCGTCCGGGTATAAGTGGGAACAGGAGCGAGGTATTGGTCGAGCATCTCCGCCAGGATTGTCGATCGGACAGGCTTGGGAAGGTAGTTGTTCATGCCGGCATCGAGGCACTTCTCCCGGTCGCCCTCGATGGCACTGGCCGTCATTGCGATTACCAGCGCCTCGTTGACATTCGGATCTGGGTCCTTGCGAATTTCGCGCGTTGCATTGTACCCATCCAAGGTGGGCATCTGCACGTCCATGAGGACCACGTGGAAAGGGTTTCCTTCACGGGAGCGAGCCCGCAGAGCCTCGACCGCTTGGCGACCGTCGCTGTAGGCTTCGCACTGAAGATTTAGCCCAGTCACGAACTTGACGGCGATCTTCTGATTGATTGGGTTGTCTTCGGCAATGCACACCCGGATTTGATCACGGGGGACCATACTCAAATCACGAGCCGTGGGTTTGGGAGAAGCCTTCTCTCCATCTGCCTTGAGCTTCGAGCGAAGACCTTTACTGGAGCCATCTTTCACCTTGTTGAATGATAGATGGAAGGTTACGGTGGTCCCGACGCCGGACGTGGAGTCGAGCCAGATCGCACCTCCAAGGACGTCTTCAATAATGGCCTTGCAGATGCTCAACCCGAGACCACTGCCTCCGTACGATCTCGCTGTTGAATTGTCGGCCTGAGAGAAAGGTCGGAAGAGTCGCGACTTCTGCTCTTCGGAGATGCCGATTCCTGTGTCCGACACTGAGCATTCCAACCGGACGCGCCCTTTACCTTCGCGTGACACCCGGGCCCGCACGGTCACCGATCCTTTGGGTGTGAATTTGTAGCTGTTGCTCAGCAGGTTCATGAAGATCTGATGCAAGCGGACAGGATCGCCAAGGACTACAAGTTCTGGTGGAACCTTGTCCAAGTCCTCGATTGTCTCCAAGCCTCGGTCGCGGTGGGTATAGCGAAGCGCACGGACTACCTCCGATATCGTCTCGCGTATATTGAGAGGCACGGTGGATATCTTCATCTTTCCTGCCTCCAGCTTGGAAAAGTCAAGAATATCGTTGATGAGCGTCAGCAGAGTATCAGCACACACTCGGATCGACTCTACGTATTCATCTTGCTCTTTATTCAGTTGAGTGCCCTTGAGAAGCTCTGAAAGGCCAATCACGCCATTCATCGGAGTGCGTAGGTCATGGGAAATATTAGCAAGGAAGATGGACTTGGCCTTGGCTGCATCTTCCTTCAGTTTCACATTGTGCTTCGCCTCGGCTTCTGCCACCTTAGCCTTCTGCTCCGCCTCTCGAGCCTGGGTAAGCGCACGCTTTTGCGCTTCTACCATTGATGCATTCGTGGCACTGACTTTGCGAACCTCACGGAAGAGTAACGCGTTGGACAAGGAAATGCCGATCTGGTTACAAAGCAAGTGAAGCACGACCACGTTCCGTTGGGTGAAGGAGTTGGGTTTACCTTCGATGTGAATCACACCTAGAAGGTTTTCGGCTTGCATGATTGGCAATGCGATGACCGACCTCCCGAGAGGATATCTTGTCTGATAAGCTTCGCTTACGTTGGAAAATCGCTCATCCTCGAGAACGTTGTGAACGAGGACCTCCTCCCGAGTACGCATAACGTAGTGGGAGATCTGGTGAGCCATCTTATCCTCAATCTCCGAGAATGGAAGACCGTCAACATAAGACTTTTGTCCCTTCTCCATGTCGCCGGTTGCCGCCACGGTGAAATTGTTATCGAAGTTTGTGGCAATAAGAGCGGAATCCGAACCGTTGCATGATTCCAGAACGATTTCAATCATTTTAGTCAAGAGCTTATCGATCTGAAGCTCGGAAGACATCACTTGACTTGACTCGAGAATACTTGAGAGATCAATGATATCTACTGATTGTCAGATTAAAAAGAAATTCGGCGTATGGACATGCAAGGTCAAAAACAAGAGCTTTTAACTTACCGAGGCCAACGCCCGAGATGTCCAAAGAACGCTCGCCAGCAGTGACACCATTCTGTTCTAACCAGCGCTGTTTGCGGTCATCTTCTTCCATGTTCGGATTCACACCCATGTGTTCCTGCCCAGTATTGCGGTTGATCCCAAGGAGTGAGTCAACGGTCTGACAGCCAGCGTCAACATTCCTCGACGAGGTTGCGGTTTTCAGAAGCCATTCGTGCTTCTCAGTCAATTGTGCTGCTTTTCCCACTGCACTGACTGCGGCCCAGGCGGCGATCGCATCTTGCATCACTGAACGTGCCGCTCTCTTCGCACCACGGCGAATCAGAAATTCACCGTGCAGCTCCAACGCAAGGGCTTCCTCCAATGGCCACCCATGGATCTGGCAGTGATCAATGGCCGCCTCAAATGCTTGAATAGCTGAAGTGTGGTCGTTGCGGACTTCGCAAATCAGGGCTTCAAGGATCAGAGACCACATGCCATAATTTGCATCACAAGCACTCCGAGCGAAATCAACCTCTGCTTTGTACTCCAAAACCGTCTTCAAGCCTCCATCGAGATACCCGCGGGCAGGGTAATCGTTATGGAGTGTTAGGAGGGAGAGCGCAAGATAAAAGTAGACGACATAAGACACACGAGCAGACCACAACCGGGGCATTGTATCCATCATCTGCATGCCAACCTCTATTGCTCTGGTATGGTGGCCGTATACGAACAATGGAATCATGGCTAGGCCCCAGTAGATGTCCCGCGGACGATCGGCATTGCTGGCGTTATTGTCAAGGAAGGCTATGTATTCGTTTGTGTGATGATGTTCGTCGGACATGACAGTGTCAGCAAATCGACAGGAGGTTTTCCCTTGCAGCGCGCGTGCTACTTGTCTAGAAGATCACGAGAGTCAGAGATTGCGCTTACTCAACCCGTGTGTTTGGGACATGGTCGGATGAAGGGACTTACCGTACTGCCAGAAGAGTGGCACCCCCACGTGTATCATTTACCCAGTCAGGTATATCCTCTGGGCTTTCATTACAGAAAGCCTCTACCTGGGCCATATCGTGGCCCAGGAAAAGCCGCGTCATCGCCATCGAAGAGAGACTGATCAACGTGATGTAGGGGTCGCCCATCGAAAAAGAGGTCTCTACCGAGGTTTCAAGAACGGGGAGGGTGGATGACAATGGCACTCGCAGATGAGCCACATAGAGATTATGAACGATCAAGCCCCGGCCTTGAGTCCATGGCTCCGGGCACCGCTCAAGGAGACTCAGTGCATGATCGCTAAGTTTGACAGCAAGATCCAAGTCGCGAAAGCGACTGAAGGAGATCATAGCAAGATGAGAGCAGCCTATTGAGATCTGCACGAAACCTCCCTTGAAAAGGTGGAGATTCATCATCTCTATTGCCATTCGATAGAAAGTTAAACCATCATCCCAGTACGTGACGGACATGGCCTCAGCCATCACTGCTCCGATGGTGATCATGTTGATGTCTTTGCTGATGGGCTTTCGAACATTTGCCTCCAAATCTATCTTGCCGAGGTATTCACCAAGACTTTTGTAGGCCGTATCGCATTGTTCATATGTGGTGGGCTCCCGGAGATGGACGCCCAACTCATCGAGGCATGTGAGGAGCGAGTCCATGGAGCGGAGGTGATTACCCATCTGGGCGTAGATCTTTGCCTTTACGATCCAGGCCCTGGACTTGCAAACGGCACTTTTTCCGTGCTCAAATACTTTGTCCAAAAGATCCAGGGCTTCAGTGTTGTGGCCTTGAGACCATGACATCTCGGCGGTGGCGATATGAAGACGCAATGTCTCATGGTAGTAAACGTCGGTGTTATTGTCATTCCAAGGATCATCCTGGAGGAAGGCAATGCAATGGCGGAAGTACCAGAGCGCAGTTGGGCGAGCGCCTGACTGGGCTGCTGTCTGGGCAGCTTCCCAGAGGATTTTCCGATATTCCAATCTTTCAACTACGCGAGACTTGATGATTCGGGACGCCAATGCCACATGTCGTGCCAGGGCATAGCGACTGCGTCCGTCATGGTAGTATTTCATCATCGCCTGAGATATGATGAAATGCATCTTCTCGACATTCCGACCCTCAGTCAATGACAAGGCGGCTTGTGAGAACCGATCATTTACAAACCTTGGGTGTCCCGAGTCAATGGAACGATCAAGTAGGGGCAAGATTAGGTTCAAAGGGGGGTTGTACATACCTGAACTCATCATCTGTTTTCCCGGGAATGATAAGGTTGGCTTGGACAAGATACTGCAGTCCAACGACGATGTCGGCCTCTGACTGTCGAATCAGGTTTGCATTCTGCGGGCACGTCAAGTCAAGAGTCTCATCGTCGTCGCTCGAAAATAGAAACTCGCTTGTAAGAAGCTTTTGGACCAATGAAAACGCAAACGGGCTCCCTAATAACGCTCCCCAGACCATTATAGACCTCGCTGCTGTCGGGGTCTCTTGAAGACGCCGAGCAATGAATCCGAGTCCCAGACCCTCGCCATACCTAGGTGCCACGAATTCGGTGAAAATGCGATCCAAGTCAAACTCCCAGCTAGAGTTCTTCCAAGAATACCAGATGCAGTTTTTGCTATAGCAGGTCTCCAACATCATGCGTACAAAGAATGGGTTGCCCATGCTCTTCTCTTGAATCACGGCCGCGAGTGGCGTCAGCGTCGGGTTGGGGGCTTGATGCATCGTAGCCGCTACGACCTGCGTGATTTCCTCTTCTCCGAGGGGCTTTAGCATAATCCGGGTCACATTAGGATTGTCCGCTTCGAACAGTAATTTGATAGCGTCTGACTCGAGTTCAGACTTTCGGCTTGTGAGAATCAGCACACAAGGTAGCTTTGCCTTCACAATATTCATGATCAATTCCAGGGTTTCGTCGTCAGCATATTGCAGGTCATCCACGCATGCGCAAATCACCCTGTACTGTGATAGAGTTTTCAGTATTTCCAAAAATGTATCCATCAACCGCATGTTCTTCAGTGCCGCATTAGACAAAAAGAAGTCCACCGAGCTTTGTCCATCGTTAAGATGGGGCATTGCTACGCGTTTGGACGGTTCCCCTTTGGTCGAAATATCCTTGAATATGTGCTGCGCTGCCGACAGCCTAGGCGAGATCTGCTTGTCCTTGCTCCCAGAGGACATGAGCTGTTCGGGGAGCTCAAGAACTCGGTGCAATGTCGGCCACATGGGTCGCAGCGCTGTGCGAACATTATTGTGATAGTCGGTGGTCACATCACGTTCGGAAAATATTTGGCGGAGAAGGCTCGCCAAGATCTTCGCAAATGGTTCGAAGGGAACTCGCCGAGCTCGGTCCAGACGGGCTATACCGATATAGCCAAGCTTACGAATCGTGGGTTGGACTCGGTTCAAGAGGTCGGTCTTGCCAATACCAGCCGCGCCGCTAATGGTGATTATCTCGCATTTCCCGATCCGGCGTGTTTTGTTGGCAGCTTTGGGTCGACTCATGGAAGTGATTGACTCCCCATGATTCTGCGTGCTTGTGCCACCCGGGGGATAGCCATCCCGGTCTGCGATATCCCATGATGCACGTGACTCGACCGGACTCTTGAGCCTGCCAGAGGCGTTTCCGGGTCTCGGGGTCGAAAGGGAAGACTCTGTACTATGCAAGGACTCATGCGTTGAGATCCGCCCTAGAGGGCCGCCGTTAGGAGTTTTGGATGCTAGGTGGAATGAGCCCGAGTCGCTCGAACCAGACGCAATCTCGAAACTGTCAACGCGCCCATCGGAAACGGATGAGTTCGAGCCCACCCCAGTCGAAGCCTGTGCACCAGCTCTGGCATACGCAGACTGTTGGCGCCTTTGAACCTTCTCCACCACACCGATGATCTTCTCGTATTCCTCGCGTCGACCGAACATACGAGATGGCAGAGTGAAGAACGATGAGACGTCCCGCTGTGCAATCTGAAAATCCTTCAGGGCCTCGCTATCCCCATCTCCGAGGAGCTGGGAGATCTGCGCCAGATCTCGCTTGACAGATGAGATCGTGTTGTAGCGATCATTGAGAGCCTTCTGCGTCATTTTCTGGATGACTGCTGATACGGCATCCGGGACATCCATTCTCTTCGCCGAAACGGGAACCAGTTTCTTCCCGAGAACATTTTGCACAACTTCAACGGGATCGCTGCCAGTGAAAGCTGGTTTGCCCACCAGCATAGTCCAAAAGAGCACGCCTAGCGCATAGATATCTGTCCGGCTGTCCGGCTCCGTTGGCATCCGTCCCGTCTGCTCGGGTGCGATGAATTGCAACTTGTTCTTGACGCCTAATTCCCTCGAGAGTGATGACCAGCCTTCACTCAGGATGTTGTCAAATGAACGAGCTCCATTACCAGTATTGGTCAACTTCACCAAACGAGCCTCCCGATTGAAATGAAAGGCATCTCCCCGGATTTCACCATGAACGGTTTTGAGGCCGTAATGTAGAAGTTCCAAGCAGTCACATGCCCCAATCGCAAAGTCCAGAAACACCGAAAGAGAAACCTGCTCTCCGGGGGTGGGCTCGTTGCTGTCGGTTCTGTCGCCAACTGCGAACCAGGCGGGCCCAAAAGCGACCAGCTCTCGCAACATGTTCGGACCGGGCGACTCGAACAAAGCCACAAGCAAAGTGCCTGAATCACCGGGGTCTGGCGGCAGCCGTATCAGATCGATCGGGCGTATTGTGTGGTTGCAATCTGGATCCGAGGTTTGCACAATCGACCGTAGCATATGAAATTCGCGCTCGAGTCTGACAACGTGGGACGAAACACGGGCGACCACAGGAATCCAGATCGGCTCATGATCGATACGAGAGAGCGACAATTCGCTGCTGGACTCGCTAAGGCTGCTCCTCCAATGATGACGGAACGGGGGGCGGGATTCGGTGCGCGGGGAATTGCGAGCCAGGCTGGAGGGGCCCGAGGAGGTTGCGGCAGGGGTCGAGACATCAGATTCGACGGCATGGCGAAGGCCGAAAACATGCCAGTGGTTGTAAGTGGAATGGAACGGCTCAACGGACTGATCCCAGGTGTATCCAGGTAACTGCGCCAATCTCTCAAAGAGCCGCGCCGGGGGGAGCGGCAAGTCGTCCCCCAAGATATGGCTATCCTCCATCGGAACCGACAATAAACACTTGTGTCAGAAGGTCACCCCTCAATTGACGGCCATGAAGTATTCAACAGTCGTATGTAGACGCACTCGGACTCGGAGGAAGAGGTGGTCGGAGTGGTGCGTAAGAACATTCATAAAGAATCGAAGAGACGGGTGAAACAATAATCGCCAAGGACGGTGGGGAGAGGGAGGGACGAGTGGGCGAACGAGAGACAGTGAGGAGAAAGAGAGAGCGAGCGAGAGACAGTAGTGTGTCTGCCGCTTCTTCTGTGACTAGATTAGGTAAAGGTCATCCACGACGGTGGCTTCAGTCGAGACCGCACGGGGGGGGGGGGGTGGATTATGCGCAGTTCGTCTGTCTTCTTCGTCTCCGTCAAGTGCAGTCGGAGGGAGGGTAGCTTACCCCCGATACTATCACCGAGTCAAGGATCGGTTGTGCAAAGGGAACAACTTTTGGGACTCCAGTGACTTCAAAATGGAGTAGTTTGAGGCAGGGAACTTTGATTTCGGGGGAGAGGGGGGAAGAGCGGCCTGAGGCTATTGAGTTTCCTCATCGAGACAGGCTGAGTCAGCTGCCGTTGGGCATCACGAGGAAAACAAATGAAATAAAAGGAAAAAAAAAAAAAAAGTGGGCGGCCGATCAGCCGTCGGTATTCAGGGAACAACGTGATGGATGATGATGGATGGCAGTAAACGGCCGATTTTAACTATGAGTCTGTTTTTTTTTTTTTTAAAAAAAACCTACTTATCCATATCTCCAGCCTTGCCAAGTCTAGTAAGGTCCAGTGCAATTGGGTGGGTTTCAATTTGTTCTTCTTTCTCTTTGGTCCTTTTCTTCCCTTAAATCCTGCTTGCCAGATTGTGGTACAGTAGATTGTGGCACGGTGCAGATATCATGCATCCAGGGTAGTCTGCCAAGAAGCTGACCAAAAGTACGGGGATGATCCATCGCACATTCTCCGGCACATGGAAGGTTAGAAACTGCATATTTAGCGACCACAGAAAAGTCATAGCAATGGAAGGTCCTAATAAGGTACTAGTGAATAAGGCTAAAGAACATACTCCTGACTATCACAATCAAAAAGGGGGGATCACCCCGGAATTTTGATTCGAGGAACAACGGGTCCTGGCCCTGAACGAAAGTCACTCAGGCTTAATCTGAGTTTCACTAGACTAGCATTGGAAGATGTCACCGGCACAATGTCATGGACTTCCCGATTGTTAGCGCCCATTGGTCGCATCGATGCTGTCTCAGATCGAAGGAGTGCCAATGCCTAAATTACTACTACTAGGTATCTCACGCGTGCCATCCCGATATAAGTGGCCTTCGTCATACCATCTGTTCTTCAAGATCGTCAGGTTCCTGCACGGACACCTCGTACCCAAACCAGTACTGCAGCACCAGCGGTGCAAGAAAGGGGTCCAATGCATGGGAGGAACAGTACAGGACAGGGTGCAGATAACCGGGTGCTGGTGATACGTGGACGGTTCGTTTCTACTGCAGGCGGTGTATCACACTCAGTCCACCTCCCTGAAGCTCAATGTACGATGTACGATGTACGATGTATAAGATTGAGTATGCTAGCCTGGTTCGAATCCATGGTACCAAAATCGCCTGGAAAGCTGCCAACCCACGCGGCACCGTGACGGTCTGATGCCGTCATCGTTTCCAATCTCCAGGATCTCTCAAGCAAGTGTCGTAACTCGTCAGGGTATAAAATCGGGTACAAGTTCGAGAACCCTGTTCGCCAGTCTGAGCCTTCCGGGTTTGCTCGGTTCCTTTTTGACGTGTAATCTCGAAGGAGCAACACCTACCACTGCGCAACTTGCGCCGCGTACATCCTTCTTGAGGATTTGGGGGACCCTAACAGCTATTCTGCATAGATTGCAGTCTAAAGCTCACGAACAAACGTAGTCTGGGATTTTACTCCGTAGGCGAAGTCGTTCTGAGGGGTCATCGCCTACCGCGTCATAAGAAGGATAGATATATGATAAAATCTTGCGACCACGGCTGGAAACAGCTACTAATGGCCGAATATCTAGCCAGCACAGCTTCACTGGTTCGGGACCATGCGATTGTCATCACCGGTGAGAACGAGTACCAAGAAATGAGTTAAAAGTTCGAGGTCTAGAAGTGAAGCGAACACATGGTCCGTTAGTGGTTAGTGCGCAGATCGCGTGCCTCACGAACCATTGTTGAGGGGATCCAGGCGATTGCCACACAGGAACATTTCACTTCGAGCGGCAACACAGTTCACGATCACGCGACTTGTACCCTGATAGTTGTCTGGAAACGATCGATAGAATTGGTTTCTTTTCTGTTCTAATTTCTCTATTGCACCAGATCGAAACGGCAGAAGATCCCATTTGTGTTGCTCTGCAGAAGGGACGAGCTCAGTATCCGCGAAAGGTGCAGAGAGGGTTCTCACGTGAGGGGGAATAAGGTGAGGGTCCAGCCTTAGGCATAATTAGATGAGTGGCTCGTGACCAAGGAGGGTACGTACCGTACTCCATCTTTGCCTCGTACGGAGTAGTGGCTCAGTACCTGTGTGCATCTGTCGCGGTTCGATGATGCAGCCATGAGCGAGGCAGCTGAGCTTGCTTTGCCCCACCGGATTCGGCGAGCCCATTTGTTTGGAACCATTCTTTTGAAATCTCATCGAGGCTGTAGAACATCAATGCCGAGCAATTGCTTACCGGAAAGTCGGCCATCCAGCCGTGGAGTAATATATTAATAGGGAATACTGTACTACATGATGATGATGATGATGATGATGATGATGAGGAGGGTGGCGGCAGGAGCCAAAGAAGAGCTTTGCTGACCTGAGGCAAAACTCAGGACGGGGGGCTGCCCTTACACTAGTCTGCTTTCAGGAATGTCAATGTCAACCAGCATTTGTCGTTCCTGCGACTAATTTGGATGTGGCATCATTAGTAGAGGGGTTGTCGTCGACTCGTGCCCGCTAGCAGGAGCAGCAGGAACAGCAGCAGCAGCAGTTAGATTATTCTTTAGTTACTCCGTGTTATTATACTAAGTATCATGTACACTGTAAAGTACATAACTACAGCCTATACTCCTCATTCACTAAGAATCTAATCCATTGCTTAGTGGGACTCCTGGAACCTCTTGGTCAACACCAGACATCCGTCTAGCCAGGTCTTGTCCTTTCATTCTTGGATTCTTGACCTTTTTGCCCGCTACCGGGACTAGGCAAGGCAGTAGACGGACTACTACAGTACCAGGACTTGGTTTTGGCCCAGCTGTCTCTTCTTCCTTGTCAGTTGCTTTTAGTTACTAGCTACTGTTCTTCTTTCTCTCCGTAGCGGACTATTCTACTTCCCTTCCCGATCTCTCTCACCAATTCTGCAATTGTTCTTTTTACTGTTTTGTCCTTTTCCTCTCCCACATCTTGCTGGATTGTTCGTCAATTCAATATTGCGACGGGGACAATCAACCCTTTTTCTTTTTTTACTTGGACATCTACCTACTGCTATATGATACTGCTCATCAAGCCCTACTCAGAGTAGTCCAGGGGCAGACAATAATCAGTTAGTCGCAGTGTCAGTCATTCTTCCCTTACCTTCGCTCTTCTTCCCTCATCCTCTTTTCCTCTCTGCTTTCCCCCCCCTCTCCTCTCTCCGTCTCTCCAGTCAGCCCAGCCCAGTCCAGGGCTTTTTTTGCCTTGCAACTACGTCATAGCTGGGAACATCCTTCCAGTATCCGCCCCTCCCCTCCCTCCCTCTCTCTCCCCGGGCGACGACGGGCCATTTCCACATCTTGAAACCTTCCCAGCACAAATCGGCGATCTGCTGCTGGATCCATACACATTCAGATTATTATTATCATTAATTGTACTAGCAATTTAGCATAGCAGTAGCAGGACAACCTCCTGCTGCCGACTGCTTCCTACACAGTACTACTACTACTACTACTATTATTACTAGGAAAGGTCAGATCCAAACTTGAACCTTTCTTCCAATCTCCTTTTACCCAACACTACTACTACTCCACTACTACTACTACTGACTAGTAGTACTGCTATTATCACTTAACTGCTATCAACTCACCATCCCATTCCATTCTATCCTATCCAAGTCTATCCACACCCACACCCACCACCACCACCACCATCCACATCCACTTTCCCTCCCCCATAATCACCTCCGATATACACCGCTTTAGTCACCCTTCTCTCTTCCAACGGCCCATTTTCGGGGAAAAAAAATCGTTCGTCTGCCATTTCCCACTTCTTCTTGCACTTCGTGTCTCTTATTTTCCCTTTTCTTTTTTTTCCTTTCTTGTATATTCCCTTTCTTTCTCGTTTACTCCCCCCCCCCCCCATATCTCGGCTCCAGGAAAACCATCTCGGACGTTTTCTTCTGGTCGCAAAATCAAGCGCCCACTCACCACTTCCCCCCCTCCCCTCTGGCCCCCCCTCCCCTCCCAAAAAAACCAACCCCTTCGACTGCCTTGAATTTCGAGCCAATCCACACCACCCCTTTTCTTTTCGCTCGCTCGTCGGGGTTTTCACCGCGTGCGCTATATACACTATTCCGCTCCAATAGCCGTCCGTACTTTTCTGTTGTCTTTCCGACCGTTCGAATTATTCTTCCAATCGCTCGTCGATTTTCCCGAGTCTCGTGCAATATTTTTCCTTCCAGCCCCAAGAATCTTCCTCCTTTCCCCTCTAAATTCGATTGCGGACCGTTTTGTCCGAGAGATGAGTGTCTCAGTTGGCTCCTGTGGAGTTGGATTCGCCCAGGAGAATTGATTTGTGACCGGCGGTGGAGGGAGAAATAGGATGGGCGAAGTTAACAGCATGAAGACACCTCCGCTTCCATCGCCGGCCGAGGCTCCTTCGCCTGTCGCCGCGCCCCAATCCCATTGTCGACCCTCCTTGCAGTCCACCAATTCTATTTCTGTCCATGATGTTCAATATGCAGTTGATGGCAATGCGACGTTGGAGCAAAGTACATGGAATGCTAACTCTCATTCTTCTTCTATATCGCACGAACAGGCTGCGACCGTATGCCACATTCCGTCGCCTCCGCCTCCGAGAAAAGAAAGCCCTGAAGCGGGAAAAGGAACTCAGGAGGATCAAGGGCGCAGTCTGCAGACCCTCAAGGAACTTCGGAGGCAGATGGAAGAACTACTGGTCTACCAGCAGATGCAACAGTCCCACACCCAATCCTCGGCCGCGCGAGAGACGACTTCTGCATCGCCACCCGATCCCGCCGCACCTTCGAGTACAACGGAGTCGACCACCAGAAAGCGGCCCCTCAATGTGTCATTTGCGAAAACCCTATCCACCGCGGGAGCATTGCCTTCTGCTGCATACTCCGACTCCACGGGCTCAGGTGGCACAATTAGAGCCATGGATTCCAACCCCTCTCCCGACCACCTCCCCGGACCAACTCCGTCCTACCCTTTCCCGAGAATGGAGTCGCAGTATCCGCCGAGATCAGCACGAGACTCCGCGTTCAATCACAACGGCTTCAAGTTGACTCTGCCGGCAGACAAAATGAAGGCCCGAATCGCATCCTCCGACAACCCGGACGACCAGCACTTCGCCGCGGCGAATGTCCCGGGCGTTTTCTTACCGCCTCATTACAAGCCTGCGCCCGAGGATCCCGCCTACCCCAGTCCCAACCTGTACGAACTTACGCTGCAACTGAACTCAGATCCCGGGCTAGATGCGTGGTGGGCCAACGTGGTCCAAATTCTGCGGACACACTACGGAGCGGAGAGAGCCTCACTGGCCGTACCGGGCGATGCAACCGATCTGGAGAATGTTCCGTGGGGCCAAAAAGCAATCTTTGATCCCGACGCCGTACCTACAGATGCAGAAGATCTGCGAGCCGAACAATTGCCCGTGGAACCCACCTTGAGCGCCAGTGACGCGTCCAAAGACTCAAATGAAGGAACATCGAAGAAGAAGGGCTTGGTCGCAGAAGCTCTTCTAAAAGGATCGAGGCCTACGCATTCACCGAAGCGACCGTCACTGTTGTCGCGGCACTCTTTCGCAGGCTTTGGGAAGGAACGAGGCGAAGGCATCAGTGGCCCACCACAGACGGAGGACAAGAAAGTAGATACTGAGACTGAGACTCCGACGAACGTCCCGGGCCCGTCATTCGGCTTGTCGAATCCTCGCCAAGCCGTTTTCCCCGTCCCCCGACCGCTTGAAGTCGAGTCCGACCCGCTCATCAAGAGGACCGGAGTAGTGAAGCTATTCGGGCGCACCGATCCTGTTGTACTCACAAGAGAATATTCAGAGGGACTCGCTCATCAGCCAAGTCAAGGAGAGTCTCTGGAGACCCGGGAAGATAAGCCTCAGGCCACCCCAACTGTTGAACCCGCATTCAAACAGTCGTCCACCGCTCGCGCGCGAGCAGTGTCCAACCCCGGTCTATTCAAGTCTCGGGTAACCCCGTCCATGGAATTGTTCGATGAGTATGAACAGGTGCCACCGTCTCCTTGGTCTCAATCCCCAGCGCCGTCGCCCGCACCCCGCTCCCATGCGGAGCAAAATCCATTTTTCGTCAATCACGCCGTCGACGAGAGTGCATTCGCCAAGAACCCTCCCCCTCACGATTATTCCAACTTGGGTCCACTGGAGGCCATTGGTGTTGACCTGGCCAAGTCGGTCGTTCACATTCCGCTGCTGCACGTCGGTCGCGCCAAGGACCCTTCGCCATCCACCTTGCGGTTCCCGGTCGCTGTGATCTCAATATTGTCTCCCGTCATTCCTTACCCCACAAATTTACGAAGATCCTTGTCATATCTCATGCCCCACCTCACCACTTCATTCTGCCTCGCCCAGCACTACAGCCAGCTTGAGCGTCAAGTCACCTCTCGGCTTGAGCCTCCCCGCTATGGCCAGCTCCTTGGGCTCGGTGGCACTTTCTCTGATGAGAGCAGTGAGCTTGAACTGGTAGCGGGTCTCAGTGGCCATGTGAGTTATACAATCGCGGACGATGGATCATTGTCAGCGCGAGCGAGTATTTCCAGCCCAGAGGATAGGTCGACTTCAACAAAGCTCAGCCCTTCGCTATCCAATCTTGGTACGCCCGGGGTGGATCTTGGTATTATCGCCTCCGGGGATAGCAACTTTTGTGAATCGCCGGGGGCGGTGCCTAAGCTGGGCGCCGATAACCCAGATGGCTACTTTAACGTTCATCAGTCGAAGAGTTTTCGCGATGCGATCAGTCAGCATCGCAACCGATTGACCAAGATGAGACAAAACATGGCATCCTCGACTCCCACATCACCTGGGAGACTGGTGAACAAGTCTTGTGACGAAGAGGCCGCTCCGCAAGCTCAAAGTCCAGGGGTCGTATCTCCTTTGCAAGATACGAAGGGGTCGCAAGTTGTATCGCCGACGCAGACTGCCTCCCGCCACCCCTCAACGAACTCATTCTACGCCCATTTGCAACGCGACCTGCCCCGACCGTTCTCCGATACTGTGGCGCAGCTCATGCTCAACTCGGTGCCTCTACATCTCTTCCTCGCGAGACCTCAGAGTGGAGAAGTGATTTGGACCAACTCCAAATTCGATGCCTACAGGCGGAGTCAGCCTCAAGAGCAGAAATTGCGAGATGTTTGGCAGAATATTCATAGCAGCGAAAGAGAGCACATGTCACAGGAATGGGCAAACGCACTACGTACAGGGTCACAATTTACGGAACGAGTGCGGGTTAAACGCTTCAATGACGAGTCGGCATATCGTTGGTTCATTTTCCGCGCCAACCCCTTACTGTCTTCCACCGGGGAGGTGCTTTACTGGATTGGATCGTTCCTCGACATACACGAGCAACATACTGCTGAGTTGAAAGCTGCCCAGGAGAGAGAGAAATTCGCGACTGACGCCAAGTATCGGGCGTTCTCTAATTCCATCCCTCAGATTGTCTTTGAGGCAACCGAATATAGGGGCCTCATTTTCGTCAACGAGCAATGGCATCTGTATACGGGCCAGAAGCTTGAGGAAGCGCTGAACTTTGGCTTTGCCAAGCACGTCCACACCGATGATCTCGAAAAATGTGGCCTTCTTTCTCTCTACCTTGCCGAGCCACAAAGGATTGAGTCCACCACAGGATCTGAGGAGAGTGCAGTGGAAGCTTTGCGCCAGGCGGTGGCACAAGATAACCAATTTGGTCAAGGCGTTACCCCCGCACTCGAAGAACTCGTGAGGCGCGGGGTCGCTTCCGTGCAAAGAGATGAGAATGGTCGTGTCTTCTACTCTACAGAAATAAGACTACGCTCTAGAGGAGGTGATTTCAGGTGGCATCTTGTTCGCCTGGTCTGTGTCGAGACGAGCAGCTTTGGAACCGGAGAAGGAGAAGCTTCATGGTACGGCACATGCACGGATATCAATGACCGCAAGAATCTCGAACGCGAACTCAACAAAGCCATGCAACAACTCAATAATCAAATGGAATCAAAGACGAAGTTCTTCAGCAACATGTCTCACGAAATCCGGACTCCGCTGAACGGAATTTTAGGCACCATTCCATTCATTCTCGACACCCAGCTTGATACCGATCAGAGACGTATGCTTGACACCATTCAGAATAGCTCAACCAACCTGCGAGAGCTGGTCGATAATATCCTAGATGTGTCCAGGGTGGAAGCCGGGAAGATGACAATGGTGAACTCATGGTTCCATGTACGCTCTGTGATTGAGGATGTCATTGATACCGTCTCATCGAGAGCGATCGATAAGGGCCTTGAAATCAACTACTTGATGGATGCAAATGTTCCGCAAATGGTCATAGGAGACAGGTTCCGTATACGACAGGTCCTCATCAATCTCGTTGGCAACGCAGTCAAGTTCACAGCTCAGGGTGAGATCCATATATGCTGCTCCATCTATGATGGAATCCCGGCCTCGTCCAAGTCCACGGAATTGTTATTGAACTTTGACGTTGTGGATACTGGTAAAGGCTTCAGCGTCAGAGATGCAGAGCGATTGATGCAGCGATTTAGTCAACTGGGACAGAACGGCTCCCAGCAGCATGCGGGTAGCGGGCTGGGACTATTCTTGTCCAAACAGCTTGTTGAAATGCATGGTGGCAAGTTGACGCCCACCAGTAAGGAAGGACAAGGGGCCAAGTTTTCCTTCTATGTCAAAGTCGACGCGCCGCCGCCGCCAACCTCTGACGAGCCACGACTGGTTCGCCAATCATCTAGCACTTCTGATGTGTTCCTTGAGCATCTTAAGCCTGGCCCACTGCAAAAGATGCTGTTCAGAAAGGACTCCATGGATAGCAGAGGTCCTGATGCAGCTGATTTCTCTTCGACTCTTGAAAACTCAGTCGCTCAATCCATGGCGGGCGAGCCCCCTGTACGCTTTCCTTCAATGAACTTCTCTGAGAGGTCTTCTATCTCTTCTGCCCTTCCGACCCCAGACCCTTATACTGTGGATCCGTTGGCTAGGCTTGACAACTCCAAATCTGCCTTCTCGAACGGGGAGATTTCGCAGCCAACGGCACAATCCTCCTCGCCTTCGCAGGAGTCATTCGCTTCGACCAAACTCACAGAGTACACCGGATCGGACGTGCAGCCTCTTCCCAGCTCTTATTCAATTCTTATTCTTTGTCCCTTGGACAATACTCGTCAAGCTATCAAGCAACATATCGAGCAGGTGGTCCCTCTGGAGATACCTTTCTCTATCACTTCCACACCCGATGTGGAAGACTGGAGGGACTCTGTTAGCGATGTCACGAAGCTGACTCATCTGGTCCTGAACCTGCCCAACGTGGATGACGTTTTGGATATGATGCATTACGTCTCAGAGTGTGAGCCAGAGACTACACCAAGTCTGGTCATTATCTCGGATTTGTATCAAAAGCGACAAATCAATGCTAGAATCAAGGAATTGGCATCCAGCGGGAAACGCATATACACTGTTCCGAAGCCGGTGAAGCCGTCGGCCTTTTCTTCGATCTTTGATCCTGACAACCGACGCGACCTGAGCAAGGACAGAAACCAAGATATGGCTCGCGAGATCAATAACAATTTCAAGACCATGTCAAAGATGGTGAAAGAAGTGATTGGGAACAAGGGGTATCGCGTATTGCTTGTTGAAGACGACGATACAAACCGCATGGTGAGTGAAACACATTTGGAGCTTGGGCGCTACCATGTGCGCTAATCTTCGTTAGGTGATGATGAAATACCTCGATAAGATCAAGGTCATGGCGGAGACAGCAACCAATGGCCAAGAGTGCACGGAGATGGTGTTTTCCAAGGAACCGGGATACTACTCCCTAATTATTGTAAGTTCAAGCTAGTGTCATTAAGGCGACTCAGTCAACTGGACGCTGACACGACCCGCAGTGCGACATTCAAATGCCCATCAAGAACGGCTACGAGACGTGTCGTGACATCCGTGCTTGGGAATCCAAAAACCACTACCCACAAATCCCGATCATGGCTCTTTCCGCGAATGCAATGACAGACCAGATCGAGGATGCCGCTCGTGCTGGTTTCAATGACTATGTCACCAAACCCATCAGACACAATGAACTCGGCAAGATGATGATGGGACTCCTTGACCCAAATCGACCTTTGCTTCTTCTCCGGGACCGCCTCAAGTCCGAGAACGCGGAGAAAATCCGTTCAGAGTAGATGCTTGCGTTTACGCGAATGATCCGCGATCGAACGTCGGCACCTCCTCGTTTGTCTCGTGAGAATCTCTGCACATTCTCAGTCTCCAGCAGCACCTCCAGCTAAACCAGTCGGAAGTGTCATGATGTATGTTACATGTTTCAACCCGAGTCATCCGCCATGTGCCAAGGGGGTTTATAATATCTTTCTTTTCCTTTGCTCTTTTTTTTTGTTTGGGACCGGCAACGAACTATCGGACGGAACGGCGCCCCGGATGATATTTCGAGTCTTGGTTGATATTGCCTTTCTACGTCCCACTCACCACGGCTGCGACGTCGTTCCTCCATGGCATTTATTTGCGTTCGGCTTGTCAATTCGAATTGATACCTTTCAGCATTCACGGGGTAGGGGTTTCATGCTTATTGTGTTGTTCTTTGGACCTCCGGACTCTAGTTCATGGCGTCAGTTGTTCTTTCATGGGATCAGTGTTGAGGACTTCCTCTTGATTTTTCTTCTTCTTCTTTTTCTTCCTCCTCCTCCTCTTATTGAGCTTTTTACCCACGCGCGGGGCTTTTTTCATTCCCCGAGATTGATATCGATACCAGCTTTTACGAGCACGACCATTCTAACATTCTGGAATTGTATTTGCAAATCAATGGAGCGTGTGTTTACAACCCGCTGCGGCGTCTTTCCTTGCGGACGATTGATTGATTGCTTGATTAATGGGCTGGCATTCCTCTCGATGAAGTAGATTATTTAAATTCTATAGTGATATACCCTACCTAGTCTGACGCTAGCAAGCTATAACGATGATTATTCCGACGGGCTTTCCGCTTAATCTTGCCGCTTAGTTCTTCCGTGCGCTAACCATAGACGAATATAACAAGACGGATGGTACCTAACGCACCATCTGCATCGGGGATAAATCTGGAACAGTACGTGGAAAGGTCATATTTCATATTTCTCGTGATCTGCAGCAGATACCACGCAGAGATTATATATATACACTAAACAGCCGCAGCAAGCCCGTCACAATTTATCCTTTTGAGTCTTCAGGCCCTTTTGCCAAAGATGCGGAATCGCTTCACTCCACCGTCCGGCACGAGCGTCAACTTGACATGGGTGAAGACCCGCTCATCCGCGCCCGCGGCCAGCTCCTCGCCCTGGAAGACATGCTCGGTATCCGCCTGACAGCGGCGATCGCCCTTGACAATCTCGACCCAACCGGGATGGTCATGTGCGGGCACGATTTGCGAGGAGGCATTGTCCTCTCCCTCTCCCTGCACCAAGCCATGCACGCGCACGGCACGGGGAAAATTGCCACGAAAATCCTTCGTATCGACGACCACTCTAGACACGGACCCAGGCAGCCCCAGCTTCACAATCGCCCAGTCCACATAGCCCGGGGCGCGCGACCGCGCCGTCTCCCACCCATCGCCCATGTCCTTCCCGCGACCGGGCAGCAGCAGATTCGAACACGGAGTATAATGCTGATCCGACGCGGCCAACGCCAACCCACCGCACAAGGCCGACGACAACTCCTCGTCAGCTTGTGACTCACCGCCCGCTCCCGCAACAACCCCCGGCTTCGCAGACGGAATCGCATGTCCATACAACCTCAACCTTCCGAACCCCCCATCCGGGTACATGAGCAACCGCACATGGGTGTACGCTACCGGGTTGGCGGGGTCATAGTCAGGCAACTTCCAGGCGCGGCGCTGCGCCGGCCCGCACGGTTGCGGCGGCAGGATGGTCGTCCACCCATCGTAGCTGGGGTCGGCGACGACGGCGTCCTCGGCATCGGTGCAGGTGGCCTGCAGCTCGGCCTTCTCGCCGTAGTTGCCCACAAAGAAGCCCGTGTCGATCTCAACGCCCTGGATGGCGGCGCGCGCCGTGCCCAGCTTGATCACCACCCAGTCGTAGGGGTCTGGGTTGTGGCGTCGCGTCTCCCATCCGTCGTACCAGGCGCCGGTGTGGATGAAGACGCCCGGCCGGTTGATGGGTGGGGTCGGCGTGAGGAGGTTGGAAGCCGCGGCGAAGTACTCGTTGCTGCAGGCGAGGATGCGCGTGTTCAGGGCTGAGGAGGCGAGGTTGGTGGTGTGGGCGAACGTGGTGTCGATTTCGGAGGCGGGGATGTAGGAAGGGGATTCTTGGGTGGACATGGTGTCGTCTGTTTGGGAGGTGGATGGGTTTTGAATTTTCGATAGAATAGAGAAAAAGGAAGGGAAGGAGCGAGATTGAAGAGGAATTTTTGTGAAGATAGGAAAAATGTCAAATGGGATTGTTTGAGGCTTTTATAGAAAAGACGTCAGGAGGGGCAGATGGCCGATACGGCGGGCGATAAGAGAGACTTCGTTTCCCCGCCGATGTGCCCGCATTACTCGATCTTATCGCTTCATCGTTCTCCGCCTTTTCCTTTCCTTTTTATCTTTTCCCCCTCTGTTCGGTGTGTTCTCACTTTGGCTTGATTTCTGTTCGAGATACGTGAGTGAGTTTTTACCTCTACTTGATTGTCTGCTCAATTGTTGATTGCTAACAGATGCAGTTATGAGTCTATGAGGACAGGGTCCCAAATGTATCCGCATCCCCTCGCTATACAGTAACACGCTGAACAACCGGGCCCGCCCATTGAACCCGTTCGGAGTTCTCCGACGTTCGCATCTTTCCGAGAGGCCCTCTCCTCCAAGAGAGAGAGAGAAAAAAAGAAAAGGGGAAACGACATTCACACGAACACATTCACAGCCACGGATCCCCTCGGCGAGAAAACAATCTGGTCATGGAATCTTGCCGTTGCGTTCGTTTCCCCCCTCAACAACCCTCATCATTTCATTTCCTCACCCGCACTGCTGCTTCCGGGTCCTAAACCACTCCCACCCACAACTTCTCGGAGAAACCCCCCTCCTGAGGAGGTGGGCGATATGTGGTATGGGGTAATTTGATTCGAGATGCGAAAAGTTTACTACGTGTCCAAGCACTTGCGCACACACACGCACATGTGCACACACACAAGACCTCGCACTAACTACCTACTACCTGGATTCTAGTTGATGGCAATGACCGTCTAACCCAAGATGGCATGTCGCGTGTCCAATGTAGGACACCAGAAGGAAGGAAACACAGCCACTGTTTGGAAAAAATTAAACAAAAAATTAGAATTGTTTGAGTGACTCGACCACTTCCTAAGGAGTACTGTACAAAACTGGATCTACAATGAGGTGGGGAGGGAGGGTGGCTCCGCCTTTTTGGTTACAGTTGCAGTGCAAATGCAGTGCTCTCTCTGCCGGAGGGCTCTCACTACATAAGTGACGTCGCGGGGAGTTTTCTTTTTTCTTTTTCTTCTTTTTTTTTCTATCTTCTTTGTCGTGACTTGGTTACGAGTGTAGGTTCTATCAAGGTGAGGCCAGCACGGAAACACAGGACACTATGGGCCCATTGAGCAGCATGGAGGAGCTATTATCAACCATGGAGCAGCGAGTGATGAAAGTATGATTAGACATGCGTTCGGATCATACGGACAGAAGCAGTGGAGAAGCTCATAACAAGGAACAGACCAGAATCACCCGAAACGAAAACAAAAAAACGAAAACGAAAGCAAGAAGGATGGCAGATTTGAAGACCACTTTCAGACACCAACCACTCGCAATCTGCGTTTGCGATGACTCTGTCAGCCAGTGCGGTGCTTGAATCCACATCTAAACTAAACGCCAGTGATACTATCTTTCTCCCCATCTCCGATGCGCAATCTTATGCTATGGGTGATTGTCATTTGTCTTTCTTTTTTCCCTTTTCTACCTCAGCTGGTGCTCTTGGTCGCCACCTCCTCCAATCGCTTGTATCGCCACTCGTATTGTGCCAGCTGCTTTCGTTCCGCCGGCGACAGGCATTTGCCCTTGTCTGCCATCTCCTTTTCCACCTGCTTCAACATCTCCCAGCGCTTGAGGATACGCCCTTGGGCATCCGATATCGATACTAAATTGGAGTCTTTCGATTCCATGCGCGCTTCGATAGTGGAATGATATGACAGTTTGGCGTGGAAGAGCGCCATGTCGGATTCGTCATACTTGAGCCCGCATCCCTCGGGGAGAGCAGTTTGGTAAATGCCCTTGGGCGGCATAGCGGGCCGACTTGCGATCCAAGAAGGAGAAAGAGAGAAACTGACACAAAGAGGGACAACGGGAGGGAGAGAGATGGAGAGAGAGTATCACGAATGGTCAAGTAGTGGAAGGGGCCAAAGGGCACAAAGAAGCCAATGAAGTAAATAGAGCTTCGCCAGATGAGGCGCTTTGACTGTCAGAAGTGGAAGTCAGTTTTGGTTGTATTGCCGGTTGAAGTAGGGGAGAGTATGGCAGTCAGAGACTTGTGCGAGAGGAGCTTATTTTTTTTGCGGTTCCAAGAGAGCACAGAATAAGGATCGATTAGAAAAGGGCTCGAGAGCGATTCTTGAATAGAGGTCAGGGAGTTCTGTTCCTTGGTCTTTATCTTAATCTGTTGCCTCCCATGCCATACCTTCGTCACTAACTGTCTCTTCCTGTTACAGGGACCACGGTGATACCAACGTGGACCATTCGATGCACCAGCTGCCAACAAGGACGAGGGAGCAAAGGCCCAAAGAGAAACGGACAAGACAGCACCACTTTCTGTTTCTATAAATTCATCTCCCTGGATGTGCTGTTCGAGATCGACTCGTGCCCAGTCCCGGTCGTGCTGTTATCTCGTGATTGTTGCCCGAGGGCCAACCCCCGAAGCGGATGAAGGGTATCGCTTGGTTTCCCATTGGGGATAAGTTGTGAAACCGTTGAGATGACACCGGCACAGCCTGTAGTCGGTCTAGGAAGAAGAGGGGGTGTGGTTTCAATTGCTCTGCAGTGTCTTGGCCCTTTTCGTGATTGTGCCTGAAAGGACAGCCTATCCTTCCTGGAGACTTGCTCTCCAGCAGCCTGGCCCGGATCGACGACAGCGATGGGAGGAAGAAGGGGGGAGGGCTCAGACCCCCCTCCCAGTATTGCCGGTGCGGTGCTTGCATATGTAGTGGGCCGCCAGAATCCCACTCTTCATCATGGAGATTGCCGAAATCAGGCCGTCTTGGACACGAGCATCATCATACCCGAGAAGGCCATGCGACCTCTCTGTTACACCATGGCTATCCCAGCACCCGTCAAAAGACGAGTAGAAAGAGGCGCCGGATGGGAATGGTGTCGCATGTCCCCGAGAGGAATGTCGTTTATCGGCTAGCCTATGTGAACCCCAGAGGGGCGAGCAGGCCATTCTTGCGTGGTCGGGGACGTTGGGTATTTTCCGGGGTTAGATGTGGTGGCTCAGGGTTACAGAATCCCAGGTGTAGATGTGTGAGTGTCGCCCACGGCTGCTCCCAACGGACGATGCAGGGAGAGACCCAGTTACCCTGGTGTCTTGACAAGCAGCCTCCTCTCGCTCACTACTACTACTACTATAGGGGCGAGGATTTTGCCTTCGTTGACTTCTGCCCTTATAATCCCCGATTCGTGGCTCTTTCCGAGGTGATCTGCATGTAGCCGCTGGATGCGTTGTTGTGCAACCGTTGAAGGGGGGTGAGAGAATGAGAGTGACAGAAAAGAGAGAGGGAGAGAGAGAAATGACGGGCAGATACGGGGCAGAAGCAATAAATCTGGATACCCAGCTTGGGAAAGGAGAGATTAGGTATGGTTCTATGCATCATCGAGTTGCGTCAAGTCCTACGCCAAGTTTGAAAGGGGGGATCTCCGGTAGCATGAGCCGGGCTGATCTGCCATTTCCCAGAATATGATCTTCCAATCTTTTCTTGAAAGGGGTATGGGTTATGAAAGTAGAAAGTGACTCTCATACTGTCTCAGTGATCGACTGCGTGTTTCGGAAAAGATTCAATGATGTTTGGTTCTGCTTTGATTCCTTTTCCCCTTCTTCCTCTTACTCACTCCCACTCCCACTCTCTTGGTTTGTAACAAGCAATGCATGGTTCATGTCTCCATCCGTATTCCTCGGTCTATGTCTGTGTGTCTGTGTTCATATCATGCGGTGTCCTCAACCGGTCAACGGGCTCCTTGCAGAGATCGTATGCAGAGCGGTGATGGAATCCGCTTTGCCTTGGAAAGGGGAAGACGACAAGGCCGGTTTTCAGGATGAGGCGGCAACGGTTGGATCAGTCTGAGACAGAAGATGCTCTTTCAACGGTCGAGAGGGGGAGGACGAGGCAGTGTCAACCCTTGACCTGTTTCTGTCTGGTCTCGATCATGAAAAGCTACGATGGGGCTTGGAGTGCACTGGGTAGCTGGTGAATTGATCGCCCTGCTCTGCGAGGTAATCCGGTGATGTGTACGATCTCGCCTTCAATGTGAAGAGTGTTGTGGCCTGCGGACTACTACAGTACATGCATAGCACTAGCATTTGCATTGATACACCGACTGGATGAGATGGTGACTGTGGTGTCGTGCTGCTGAAGCAGCCAGCTGTGTGAGCGTTGAAGACCAGCAACGCCCGACTCTATGGTGCGATGTTGTTGGACTGTACCTTGGCTTTTGGCAGGGCTAGACTATCAGCTGTTCCTCTGGTGGTTAATCTGGTGGGTTTTGGTCTGGTTTGTGACGAGAGAGAGAGCTTCTACCGGAGAGATCGCAAACCATGGAGTTTTCGTGGTCTTCACGAATAGTTACTGCTGCTACGCATGTCTTATGCCCGGATTTTGCAAGAACGGCATTTGTGACTGTACTTACTGTACCTGCACCAAGGCATCCACTCTGAGGATACCAAGTGAATTCTCCTAGTTGTGGAATCTATACTTCGCCAGCTGCGTCCCGACCTTCTACTCGAGTAGCAGCAAAGCCTTGCCACCAGCACCACTCTCACCCCCTTATCCCATGGATCTCAGCCACCATAAGCAAAGAGCAGCCCTTATTCGTTGATAAGCCTGGCGACCAAGACGTGATGATGCACTGACGTTGGATGTCATTTCACTCACCTATGATTCACCGCGACTGGGGCGGCAAAACAACTTTACTCCCATATCGTACCACTCACCGTGGTTGCACCACCGAAGAAAGCCCAGTGGACTGCCTGAGGACTGAGTCCGAGTCAGCCGGGGTAGTGTGGGGGATCCTTTTTCGAAGGATTCAAAGAGAAGCACATGGGTTCTTTGTTTCAGATATCGTACTAGTAAGGGTGATGTAGCTATAATTATAGCTGCAAGGCTTTGTCGCTAGTAAAGGCTATGCTCCGTGATCCTGGAAAGCTTGATCTGGAGGGAGTCAGTAAGATTCCTCGTCGGAGCTTATGGGACGAGATCATCGTGTACAAAGTTATTACGGTGATACAACCCGATGATTATCGGGTTCGTGAAGGTGACATACCTCGTGGATATTTCAGCTTGTCCTTTGTATGATATTTTCTTGTTTCTGTTCGCGCAGACTGCCCTACCCTTTACTGCGGGTGTATCTGAGTTGTGAATGGGGTTGTGGAAGGGAGATGTTGGCTACATACGCAGTACATCCAAGACAGGCTGACTTTTGTTCTCTATCACTGCCTATTGCTCAACTCCGGTCTTTGTCGCGGAAAGTCCTGCCCTCGTATACTTCTTCCCTCCGAGCAAACTCCACCCCACAATGCATTCGCTTGCTTGCTCTGTTTATGCTCGTGGATAAGGGATAGGGCCTGGTCATTCGCTTCATAGTTCGCAGTGCGTGGTTGACCTGGTGTGGAATGGTCGTTGCACCTGGTTGTTTTTTTTCTCTCACCGGTTGGAACGGGGTGGACTAATATCGTCCGAGATACTGTGCACTATTCAAGTCACTCCTCCTGGACAAAGCTCCTCCTATGGTCGAGGCACTAAAACAACACCAGAGCTAATCAACCCGATCGAACAGGAATTGTTACTGTACATCGATCAAAGAAACCGAAATCGAACCCCAAACACCCAGATCCTAGATCCTGCCTGGCAAATCCTACAAAAGCCCCCCAATACCTCAAATCCATCCATCCATTCATGCATAGCACCGCAAGCAATGAAACACGAACGCTCTTGGCTATGATATGCTATGCTTGTGTTGTCGAACCTCCGGACCCACGTCTCGACTCCTGCTCACTATCCACCACTAAAGAAAAAGAATCAAACATAATAAGTACACACTGTACAGTACATTTGTGCATGTGATGCAGAACGGTAGTAGCTTCCAAACTCCAACGCCAGAGACCCTTGCTGCATGAAGAACCAAGCTCGATAAGTCGGGTACTAGTCATGCATGGGCTCAGCTTGACGTGGGCATGATCCGAACTTCCAGGTATGTGTCAAGTAGTAAATAATGTGCGTCTCAACCCACACTATCAACAACTCAACCCCCCCCGAGAACAAATCAGCAACCACCCTTGCCACACCAAACAGGACTCGCAAACTACTCACCACTCTTTGCATAGGAGAGGATGATGCATGCATGCATGGTCATGAGAAGTACCGCGGAATATGAGGCGAGCGCCGCTGGCTCGGATCGCGCTCCACAGCGGTATGATCGAAATGCACGTGGCTATTGGAATCCATGCGCTGAGCACGGCGGCGGGAATCGGGGGTGTAGCCGTTGGGGTTTGCGCTGTGGCTGTGGCTGTTGCTGTAGCTGTTGTTGTTGTTGTTGCTGCTGTTGTTGCTGGTAGTGCCATTGGTGTTGTGGGTGGTGGTGTTGTTGTTGGGGGTAGGATTGGCACCGTGAACCCGGTCAACACTATTGCACTCCGCCACAGTCGACCTGCCCCGGGCAGTCTCATCTGGCTGCTGCGAGGTCAACCCCGCCCCATAAGAAGACGACAGCAGGATCGAGCTGGGGAAGTAGGCGACCTCGACGCGCCCCTCCTCGCTCGGGGAGCGGCGCACCGAGCGCGGCGCATAGCGGTCCAGGAATAACACCCAGGGGTCGGCGGGGATGCGGTCGCCCGGGCGAGCCTGGCCGTGGAGGATCATCAGGCGGTACATGAGGCGCTCAAAGTGGATCCAGTCGAGGCCGTAGGGACGGTGCGAGATGCCCTGGGCGTCGGTGTGGATGCGCAGGATGGAGAGGAGGGCATTGTAGGTGGTTTCGAGTTCGAGGGAGGGGGGTTTGGTCATTTTGCTGGTTATGCTGGTGGGGGAGTGTTGGTAGTAGGTAAGTAGAAGGTTATGAGTGGAATAGAGAGGTTAAAGGTTAGTAGATTTGGTGAGGGTGATGTGATGTGATGTGATGTGAGATAGAGATGAAGAGACTGTAAGAGAAAAAAGACTAAGTCTAGCAAGGATGGATAGAGGAATTCTGTTCAGGTGTTGAGTGTTAGTGAGGTGAGAAACTAACAAGATAATATAGCTAACTACTGGAATCATGTACCTTTCACCCCCAGAGATATCATCATCGTGGCTGTGGAAATTACTCTGCCTTGAGTGAAATGAGGTGAAGTGAATCGCAACTTGTCTTGGATGTCAACCTCCAACTGTTGAAACACGCAACATGTTTATCTGGTTTGCTTCTCCGCATTAAACCATGCGGGGAAGAGGTGGACTGATAAGACCTTCAGTTCTCCTCTCAGCGAGCTACTACTAGCCTTCCTCTTCCTTGAACTTCACTTTAAATAAATCACTAAACGGAGGTGAAGGCAGAAAGATTCACTCACCATGCATCTTCATCATAACACCAAAGAACCTCCAAAGATTGTGCTCAGTGGCACCCCACTAGAGGTGGGTTATCTGTCTATTTATACGGTTCCCCATTCATCACATCTAACCCCTCTAGATCGGCCTGCAACATGGCGCCCAGCTCCGCGCCCAGATCGAAAGTCAGCTTTCCGTCTACCGGACGATGTTCCAATATACCTCGAAGTTATCGTGGGATGCGGTGCTCGACCTGGCCGGGGAGTTCCGCACCACCATTGCTCGACTCACCCCGGAGCTCCTAGAGGAAATGCAAGGTATTGCCGACGGAGCGGGCGTCACTCTGCTGGACATCATCGCCTTGAACTGTCGCAGCGAGATCTCGTTCGGCAAGTTCTCCGACGGCTGCACGAGTCTCTCGCTCCATCGATCCGGACGGGGCCGCATTCTCGCCCAGAACTGGGATTTCACCACTCAACTGCAGAACCATCTGGCGATGGTGGAAATTATCCAGCCAGGGAAACCAGTGATTTACATGGTTACTGAGGTACTACTACTACTACTACTACTACTACTACTACTACTACTACTACTACTACTACTACTACTACTACTACTACTACTACTACATCATCTCTCTCTTTCTTATTTTTTTCAATGCTGGGTGAAAGTCCCAAGCTGACAGCCACAGGCCGGCCTCGTCGGCAAGATCGGCTTCAACAGCGCCGGTGTGGGCGTCTGTCTCAACGCCATCCGCGCCCATCCCTGTCTCAGCTCCAAACTGCCCATTCACCTCGCCCTCCGTCTGTGTCTGGAGAGTGTCTCCGTTGAGGCTGCGCTGGAACGACTGTCGGCCCTGGGCGGCGTCGCCTCCAGCCAACACATTCTGATCGCAGACCGCACGGCCGCCCTCGGCTTGGAGCTCTCCCCGCTCGGGGACGATCATCTGCCCGAGGACGAGTACGGGGTGGTCACCCACACGAACCACTTCCTGGTGAACCGCAGGGTCATCGAGCCGCCGTGGCTGTCCGGGTCGCCGGTTCGACTGGCCCGCGTGCGTGCGTTGTTGCGAGAAATCGTCGGTAGTGGCGTTCTGGAGGATGAGAGCGCAAACATGGTGGGGACGGTTCTCCGTGACCAGATCTTCTCCGATACTTGTGATGGTCCGCAGTCCATTTGCTGGCAAGAGGACCCCGCTCAGCCGGAAATCGTGCGTACGGCGACTTTGTTCAATATTGTGATGCGATTGGAGGAGGAAGAGGGGGCCTTGGGGGCGGAGGTCGTGTTTGGGAGGCCCGGATCGGGGATGGAGAGCTCGGTGAACAGGATGCCGTGGCGGTAATGCCTGTAAACTAAGCTCGAAATACTCGGAGTTCTTCCTGGGCTACTCTTTGTGACGATATATGGTCTGGAGGGCGATGATTCTTTGAGTCAGTCCTTGGTGTGGTGAAGGAGGATTTCGCTTTAGGGTCGATCACTCGTTACTGCCAGGATCAAGAAACAAAAAGAGTGTGATTATGTTTCTATAAGCAAGAACTCAAGATTCCGTAGATCTCTTTGAGAAGATTCTAAAGTGATACAAAGGTGACGGTAAATGTCATTCAACTCCCAGCTTGCCTGCTCTATCGTCTTGTCAACCCGTAGTTATATAAAGACACAACCGCCCCCAAGAACACTGCTTGCAATCCATAGCCCTAAGCATCATACTAGTACACTATAGCACCACTGTCAGTCAACCTGACGAGAAAGCACTTCACCTACGTCCACCGTGACAATGTCGAAGGCACAGGCACAGCGAGCTCAGGTCCGCTTCGAAGAGAAGGACGAGGATCCCAGGGAGGAACACCCTCGTCCTCCGCTTCGCAGGTCCACTCCGTACCCCATCGCTCTGGGCATATTTACCGCAGGCGCAACGGGGACGAGTTCATCGGACACTGGGCCTGGCGGTGGGCCAACGTCTCATCCCTTTGCCGACGCCGACAACGACGATGGGACGGACTCTGAGGCGGAAGTGCCGTTGGAGGCGACATGGGCGGAACACTTTGCCAAACACCCTCAGCCGTGGCGGCACCCTCAGCCGTGGCGGCCGCAAATAAGGAACCTCAGCCTCGTTCGCTGCTTGGAGGCTCACTACCACCTGGGAGATTATCATCATGGCGATCTCGCGGTGCAGGCGAACGAGACATCATATCGGCCCATGTTTCCTGCCCCGACTTCAAGTCCTATGGCATGTAAAGAGCCGATGAGTCTCTGGGACTCTGACGACTCCGAGTCGGAGTGCTGTTTCGAGCATAATAGGCAAAAGCAGAAGCTGGGCAGTGAGCCGATGGAGAGGTCCCCAGAAGAGAGCTGTCCGGTGAATGATATGTCCCCGATAGAGGATGATGAGGATCAATTGCCAGCAGGCGTATAGTTAGTAATTAGTTGGATATGCTTACTACTGCTGCAGGTGGTCTACTGTAAATTACGCACCAGGTACGGACCCGTACGGGATCCTTATCTCAATAGCTGATGCTTATCATTCAATCAAGTGAAGCATTTTCGATGTCGGAAGCTGTGTCTACAACACATGTGTTTCGCTGTCTGAGTCAAACAAGTTATCTTTATTGGTCGAAATAGATATGAATATATGGCTGCTCTGCTCTGTCAAGCAGTTTTATAGAGCAGTTTGGTTTCCAAGTTAAAGAGAACAGGAGTCACGAGGGGGGAGTGGTTTTCTTATCTTGTAAAATACGCGGTGTAATTTGCTGACCGGTTCTTCCCCGCAGCGATTCATCATTTGCATCTCCACATTCGTCATGGTTTCTCCTTCTCCTCCATTCATTCTGACATATAAATCCCCACTCATTGGCCACTCCACCTGCTCTTGAGTCCTTCCATCTTCAAGTTGTATATCTGGTTGAGCTTCAATACTGACTACTGCTTCACCGTGGATTATTGAGTTATTATTCAACGCTCAGATCGGATCATGGCCTCCGCAACAGGCATCCCTCAGCTCCATCCCGACAGCATTGCATCGCGCGAGGATTCTCCCCTCTTGTCCACCCCCGGCAATGAGCCCCAGTCTGAGGACAATGCTGCTCTGTATCCGAATCTTTTCAGGGGTGTGTATTCCACTGCAGGTTTCATCCTCATCATCATTACTAATGCAAATGCCATTCAGGCACTGCCCTTGCCGCTCAAGTAGGCATCTGGCTGGTAAGCCGCGAGTTTTATTGATCCATCCATCCTACCGGTCGACAAGAGCCACACGTAACCATGCTGGCAAATACTGTAGATCGCCATCCTCGTCTGGGCCGGCATTCTCTCACATCCGCTGATCTTCTTTTCCGCTCACCCTGTAAGTCTTTCCCCTACACATTCATTTATCAACCAGCTTGACTAACCCCCCCCCACCTCCAGCTCCTCAACTCCGCCGCCCTCCTCCTCCAAGTCCAAGCCACCCTCATTCTCCAACCCACTTCCACCGCCTCCCAGAAGCGCCGGGGCACCATCGTCCACTACTCCATCCAGGCCCTCAGTGTGCTGGGCTTTCTGGCCGCCTTTCTCATTATCGAGATCAACAAGGGCGATCACGCCCGCCTCACCTCCCCGCACGGCGTCTTGGGGCTGGTAACTTATATCCTCATCATCCTGCAGGCGACCGGCGGCGTCGTGCAGTACTTCCTGCCCCTGACGCTTCTCGGCAGTGTCGAGCGCGGCAAGACTCTCTACAAGTACCATCGGCAGTCTGGGTATCTGCTGTTGGTACTGGAGCTGGCGACGGTCGTGGCGGCGACGCGCACGACCTTTAATGTTAATGTGTTGGGAATTTCCTTGTGGGGAGTGGTGGTGGGTGCGGTATTGGTGGTGATTGGGGTGGGAGCGAGGATTCGGAAGCATAAATTGGGGTATTAGGGAGTGTTTGGTGAGTGTTAGTTGATACGAGAAGCATGAAACGGGAGTAGTAGTAGTAGTAGTAGTAGAAGAAGAAGAAGAAGAAGAAAAAAAGAAGGTGTGTGGACGAGGATGGATGGTATGTTGATAGCATGTCAGTTGAACAGTACGGAATTTACTGTAGGCAGTGGGTGTATTGTAGTATATTTCCCAATCGGGATTGGCGGCCAGTTGATCTCCGCTGATCCTCAACTTCGCTCTTCCGCTCATTCTTCCTTCCGCTGCCTTTTATCTCCGCAAAACAAAAATTCCCCTTCCAGCAGCCCATCATGGCTCCCCCAAGATCTCCCTATGTCTGCCTGGGCTGCAGACTGCTCAGTCGCCGCAGCTTAACCACCTCCGCTCGTCGTCTCCAGGTTGTGCGACCACCGACCGCGCCCAAACCCACTCCGGACGTGAAGCACATCCGCAAGCACCCCGAGCTATACGCCCAGAATTGTCGGGACCGCAACTATCCAGCCCACGCACAACACCCCTTCACCATTCAGCAATTGTACGACGAAATCGGCGAGATTGACGTCCAGCTCCGCGCCCCGCGCACTCAAATCAAAAAGCTCGAGCGAGCGATCGCGGAGATTGCGGCCGGCCAAGCGAAGAACCAGTACGATGGCACCACCACCACCACCACCACCTCCACCGCCGCCCAATTGCGCGCCGAGGCTGCACAACTCAGAAGCGATGCGATGGCCCGGACCACACGGCAGCAGACCTGCGATGAGGAGATGCAGCGGCTGGCGCTCTCACTGCCCAATTTGTCCTCCCCCGACACCCCGATCGGCGACACGCCCACCCTCATCTCCTACCTCAACTTCGACCCGTCCTCCCCACTGCCCGACTGGGCCACCAAGCCCGATCCCACGCGGTCGCACGTCCACATCGGCAATACACTAGGTCTGCTGGACTTCACCAGCTCGGCCACCACGACGGGGTGGGGCTGGTACTTCCTGACGAACGAGGGGGCGCTCCTCGAGCAGGCCCTCATTCAGTACGCGCTGACCGTTGCGCGCCGCCACGGCTGGAAGCCCGTCTCCCCGCCCTCGATCGTCTACTCGCACATCGCCGACGCCTGCGGCTTCCAGCCGCGCGACCAGCACAACGAGCAGCAGATCTTCACTCTCGAGCAGCCCGACAAGGACTCCGGCGGGACCAAGAAGCCCCAGCGCGCCCTCGCCGGCACCGCCGAAATCCCCCTCGCCGCCATGCACGCCGGCCGCACCTTCGACCCCGCCGACCTGCCGCTCAAACTGGTCGGCCCAAGTCGCTGCTACCGCGCCGAGGCCGGCTCCCGCGGCGTCGACACCAAGGGGCTGTACCGCGTCCACGAATTCACCAAAGTCGAGATGTTCGCCTGGGCGGACTCGCTCGCCGAGGAGGAGTCGGCGTCCTCCTCCTCCTCATCATCATCACCGATGTCATCCACCTCATCCAACGACCTCTTCGACGAGCTGCTCAAGATTCAATCCGAGATTTTGCAGTCCTTGGGCCTCCCCGCTCGCATTCTGGAGATGCCCACCTTTGACCTCGGCGCCAGCGCCAGTCGCAAGCGCGATATCGAGGTCTTGTTCCCCTCGCGTCTGCGCACTACTCCCCCTGCTACCACCCCTGCGGCTGCAGTGGACACCCTCGAATCCGCCTGGGGCGAAGTCACCTCCGCCTCGATCTGCACGGACTACCAGAGCCGCCGGCTCGCGACCCGAGTCAAGCCGAAGAAGGGCAAGGGGGCGACGCGGTTCGCGCACACCGTCAACGGCACGGCCATGGCGGTACCGCGTGTGCTGGCTGCTCTCCTCGAGCATGGCTGGGATCCCAAGCGGGAGGTGGTGGTTGTGCCGGAGGTGCTGCGGGGGTGGATGGGGGGCTTGGAGGTGATTGGAAAGCAGAAGTAAATGCCTTTTGTGCCTATGGGGGAAAAAAAGAAAACGGGGGTTGGGGGTGGGGTGGTTTGTATGATGGACTGACTGTATGTGAGCGGCTGCTCTACTTACTCCCTCTCTTCATAGCCATCCATACCCTGGGCTTGTTTGGACTGATCAAATATGTCTCCTGTATATTTGAGCTGAATTGTACGATACGATAATAAATGCAGCTGGAAGAATCCGTCCAGTGGATCTGTTCTCATTTCATTTGCGATTTACTCGCCAATTCGCCAACCCGACTGCATGCTAAGTTCCTCATTCACGGCTTGGTATCCCAGAATAAGAGATCGTCTAGCTTTAACCTGCAGACCAATAAAAGGGTACTGCACTACATTGCCATACGCCCGCACATTGCAGGGAACCTATCAAATAGACCTCATTATGCACCTTCATCATTCATGACACGTCTGACATACAGCAATTGTTTCCCAGGCGAGGGAGAGGGTGGAGAGGACGGACCGGTATCATCAGTCAGTACCAGGATTGACACATCTAGATATTGCAAGATATCCAGAGACGGCAGAGATGGCAAAAACTAAACAAAAAGTTTAAAAGAAAAAGTAACATAAACAGCATCCGTGTATCATCTCATCAAACGTAAACCCATCAAAGCCATAAAAACAAATCATAAAACTATATTCATGAAATCGGGTATCGAAAGGAGGGGAAAACCAACAACGAGAAGGACTAAACGGAAAGCAAAAGGAGTGAGTGAGTTTGGCTCGTGGGGGTAAGAAGAGGTCGTCGAAACGTAAACAATATAAAACATAAAGGCGCGTGGAAATCATGTGTAGCGTGTCCGGGGTTGCAATGGGCTTTTGTTTTTTTTTACCATCGCGTCACTCCCATGGGATATCCTCGTCTTCAACCTTGGTGCAAGTCAAGTACGGTACCCCGCTACCTCCTTCACTGCTGTGACCGCTACTGCTGCCGCTGCCGTCTTTGAGATCCAGTTCCAGAAAGTTCCGCATCAGGGGTTTGACGATTTCGCGGGCCAGCCGCTTGATCTCGTCCATCTTGCGCTCAAAGCGTTTCATGACGTCGCGGTTGTAAAGGGCTTCGGCGGAGGGGGTGGGGTGGACTTTCAGGAAGCGTTTGAGGTCCTCGTGCGAGAGATAGGCTTGGGTGGACGGCGAGCCGATGAGGCGGTAGATGCGCGCGGGGGAGTAAGGGGGGGAGGTGGAGCCCGAGGATGATGAGGGCAAATTGGCGGTGGATCGGTGGTAGCTGTGACTGTGGCTGTGACTGTGGCCGTGGTGATGACTCGGGTTCGTGGATGTATTTTTGAGAATGGGAGGCGGAGGTGGCGTCGTGCTGTCGACAAACCATTGCCGGAACAAGGACACGGCCAGCCAGTCCAGGTAGGCGTTCGTCGGGCTGACGCGCTCGCCGCGCGAGGTGGTCAGGGTCAGCCGGAGTAACTTGGAGTCGATGCGCGCTTTCAAGTCTTCCAAATCCTCGACCTTGTCCTCGATGATATCGAGGACCGCGTTCGGAAGCGGCGAGTAGCTACCGTTGCGCAGGTGCGGCAGAGCGGCCGGCCATTGTCCGACGACGTGGATCAATGCTTCGGAGAAGATGACCCGGCTGCGCGCCATGTAGCCTAGTTTGAGGTAGCTGGGAGGATACTTGGCGATCTGCTTAAATAGCCGCGATCCGAAGCCCAGGAGATGGTGGTCCACCCGTGGTCCGGTGACAGGGAGCGCGTCGTACATATCCGCCAAGGATAGCAGAGCTCGACACTCGGAATAGGCGGTTGCGATGTTGACACTGTTGATCATCGGTGGGTAGTTGTAGAACATGCGAAACAGATTGTCGTAATCGCGAACGATAGGATCGACAGGCGGGTTAGACGCACTGTTCCTGTGCGGTAGGACCACCGCCGACTGCATCCCTGCCAAGTTGGCCATGGATCGAACAAACCCCGTCTGCGTGTTGGACGGTTTCGTCACCGACGGGGGATACTGCCCGGGTTCGCATCCAAGGGCGCTGGAATAGCTGGGCGGCTTGAGAGTGGGTTAGCAAGAATTCACTGGAGTATGAGCATGCTGCGGACCAACCTTTTGGACGAGAATAGGCTCCTCGTCCTCGGCCTTGTTTTCCCAGTCGAGCTCGTATTTCCAACGCCGTCTCTCTGGCGACCAGGACGACCCTCCGCTTTCTGATTGAGCCAGGGTCGAGCCGTTGGACAAAGAAGAGGTGTCCTCGCTGATTCTGGACAGGACCCCCGGATCTGGGTTCGATGGCCTGGAGGGGGCTTGCGGTGACCATCCATCGCGGGTGCTTGCCTCGAAGAATCCAGAGCATTGAGTCAGGATTAGTCGATGAAGGAGGTAGCGTTGCTCCTGGCCCCCAGCACGAATCACGATTTCGACATCGCCGGTATGGGTGAAAATAGGAAATTCGTTCTGGGGTTGATGGGTCAAACCGCCATGGTGCGAGCGACTCGAGCGATGCCGTCGGCTGGAATGAGAATGTCGTGAGGTGGAGGAGAGCGTGCTTTGCGCCGGTATGGAGCGGTCGAGAACTTGAGCTTGAGAGACCATTTCGATGGAGGTAACCGTGGAGGTGGTTTTGGAGGACCGGGTAAACATCGTCTGGGTGAACCGCGCAGTGACCGAACAAATCGCAACTCGGGCGGCGGTGGTGTCATTCACTGATGGACGACACGCGCACCGCTTGGGAAGATGTCCCAGATGCGAGAGGAATGTTGAGCGACGCGCGACAATCACCGACTTGACCGACCGAAGGGTGTGGCGGCAAGAGTCCCGTTGTTGATCCCCGCGATCGCGATAGACACACGGACCACCTCGGGAAAACAATATCTAGGAATCAAAGCCTACAACAAAGGGCTCGATAAAGAGGACGAGAAGAACAGGGTATAAAAACGGGCGGATCACTCTGACCGAGTCTTCAGGTCAGTCCACTTCATGCGACAGGGGAGGCCGCCGAAGCGCGCACGGTATAGCCGCTGCTGCAGATGCAATGAACAAATCTGAACGGGCTGACAGAACCAGACACAATGCAAGCTACCAGGCAGATAGAGAGAGTAATTGACCCTGACTGACGATGGATAGCCTAGGCTCATAATCCAGGCGAAACGAACGCAGCCCCTGAAAGTGAAGCCAAAGTGAAGGGTTGAAAGTGCGGGAGGCAGGGAAATTGATGGTGTTGACCTGGGCTTGATTGGCTGGGGGAATTCAAACCCGGGTCACGGGTTGCTACTGCGACTTGAGAACTGGAATTTATCCCTAAGTGACTAGTACTATTGTCTGTAAACCTTGCTTAGAAGGAAGCTGTGGCACACCTCCAGAATAATCACTTCTCGTCTCCCCTGGACAGGATAAGTCTGCCCCAGACCCCTTGGGATTGTATGGACTTTCGCATCCATCAACAACGACGATAAAAATGTTGTTTGTCCTGTCTGTTGTGTTTGGCTTGTTTGTGCATCTGTCTCGGATATCCGCGCCCGATCTAACCTCATCCAGACTAGCGGAGGTTCCCCCAATTTCGCCGACGGTCTTTTCGAGTCTCGATCTCACTCCAGCTGGAGGCTCCATCTTCCTTCTGCACCAACACACGGATAGGCAACTTATGAATCATACCATCATCTGCTGCGTTTTGGACTACGACCCACGCGCAATGCTCTCAACACCTGTTCCGCCCCCCTCCGTTGAGACATATTCCTGATGATGTCGAGCGTCTTGTCGAGCTTCCTCTGTCGAGCTGTCCGTTCTATCCACGGAACTTTTCCACCCCTCTACACTCCCGGTCAGTGACCGACTCCGATCATCGCGCTCAGCCCTAGACGACAGGGGACACACCATGACCAAAGGCTGCTATACTTGCCGTCGCCGCCGGATCGTATGCGACAATGGCTTGCCCACCTGCCGCAAGTGTCGCGATGCGGGGAAGGAATGTCTGGGATATCAGAAGCCCCTCGTCTGGGTAAAGGGAGGCGTTGCAAGCCGCGGGAAAATGATGGGTCGCAGCTACGATGATGTTGTGCAGAGTGCTGCGAATCAGAAACAGGATAGCCACATCGACACCTCGTCTCCCTCTGCCACAGAGTCACCCGACTGCATTGGACCCGCGCCGGCGCCCGAACATATCGACCAGGCGATTGACAGCGTTGGAACTTACGGTCCGAGTCTCACCATACAGAGTACCTCTCAGTCCGACTACATCCCTGCACCATGGGGTCTGGTGGATCCAGTCTTCAAGGACCTAGACGGTTGGTCCCGACATTACATCGTCCATTGTACGTGTCGAGTATTCTTCAGCCACCAAGCGCAAACTGACCGATATTATAGTCAGCCAATACCTTGCGAATTACCTCACTCTTTACTCCAACGGTCAAAACCCGTATCGCGCTTTAATTCCATTAGTCGGCGACTCTTCTCTACTCGCCAATGTGCTTTCAGCCACGGGTGCTTTGCACTACGCCATTCTAGCCAATGAGGATTTCTCTCCGGGCCCATGGAACGCGGAGAGCGCCGCCCCAGGAACATTGCTATCGTCAGAAGATATCGAACAAGCCGTTATCGGCTCTGTGTCACGCCGACCGGCCTCGAAAGTCTATGAACATTTCTTGGGATTTAAACAGCGCGCGTTACAGCAGTTGTCGCAAGACATTCAGGATCCCGTCATGCGTCATGACAATCGCACTCTGGCCGCCATTATGTTACTGGCTCTGATGGATGCATTTGAGTCCGGCGACGGGGCATGGAAGTACCACCTCGAAGGGGCCAAGAAACTTTTGAAAACTCGCCAACAGAGGAATTCGCAACAAAGCTTAGCCACCCAGGGGCTGGTCTCCTGGTTGGACGACTTTGCGATCGACGGCATTCTCATGTATGTCTCCGTCTCACGCGTTCGCTAACCCTATTCTTCGCCCTCAACTGACCCTGGCCCAGTATCCAACTCATGGGCTCGACGCTGGCCCGTCCTGGCTCCCTTACGCGGCCATTTTACACCTCAAGCATGGGCCCGGCGGTGCTCAAGCGCCTCGAAGAGACCTCCTGGGTCGGCTGCCCTGGCTACCTTCTCGAAGTGATTTTTCTCATTCACGCGGGCCTCTACACGGAACATGAATCTCATGAATCTGACCACAGCCACGATCTCCCTAAAATGGTCTTTACGTCTCCACACCTTCCCGCCAACTTCAATCCCCTGCAATCCCCCGCCGCCCTGCTCGCCCATATCCAAGCCTTCGACCCCGCTGCTTGGGCAGAATCCATGCAAAGTTTCCTTCGACTCCCCGATCTGTCCATGCGCACCGCTCTCGCAACCATCTACCAAGCTGCCGTCTACCTCTACGCCAGTCGCGCCCTGTCCCGCCTGCGCCTGGCAACCACAAAACAAAACCGCTCCCGCCACCGGAAACAGAACTTCGGCCTCCCCGCTGACCACGCGGCTGTCACCGACCTCCTCATCCGCCAAATTGCTCTCATCCCCATCGCCGACCCGCACTTCAAGTGCCTTATTTGGCCCACCTTCATCGCCGGCGCCGAGTGCGCCGACCCTGCCCTCCGCCCATTCCTGTTGGACAAGCTTCGGTCGTTGTACTACGATATCACGAGCGTGAACGTGCGCAACGCCGCTTGGGTGCTGAGCCTGATGTGGCGCAAGCGGGATCAGAGGGCTGCAGAGCGGCGAGCGCGGAAGCAGCCGCGTCGGCAGCCAGACCCGACACTACCTGCGTATCCCTGGACCTCTTCCACGGCAGATCCGCCACTCGCCACTTCTGCTTCCACTACCACTAATAAGAACTTCGAAAGTAATGACAACGACCCTAATGCTAATGAACAAGGAGAAGAAGATGATGACGATGACTTTGACTGGATCCAGGAGCTAGATGCCTCGAGGATCGATTGGCTGTTCATTTGAGCTGCTTTCTTTCCTTTCCGCTCGTGATGATGTCGTCTAGCAGCACAAGATACGGTTCGCGCAGGGTATGATCTTCTCTTTATTAAAACAACTCATTTGTACTGTACATAGCTCATATTGTCTATACGCTTGATTATAGACCCGCGCATCGATTGTGAGTGTCAGTATAGATCACTCTCTCAATCAGCTCAAAGGAGAGATTTTTGAATTTGAGCAGCATGCACATGAACATAAACCAGGGACAATTTTCCAGACGGCCACAAGTGGAGGTTTACAGTAGTATATTTAGGAGGTAGGTTCGAGATCAGCAAGTAGGCACGGCACAGTCAACCGCAACAAGCACGATAACCACGATAAATCTGTTGTGGCACATATAGTAGCATAATCTCCATTTCCCATCTAGTACCAGGGGGGGTTATCGTTCATCAGTAGCACTGTGATCCCTCAAAGTAAATGCTCGCATCCAGGATCAAGGCACTGAACTGAGATGCCGTTCGTTCCGACCTCGTTAGGACATCTGACTCCCCGTATCGATAACCCAAGTACCCAAGTTGGATGATCCAGACACTCTAGTCCTTTGAGATAACAACCACAAATAACTTGAAGGGGGGTCTGTCTATGGCACTGTTTTACCCTCCAAAACTCGGCCCTGGGAGTACTCCCGTTGTTGACTGAGTAACTGCGAACTAACTAACTTAGGTAGTAACCAACTAACTCCCTAAGGTAAAAAGACACTGGCAGTATCAAAACTCCCCCGGGGCATATCCGCACCCCATACCAATTAACTTATAAAGTCCTGTACACTAACTACGGAGTATACTTGTACTTATCCTCATACGATACAATTCATTCGCGGACTATGAATCACACATTGCGTCTTCAACTTGCTCATTATTTAGGTCTTCATCCCACTTCACCCGATGAAGAACCCCCCAGTTGATTCCGAAGCATACAGCACTTGTGGCCCCCCGGAGAGTAGAAGTATAAGTATACGTAGTTATACAGTCATCGACTGTTGTACCCGACCAGGGTGATTTATGCTCTGATTGTAAGTGCGCTCTGGGCTCGTTCACAAGGCCTACTATCTTGGTACAAATCATGGAAAGATCACCACCCCAGTCTGTTAGAGGAAGCGATGGATCAGGTATGAGTGTGCCTGGAAGGCGTCCTTGCGCGGATACATGATTGAAACAAGTGCAATGAGAATACATCTATCTGCAGGGCTTTAGGTAGTTATACGACGACGACGACGACGACGCCGCATAAGAATTGTGTTTAGATCACTCAAACGAAGCAAAGTACAATACACGAGCAGTATTTGCCTCAAGCTGATCATCTTATTCACTTTCCTACTAATTGAGAGGGACCCCCGCGAAATCCACGGTCTGACCGCTCTTTCGGAACTAACGCTTTTTTTCTCAGCCCAACCCAACTCGCCCCCCGAACCCCTGTCCTCTTCCCCTCCTTCAACCCTCTACGCAAGTTCATTCATTCATCTCAAGATAATCTGCGTCATATTTTATATTTCTTTCTGCTTTTCCCTATATGCGAATGATAATGGGTGCACCTCCGTCTCATACATCGGACATGGTGAGAAGATATCAACAAATAAGAAAGAAAACCAACGCAAATTACAAGGATCAAGAACCAGATCAAAGAAAAACACAATCAAAGATGTCAATGACGGTCGTCAATCCCAGGAGACCATCCTGATCCCACCATACCCATTACCGTCCATTCCCAGTACGCCAACCTCAGAAAAGAGAGCAGAAGAAAAGGAAAAGATGTCACAAACATATATCAGTGAGATACTGATGGGTGATATCGAAGAAAGATTCATGAAGATATGCTGCCCGAAACGAGAAAATTAGGTTAGTCAATCGAACGTGCTTTGGGTGTCGCCCAGCTCCAAAGTCGTTGCATTCGGCGGTCGTCGTTGGCGGAGACAATCGTTGAATGGGTAGCCGTGCTGCCTTGGCTTTACGTGTCGACTTCCATCCCCGTCCCCATTCCTACGCTGTTGTTCAATCCAGCACCAAGGCCGGTGTCAACCATGGTGGGCTGGGCACAGAGGGTTTGCAAGAGAGGTAATCCAGACTCGCGCTGAGTCGCCCCAAGGAGGGTTTGCGTCCCTGCAGCAAACGGGGTCTGAGCAGGCTTGTCGGAAGCGCTCAGGATTTGAGATCCTTCGAAGACTATCGGGTTGGAACGCAAATTTTGAAGGCACAGTTCCCAACTGGAGCCCACAAGTTGTGCCTGGGTGAGGTCGTCGCTGAAAAGGAAGAAAGCAGGCACGAATGCAGGGCCCATGGGAGTGATCGGGCGTGCAGTGACGAGATAGGCGTTCAGTGCTCGGTTCTTCATGAGGATCTCAGAGTCCATCAGGTACGCCGAAAATTGACGATCAATGTACTTCTTCCATCCGCGCACGGCCGCCGCCATGTCCGAGTCTTCGGTGGCGATTCGCTGCCAACTGATACCCAGTAGGCGGGTGGCATCGTCGACTGTGGGTTCTTCAGGCGAAAGGCGAGAGCTGGCAGTAAGGAGACGGCGGTTGTCGTCGGTGTTGCTGGTGTCGTTCAGCTGGCTTTGGATGGAAGACAAGGTGATATCGTCGACAGTCGGGGCGGAAGGGTCGAGGCGCTGTGACTTGCGACTGAGATTGTCGGCAGTGCCTGATTGGAGCATCTGAGACCGAGACGAGATCGGGGCAGCCTTGTTGACAGTTTTCTCCGCCGTCTCCTCGTACCACGTGCCGGTTTGACTTTCAGCGGAGATGGCCATCTTGGTACGAGGATTCAGCAAAACCATGCCGGGACCGTAAATGGGTTTCTCTTCTTTTTGCACTGCAAGGACTGGGGCTGGTACGACAGGTCCACCGGAGCTCTGGACCTCATCTTCGAACCCAACATCATCCCGCGACCTCTTGCGGGAGGGTTTGGCAGTGAAGGCATTCGATGATGTTGCGAAGCCAGAGCCTCTGTAAGCCTCAGCACCAGGGTTGAACCGGGATTGATGAGGATATTGAAGAAAAGCGTGCTCCTGGGGAGGGGACATGACCATCGCTGGGCCATCGGAGAGACTGTTGAGCATCATGGGACACATGATGAGCAGGAAACACGGCGGAGCGGAGGACTACGAAAAGATGGGAGACGGAATCTGTTCTGTCTAGTGAGCTGGACACAATAAGCTAGAACCACCTGTTGAAGCGCAAAGTCCCGAGCCGGCGAGGGATCTAGCCCTAAGGGAGGAGGTATGGTCGAACAGGTAGGCCACGAGGAGAAGGTGAATATGAAATAAGAGGAGGAAATGAATGGAGGACCGTAGGTGAGTAAAGATAGATGGCAGGGTGAGAGATAACCGTAGGGATGATAAATTGAATAGAGAGAAAAGAGGAGATGAGAGAGAGAGAGAGAGAGAGAAAGAGGAAAGGAAGGAAAAGGAAGAGAGGAGACGGGAAGAGCAAAGTTGAAGAGGAGGGAGAAAGTAGGGTTATGCGAGACGGAGACAGGCAGCCAACAGGAGACGAAGAATCACGGGGAAGGATGAGTGGTTGACTGAATGGATGGAGCAGCGACGCGTGAGAGTAAGAGAAACGAGAGTAAGAAAAAGAGAGAGAGAGAGAGAGCGAGAGTAAAGCTGCAGTGAGTGATTGCTGAGTCGCTGACGGATGCGGAACCAGCGATTGCGATGCGGAGAGAATCCAAGAAAGAGCAGGATTTGCCTTGTCTCAGTTACGGCTGATTACCGTCACTTACACGGCTCGTAGGGGGAGTAGCCCCAGTCCGATAGCTCGCATACCGTAATGTACAGCGACAGCGATCTGGGCTGAGGATCCACCCGGAGTCGGAATCAGCAGCAGTAAGGACGGAGGCATTATTGGTCAATGGACGATTGCCTGGGGCAACCAATTTGAGTGGAGATCAAGAGCTGTCGCCCTCCAATGATTGGATGATCAAAAAGAAAGGCCAGTCAGTCCGCGCCTCGCCGTCCTGAACGAATGATTGAAGAGGCCCTTGCCGGCGCCACCGCCTGCCGTTATTGGCCTGTGCTCTTCTCCTCAACTCCGAGCCTTTCCAGCCTTTGCAGCTTCCGTGATTGGACGCACCCGGCCACACGCTCCGGCTCGGAGAAATCCACCGCCGATCACCATGACAATCTGCGCAGCAGGGGGGAAAAAAAAATGGAACATCTATTGGGATATAACCAGTGCTAACTTCATCACGTAATGAAAACTGTGGGGTGTCAAACAGAAAAGAAAATGAAAAAAAAATGTATAGTCACAAGAAAGTAGTGTGGAAATCACACAGAATAAATATCAAGGGGGAATAAAAAGCACAAGAGGAAATGGCCTGACAAACAGCATCGAACTCAAATCTCTCCAGCGAAGTCGACATGTTGTGAATGTCTGTTTTATTATTGCAGGCCACAGACCAATACACCAGACAAATCCTCCTCTAAGCTTCAAACACCATGATTCGGCAGCGAGATTCGGCAGCGAGAAAAGAAAAACGAAAATAAACATGCCTAGGAACTGGGAATCGATGGATTCTGAGCCCTGGCCGCGTTGACTGGGCACAAGCTACATTCCCCGCATGTGGCCGGCCCAGACAACCCCATCATCCTCCGGCATGTCCAACCGAAGCGACGGATATTCTTAGACCCTGTGACGCCCAGATATATCCAAATAGGAGTTTTCGACAGAATAAACGGATGAACTGAGGTACTTTTGATATGCGCCTCATCGTCCTACGACAAGAGTCTGTCCATATTGAGTCAAAGGACGCAATCGAAATAAGCCAGTCGTCGACCAGAGACCGTACGTAGGCATCGTTACTCTAGGCGTTGCCAGCAGTAGCTCCACCGAGCATGCCTTTAACGCTGGCAACCTGCTCGGGGGCATAGCTGGGAGCCATGGATCCCATGAGCAGGAAGAAGATCAAAAGACCGGCCCCAATGATGATGAACTTACGCTGGGCGGGGTGGGTAGCACCATACTCGGCCCAAGCACGGTTAGCCTGACCAGCATACTCCTTGATCTTGTCACCACCAAGCTTGTAGTAAACGAGACCGACGAGAGCGATAGAGTAACCGAAGAATTGGAGGCCAGTGACAGGAGTCTGCCAGATCATCATGGAAGCGACGACGAGAAGGATATCCTTGAGGACACCGCAGAGGGTCATCACGAGGGACGAGGTTTTGCCAATCTAAAGCCGCGGATTAGTATCTTTGGCGGACCAGATACACAGTTGCGACTTACCAGGAAGACAACGGAGACGTTGAGAAGGAAAGCAACAACAGCATTGGCCAGCAATGTCCACACACCAACGTTGTAAATGTGACCCATGGTCAGGTTGGGAACTTCAAGGAACAGGGCGGTAACACCGTTCATGACAGCACACACGGGGGCAAAGTAGTAAAGAGACACAAGAGGGTCCATCTTATACTCCGCGGAGCTGAGCAGGCGTTGGACCATGACCAGGCGAGTAGCCTCAAAGATGATACCACCGATCTGGAACAGAAAGCCGATCATGACGAACTTGATCTCTCCAAAAGACGCAATGACGACACCAACCACGATAATGCTCACGTTCATGAGAACCTTGTAGTTGACAGGGGCCATGCCCATGCCCCAGGTGGCGAACAGAACGGCAACGGGGGTAGTGGCCTGGGAATACTGTCAGCGATCCGGTCGACCAGGTTTATGGAGCATGGTCGACGTACCTTGAGCATCTGAATAAAAGCAACACTCAAGTACAAGTATGTAACGTTACCGCAGATCAAGCTCAAACTGAAGAACAAGCCGATGGGAACAATGGCGCGAAGATACACGCGACCAGTCATCTTGACTGTCTTACGGCCGTCGAGCAGAGTGGTAGTGCGGGCGAGAACTTGAGTCATGAAGGTCGCGAAGGCCAAGTGCCATGTCGTGAGGATGATAGGGAAGCCTAAGATCGCGCAAATCCCATGTCAGTAGATGAAGCGGGTTTGACAAGATCGAGCAGACTCACGGAATTGAGCATAGTCAAGAATATGCTTGTTGAACAGAATGACACTGGAACTCAGCGCGATCCAGACACTGGTTGTTTCTTAGTACCCATGCACAGTCCGAACTCAGGCGAATGCTAGAGCGAATTACCTGACATAAACGGCCGGATGGAAGGCAGGCTTAGGAGGCTCCGACTTCTCGACGGCAGGATTGACAGTGGGCAGAGTAGGCTCCGGTCGAGAGACCTCACCGGAGACTCTGACCTTTTCTCCTTCGGAACTCATGATGTAGATTGGAGTCTGGTCGGATAAGAAGCGTTGAAAATCGAAAGGGCGCGGCCGTAAGAGGCTGCTTTGTCCGAACTTCGCAGATGCCACGGGTGGTAATTAAAATCAGAGGAGAGGAAAAAAGATGAGCGAGCGCAGCAGTGAGAGTCTACGGTCAGGAGGATGATTATTAACGAGTGAGACTGGAGTTGGTCCAAACAACGACGAAGAGAGAAGGGCCAAAAAAGAAAACCCGAGAGGCAAGGTGAAAGACGATAAGAGATGTGAAACTCAAAGTTTGAGGTTGGAGGAGAGAAGGGAAGAGCGGTAGAGGAAGAAGAGGAGGGGGGGGAGGGGGGGAGAAGAGGCAGGGAAGGGGAGGGGGGAAGACGAAGGCTGATCAAACCGATCGGACGGATTGGGGTACGTATGTGTCTGGCTTGTCCGTCGAATAATAAGGATGATATGGGATGGGTGGCTCGGAAACTGGTTCGGGATGGGGGAAGATTCAAGGAGGAGGGGGGGAGAAGGGAACACCTACGGCTTGTTTCTTGTTGGTTCGCTCCCAGAATAAAATGTCAAGGGTTATTGTGACCACGGCTCGGGCAATTGAATTTGAGGAGGGGCGAAAGAGTCGGGCGGAGGGGAGAATGGGGGAAGATTAAGCTGAGGAAGAAGATGCCGATGAAGATGATGAAGATGAGACACCCACTTGCTAAGGTATTCCAATGGTTCTCCGTAGAGACAGATAACTAGAGGGGGAAGTAGGAGAGGAGAGGAGAGGAGAGGACAAGACAAGGATAAGGGTAAAAGGGAAATGGGGCGGGACCACCACTGCAGTAAGTTACCTTACCGTCCCTCAAAGGAGGGTTTAGTGAGGAAGTCAAGCTTCCCATCCACTCTTCCCACTCTGTCCACTCTTTCCCTCGTAAGTTTAGCGGCCGGCCCTGCAGTCTCCGTCGCTCGTCGCTGCAAGCATCCTGTCGGAACTGCAACTGTCCCTGATTGATTACTACGTACCGTACTGTGTAGGGTTACAATCTACTGCTCTCTAGGACAGAGTAAATGGAACTAACCTATGTATCAATCCACAGTGACATGTTACCATGATGCGCATAACAAATTCAGGGTAGTGAATGAGACTGATACATCAGAGTACACAAATGGAACAGCACCCGAATCAGAGGCTCGAGAAGCTATCACCGGGTCAATTGCCATTCTGAATGAACAGTGAACGACCCTGGCACTGGCTAGGTAGTGTTGGTCGGACTTTTTTTGTGATAGACTGGTAGCCTAAGGTGCGGAGCCACCTGGATTTATTATTAGAATCTCAGTTCGACTTCCAGTCTATCACGGTCTATCACTTGCTCGTTCCCCATAATAATCACTGCAGTCACCTCACTGGGTCTGACGGGGCGATTTCGAGTTCTAGCCTAAAATGAGAAGTGAACGACGGAGGGGCCAAAAGCGAGAGAGTGGAGTGTGGATATGTGGACTTAGCTGGATCCAGCTGGATGGGATGCGATTAATACCTGAAAGGAAAGGTGGCGTGTACTCGTTGATACCGATACAGTATGATTACAGGGATGGCCCTACACTTCTGTACTAGTAGAGGCAAAGCTGTCTGTAATGAGACAGTTATGACAATGGTATGTATGTAAGGTAGTCTGGCGTGAGACTCTCCCATCGACCTTTATTCTCTTCGACAGAACCATCTTTGGAGCACCCAAGGATAACGATCTTCGGCAATTGTTCCTTGCCTTTTCTACCATTCGATGTGAACCATGTCAGGAATGTCAAGAGTTGAAGATACACGGGGGTCTCGAATGACAATCCAACTACCAGGTAGGAAGGCAATCCATGAAACTGCCATGGGGCGAGGCAATTGTTCATCTCTCGTGGCGATTCGTGGCGAGGGCCACTGGTGGTTGGTGTCAATCTCCAGGTCCCCACACTCCATCTGTAAGTAGCCCCTTTTCCATTCACCTTATCCAGTTGGCCGAAAGCGATTCGAATCCCAATAACCAGAACAGCCAGCCATAAGCTTCCATACGACATGGAGAAGTGGCTGTGGCAGAGTTTTTCTTTTTTTTTTCTTTTTTTTTTCTTTTTTTTTTTTGTCCTTCTTCAGGGCTGCTGATTCGCACCGTCGGCCGGCGTTGAGGGTGGACGAGGACCGCCTGCTGACCTTAGCTACGGAGTACGGCCATTGACTAGTCATAACGGGCTACAGAGAAGGCACTGTCTTTCCCGGCAACGATAC